ACACAAACCAGGGGCATAGTTTCTCCGTCGCTGCCCTGGAAAACCCACCATCGACTGGGGAACGATTCTTCACTTGAATCAACATCATCAACACCTCATGCTCCTCTTGTTCACCCCTCGTAGTCTCCCCACCGACTGGCCTGCTGTTGGATCTCTTCTTAAACATCGGGATCAACAAATCGGCTCCATACTGGTTACGGGGGAAAATACCTGCAGCCTGACGTCCCAGCAAAAACCAAAGCGTGTCCTCATTCGGCTCGAGCTGCAACTGCACAAAGTGGGTGAACCCCACGTACCAACCATCCCACTTCGAGCACCACTCGTTGAATTCTGGTCTCTTATCTTCCGCGTTGTACATCCCCTTACAATATATCGACATCTCCTCGTGGCCTGTTAGCACGTTCAAGAAATCCTGCACCGGTACAAATTGCCCGATCGTATGGTAGCACTGGGAAAAATCTTTGTCCCCCATAACACACTTGTCCATCGCTAGAAGCAGCAGAATGCGAGCAACCATCTCGCCAATTTCGCCAACTCCACCAGTGTCCAACGCTTCATCCAAAAGGAGGTTCTTGAGTTGCGGCAGGATATACTTTGCCAGACCATATTTCAGTTCATACCACACTTTCATCGCTCCTAAGGCGAGCACTGGGTCCGAAGCGTAGCTGGTGACGTAACCCTCTCGTTTGAAGTTCACATACGCGAGAATCGCCATGAAGTCAGCGGGGGCCCGAGATGCCAAAGCCGACGTCGAATGCGGTCGAACACCCAGTCGACAAAGCATGGAGGCGACACCAAACATGGTATCCTTGTTGTACGCATTTTGCGAAGGGGGAATCCCCAGTAGCAGTTTATTCGCCGCGAGATCAATCACGCGAACTTTATGAGCTGGATCGGGGTAAGTGCTGTACCACATCGGGCGGCCCATGCGCCTCAACGCCTCCCAGGCCTGACCGTCACTTCCAGTTACGACGGTCTTGTACATGGCTATCTTAGCACGTTCTTGCTGTTTCGTTTTCTCTTCGTCTTCAGCTCCCACCGCAACTTGGGTTCCCTCGTTTATCTCTTCATCTTCAAAGTAGTCATCCCAGTGTGCGTCCATCGTATCAGCTAGTACAAGCGGCGCGAACGATGCCAAACTACCTCCAGATTTCCGAGAAGATGGGTCCAACAACAGAGGCGGCGTCAGGTCCGAGATCTGCGAGTTCGTATCAATCAGCACGCCGAAAATGCCTCCTTCGGGGCCGATATCTTCGTTAGCGGATTTAAGAGCATTTCGCAACATACGAAAATCGTTCTTCTTGCCATCCACCTCAGCCAGCAGACTTCTCGCTTCATCGATCACCAGAACCACCATTTTGCCATCTGGATCCTTCACGGTGGAGGTACCCGTAGTTTGGATAAAGGTGTCCGGTACGGATGCTGAATCGGACGCCTTTATCATTTCTGTTTCTTTCAAAAGCTTGGCCGCACACGGAACTGTCAGTTGCATTGTCGATAAACAGCTCCAGCCATTCCGTCTGAACGTCCGCCCAATGATCTTTCGCATAGCAGTAAATCGCCTTCAATCGCCTGGCGACCTCTTGCACTGAGGAGGCGGCAGGGTCAAACAGCCAATCACGAAGCTTACTCGTAGCCTCCGGAAACCCCGTCGATCGGTGCACACGCGCGCACATGTACAAAACTTTCAGGTTCAAGTTCGGTTCTCGTTCTGCCTTGAGCGCAAGCTCACGCACTGTCCGACTCTTGCCGAAGCCGGAACTCTGCACAACCGCCACACATGGCGCCTTGTACTTTGCAGGGTTGTACTCTTTCCAGCAGTCCCGCAGGTATTCTGCGAGGTCGTCTTGGGCCTTGCCGACGTACGTGACTTTAGTGAACGCATCCGAGAGTCGAATCATTTCGTCTTCACCCAGCTTGGTGATGAGGGGGTTGTCTTCCGGAACAAACTTTGCCAGGAGGTCTTTCACCGTCTTGACCGTAATGGTTTCCGCAAGATCGACCGTCACGTCTGGGTACTCGTATACGATTCTGATCTGCATCCCTTAAATTCTTGCTGAGAGACCCGGAGTCCCGCGTCGCGATATTTTTTCAAATACTCATCGATGCGAAGAGGCTTCTTCTCCAGTGCTCCCTCGTTGCCTTCCTTCGCGTCCCCCAGTTTCGCGCTCAACTGAGTGAAGACGCTGTCGTCCACGAATGCGGCTATCTCCTCGACTCCAGGCTGGAGATCCGACTGGCTCGCCATGTCCAGCAGAGCGGCAGTGTTGCGGTTTGGCGAGAGAGTGCGACTTCTCTTTAATGTAGACCACATATTCGCTTTAATTGGACATAATCACTATGTAGTTTCTGTTTTTATTGGACAAAAGTATTTAGGCGCACATCTCGCCAGGTTTATTATAATAACACATATTGTACTTTTTGGCACTTCAAACTGTATTTGTGCTTTGCAATGATTTTGGCAATATGAGGCGAGATTTGCTGTATTATTACGACCACCTGCTAGATTTACGATAAATCGAGGTGCATAAATGGGTGGAGGCCTAGAATTACGCTAAAAGCGCCACAATTGCACTTTCAAAAGTGCAATTGTGGCTGTGCAGCTGCAATTCTGTCGGTTTTTATCCACAAGCACCTACACACACGGCAATTATGCATAAGAGGGTGGATGTGCTGGGGATCATGGACGGTGGTGTACTGGGCCAATGCATGGCTGCTGACAGGCCCTCCCAAGTCGATATATATATGAGGAGGTGGATTTATGCATAATTTTAGCAGGCCGTGTATCTTCTTTCACACATATTTAGGAGCAGGCTTTGCCATATTTAGCGTCTAAAATGGTCGGCAAAATAACTGCAAAGCACAATAACTCGTACGACTTATCGAGCACGACTATAAATCGTACTCGAGTACGAATTGCTGTAAGTCGTGGATGGTCAATCACTTGTGTCGAGCATTCGTAAGACAGTTTGACGACAAATCAAATGTAGCAATTTCATTGGTTAATATTGTATTATGTAGTTTTGAGTGTTGCTGCATCTCGGCTCGTAAATTGGACTGATTCATCTGTGTGCGCATTTTGCCCCCTTTACTAGAGGCAGCGCACTTGAAAAATGTCCGGGCTTTTGATCCTGACGCCATGCACTAACCTCCTGCTAGAAGATTTAAATATACTTGCCAGGAATGGAATGTAAGGACATCATAGCACAGTTATCATACGACCGTTTGTTCCCGTAGTGGAGCAATGTTTCTTCGCTTTACTGGGGTGAACGACTGTTGTCGTTCACCACTGTTGTCGTGAACGACTGTTGTCGTTCACCCCACCACGCCAACTCTCCTTTCTACAGTAAAGTACTAACACTACATAGAAGATGGAGATTCGGATAGAGGGCGCATACGCAAACCAGTCTACGCTGTAGCATCGACAAAAAGCGTGGCTGCAGGCAGTGGCTTAGTTGCAGGAGATACCGAGTAACTCGCCGATGCCGAAGGTCGAGCCCAGCAGCGATATGGCGCGCGCCGAGCGCCCGCGCAGCAGTGTGGAGCTCCTCCGCACCTCAGCGTCGTAGGTACAATATCTAGGTGTTATCGCCGTTGCAGAGTACGTGGTTGCATTTTGTTGCTGGACTGTAATGATTAGGTAAGAGGGGGTCGGAGGATCTCGGGAAGCCCACTGGCAACACCGTTCCCTGGCTGCCTCGCCTTCAGAACTACTATGATGTACGCTCAAGCATAAAAATTACTACATTAAAATGTACATGTAGTACCGTTACGAGCTATTTGTCCCTCTTAGTCTACGTCTACAAACTTCATCGTAACTCCGTGCCCTTCAACGGCTGCACCTCTGAGTGGAACAGCTCCACGGACTGCATGCACGCGTTCGTGCAGTCATTATGCCGATATTTAAGCTTGCTGCCAGCGGCCAACTACAGGCACATCGCTTCGTGTGTGAACAGGAGGCTACTTACCCTACCGCATCATGCAACTGCATCGTTTCGGCGCTCAACGTTGCCACCGCGTCCGCGGCAACGATGCCGCTGTCGTGGCGAGCAGACCTGAACATTTTTGGCCAATTGTATGGCGCAAACTAGTGTCCGACAAACTGTCTTATGTTTTGACAGACAATATGCAATGTAGCCACTGGTATACAACAACCAAGATGTAGTCAAAACACGTTGATCGGAAAACGTAAGACGCTTTGTCTTATGATAGGCATTCTGGGGCTAAGTATCGTCTTACGAAAGAGTATGAATCAGCACTAGGAGCATCTCCACCGGTCGTGAGTAAAACTAAATTTTACCCCTTTTCTGTCAATATTTAATCATAGTTTTAGTTTTGTACAGCTCCACCGGTTTGAGTAAATGCTGAGCAAATTGCTCCATTTTTTACGCAGATCAAAGTTTTGCACAAGTTTGCCAACGGAGGAGGCTTTGAGTAAAAGGTTGAGTACATGTAAATGTCGACCGACCAGTAGTAGGGCCAAGTCAAGCGTTCTAAGCAGCGCAAGCGTCACAGACCGCAGTGTCGCCCTTGCTACGTCATCCCTGGGTCTTCCTCAACGTGCTGTCGGGCCCTTTATAGGGCTATACAGCTGTGCGCCGTCGCCATGGCTGGCGCCGAACCAAGAGCTTTAACGCGCTTGCTGCGAGTCTCAATTGCCGGTGGAGCTGCGCACTGTCTTTAGCACGGTTGTGCCGTTGTAGGCACGGATCTTAGGGCAATTTGCTTTTAGTTTTACTCAGCACCGGTGGAGATGCCCTAATAAGTAGTGCGCATATGGAGGAATTAAGTAATTCAAGTAGATTGAAGCATTTTTGTAAAAGTCTAAGTAGGTGAATGCATCAACTTGCAAGTAGATTGCCACAGTCAAAAATAACGTTTTATCAGAACTTGAAAACGCGATAAGAATTAAGGACAGGGTAAGATATGAAGATGATGGAGGACGAGCAAACGGAACATCAGCGATAACAAAATAAGTAGGTGCCTCATTATTGAAAACATCATGGTGCCAACTGCATCTCATTGTAGCGACGCAGGACCTCCTCAAACCCGTGGCATCCACGTCCAGAAGTGAACGGAAAGCATTTATCACCTTTTGTCGTCAAATCCCCAAACCCAAACGCTGGGATGATGTTGTCATCGTCAAAAGCTTCCAACACGCGGCCGATCACAGAGATGACGCTCTACAAAAATGATAAAATGTAAGAAAACGAACGAAAAAGTTTAGGATGCTACACTATCTACCTGGTACAGGTTCATAAATACGCCATTGGGATCAATTTCATGCAGGCATCTGCCACCAAGACTCTTCTCTCCTGTCCACTACATTGTATCGCTAAAACAAAATAAAGACATCAGCCTCGTCCACGACGTAAAAAGTCGAGTAGCACAGAGGAGTTTACTTGGTTGGACTTGGTAAAGTACAACAACGACGATTGTACACTTCGCGTTAAAAAAGATCTCTCAAGTAAAAAATAAGATTATGCAAGAACTGACTCCGAGGACGACTCCAGCCCAGCCTTACTGATGATTTAATAAATACACAAACAACAAATGTTTTTTTAATATGTTGTAGGAGCAAAAAGCCACTTCAAAATGCAAGCACGGACCGCAGATCTTGCTGCACTTCAGCTGCAACAAAGGGACAGAGTGAGCAACTTGCTTTGTGACGGAATGGTACAGCTAGCTGCACGTCTACATTTAGTTGTGGTCACTGACCGAGCGTCTCGTAGCGGTCGGGGATGGGGCGGAAGCTCGAGCGCTTGGCCTGCGAGACGGCGGGGATTGAGGACAGCGTGGGCGCCTCCTGGCTGCTGGATGCACATAATGGAACCTGCACCGGATCCGAGCACCTTGTGCCTACGAAGGATAAAATGAAGACTGAATTGATGGAGCGTTAGCTGCTCACTGCCTGAGCTCCTACCAACACTCACGGGTTCCTACCCGTTCCCATACAACGACCTGCTTTTCTCTGCTTCTTAGCTTTCGTCTCAACTGCCATGACCAAGTCTCAGATATGCATTCCAACACGGCCCTCCTCGAAGAGCACTCTTCGCCTATTCCACGCTTCCAACACCGGCCAGCAACAGCAACGCCTTGAGTCTCTTCTTGTCAAGAGGCTTAGTGAACGTGTCGGCAGGGTTCTGCTCACCCTTCACCTTGTGCAGCTCAATAGAGCGTGTTCGCTACGCAGCTGGAGATGGATATCTGCAGGGAGTTGGTGCATCTCCATCTCCAGCTTGTTCGCTACAACAGAGCGCATCTAGGTAAAATTAGCCAATCACAGTGCGACTCGCTCTCCTTCTCATTACTTTGCTGTTCTTCGTCGGCCGGGACACTGTGCCCGAGACACCGGACGCGTGGCAAGATGGACCAAGCTGCCGATGACGCTCCGAGAGCTGCGCCTCCGTTCCCGTCAGCCAGTGGCGACCTCGTGCTGGCTGCTGCCAGTTTGGACATACCTGCCTCTGATGTTGCTCTTGCCCAGACTGTGTATGCGACACCGGCCACTACTCAAACGGAGCTGGATGCCCGCACTTCCTCGCTGGCGCTGCCGCATTCAGAGACACCCAGCCAGCTTTTTGCGCTCGGAGTTGTAGCTGCGTCAGCCCGCAACCAAGACTCACATCGCCGCGTTGGGAATCAGAAGAAGAAGGCCAATACTGGTGAAACGTCTATCGCTACGAAGCAACCCTCCTTTGCGTGGACGACTGCAGCAGCTGATGCCCTGCTGCGGGCTCGTTTTGACACGGCTGCAACTTTCTTCTCAAAGCTATGCTGCCGTACTTTGGCAGCAGCAAACAGAACACCTTGATCTCGTAGTAAACCAGCAATACGTAGGAAAGTTGGCTTGGTGCAGCGAAGATTGTCTTCAAACCAACTTGCATACGCGGCTGACTGTAGCATGGGCTCAAAGCGCAGTGAGGTCACGGTACGAATCTGTTCCTTAGGGCCTTGCGGCGCATCGTCGGATTCTCCTGATAGGAGGACTGCAACCTGTGCGACAGCTGAGCATGTAGCAACCAGTACAGCTTCCTCTTCGTTCATTGTGGGTGCGGCTGAACTGCCTCAATCTCCAGCTACTTTCTCCTTCTCCAGCTCCCAGAGCTGGAGAAGGAGACGGGGTAATTCTCCAGTTGTCACGTTGTGAACTAAACTATTTTGACCAATCAAAAGACAAGGAATAGAGTTGATGAGAGGTCATCTCCATCTCCAGCTACCTAGCGAACACGCTCATAGCTCCTTTCTGCACTTGCACCCGCACATAGTGCCAACGTAGCTCAATGTGCCGCGTGCGGCGGCTGTAGGTCGGGCTTGTAGCCATCACGTGAGCTGCTTGGTTGTCCACTCCAATCCGTAGCCGGATAGTGTGATGAGGCAGGATCTCCTGCAAGATATTACGCTCTGCAACCGCCTCCATACTTGCTTCACAAGCCGCTACATACTCGGCCTCTGCCGTGGACAAGGCAATGATCGATTGTCGTCGCGACATCCACGCAATGGCACCGCCAGCTAGGGTAAACACAAACCCCGTAGTGCTCTTGCGTTGCTCAGGATCATTTGCCCAATCACTATCGCAATATCCTTCCAGCACCACTTCACTCGAAACTATCTGCCCTCTCGAGTAGGTGATCCCATAGTCGCGTGTGCCAGCTAGATATCTCAGCACCCGCTTCAAAGTGCCCACATGCTTTGGGGTCGGCTTTGCAACAAAGCGACTCAGCTGTCCTACCGCAAAAGCCAAATCCGGTCTCGTACTGGTGGCCAAGTACATGAGCATCCCGACTGCCTCACGGTAAGGGAAGCTTGTATCCGCCACCACTTCATCACTGCTCGGTGCCAGGCGCACATTCACTTCCATGGGATTCCCAACAGCATGAGCCTCACTGTAGCCAAACTTATTCAAAATCTCATTTGCGTACTTCTCCTGTCGAATCGTAACCCGCTCCGTGGTCTGCTCGACCTCAACGCCCAAGTACTGCGCCAGCTGCCCTTGGTCCTTGATCCCATACGCTTCGTTCAGTTCCTTGAACAAGCGCTCCTTGTACGGCTCGTCGCTTGACGCTACGAGAATATCGTCGACGTAGACTGGCACGTACGCAATCGTCTCACCCTCGAAACGATAGTACAGACACGGCTCCGTCAGAGATCGCAGGTACCCGTGATCCAGAAACCACTGGTTCAGTTCCGTATTCCACTCGTGACCTGACTGCAGCAGTCCATACAATGCTTTCAGTACCACGTACACATGCCCATTCACTTTGCAGGGATAGCCATCGATCGATCGTAGGTACTGCCGAATACTCAGACGAGCATTCAAGTATGCGGTGTTTATATCTCCACCAAACACACTCAGTCCCAGCTCCGCTGTTATCGCCAGCAGCAGTCGGAACGACGACATCCTAGCAACGGGGGCGAACGTCTCACGAAAGTCAATCCCGGGCCGCTGGTAATTGCCCAGTGCAACAATGCGATCCTTGAAGCGGATCACATATCCTTGGTGGTCCGTCTTCAAGTCATACACCCACATCGTATTCACCAGCAGTGCATCCTCAGGCATCTCTTCGCCAGGAATCTCCATGATAACACCTTTGGCTTTCAGCGCTGCAATCTCCTCCATTTCGCCCATCAGAAAGAACTCTCGCCACTTAAAACGCATCATCTCACGGTGGTTCCGAGGAATCTTCACATTACTTGCTCTTATGGGTCGTCCATTCTCGTCCAGAGTACGCGAGGTATTGAGCGCAGCGTTCATCACATAGTCCTTCAAGTAGCTGGGACGGCGACGCTCGTCGTACTCGCGAAGACCGGTGCGTGTCTTCTTCACATCTGTCTTTGCTGCATCTCGCTCGACGCGCACCTCTTCCGACGGAGTTTCGTCACGATGCGACCGCTTCCCGATATTCATCGGCAGGGTCGGTGGGAACATCACACTAGCGTCAATAATCTCGCCAGCTGCTGCATGACCACTCGAATGCACCCTCTTGATCGATTCGGTCTCACCGAAGTCCTCTTGCAGTGACTGAGTGCGCGACAGGCTTGCATCTCCCTCGTGCTCGTCCGGAACCAAGACACTTGCCACAGTAACATCATCACCATTGAGAATTTCATCATCTTCCTCTTCCTCAGCATCACTATGCGCTCCTCCTACCAGCGATGACCCACACGTTCCGGTTACCGACACGGCGTCGTCACCCCCAGCAGCACCGTCGTCTTCTTCAGCAGCGTCCTCACCGCTGTCAGTGACTTTCTCATCATCGTTCGCAGGAGTCGCAAGCGTACGAATTCCACACTTGCCTCCATCGAGGCGCTCGCCAGTGCCGCCAGTCTCGTCAGTACCACCACTGTTATCCTGCTGCTCTTCATTCACTGACTCTCCATCAACAACAGCTTGGCTTTCATCTCCCGCCTCGAGAATAACATTCTCGTCAACAGCGTCCTCAAAAGTAGACTGCATTTCACCGCTTTGCTCTAGTCCCGCCACTACTGTACTCGCCCGTGTAGCCATGTTCGTATTTGAAGTCTGATCGGCATCACCAATATCACTTCCGTCGGTGTCACTGGCGTCGGTCACCGTGCGTCTGACGAAGTGCAGCGACTCCAAGTCCTCGTCATCCACGTCCACTTCGTAGCGATCACGGTACATGACGTCCTCAGCCACTCTCAGATCAGGAACAAACTTAGCAGTGTGGTCGTCAGGAAAATAGACCTTACATCCGATCACGTCTTCTGCATACCCGAGCACAAAGCCAATTCTAGCGTTATTGTGGTGCTTCTTCCGCTGAGGAGACACCGGCACGTGTACATAAGCCAGTGCACCAAACTTCCGGATATGGTGCACGTCCGGCTGAATCCCAAACATCATCTCGTAAGGAACACCGCCTGTGCCCTTATTGTATACACGATTCTTCACGTACACCGCGTTTCGCAGTGCTTCCGGCCATAGGCTCCGGGGGAAGCCTGCTTGCGCCATCGTCGCCTTCGCCATGCCCTCCAGCGACTGATGAGTCCGCTCGCACAAGTTGAGCTGTGAGGATTTAGGGCCGACTTTCACATGTTCAATCCCTTGCGAATCGTACCAGGTTGTCATTTCATCGTTGAAAAACTCCCCGCCCTTATCCGTCAGCACTTGCTGCACTTTGTACAACGCACCCCTAACATTACGACCCACCTGCCGCTCGGCCCAGAGAACATACTCCTTCATGAGTCTGTTGATCACAGGACTTTGCTTGTCACTAAGCAGGTGTACCGTGACGAAGCGAGAGTATCCGTCCATAATGATCAGCACGGCCTCATACCGTGTACCGCAGTCTTTACTGGGGATTAGGAGGTCAGCGTACACAACCTGGTTCGGCTCCTTGGTTGCCCGATCCAAATTCTTCCTGTACGTCTTCCTCTTCTGTTTGCCCAGATGACATGCATCGCATGTGTCCTCTTTCCACTGAGTCAGCAGCATCCCACGCCCTAGACCTTTGTCCACCATGGTCTTCATATATTGTGGACAAGTGTGGCACAGACGCTCGTGCCAAAGTGCCAGTAAGCCGACTCCCTCTGCAGCAGTGTAGTTGCACAGAGCACGATCCTGAGGGGTGAATTGCTCTCGCTCACCAGGGCCAATCACCTGGAACCCCCAAGTAGATTCCTGCGGAGTAGCGACAGCCACTGCTCTCCACGACGAAGCTTCGAGTTGCAATGTCATAGTCAAACTAAAATCATTGAGCGTACGCCTCCCGGTGAAAACAGTCCATACTCAGCTCCAGGGATGAAAAACACATCGTCCAGAACCATTACAACTTGTTCACCACCGACTTCTGTGGCCAATGCCACCATTCCTACGCCCGCAATGCGTGAAGCAATAGTTGGAGTCACTCCACGGACAGTCCGTATGCCCGCCGTGTCAGCCGTGAACGACACAAAGTCCGAGCGATTCCCCGTCACATGTGAGTTTGACGCAGTGTCGAAGAACCACCACCCACTGCCGTAGTCCGCAGCACCTTGATCACTGTCCACCAGTAGTACCTCAGTACCTTCTGCACCGTGATCACTAAGTAGTTCCTCCTCACCATGTGGTTCTACGTGCTCGTCATGTGCATTTCGTAGCTCCTCGTGCATCCCTGGCTGCTCCTCCGCCACTAACCCCGTCACAACACCAGGATCCGCATCATCCTGCGTCGAACTCGATGAAACACCACTCTCCTGGCGCAGGGTACAATTTCCCCGCGGTTTTCGCTTCTGCTCAAAGTCATCAGCACCGCTTTGCTTCTTTGTCCTCTCCGGGCAATTTGCCTTGCGATGTTTATCACTCCCGCAGACATAACATAGCCGCGTCTTCTTTGACTCACTAGTCCTGCTCTGCTCACCTCCTTTGCCACTTCCATCTCGTTGCCCACCATGGCCCCCTTGCTTTTCACTACGCTTGCCTCTGAACTCTTTCTGTCGATCGGCCGCAGCAAGAATCAATTCTCGAACCCGCTTCGGTGTGTACACGCTCGGGTCCACGCCGTAGTAAATGGAAGACTTCAACCGCTCAAACTCAATCTGGTACGGCAAACTCTCAAGCAGCATATCCACCATTGTATTATCGGCAATAACATGCGGCAAGTCCGCCAACTCGGTCTTGAGGTTGAACATCCTGCAAAGATGGAGGTTCGTGTCTCCTCCAGGCGTCAGCTTCATGCTCCACATCTCGTTCTCCACGCGACGAATCGTGTAGGCCTTGATGGCTTCATTCTGCTTGCCCTCGTACAGGTTGCAGAGCTCCGCCCACATCTCCGATCCGGTCTCCTTGTCGCGTATCTGCTGAAGAACGTCCGGCGGCACGGACGTACCCACCATGCGCATGATCTTGAGCTGCGCTGCGTCGAAAGCCTCCAGCCTCTCCGCACTCGCAGTCGCGAGAATCGCCCTGGTCAGGTCTCCGACCGCGATCTCCTTGAGCTTGTTCTCCTTGAACACGTTCATCATGGCCCACTTGTACGTCTGCCAATCCTTGCCGCTCCAGTTCTTCGGCACCCCTTCGTTCGTGTACTTCAGGGGCTTCGACATCCCCGAGTAGCTGCCGCCGGCAGCGTGCTTTGGGCTCATAACCCTAATGGAACCTGCACCGGATCCGAGCACCTTGTGCCTACGAAGGATAAAATGAAGACTGAATTGATGGAGCGTTAGCTGCTCACTGCCTGAGCTCCTACCAACACTCACGGGTTCCTACCCGTTCCCATACAACGACCTGCTTTTCTCTGCTTCTCAGCTTTCGTTTCAACTGCCATGACCAGGTCTCAGATATGCATTCCAACAGCACAGCCCATGGGCGACTCTAGACTTGAGCGAGAATTTCGCTGACTGCCTCTGGTTGCAGTTGGCAAAGACGGCGGAAGCTATTCTGTACCCAGCTAATATGTGGGTACAGTATATGGGTACAGAAGACTCGAAATAGTGACCGTAAAGTTATGAGTATACCGCCTTCTGCCGACCGATGGAAGTTCGAACGCGGGTAGAATCTACATGTAGTTACCGGGTAGATTCGCCGTGTCATAAGGTCACGTTCACGATGCCACAAGCCTACAGAATACAGTATCGACTCCAACAACTCAATTTTGAGCTGACCGCGTCACGACAAGCCAAAAAGGCTCTCGTTGTTCGTTACATGGCACATACGGTACCATTTTGCATTCGAAGTTGCTCCGACTTGTAAGCTTAGCCTACGAGTACAATTCCAGCAGACTGGAGGGGCGGTGGAGTTTACACCGCCTTGGCAGTGAGTCAAGGCTTGACCTCGGCCGCGTCAACAGCCCACAGTGCCGATTGCACCCGCCTCCGTGTCAAATCGCGCAAACGAATCCGTTGAAGTTCAATGCACCAAACAGACCTCGGCGAGGCCTGTCGTCGCCGCTGAAGCGGATATGCTGGAGCTATCCTGTCAACAAACAGCTCTTCACGTCGCTGACATCGCGATTCGGCCGTGTCATCTCCGACTCTCGACGCGTTCGTACTTGCAGACTTCAAGGCTTGAATCAAGCACTGCCCCCCTCGCGTTTGAACTGCATGTTTGGCATGCAGCGGGCAAAGATTAAAATTCGATCAAAGATCTGAGCTCATCGTGGCGAAACTGACCTCCACGTGACGAAACCAAAAGAGCGTAAAAAATAATGTACAGTAATGGACTGGCAAAGCATACGCTCGAAGGCTGCAAGAGTTTTTGAGCTAAAGGAATGGAATCTGCGCAATGCGCCGCCTCATGCTCTTGCCGAGTTACACATCGCCTTCACGATCCCGCATAGATTCGGGCGGCATATTTCCTGCATCTGAGACTACGGCACCGGCACTGCTTCGTCTCTCTCACGACCAAATAGTGGCGCTGCTCGACTCGGAGCTGCATGCTTCATGACCTCCGTTCATCGTCCCGAGATTCGATTTTGCGCTCTCAGCAGCGATGGGACCGTCTCAACCTCAAAGCGGGGGATCCCGGCGGTCCAGCTCTCTTGCTCAAGGTTGCTACGCTCGGCAAGCGAACCAGACGGGGAGCTTGATGCTGCCTCTCTCAGCGCCAACGCCGGCCGCAGGACAATGGAACGCCCCGCCTACCGAGCTCATTCCTCAATCTTCCCCGCAATGGTCAAGGTCACCGTCTCCCTCGCTGCTGCCGTCGCGGCCGTCGCCGTCCACTCGGTCTCCGCCGAGGTGAGCCAGGTCCACCTGGGCATCTCGAGCCCCGCGGCCAACTGCGCCAACGGCATCGCCGTGTCCTTCGCCACTGACGACGCCAAGTCGTACCCGGTCTCCGCTTCGGCCGACGGCGCCTCCACCGTCAAGGCGGACAGCGCCTTCATCAACTACTCGGTGTCCGAGCCCGAGTACAACTACACGTACGCGTCCCCTTACCTGCACACGGCGCTGCTGTGCGACCTGGCCGAGATCACCAAGTACACGTACACTATCGGCGACTCGGAGTTCACGGGCTCGTTCGTGTCGCTGCTGCGCCCTGGCTCAGACAAGGAGGAGACCATCATTGGCGTCATCGGAGACCCTGGCGACACGACCTCGTCCGAGACGACGCTGGCCGAGCAGGCCAAGACGTTCGAGGGCAAGCACATCCAGGCCCTTGTGGTGGCCGGCGACTACGCGTACGCCAACGGCCAGCACCTGCAATGGGACAACTGGTTCAGGGAGCAGCAGAACTTGACGTCCGTCTACCCGCTCACGGGCATCAACGGCAACCACGAGACCATCACGTCGTCGGGCCACCTGAACCTGCCTCCGTACCCGGAGGACATGGAGCTGGAGGCCGAGAACTACCTGGCCTACATCAACCGCATCTACTCGCCCATCTCGGAGGAGGCCAAGACGGCCCTGCGCACCTGGTACTCGATGGACATCGGCCTGATCCACTGCGTCTTCCTGGACGACTACACGGGCTCCAACGGCACCGACACGACCGTCGTGGGCACGGACAAGTGGCTGGCCGACCGCAACGCGCAGCTCGAGTGGGTCAAGAAGGACCTGGCCGAAGTGGACCGCAGTGTCACCCCCTGGGTCGTCGTGGTCAAGCACAACCCGTTCTACAACACGTGGAGCAACCACCAGTGCCAGTGCTCGTCCACGATCTTCGAGATCGACGCGGCCGACGTCGAGAACTGCTGGAACGGCACCTACTACTCGGGCACCGTGTACTCGGAGCCCGGCTGCGGCATGATGGCCAAGCTGGAGGACGTCTTCTCATCGAACAAGGTGGACGTCGTGCTCACGGGCCACGTGCACGCGTACGAGCGCACGGCCAAGATCTACAAGAACAAGGAGGACGCCACCAACGGCGTCTACTACATCACCACCGGTTCGGGCGGCAACTACGAGGGCCACGCCGGCCCGCGCCTCGACGAGTCCGAGATCCCGAGCTGGTCGCTCGCGGCCAACAACGTCACGTTCGGCGGCTCCCGCGTGATCGCCACGCGCGAGTCCTTCCGCTTCCTCTGGTTCGCCAACGATATCAGCACGGCCGAGGCCGTGCCCACCGACGGCTTCACCATCTTCGCCAACGGGTCGGCCATCACCACGTGGCCCCAGACCAGCAACTCGACCACCAACTCCACGAGCTCGACGGCGTCGCAGACCACGGAGCCTGAAGTGACGTTGGAGGCGGAGGTGCCGGGCGGCCACTGCTAAGTCGGCCTCATACCAACCACCCTACAACTTTGCAGCCGAGCCTTAGTAAATTCGTCGTCGAATGACCCCAAACGCGTTAAATCCATCAACCTACTAAACGTTGAAGCGTCCACTACAATCCTTTGTCACCCCGAGTTAATTAAAATCCGTTCAGAGCGACGGGTCATTTGCGAAATTCTCGTCATGGGGTGCGCGTCGAGTACCGAGGTGCCCGCGGCAGGGCAGCAGTACCAGAAGAAGGTTGGGTTCCAGCCCATTCCAGACCGATACGAGACCATCGGTGCGTTCCTATCTCTTTAGTGAATTGAGGAGAAACCTTTAATTGACTCTCTGGTGGTGGCTGAACGAGCAGAAGAAGTGCAGAGCGACCTCAGGTAAGTGCTGGGAGCATGCATGGGCTGAGAATTCATCATGAATGGGCTGTATGTAATCTAGCCTTGCAATCATAACAGGAAGGCAGGCTTGGAGTCGTCCAACTTGATCTTGGGGGTGAGCTGCTGAACATGCTACTGCTTTATTGCATGGAGTTGACTTATTCTTGCGTTGTTCTGCTTCACAGATCGACTTCACCGAGTCCAACACGGTAAGAAAAACGTGGAGGGAACTGGAAGGTATCGATGTGGCTGATCGACTGAGTTGTAGTGGACCGGAAAGAGCAGCTTTGGAGGCCGTTGTCTGCACCATATCGACCCGACTGGAGCGACTCAAAACCCGTACCAGGTAGGGAATGTCATTTTATCAGTGACGGCGTCCTGTATTCATTTTTCTTCCCTGTGTATTTGATCAATCTGTCAGAGCGTGATCAGCGCTATCGGCCGCACTCTCGAAGCCTTCGATGATGACAACATCATCCCAGCGTTCGGGTTTGGTGACTCCACGACGCTGGCCCAGTGCTGCTTCCCGTTCTCTAAAGGCCGCGGGTGTCAAGGCTTTGACGAAGTGCTCAAGCGCTACAATGAGATCACGCCGCAGCTTATACTCTACGGCCCCACGAGCTTCGCGCCGGTGATTCAAGAGGCGATCAAAGCTGTGAAGGAGGACCCTGGCTACCACATTCTGGTGATTATCGCTGACGGACAAGTGAACGAGCCCACAGCAACTCGCAACGCGATCGTCGAGGCCTCCAAGTACCCGATATGTGAGTCAACTTGTCCATGATTCATGCCACTGAGAGACTTACGTCGGTTTGACTCATCTTTGTAGCTATCATCATGGTGGGCGTGGGCGACGGTCCCTGGGAGATGATGGAGGAGTTCGACGACCAGCTCCCGGCCCGCCGCTTTGACAACTTCCAGTTCGTCGAGTACAACAAAGTGCTCAAGCGCAACATGAGAAACCCTGAAGCTGGTTTTGCCATGCAGGCTCTCATGGAGATTCCAGGTGAGTCCTCAATTCCTACGATATTGCACCAGTGTATCGAGTCTAACATAGCTTACTTCACAGAGCAATACCAGACAATCCGAAAACTAGGGATGCTAAACCACTAGTCAAGAACTACACCAAGCCTGCAACTGCGACTTTTGGAAGACGAAAAACTCCTAAGCATTTCCATCAAAACTAATGTTTGTTTTTATGATACACCAAATAGATACTATGGTTCGCAACGCGCACACGCCAGGTAAGACTCCCTCGCCCTAATGCAGTTGAAGCTTTCTCTTTGCCGGTTGGCGAGGGATGTCCATGGGCTGTGTGGCGTCTTGTGTCTTCTTCTGGGGACTATTCGTTCTCTTCGGGTTCACCGCTTTCGTGGGCGTGGTAAACGCCGAGTACACCTTCTTGGCCGATTCCTCCACTTCGGGTATTGTCTGGTGTCGGGGGAAATCCGTGGGCTGCATGGAGGTGGCAGTCTTCTTGGCTGATTTCGTGGGGGTGACTAACTTCTCCTTGGACTTCTCGACCTTCTCGTCAGCTTGGACCTGCGCCTTCCGTTGGGCAACATCCGTAGACTGCTGAGAGTTGATCATCTTCTTCTTGATCGTCAACTTCTCGGGGCTGGGGGAATCTGCGCGGGTGGCAGTTGGCATCGTCTTCTTCTGCTTCACGGCTCGCATTTCGGCTTCTAGCTTCGTCGCGTCTTCGAGCCGCGTCGCCCACATGTCCCGGTTCCGCTCCACATTGGCTAGACAGCCTTCCAGCCCCGCCAACATGCCACTCATTGCACGCCACAGGGGGAAAGCGCACGAGTCTACAAACGCCAAGTTCACGCGCGCGAACTCGGCCGAGTCAGGTTGATCAGCCATGAAAGTTGTGGCTGTCATGCCTAGCTCCACCTCCTCCGCGTGCTGCTCGTTGAACTCCTCAAGAAGCCTCGTAGTCCAGCGAAAGTGTTGCTCGCAGGTTTGAGTCGGTCCCGAGATGTCCGCGGAGTGCACCACCGCGTCCGCCAGCAACTCACGCAGACATTCATCATCAGTACGACTGCCTCGGACCTGCGCTTCATGGAGCTTGGCGACGATACTCGCGTGCCGGTGCATGTCAGTGGCCAAGATCGCTCGGATAATGCGCTTGCGGACGGCTCGCCGACTGCCCGCAGTATCGCTCGAGCCGTCCTCTAGCCCTGCCAGTACATCGTTGCCGGGCTTTCGCATCGTCTCGAAACAAGCCGCAGCGTGCATGTTCTCCAGTACCGAGTGATCGTTATACCGCCGAGCAAGACGCGAGCTGGACCGGACGTGGAAGTCGTTGGTGCGAGCGTCGTGGCCCATGTCGTGGCAGAAAGCTGCTACGAACACTGCGAGTCGCTCGCGTGGAGCGAGGATCAGCTCGCCACATCGTTTCTGCCTGGTCCGTTCAATCGCTTGAGCTTTCGTAGTCGGCCCCACTCCGAGCGCCGTCGACGCGGGGATCAGCGACGGCGCCAGCTTCTTACTCTGCGCCGTGAGCATGAGGAACGTCATGTGCAGCGTGGCGAACGCATGGTACGTGTTGTGATACGGCACATCGAGGTATTGGGCCTGCACACTGTGCAGGAAGCGCCGCAGCGTGGCCTCGGGGAGAGCGAACCCGTCCATGAGGTCGTGCAGCTCGAACATATCCACTGCGAGATCAACGAGCTGCGCCGGAGAGAACTGCCACGGATCGAGATCCCATTGCAGCACGGGACTCTGCGTCCCCTGGCCAGTAGCGAGTCCAATGCTGCCAGGAAGAGAGGTCATGATCCCAGACCCGCCACTGCTGCCCAAGAAACACCCTTCGTGGTATGAAGTAGCAGAGACAACTGCTGCAACATGGTCCAGGTCGCTTACGACTGAGGGAAGACGTGATCGAGGGCGGCGACGACGACGGATTGGAGACGAGTTGGTGTACTGCGATAGGAACGTCCTCGTCACGTGGCCCTCGGTTTCGCTGTCGCTGCTGTCGCTGTCTTCGTAGGACGGAGTCTCAAACACGAGCTCCCACGCGCGGCGTTCAACCAGAGCAGCGAGCTCAACACAAATGGCGCGTAATACTTGTTCGTCTTCAGCGTCGAAGCCCTCCGTCTCGCCGTGCGCGTTGACCTTGTTGACGGCGTAAAACACTCCGATAACAGGTCGATCGTCGATATCATCGTCCGTACTGCTGCTCGTACTGAAGCTGCTACTACACCGACGTCCCGATCTCCCAGAAGCTCCTGAAGACGCAAACGGAGCGGTAGAGGACGATGCTGACAGCGAGGGCTGAGCTTTGATCGGGACGCACAGCAGACTCGACGTCTGCATGTTCATCAGACGGTCATATTCACTATCGAACTCAGGATGAATACGCGCCTCACGAACCAGACGCACGGCAGCTCCAGTGGCAGCAACGCGACCTTGCAGCTTCTGGCCGATGGGAAGGCCATACCCTCGCCAGTTAGCGCCCACGCGCGCGTACAACGAACGACTCGGTGCATCCACGAGGAACAGAGCGCCGTGGGACGCTCGCAGAGCCTTACATGCTGCAGCCTCAACGAAAGAGAACACAGCTCCAGCTTGCTCACCGGGCATCGTCCCTGTAGCAGCAGGAAGACGCAATGAGAGCAGAGCGGCGCTCTTCCGCTGGGCCGTGCGAGCTGCATCAAGTCGCTGGGTGTTTCGCAACGCAGACGCGACCTGGCGAGCGATTCCTTTGGCGAGATCCTCATCATGTCGATCGAAGTACATTTTGTCCATAGCAGCAGTAGGTTGGGTGTCTTTCGGGGAGCCCGAGTACTTGTCCATGAGCTCCAATACAGCCAGCACCACACCTGATGAAGGATCCTTCACAGGGACAGCGAGAATCGGCTTCGAGTGCTTCTCACGAGACAGCGACGCTGCACTGACACCCCGTAAATTAACCACATTGCCGCTACGCGCTGCTGCAGCCACACTTGAACTGCCCGACGGCAGCGGGACTCGGTATTCGCCCTGTGTTGCGTTACCCGGGGAGTACAGCTCACGCGTCAGTGGATCCCTCAGATACACGTTGCACTCTGCGATACGAAACCACAACTTCTGAACAATTGTCCGCGCGGTCTTGAGCAGCAATGCCGTCGGCTTGGGGGAGTGCTCAAGCTCACGGAACAGCAGGTCTGATAGCTCCAGCAGCGCTTGGGCCTTGTTTTGCGCCTTGTTCGCAGCATCTTCGAGAGCCAAACGCTGCAGGGAACTCCCCACGTGACGACACACTACAGTGCACAGCTCCACGTCGCTCTGGCGGAAGGCCCCGCGGGCTTTACGCTTGACCTTTTGCGTTCCATAAAACACCACAACGCTGTTGACTCGGTGGTCCTTGCACTGATCAAACATCGGTACACACAGCACGTCGCCATCGAACAGAGGCTCAGCTGTTGACGCAGCGCGGCCGATGACGCCATGACCCATCAGTACCGTCGACACTTTCGTCCTGGACCGATCACTAGCTAGCCGAGCCCACAGCGTGTCTGCCTTGCGGTCGTACGCGTACACGGTCCACCCTTCGACGCCCAGCGCTCGTTGCAGGAAGTCAAGCAGCAGCAACGGAACCTCCTCCTGCCCACTAGCTCCGTCGAACGTGCGACGAAATATACTCGAAATGGGTTCCACAGTGCGGTCACTACTGCCATTCAGGTTGTCCACGAACGCTTCAATGGGCGCTGCAGCTCGCAACAACGCTCCAACGAAGCCGCTAAACGCTCGCAGCGGTTCACTCGTCGACTTGAACGACCTGAACGCCAACGAACTGTCCGACTCGCAGTCTCCGAGCCAAGCGGCGACGTCTCTTACGTCGTGGCGTGAGTTAAATACTTCGACAACTGCTCGCACGCGGTCGCCGCAGTCCACCAGCGGCAAGCACAGATACGACTGAGTCATCAACATATCAAATCCAGCCCACCGTCAGCCCCAATCAACAGAACGGTCTGATATACTACAGTCATGTATGTACCTGTAAGAGTTTGCATCCGGTAGGGGCTTCAACCTGTGCGTTGACACACGCACTAGCGCTGGAGTAGAACGTCGGATGGTGGGCTGTTCCCCTTGCCTGTCGTCTTGCAGCTGTCGAGCCCGACGTCCTCGCCGTTTTCTCCACGACCTGTCGGACGCGTCGACCGTCGAACTCAATGACCGAACAGGACCCCGCGGTGGTGGCCGCCGGTAGAATCTCAAAGCTCAGCACGCAGTGCTCGGCGTCCAGCAGCGACAGAAACTGCTCCCGCACCGCCAGCAGCGTGTCCAGCGGGCAGTCCTTGGACGCCGGCGCCGAGATGCAGCCGACGCACGCGTCCACGAGCGTCTGCTGCGCCGACGAGAACCGTCGCGCGTGCTTGAGCAGAAGCTCCTGCGATAACCTGGCGAGACAAGACATGAACGCAACACACAGTTGAGTGAGTGAGTGAGTGAGCGCTGGACGATTGCAATTGCGACTCGACTCGGTTCCATTCAGCGCGAAAGTTCAGAAACACCGACCGGCGGGTGACGCGCACGTGGGTGCGCAGCAGGTTCCAGCGGCGCAGTGCGCGCTCTCGACGTCGAGCTGCATCGCCGCTGGAAGAACTAGGAGGAGGAGGAGCCGTTCCGTTCATGGCACCGCGCGCGCTGCTGTTGTTGGGCGGCGTACGATTCCGCGACGAGGTGGCGACGGACGCGGCGCGGCCGGAGCCGGCCACCCGCTTGCCCATTGCTGCGCCGTTGCAGGCGGGCGTCGAGGTCATTGGTCGTGCTCGTCCTGCTGCTCCTCGTTCTCGTCCTCGTCCTCGAGGCCGGTACTGAAAGTCGCTCGGTCGGGCCAAGTGCCGCTCGGTTCTTTTCGGTCAAGTGGCTCGGTCGCTCGCTCGCTCGGTCTCCTCCGCCGTGTGCAGCGATGATTTGGGATGGGGTATGGGCGGCGCGAGATGGGGCGCAGTGTGCGAGTGCCTGGGGCTGCAGGCCGACTGCTGGCGTTAAACACTTGGTTCAGCTTGCGAGGCGGGGTTGAAGCGAGGCCCCCCTCGGCCGCCTCCGGTTTGTCTCGGATTCCCGCGCACGGACTATGCAGCGCCGCGATCATCCATCGGCAGGCGATGCAGCCGTCGGGCCGCAGCAACAATCGCTAAAACACGAGAGAGCTCCCTCCCAGCCGAGATCAAGTCCACCATTGCGTGCTTTGAAGCGCTGAAAGTCGGCACCAAAAAAGCTTACGCCGGGTGCCAACCCCTTCATCGGGGATAGCGCTGCATGTAGCTCCTCATTGTATGCATTGGGGGGCACTGGCGATGGCGTTTTTCTCACGGCCCCTCTCTCACGTTCTGAGCGGAGTCCCAAGCTCGACAGGGTGGCACTTGGAACTGTTGTCATCGTTTCGGGACCCGGCGGCGTCAATCAACAATCGGCTGGAAGTTTGGGTTGGTTGACTAATTGAGCCGACAAGATGCCGCCAAGCCACCGCCAGCTGAGCAAATGCATTGTCACGGAGAGGTGGTGGGCTGCAAGGTGCAGAGCCTTCCACGCCCCAAGCCACTGGGACACTTCGCCGCCTTGGACCAGATGCCGGGGAAGTTGACCTCGATGCAGAAGAGCACCCGACTCACCCAGCCCTACGCGCAGCGAAACCTTCAAATTTGACGGTAAGTTGACGATACAGCCCGCGGATTGGCTGTCGAAGAGGCAAATATCAGGTTCAGAGCGCAACATTCCGTGTCGACGAACGGCTTCAACTTGGCTTGACCTGTACGGTACATGTATCGAGTCGATCACCAAGGCCGCCACTCATCCACCCCATCGCGCCGTTGCTCCTGGCTTAAACCCTGCCTACAGTTAATTTTTCGACGCACCTGGGGTCAAATCCCCATCTGATGGGGCTCTGTCGCTGCGGAAGGGGCTCTTCGTCCAGCCGGCCTGGAGCAGCGGGTCCCAATGACGTCTCACAAACACTAGCGGTCGCAGCGCCGTCTCAACGATGCAACACGATGCAGAACGGGGCGATTCAGTCGCTTTATATTTCAGGGAGGGCTACTGCCCGCGATCATGGTCGCGATTGACTGCAGGGTGATGGCTGCGGCGTCCTCGAGTCCGCGCGGTACAGCTAGGCTTGCTAGAGGAGGTTCAACTTGCACATGCAGTTGTACTGCGCCGGCACCTCCATCATGATCTGCAGCGTGAAGAGGAGATCCAATGGGTCGAGCTCGCACGGCGCCGCCGTGGGCTCCGCGTTGTCGTCCTGGATCCGGTGCACGAACACCTTCTGCTCCTCCGTAGCAGTGTGCCGCACCTTCTGGAAGCTCACGAAGTTAAAGTTGTCGAACTGTCGCTGAGGGAGCTGGTCGTCCAGCACCTTCATGTTGTCCTGCCACAACAAAAGGTTCAAACCCTGTGAGTCAGGTAGATACGGGCTTGAACGCCTCCGCAACGTGGTCACTCACCCAAGGACCATCTCCCATTCCGATGACAATAATTGCTGGGCAAAACATGACAAGAAACATTGCCCTGGTTAGTTGGTCACCTTGGCCTTCACAACACGGTACGCATCACCTACAGAGCGGAAGTGCAGACGCGTCTACGATTGCCTGCGCGGTATCCGCAAGGCTCTCGTTCGCCAACTGACTGCTCACGAGCACGATCAGCATGTGGAACCCCGTGACCTCGCGAGCGACAGCAGTCGCGTGTCGAATCACCGGACCGAGGTTCACAGGCTTGTCTCCGAGCGCAATGGTCGGCGTCAGATCATGGTAGCGCTGCCAGATCTCGTTGAAGCTTTTGCATCCGCCCATCGGGTTCTCAGGGGTGAAACTAAACAGCGCATTCTCCGGTGTCTTCGAGTCGCCAAAGCCGGACACCTGAATGCTCCTGTCGTCGTCAAACTCAACGAGTACGCGGCCAAGGCGTGTGAGAGCTTCCTGTTCACCGGGATACAGAAGGATCTTAGTAATAAATGAGTAGCAATGTGGGATTAATGTTGTGGACGGACCTGGTACGGATTCAAGACTTCGCCGCTAGGATCCAAAGCGTGCAGGCTTTTTCCGTCGAAGCTTTGCTCTCCGTTCGTCTATAGAGTATTACCCGCATTACATTAATGTCTTCCTGTCGATACGCAGAAATTGCGCCAAGCTTATACCAGGTTTGCTGCCGTGTAGTCAATCTACACAGTCCGTCAGAAGGTGAAGACATTCCTTCAAACCAGTGTGAATATACGATACGTACTGCGAACATCATGTTCGACGACTCCAGGTTCATACTCCTGCGTACGCACGCGTCGGTAGTATCAAGGTTAGCAATTCTTCGCTGTAGCTACGGCGGAATTCGTTTCCAACCTTAGCGATTCTTGAATAGCTCCTGAATTTGTGGACAGCAAGTGGAGTTGTTAGTGGATTAAATGCATCCCAGGTGGTCAAACTGCATAACTCGTCGGTACCGAAGTCGCGGAAGCGGTCCGAGATGGCGCGCGAGAGCGCCGGCTTTCGCGGCGGTACGTGTTCGCTGTTGCTCATGAGGAGACAAATGACACAATGCTGGGCGCTCAATTGTATCTGTGTCGTGCAGACGAAACGGTACGACGGCAGAGCGACCACGTTCCTAAAGTGACAACCCTCCCCATAACAGCAGTAAATATAATAAATCGTATATGACACCCATCCCATTGTTACTATGTGATCAAACTAGGGTGCCTTCGGTTAGACTTGAACTGTTACCGAGTCAGCGCTGCGACATATGTCACCCACGACAACAACGCCATAAGCAAATTCATACTAAGCATTGGTACTATTAAGCAAATATTAAAGACTAGACTAGCTTTGAGCAGGAGAACACCCTTGTGATGATGCCTAATGGTTCGCCCTCGTGAAGTCCATGTCCTCTCTCTCTTCACTTACGCTCCGTAAATCTTGTGCATCTTCGTCTTCGGGATCGCTCCAGACATCTTCACGGCATCGAAGCGTTGGCGGTAGCTCTCCCATTCGCGCGGAAGCGTGAGTCCCTTGTTGTCCTCCAGATACTCAATGCACAGCTCCATCTTGGCTCCGTCTCGACAATCCAAATCGCGGAACTCGTCGCGCGGATACCACATGCCGAAATCACGATTATCACTTCGAAAACTGTCGATCTTGCTGTTACACCGCCGCGCGTAGCTCGTGTGCGTGAACAGGAAGTTCATCTCCTCCATGGTGTCCACCACCCGCTCGATCTGTCCATAGCCCGACGTGATAAAATCTCTGCAGAGTGGTGAGTCAGCCCGCAGCTTCAGTCCACGCGCCTTCAGCGCTTCTGTCAGCGCAACATAGCGCTGGCTGCACTGCTGCAGCTCCTCTTTGTCCGTCTTCTTACAGCCAACACCTCCAACATACGACGCAAAGCCCGGAGCCAGACTTTCAAGGTAGACCTTCGTCTCCTCCTCCTTCTTGTGCAGCGTGGCGTGGAGCCTCTTCTTCCTCGTGTCCCGCTTGGCAATGTCCCTGACCCAGTCCATCTTGGAGCCGCAGGTGCGGATCATGTGGCTCTCCAGCGTGACGCGGTCGAAGAGCGTGTAGTGCTTGCGCACCTCGCACGGGATGAAGCGGAAGTCCTTGTCCCGCACGCCGTAGTGGAGCTTGGCCACCTCCTTCGTGGTGCGCGGCATGTAATCGGACCGCTCGGACTCGCACTCGCGACAGAGGCCGTGCAGGATCACGGGGTTGTCGTTCTCACACTTGCAGCAGTACTTGGCTAGCTCCGGCTCGCACTGGTCGTAGCGGTCGCCCGTGAGCATCTGCAGCTTGGTGAGCGTCTGGTTGCCCAGGAACTTGAGCACGTTCTCGAACACGCCCTCGTCCACGATGCTGAAGCGGTAGCAGCGCGGCTTCTTGGCCTCCGCAATGTCGTGCGCCTGCTTCTCGGCGCACTTGTTCTGGTGGCGCGTCATCCCGCGCGTGGTGAACGTCCGGCCGCAGAACTCGCAGGCGGCAGTGGCTGCTGGGGCCTTTGCAGGCGGAGCTTCTTGCTCTGCGGCGTTGTCCGCCGCGTTCTCGTCGTGCACGCGCTTGGGCATCGTGAATGGCTTCCACCTCCACTTGTGCAGCTTGAAGCGGTTCTTGCAATGGCTGATGCCGAAGAAAAAAAGATGCGAGTATTGAGAAGATCATAAAACGGTGATAAAGAATATGTGAGGTAATAATGGAATAGTTGTGGTTGACTTATGATATAGAATTTACCTATGTTTTGGGATGCTGACGCATAATTATCCACTTCAACATGCCAGTTCGGCCACTATTTTCTTGGCAGCATTTTAAACTATTAAACTATAGCAAGCCGGCACCTGCATTCAGTTCAAAGCAGTCCCATACATCATTGATTTGTTTTCGGCCGGCCGTCACGATGCTGAGAGCGCTGCAGCAAGTGCCATTGATGTCGAATAGCTGCACGAAGTTTCGAGGCAAAGAGAAGGAAACGCGAAAAGCAACGCATCCGGCAGCATGCACGAACGTGACCCAGGTCCCCATGAAGCACAGGCTATGAAAACCCCACGCTGGGTTGTACAAGCTCGGAACTCAGCTTGTGCCAGCTTACGTCGCTCATCGGTCGAACTGTCATGTGGTTCCTTCTTTTTTTAAGAAAAAACCAGTAAATACTACGCACCGCTTTTCGCGCACGGTTCCTCCAAAATGTGACCACGCAAGGAAGGCAGCCTCACGCAGAACCCGTGTTATTACAGACTGGCAGGACAAGACCCACCATCAGCATGGAGCCCGCAACGAATTGAAGACTAAGTTTCAACGAATTCTTACGATTTGGAAATTTTGGCGGCGCCAATAAAAGTTCCTACAAATGCGCGGCTCCTATCCTGGAAATGGCCCGTTGTAAGGGCTTCGAACTCCAAGGCAGCTCAATCAGGAGGCGACTGCTTCACGCAGCGATACAATGGTTTGTGCCTTCTTTCCGAAATGAGGAAGAGGAGATCGCCTCGCCAGGCGCAGCATGTAGCGAGCTTCAAGCACCTGCTTCAACGTAAAACCGTTGCCCCAAGTTGAACTCGTGGTGCGCGACCACCGAAAAGCAACTTGTTAAACCGCTGCGATTGGTCGCCGTCGACAGCCGTCATTGCGGATAGGGTCTAGATGGCGACATATATAGCCCCTGTATGCGTCTCAACGGCGAGATTAGGACGGACCCTAGGGGTCCCGATCGATAAAATGCAAATGTCCTCGAAGCTCATTTTCAAATCGACCTCTCGACAGCAACGCCAGAAATCACCTTTGCCATGACCAAGCTCAACGACCCCACGGCGGACGTCCCCATGATGGAAGTCGAGCGCCAAAGCAAACTCCAATGGAACGTGCAGCCGTCCGAGTTCTCTAGACTCTGTTCCAACCCCATCCGCAAAATCGTGGACAACATCAAGAAACCCGCCACGTCGAACAAGACCCTGATCCCGCTGTCGCTCGGTAACTTGAGCAATGTTCTACCGAGTGGGGATACTGTGAAGGTAGTGGGTTCTAACTTTCGTTGTGGTTTCGTAGGCGACCCGACGGTGTTTGGTAACCTACACTGCCCCGATGTCCTGGTCAACGCCATCGTCCGGAACACTCGGTACGTTCACTGCAAGGACGCGTATTAAATTCTCCGGAGACGGGGGTACTCACTCATGCGTTTACTCGTTGTCGGCTGTAGATCCATGCAGCACAATGGCTACATCCACTCTGCTGGTTCTGAGGTTGCCCGTGCGGCAATTGCCCAACACTTCGGCAATGTGAGGGCGCCTCTGACCATGGAGGACATCATCATCGCCAGCGGATGCTCGGGTGCTATCGAGATTGCTCTGCGCGGTCTGTTGAACCCTGGTGACAACATCCTCCTCCCGAAGCCTGGGTTCCCTCTGTATCAAGCTCTGTGCGAGGCGCACAAGATCGAGTGCAGATTCTACAACCTCAAGGTGAGCGAGCAGACTACTCTGTTCAAGTCGATGATGCTCTGAATTTTGTACTCACGACGTGTATTGCTGTTGGATGTATAGCCCGAAAACAACTGGGAGGTCGACCTCGAGCACATGCAGTCGCTTGTTGACGACAACACCAAGGCCATCCTGGTCAACAACCCCTCCAACCCTTGCGGCAGCGTGTACTCCAAGGTAGATGATTATCTTGTTCCGTTAAGTGTTGAGAGTTTCACACTCACCAATCTCTTGTTCTGTGCAGCCTCACCTGGAGAAGATCCTCGCGCTGGCTGATGAGAACAAGATCCCCATCATCGCGGTAAGGATCACATTTTTGTCATATTCCTGCTTGGAGTTGGCTCTAATGGCATTCGTAATTTCAGGATGAAATTTACGGCGACATGGTGTTCGGAAGCAACGTGTTCTACCCTATGGCGACTCTGACGAAGACCGTGCCCGTGGTGGCCGTGGGTGGCTTGGCCAAGCAGTTCCTGATCCCTGGCTGGCGAGTGGGCTGGGTCATGGTGCACGACCGCAGCAACATCCTGAAGGACGTACGGACGGCGTACTTCAAGCTGTCGCAGAACATCCTCGGAGCGAACTCTCTCGTCCAGGTACAATACCGCCCCCTTTCGATCTCTGTTGCTTTGATACGAAATTTACCGTTCATTTCTGTATCAACAGAGTGCCATACCCGATGTGTTGACTCCGGTTCCCGGAAGTGCCGAGGCGCAATCGCTGGTGGACTTCAAGAAGCGATACTTCGCCACGCTGGAGGACAACGCCAAGTTCACCATCGACACCCTGATGCAGATCCCGGGCCTTGATGTCGTGGTGCCTCAGGGCGCGATGTACGCTATGGTACGTGGAAACCGCAACCATTAACACTATTATCTCGCCCACGCAATGCTAACTCCCAGTCTCTTCTCAGGTGAAAGTCAACACGAACGTTCTGACGAAGATCAAGGACGACTTCGACCTCACCCAGAAGCTGCTGGACGAAGAGTCCGTGTTCGTGCTGCCCGGCCAGTGCTTCGGAATGACCAACTACTTCCGCATCGTGTTCTCGGCCCCGCACGAAGTATTGGCGGACGCTTACACCCGTCTGGCCAACTTCTGCCATCGCCACCAGTGAGCAACGCCAGTTTACAAGCTTGTCTACCATCTACGACCTAAATGTTTCTAGTGAATAACTAATGCTTGAATCTACATACATTGCCATCAGTCACGTCCAAAGCTTCGAGGTACAGGTAACACTGCCGAAGAATTGATATTACTAAGCTTACACAAAACATTCTTCCTGAAGTGCACACCTCCATTCTAACTTACTGCACACACTTTAGATTTGACCACTACCTCCGCCAGCTTCTAACGCTTTCTCGGTCTCAACACGTTGTTCTTGACCCTCCTTCTTCTCTTGCTCCTCCGCCGTTGCCTCATCATCGTTCTGCTGCACATCTTCAGCTTCAGGCATCTCGTCGTTTTCTTCCGTACGCATGATCTTCTGCTCAGGTTCCTTCGGAGCATGTGCGCGGCGGAGCTCCTTGACCTTATTCGTAAGTGCCTGCACACGACGCAATAATCCCAAATCTTCTCGAAGTGCGGTCGTGTCCACATGCTGCAACATTCACACACAAATAATAAAAAAATAATCCAAATCCTCCGACATCCTTCCACTCTCTCACTCACCTCCTCCTCCAGCGACTTCAACAGCTCCTTGTACTCCTCCACGTCCACTTCGCCCACCTTCGTCTCTTTCTGCTCGCCCTTCTGGCTTGCATCTCCCCCCTCCGCTACTGGCGGCAGGTTCTCCAGCAGGCCTTCAATCTGCTCGTAAAGTTGCTGGTGCTCCAGAGCAACATACTCATTGTACGAGCGTTTCTTAAGGTGCTTCTCCAGCGCTTGCTGCACCTTCTCCACGTCCTTCACATGCACGAATCCATGCCCCCAGGGGTACACGACCGTGCAGAAGCCGTCCTCGCCCCTGTAACCCCTGAGATACCCCGCGCCCACGGGGGTGGCCACCAGATCGTCCATCCTCATGCCGTTCACGACGTGCTCCTTCCTCAGCACGAAGCCGTGCACCGGCTCGGCGATCCAGCAACGTAAGCAGTCGGCCACCTTCTCCTTGAGTTGCAGGGCGAGCAACGGTCTCTCGTGGCCCTCGCCGCCTTTGGACGCCTGCAACTTGGTCAGCACCGGCCGCAGCGTGGCCTCCAATTGGCTCTTAATCTTCGGGGCCACGGGCATCTTGAGCGCCTGCGCCACGGTGGCCAGCAGCTTGTCGCACTTGCAGCTGGGCACGAGCGCCGCCGCCTGCAGCAGGTGCAGACAGCGCGCGTCCTGCTGCTCGTACGCGTGGCTCACGGGCCGCAGCAGCGGCAGTAGCAGGCTCGAGTGTGTGGGCACGGAGAAGACGAGCGTGTTGGCGTCGCGCGCCTTGCGGAAGTGCGTCTCGCGCGTCGAGAAGACCGGCAGCGACGGCTCCGGCGCCGCCGTGGTCGTCACAACCTGCGCCGAGCTGAACATCTTGGAAAATGAATGGGGTATAGTGAGGGCGAGAGAAGATTTGCACTCAAGTGGGGTGTCAGGAAGAGTAACCTGTACTTGAAAAAAGGTGTTGTCGTAAGTTAATACATGGTTAAAACATTATGACCCGGAAAAAAAGTGTTTTACAGCAACTACAAGCTGTAAAATACCTTAAAAGATACCCTGAACTTTACTGCAATGTGAGCCGTGTGTATAGTTTCTCATTCAAACCCGTGTCATGTCTGCTACCTCCTGGAGGCTAAATCTCTTGCCGTACGCCTCCCGAATTGATATAGCGAAGTTTCTGCTGTAGCTCGAGCTTGGATTCTTGCACCTTCTCGAATCGTGATCGGCATTTTTCCCATTTGCGCGGGAGCACAAGCCCCTTGGCGTCTTTCAAGTACTCGGCGCACAGTTCCATTGCTGCTTCATCCGAACACTTCCTGAATCGACGTAAAGCGAAAGACCTCTCTCCATCGCTCTCATGGGGGAAGTATTTGATCTTGTCATCACGGCGTTGGGCAAAGTCGGTGTTAGCGATCAGAAACTCAAGCTCTTCGGCGTTCTCAATAACGCACTCAATGGTTCCAACACCGTGTGCAATAAACGCACGGCTTGACGGTTCTTCTCGCCGAAGCTGAAAGCCACGCTCTTTGAATGCCGCTGTCACCAGTGCAAACCGCTTGCTGCATTCTTCTAAATCGGCCTTGCTACTCCGATTAAACCCGTCCGGCGTCACGTAGGGCTCGAATCCAGGCGCCAGCGAGACGAAAAACATTTTCCAGTCTTCGCGTGCCTGATGTTGCTGCACCAGAACTCTTCTAATCCCCCCATTAAGCTGCGCAATGACTCGAAGCCACCCCACTTTTGACCCACACGTTCGCAGCATGAAATTCTCCAAGTGCACCCGCGCGTACATTCCACTCGGCGTGCCGTCCTCTCCAGCTATGGGGGACAAGGTCGAGAAATCTTGGACCCCGTAGACCATTCTTGCCATTGCCGCGGTAGTATTGGGATTGTAGCTCTTGTGCTTGGACTCACACTCGCGACAAAGGTTGTAGAAGATAGCAGGCTTGTTATTCTCGCAGCGGCAGCAAAACCTTGCTATTGCTGGCTCGCAGTTGGGGTAGTTGTCTCCGGTGATGCCTTGCAGTTTTGTGAGGGTCTGGTTGCTCAAGAAGCTGAGGATGTGCTCGAAGATCTTGTCATTTAGGATGACGAAGCTGTACGCGCAAGACGCCAATTCCCCTCCTTGTTGCTGTCTTGGTTTCTTTTGGTCTTGGGAAGTGGTGACTTTGCCCTTATGCTTCATGTTTGAAAGTGGGGCCTCCAAGAATAAGGTCTTGCGTGGGTACAAATCAGGTGAATGCCACCCTTGGCTTTGACAGATTTTGGGCACATGAACCTGTGTGGATGTAGAGCGTCTTCGTCCGAGACCAATGTTTTATCGACCCGTGATCGGCACTTCCTGTGGTAAACCCATTGCCATTTTCCACACTACCGATGTTTTTGTTTTAATAAAATATATTTGCTCTGCTACTGTGTACTCCTAAATACTGCTAAAGTATGACAGGCAGCAAGTTGCTACCTGGCATGCGATTTGGCAACATCTACGCTAGACGTATCCTATACCAGAACTTGTACAGGTCGGCAATGTCGTCTCTTACCTCTCGAGATTTAACGGCTGACAGGAATTTGGGAGCTCTCCGCGGGTGGACCTCTTTCGCGAAGAACTCCTTAAACAAGGGAGTCAGTAGCTTGTTCCACATCTCGTTCTCCATCGTGACTGCGGGGACTTTGACACGCTTCAACTTGCTGGTCAGTTTTGCACCAGAGTCCAGCTTCGTGTCCTGTGAATGCGTGGCGCTCCTGTCGATTTCTCCAGTCTTGGGGGCACCTCTGAGCCGTCTCGTAGCTTGGACGTGTTTCGGCTCTGGGCTGGTCAACGTTGCATTGGTGCTTGAAACGAGAACAATGGCCACCAGCAGCAGAATATATATGTGTCGATGCATCGGGAGTCGATAGTTGCGGGGTTTTGGCTTGTTGTGATTTGGAAAGTGGGTAACGACTGATCTGTGAAGGAGAAATGTCCACCCTCGCCAGGATCAAACCGGAGAGGCTGTGCATCCAGTCATTTACCAAATCATGCGTACAGTATCAATAGGTACGGTATTTCTCAGATGCGAGCGTTTGTTGATGCGCCACGTTCCCACGTTGTTGTGGCACTGATTAAAGCAACATTGAAATGTTGGCGTTGCGTAACATTGAGCGCAACAATGGTGCCTCTGCCTAACATTGCACAATGTTACGGTATCTCTCGTAGCAGAATATTTGGTTTACCAATGTGACAATAGTGGACAGCTCGACAGCTCGACAGCTCGACAGCTCGACAGCTCGACAGCTCGACAGCTCGACAGCTCGACAGCTCGACAGCTCGACAGCACGACAGCTCGACAGCTCGACAGCACGACAGCACGACAGCGAAGCACGCTGTATCACTCGGGGCGTGCGCCAACAGCTTCCGCCGCTAACGCGGCAAGCGCGTCATGGTGTACGCGCCGAGTCGGCGCCGCCGACACATGCAGCAGGAGAATGGGCTCTACGGGATCTACGCGCAGCTCTACCTGGGTGCCACGTGTTGTCTATTCCTAGTTGGCAGGACACTCGCGTTGGCTTTCGCCTGCGGACTTAGCGACGGCACTTCCGGGGGGGCCGCCCCTCTCTCGCTTCGCTCGGGCGGCCTGCCCCACCCCCTCGTGCCTTACGCTAAGTTCTCGGCTCGGCCATCCGCGGTGTCTAGGAAAAAAAATATCGGGTTGCAGCGCTCGCCTTCGCTCGCTCGCGCAGACCCGCCCCCGCCTGATCGGCGGGTGTTGACGATCGGTGAACGCGCTCAGCGAGGCTCGCGCTCGCGTTCGCTCGCCCTCCCCCTTTAACCTAACTGCGCTGTTGGCTAGAGGCGCATTACAAGCGCTTACGCCTGCTTAGAAGGTTAGCGCATTCGATTGCAACACGCATCGCACCTGGCGCAACGCAACGCACTGGGAAGGCGTTTGCTCCCGCATACGTAGTACACACATGCATATAAGCACCGCAGTAGGACATGCACACATTAGAATAAGGTTGAGCGGGTGACCGCTGCAGACGGTCGCACGACGCGGAGGCGGAGCGAGCGCGCGGGCGCTTGCTTCCCACCCGGTAGATTCTGAAATGGCTCCAAACATGAAATTTCACGTCTGGAAAATTTACATTGCGTCAATGTTAGCGATCACGCAACATTGGACCCCATCAATGTTATTGATCCCACACATTGAGGCTGATTTTTAATGTTGCTTTAATGACTCTCCGTTGTTGTGGAGGATGCATCTTCGGTTGACCACATTTTGTTGATGGCCGGATTATTGTGTCCAAGATAATCAACCACCTTGTCGATCGGAAATCTGAGTTTTGGGATGGGAGAACTGTATATCCATCAAATTAATAAACCGTTGGTTCTGCATTGCTCGCGGGGAAGATGCGTTGTTGCCGTGTCTATTACTAGTATAGCTTGTCCGGATTCCATGGTCGTGGAACAACGTACACATATGAATTCAAACCTAATTGACAGAAGACTTCAGCGGTGAGCCGAATCAATCGCTAACTGCATGCCGCGGCACGACGTGCTATTCACCATTGTATTGCAAAAGCAGGATAAAATTCAGCATTAGGTGAATCTACCATCCATGGTATCCTCTGAACAATATATCTCAAAAGTATCTGTATACAGTCAAACCTGTTTATATGAGGCCCTGTTGGTGACCATCTACTACAATCACTTATATAAAATGGACTCAGTTAAAAAAATTATGTGGTGCACGTAAAGAAAGCGTGCATAGTTTGCTGCCGCTTTGCCTTCACCGTAGTCTCTCGAACCAAAGCGGTCACGGTCTGTAAAGCTCTTCGTTCTCTGTCAGTCTGCTCTCCGCATTGCAGCAGAAATGCAGCCAGCTCCATGCAGTGTCTCAGAGCAATGGCAGGTTGAGCTGCGGGTTCCTGTTCCTCCTCTTCCTCCTGCTCGTTCTGCGAAACTGCATCACTTCCTGCCGCTTCGTCCACTAGCACATCTGGCTCGTGCACAGGAACGTCTTCGTCCACTGCCAGATACTCACTAGCGCTAACAGCGCCCTCCCACCTCGATAGCATCGCCGTTAACTACTCCATCTCGTTGCTGGATACCTCCTCAATGTAATCCGTGTCAGCACGGGTCCTTCCTAGCATCTTTCCTCCCAAAATGCGAGTCTTGACCCAGCAATTTGTAATTGTCGTTGGCGTCACACCCGCCCAAGCATCAATGGAGAATTGGACAGCTTCCAGTACGTTGAGCTTGCGTGTAATGTTAGCTTCAAGTGCATCCAAACACCACCGCACAAAATACTTTCGGTACCGAGCCTTGAACGACCGGATAATACCTGAATAAAAAACACCGTAATAGAGTCGGTTAGTTTAGTTTAGGCTACACCACAATATAGATAAAATATTTACCTGCATCCAGCGGCTGTACGGCGGATGTGATGTTAGGAGGGAGGAAGTGAACAGTCACATGAGTCAGGTTTCGTAGAATCTTGTGGCATGAAGCATTGTCGACTAGAAGTAGGACCTTGCGATTGGCGGCCGCCATTCTCATGTTGAAGAGGTGCAGCCATTCGTCAAAAATGACGGATGTCATCCAGGCGTTCTTGGAGGACTTGTACAATATAGGTTTACCTTTAATCGCCGCTCCCTTTTTAAAGCACCTCGGGTTCTTGGCCGTACCGATGACTATTGGGTCGAGCTTGTCGGAGCCAGTCGCGTTGCAGCAGAAGGCCAAAGTCAAACGTTGCTTCTCCTTTTTCTTGCCCTTGCGAATAGTCGTAGCTAGCGTTCGATTAGGCGCTAAGCGATAGAAAAGCGCCGTTTCGTCGAAGTTGAACACATTCTCGGGTGTAAACTGCGCCACCAACTCTTGTAGCTCTAGCCTCGCATCTCGCACTTCATCAGCTTCTACAGCGCCACCTTCGCCGTGTAGCGTATGGGAGCGGATCCCATTGCGCTTCTTAAAGCTTTGAAGCCAGCCGTTGCTTAGCCGGAGCTGCGTGGCATCGATACCTAAGCGCTCCGCCAGCTCATGCGCCTTCAGCAGGAGCACGTCGTCCGCCATCGCCGTTTTAGCTTCGTTCTGAAAGAAAAATTCCCTCAGTTCCCGCTCGAACTGAGGGAATTTTACTCGGCGCCGCTTGGTCGCACTCAGGTCGACGTGGCTGAAGTAGGAAGAAGGCAGGTTGCGCAGTCGGACGAGTGTGGCACGGCTGACCCGGGCCTTGAAAGTTGCGTAGATCCACTCGGCGAGCATGGCCAGGATTCTGCTTGAGCTTTAGGTGCACTTGGAGCTTTTGTTCTAGCGTCAGACAGGTGCGAGGAGACATGGCGAGCGAAGAAGGCTTGCGGTAGGTGTTGAGTGTTGAGCAGTGGTGCTTTGAAGAGTGTGTGGCCGTGAGCAGTGTGAATCAAATAAACAGGTGAGACCTAATTTGGTCCCCAAAAATGTGACTCATATACCTTGTATGCATATAAACAGAGATCATACAAAAACTAAGTGAAATATTTGGTAGCGACAAAGCCTGCATCAAATAAACGGCATGGCTCAAATAGAGAGGATCATATAAACAGGTTTGACTGTAGTTAGAGAGCATGCATTACATATAATTGCGATTGTGCGCGTGATGCTATCTGAGGTCTCCCTCTACCCAAGTAAATGTACCGAGCTTCCTGCCTTGAATCACCATCCACGTTAGATTCCACTTCATCAAAATGTGATGGACACTTTTCCCATTTCCGGGGAAGCGTAAACCCACGATCATCCTGCAGAAATTGGACGCACAACTCGGCTTTTGTTTTGTCTCGGCAAATCGAAGTAACCTCACTTGCGATCTCTCGCGGAAACCAGCTCCCCCGTTCTTCTCGCATCGCCGCGATTTTATCTTTGCTCAGCCCCGCGTACTCGGGTGTGTACGAGTGGTAAACAGCCTACCGCAATATTTGCACGAGACTGGATCGTCACCGACACCAGTCACGTGCAAATATTGCGGTAGGCTGTCGGATCGTCACCGAGGTTGGTGGTTTCTTCCAGCACTATCGAAATAATACACAATACAAGAATTATAAGGAAAATACACAAAAACTTACACCTGTCTACTTTAATGTAATGTTTCAGATATGTGCACTATACAAATACCAAGTTGCATTACTGGTCAGAGAGAAACAGACGACAGCCTCCGATGTCCGGCCACTTCGACCGCTATGGCGGCGCGCCTCCGCCTCGAGGACAGCGCTACAGCCCCCACGCCTCGCACCAGGAGCACGCGCCTAGCTCTACGCTGCTGCTGCGCGGCCTGGCGCCCTCAGTCGACGATGAAATGGTACAATACCCGGCGTGGAACCTACCGCTTGACTGCAACATATCTATCCGCCATAGACGTGGTAGAGTAGAGTTGTGTAGAACGACGGTAGAGCGAGAGGGAGCCGGCGTAGGACGCCCACGTTACTCACCGTCGTGTGGCTCCCGTGCCTCGCCCAGATCCTCCGCGCGCTGCAGCCCTTCCGACCCTTGCAGGCTCGCACCATGTACAAGGTGCGTGCGTGCAGCCAACTATTGTTGTTGATCATTAATTAATTAATTGGAAATTGTTGGTGAAGACCACGGGAGAACCTCGCGGGTTCGCCTTCGTGGACTTTGACAGGGTGGAGAGCGCCATGGAGGCGATGCGCGCCTTTGGTACGAGCTTTTTGTAGTTAGTTTTGGAGATGGTGCTCACGTTCTGCATACATTTTTGGACATAGAGTCGAGGCCTCTTGTGCTGCAGCACCGAGACGTTACGGTGAGCTACACGGACGGCTATCGTCGGCGCTCCCCGGATGGCGACGTTGGTCGACCGAGAGGTGGAAGTGTGTGGTCTCGGCATGGTGAAGACAGTCAGCGGCCGGGAGAACGGTGGCAACCACGACCGGATTGGATTTGCGATGAGGTGGGATTTTGAGTTGCTGGTGCGTAGGAGGGCAGGGGCTGACTGTAGAGTTTGATGCTGTCGCTGCAGTGCAATGTGACCAATTTCGCGCGTCGAACAAGCTGTTTCCAGTGCAACGCGCCCAGAACCGCTCAGATGAAGGAAGTGCCTGTGACGGCAGCCTTTCGGGCGGAGCAAATACGCAGTCACAGCGACTCGCATTATGGAGACTCTGCTAGAGCTCCATCCTATTCTGCACATAATGACCAGTTCAAGAATGCTCAGAGACGTGATGAGAGTGCTCGAAGTGTTCCGCCGTCTCAAGTGCTAATGGTGCGGCTGCTTCCTCTCGACATTGAAGAAGGAGAGGTATGTTTTGAGGCTACTATTGGAAGCTTGTTTTGTGCTGATGGTGCACTAACGTTGTTACATTATCTTTATCTGCAGCTGCAAGTGGTCTTCGCAGAGTTTGACGGCGTGCAAGATATCCGACTGATTCGAGATCGAGCGACAAATCTGTCTCGGGGTTTTGGCTTTGTCGAGTTCCGCGATATCGAAGTACGACTCACTTGTTTTTCTTGTTAGTGTGGGCATACCGGTATCTAACACGGCGTGGCTAATGTCTGTGTTGATTGTGTGTATTGTTTTACTCTGCTGTTATGTGTAGGCAGCGACAGAAGCTTTGAAAAAATGTGGCGACTTGGTTGTTCAGAATACTCACGTAGAGGTGTCGTATGCGCGCGATACTCTCTCCACTAGGTCACACTATCCTCCGGATTCGTTCCAAGGTGCACCCCGTGGAGGAAGCTCGATGGCAGTGACAGCGTTGGAACAAGCACAGTGGTCACTCTCACAAGGACGCGCAGCTGATGCGGCGAAAACTGATCAGGTGAACGCATGTTGCATTTTTGTTTGCTGAACTGGATCATCACCACGAGTGCAAAAACGTATCTAATGCTCAAGAATGTCACCCTTCCTGCCACGCAAATGCATGGGTGCGATTCTGCCAATTGTGACCACCAGCAGAATCTTGTTGCGGCTGATGTGAGCGTACTTCTGGATAGTGCCGCTGCAGAAGTAATGCCCCACTTCGAAGAGCCCAAGAAAATGTGGCCACTACCGTTTGAGACGGCAGGCGGCAGCTACGTTTATGCCAGCGAGTATGGCCTCTACTGGGATCCTGACAGCATGTTCTACTACGACGCGCAAACAAAGGTATACCACAACTCGTTCACTGGCGTGTACTACCAGTGCGTGAGGCCTACAGATAGCGGTGCTGCGGCGTTTCGAGTGTTCGTGCCACCTGTTCCTGTTGATGCCACTGCGTATCAAGTACAGACGGAGAAGGCGTCGACTGCTAACAAGCCTGCACTAAGTCTGTCACTGAAGAAAGACAAGAAGAAGGCACCCGGAATCTCGTTTGACATCAAGACCACTGCGTTTGCTCCCGCGGCCTCCGCCTTCGAGAAGAAGAACCAAGTTAAGACAGCCAGCGCTGCCGTTAGTGCACCTGCTGTCAGTGTGACGAGCGTGGGAATAAAGCGCAAGAGTGCAGACGACATTGCCAAGTGGTCGCAGCGACAACGCGAAGCCAAAGCTGAAGGTTCCTGCGCAGTGCCCGGTCAGCCTCGTCATGTTAATGACACAGCTACCACGAGTGCTCCATCGCAGCAGAAGACGGTGACCAGTGCTCCGTCCAACGCTGCTGACTCGGTGATTGATGCGTTGACGAGTGTCCCGCAGGAAGTCCCGATTTGCCTGGTAAGACCTGCAGAGAGACCGATTTGTGTTCATTGGCTAACAGTGTGAGCCTATGTCTGTGGTGGTCTAGCTATGCCGGCGAAAGTTCGGGTCCATGGAGATGCTTCACAAGCACGAGAAGCTGTCGAAGCTGCACCTGGCCAACTTGGCCAAGGCAAAAGAGAATAAGCAGCACATCGCGGCCCAGTACCGCGAGCACGAGAAGGAGATGGGACGAGACGCCAAGAGGCAGCGGCAAGAAGAGCGCGTGCCAGCCAACACAGCACCTGGATTTAACCAGTGGAACGCTACTGGTCCTGCGCCGGTTACCAACTCAAACCCGGAGCCTACTGCCAGCTCGCTGGAATTTGGTATCGGCGGTAAAATGCTCAAGATGATGGGATGGAAGAGCGGAGAGGGCCTCGGCAAGCATGGTACAGGCATCACAGCTCCGATCAAGGCAGCTGGACAAGGTGGACGGAGTGATACGGCTGGACTCGGTTCCAAGGCGCCGCTTTCTGCTTCCGTGGATCTGTCGGACGCCACCTCCGACAAAGAACGTCGACAGAGGTTGGCTCGCGCGCGATACGAAGCCGACAATGCCTAGCTAAGCCAACCATTCAATGGATATGTGTGAATGCACAGTAAGATGGCACGAGACATTGGGCGTCACATGTTGCTGGCTTGTCATTGAAAAGTTGGTGCTGAAAACTGGAAGTGCTCGCGCCACTCATTAAAGAGTGAGCGCATGCATCATAGCCAGCCGTGCATTACGGCGTGGGGACAGTAAATTAGAGCAGCTCCTGCACGGCCTTCTTGAGCAGGGACTTCTTGTAGCCCGAGACCTTCTCGTGGACCTCCTTGCCGCCCTTGAAAAAGCGGAACTCCGGGTACGCGCCGACCTCGAGCTCGTCCTTGAGCTGCTCGATCTCCGGGATGGACACGTCCAGCTTGGCGAACGTCACGTCCGGGTGGGCCTCGGCCAGGTCCTCCACGAACGGCAGGATCTGCGAGCACTTGCCGCACCACGGGGCCATGAAGTCGGCCACCATGGGCTTGCCGCTCTTGACGAGGGCGTCGAACTGGGCCTTGTTCTTGACCAGTGTGAGGGCCACCACGTCGTCGTCGTCGGCCTCCTCCTTGACCGTGGAGAAGTACTCGTAGCTGTCCTTGGGCGTGGCCTTGATGGTCTTATCACCGGGCTGCCAGTTGGCGGGGCACACCTCGCCGTGCTCCTCCACGAACTGCAGGGCCTTGATCAGACGCAGGGTCTCGTCCACGCTGCGGCCGATGGGCATGTTGTTGATGGTGATCTGCTGGAGCACTCCCTCCTTGTCCATGATGAAGAGGCCGCGGAGGGCCACGCCGGCCTCCTCCACGAGCACGCCGTACTTGGCGCTGATGACCTTGGTGATGTCCGAGACGATGGGGATGTCCATCTTGCCCAGGCCGCCCTTGTTGCGCGGCAGGCGCGTCCAGGCCAGGTGGCTCTCGGGCGAGTCGCACGACACGGCGATGAGCTGCGTGTTGAGCGCCTTGAACTCGTCCGCGCGGTCGTTGAACGCGATGATCTCGGTGGGGCACACGTACGTGAAGTCCTTGGGGTAGAAGAAGAGCACCACGTACTGGCCGCGGTACGTGTCCAGCGAGATGTCCGTGATGTCGCCGTCCAGCACGGCCTGGGCCGTGAACTGCGGCGCCTGGTGCTGCACGCGCGCGCCCACGGGCGGGTACTGCACGTACGAGTCGTCCTCGTCGTCCTCGACGAAGAAGTCGTCGCCCGTGGCGAACGTGCGGATGGGCGCGCAGCTGCTGGGCACGAGGGCCGAGGAGAGGAAGGGGGCGGCAGCGCGCGGCGCCAGGCGGCGGGCGGACGCGGACAGCGCGCGCGAGGCGGCGACGCGACGGACGATCTGCAGGGCACGCATGGCTTTTGGCTCGAGTCTTTGGAAGTGAGCTCCTCGCCCCACGTTGGTGATGGATGATCCGTTAAACAAAGATTCACTTGAGCTGAGTATACGAAGGATCTGTGGATTTTTGTGTGGGACACTTGAAGTGAAGGGCACTATTCCGAGGGCCCCGACAGAATACAATAATTGCTTTGGTTTGGGCCAGTAATTGCTTAACTTTTGTCTAGGACTTCTTGGAGCCGCCAAAGCCGCCGAAGCCCATCATGGCCATCATTTCAGCATCGGCGTCGGGAACTTCTTCGTCTGCAGCATCGGGTTTCTTGTCTCCAGCGTGTTCACCTTTCTTGTCAGTATTTTGCTCATCTGACGCCGACGTGCCGAGCTTTTTGGCTTTCTTCTGCTCCTTCTTCTGTCTCTTGGCGCGGGCCTCCTCCTCCTCAGCAGCTTTCAGCTTCTTCTCGTAGTCTGTCAGCAGCAATGTGCAATACAATACCTCGTTAGTGTGAGTTGCCCCTAGCACCTCACCCACAGCTAAAGACCGACCTTCCATGGCGTCCAGCTTCTTGGTCATGAGAGGGTCCCACTTGCGCTTCGACGCGCTCTGCAGTCTGTTCTTGACTTGATCCACCGTCGACCGCTCCACGCGCATGCTGAAGCCCAGCTTGCGAAGATCTAGAGACACAGAAAACAATATAAATATCCCTTCCAGACAGGAAGAGCAAGCAGCCAGCCCACGTACGCTTTTTGCCGTTGATGTGGTCGAGGTATGCCACCGAGTCCTTGAGCCCGCACTCGCAGACCTCGCAGTAGTAGCCGCCGCTCTTGCTGGCGTCGTCGGACTTGGTCACCTTGACTGTACCCACGCTGTTCTCCAGCTCCATCTTGCTAGTGCGGGCCTTGAGGAACGCTCGCGCCGAGCCCGCGGGCCCCGCAGCGCCTTCATTCGCCGCCTGGAACTCCTGCTTCGAGGACTTGACCACCTTCTTCATCTGCGTCACAGTATCAAGTGCACTCCAACACTCAGTAACTTGTAGGTATCGCACGTATAGTGCAATGGGAGACGCACCTCCTCCTTCTCCAATTGACCTTCGGCGCGCAGCTTGGCCAGCTTCGCGTAGTGCTCGCGGTCCCATGTCTGCCGCGTCACGTTGGCCACGCCCGCGCCCTTTCTCCCGTTCGACTTGTCCTGCAGCGACACAACACAATGCACACGTGAGTATACACGCTATCAAGCTGTGGAGCCCCACGAGCATCATCCCCAGCAGCTCATTACCGCCATAATTGCCGGCGAAAGTGGCGATTCGAAATTGAATTGGGGTATGCCACATCAAAACCTCTACACGGGTATATCAAATGCGTTATGCCGGTCCCTAGTATCCATCATTTAAGTCTGTTTGGTGGTCTCTGATGAGGGGGAGAGTTTGCGGTCGCGGACGCGCCAGACACAAGGAAGCTAGACCCTCGGAATCGTCCCTGCCGATCGCGATGGTTCTCGCTCACCAGGACGCATGGAGAAGCCACCCCTTCATCAGCAACTGCGCCAAGAAGCCCTTCACGGGCCTGGGCCTGGCCTCCGCCATCTTCGGCGTCTACCTCGTGGTGGACACCATCACCACGCGCTTCTCGTCGCACGGCAAGGAGGGCGGCGCGCACCCGGAGATGGACTACGTGCCGCGCGGCAAGTTCCAGTACGAGCGCAACGAGATCGGCGAGGCCCCGGAGCTCAAGTAATTCGCCATGCATCCATCCTCAGCCGCTTCGCAGACGCCGAGGACGCAGCGCTTCGCTCGTTCATTAGCCGAGTGACTCGAGGAATCCAACAAGACTTCATCGGCTCTAAATAAACGCTATTGCTCGGCTGATTCTTCGCTGGCCCAAAGGAAGTACTAAGGTGTGTGTGTGGTATGTGTGTGGATGGATCCTCACGACGGTGACAGGTAGGGGCTTTGGGCTTTTTGATAAACATGATGGTGATGGTTTGTAGCATAAATACCAGCCAGCTACCTCGGTTGGCCGGTGTTAGGAGACTGAAGGCCTTCTGGTTCTACCTACCGCTCGAAGGAAGTGGCGTCGTCTTGAGGGAACTCCTCGTCCTCGTCCTCGCTCTCGCCCGTCTCGGCGCTCCGGCGCTTGCTGTTGCGGAAGCTGCGGTCCTTCTGCAACTCCAACACCGACACCCGAGTCATCAACTGCGTGATGAGCAGCGTCGTCTCGGCCTTGAGCTCTTCCTGCTCGAGTAGCTGCTGCTGCATCTGCATGTTGCTCTGCGCGAGCTGCTCGATCTGTTTCTGCTGCGACGCCAACAACGCGCGCAGCTCGTGTACCGGCGAGGACGGGGCCCCGCTCAGTCCAGCCGCGTGGTTCGAAGTGGTCGCGCGTTCCCCAGCCCCGCCCGTTGCTTCGCCCGCAGCGAGGATGCTGGACTTCCGGGAGGCAGCTCTGCGACCAGTTGTCGGCGACGTGGTGGGGCTCCCACCGGCGGCGCTGGTGGTAGGGCTCCTTGAACCTCCAAGCGCGGTGTTTCGGCTCGGCCCCGGTGTCGTCGCAGACGGGAACAAGGCAACGGCTGAAGTACGACGGTCGTTGTTGCCCGTAGTGTGTGCGTAGTGTTGCTGCTGAAAACCGGAGGAGTTTAGCAATGAGCCTTCACGGGCCGTTTCGTCGGCTTCCAGCTCATGCTTCAGCGAGCGGGTGTGCGTGATCATGGCGTAGCAGGTGACGCACACGCGCTGCGGAGTAGTGAATCCCTTGGCCTCCATCGATATCTTTTTGTCTGCACTGTGTTGGCTGCAGATGGACTTACCGCAATTGCGGCAGTGGTGGCGGTGCTTGAACATGCCGAAGCTCGCGCGGCAGATCGAGCACTCGCCGTCGTGCTTCCACTCCGGGGGAGGGTCGAAATGGCCACGACTGTGAGATCCTCCGTGTGAAGCACGACGATGCGACCTCCGGAACAGTGGTGGTGAGCCTCGCTGAGACCCACCGGGGATGGTCGAGTGGCGCGTTTGCATTGGCTCCTGCACCGACTGGAACAGTCGACCTCGAGGGTTAACTTGGGCACTAGTAGCACCACCAGCGGTGCTCGTGCTGTCCCTTGAAGATCCATTGTCGTTCTCATCGTTCTCATCCTCGTCATCCGCTTCATCGTAGAACTGGGAGCCGGAGGTCTGACGAAGGTTTTCGTAGCTGGGCATGACCGGCAGCGACATCTGGCGACTGTGGCTCCGAGTCGACGCTCCTTCTTCAGCGTTGCTCATGGCAGCATTGGCGCTCATCGCTGAGACCATGGTCCGCAGCTCGTGCTCGGTGAAGACGCCATCGCTTTGCAGTTGAGCGAGCACTGACGCCGTTCGGACCAAACGCGTCTGTTGCTGCTGACGACTCATTTCTTCCTGATTCTGATTTTGAAATCCTCCGAGGCTGCGACGACTGGCGGTGCGCAGGTGTGCGTCAAACGACGACCGCGAGCTTGTCGGTGTGCGTGGGTCGTCTTGGCTGCAGGTGCTGGTTGAAGAAGGCGACACGAGATGGTCGTGCGGCGAGTCCAGGCCGTCCACGTCGCTGAGCGACTGCTCGCTCATCATGCTAAAACTGTCTTCCGCCTCCAGCACCGACATCCCCGTAGCGTCAAGATCTCCGTCGTCGCCCATATGTAGGAGCCCTATGAAGCCCACGTTGCCCACGTAGGGCTCCGGCACAACCGGATCGCTCCACGCCTTGTCTTCTTCGTCGTCTTCCGGCCTCCTGACCCCGGACGCTTCTCCTTCTTCCTGGCCACTGAGCTCTCGTTTCGGGTCAAAGTTTGCCGTTTCAGCCTCAACGGAGCTACGGTCGTCGTCGTTCTGCTGCTGGAGGATGCTGCTGCGCTCGTGCGCACGGTGCAGCACCTTCAAGCTGTCAGCGTCGAGTCCGCTCTCCTCGGCGAGCTCCAGCGCCGTGACGCCGTCGGGCGTCGGCTCGGTCACGGCCTCCGGGTACGCGCGCACGATCTTGCGCAGACACGAGGCCTGCACGCCCGCGCGGATGGCGATGTGCAGCGGCAGCAGCTCGCCGGCGTTCTTGGCTCGCACGCCGTCCGGATATGCCTGCAGCAGCTTGGCCACGAGCGACAGCGGCACGCGGCGCACGGTGCAGGCCCAGTGGATGGGCAGCATGCCGTGGTCGCCGCGCTGCTCGGCCACGGCGGGGTCTCGCTCCAAGAGGCGCTGCAGTCCCTTCCAGTCCGAGGCCTGCGCCAGGCGGATCGCCTCCGAGTTGCCGGCGGCGCGGGGCTCCATCATGCGCGCAGAGAATGGCTGAGTGAGTGGGTGGCGTGCGGCGTCGAGCGTGGCGGAGGATGGCGCGCAAGAGAGAGAGGAGGAGGTGGAGACTTGGAGACTTGGAGACTTGGGAACGCGCCCGGAACGCCGGACGTCGAGTGGGCAGCGCTGGGAGGCGCGCGCTTCTCTCTAACTTCTTCTGTGAAATATGGGTTCGTTTTCCGGGCATGAAGGACGGAGGTTGGTACGCAAGGAGTGGGCGTGTGCTTCAACCTTGCGGACTTTAGCGGTCTAAGTACGCTCGGTTTGGGACAACAAGATGTGGTCCACGCCTCAAAACATGTCGCCGAAGAGGCAGAAAAAAGGCAGTTCAACGTCGACCTGGACCAAGCACCACAAGTCACAGCTGCGGGCATTGCTGGGCAGCTACTCACACCTGGACAGCGTTCAGAGGGCTCCAGTGCCCGCTGCCCGCGTGCCACTAGCGGCGCCCCGCACTCGTGGCGGCGCGGCGGCTCCGACACCTGCTGGCCCGGAACGCGACGGCAGAATGGTCGGGGAACACCATCGCGAAACGACTTCGACTCGACAACCGCTGCTACATGGCACCACTGTGGGTCCGTGGTCACCACTGACCTACAGGTGCGCGTGCTCGTTGCTCTGGTCCCGAGAAGGTCCGCCCGCAGCATGATCCAGAAGCACAAGAGTCATTTCATACGGAAAGCTTGCCCAGACGCCCGCCTGGCCGTCGTCGTCCTCAACGAGCAACGCAAAACAATGCCGTCCGCTTGAGAAGCTCGCGACAGCAGCGTACTATCATCGTGATAAACGTGGCTGTAGATCGAGAACTGAAGCGCCGTTCTCGCGTCGCTGACGCTGGACGATGGGCCAAGACGCCGAAGAACGCGAGGATTTCTGCCGTGGACGTCTCCTCGTCGGCTGCCGATGGTTATCCGAAGCGCGATATCAACGCGAGGACACCCGTTTGCTGCCATGGGTATCACTCCTGCTTGGCTGAGACCGGAGGTATGTATGGGCTCTCGTGCTCACGACTTACTGCCGCAGTAGATCCGTAGCAAAACCGCAGTATCTGCTTTTGCGACCTCTGGTTGCTCCCCGCACTTGACCGAGACTGCTTTTTTGCTACAGCCTCGAGCTCCGGTAGTCTTCGCAGCCTCGCTCAGTATCCTCTCGTCGTCCGAGATGCGTCGTCAGCACTTCAACATGGATCAGTCAGTATATATTGTACTCATGTACTGAATTTAGAAACTGAGAAGTGTACAAACATTCATTCCGCTGCATCCCTCAGATTGAATTGCTCGGCGCTCGGAGGCGATGCTGCGCCGGGCGATTCAGCGCGCGCGGCTGCACCTGCCGGCGCCCATCGGCCACGACAACGGCGGCGGGGGCGACAGCTTCAGCGACGACGAGGACTCGCCCGTGAGCCCCAGCGTCGCGCACACCACACTGCGCGACGATGAGTCCGTGCGCGACCACTTCCGCAAGCGGCCGGAGGACGTTTCCGGCCTGCATTTGATCGTGGCGGGGGAGGCGGCGAAGGCGCGCAAAGGCCACGTGGCGGAGCTCAGCTCGGACAAGCAGCGCCGCGCTGCGGACGCCTGGGCGCGCTTGCAGGCGCTCTACGGCCTGTTCCGCCAGCTTGAAGCCGCCGCGGACGACGCTGCAGAAGACAGCGACACAGAGAGCGTGGACGCTGAAGAGAAGGAACTTGAGGTTCAGGAGAAGGAGACGCGCCGGCGACGCGGACGCGATGATGGCCTGCGGTCGCTGCTGCAGGAGGCGCGGCTGCCGCCGGGCGTGATCCTGCGCGACTTGAAGACGTTGTCGATGGCCGACGGCAGCGACGACAACGCCATGCCCCAGGGGTTCACAGCCGGCATGTTTGAGGCCCTGGGCAATGCCATGTACAATGAAATGCTCGCGGCTGCGGAGCAGAATCGTATTAGCCCCGACGCGTTCGAGGAGCTGGGCAACTGCCTGTACGCAGAGGCGGCGAGTGTCGCCGTATCTGCCACTGCTTAGGGTCAAGTTGCAGTTTATTATTTGCTCTTCATGTTGCCGTGGTGTCAAGTAATACATCGCAAATGAAAGGCGTAGCGTTGCGCTCGTTTCGAGTCCGTCTAGATGCTGCAAGCTTAAGCCTGGGCCTTGGCTTGCCAGTTGGCCAGCGCCTTGATCCCGTCGTTCTCCACCTGCTGAGCGCCCTGGAAGTCGAGCACTTCACCGTCCGGGCGGATGATCACGAGCGCCGGGATGCCGCTGTTCCGATGAGTGACGCCCACCTCCGCGTCGTCCTTGCCATTGCGGATGCCATACTGCGATTCACATGTCAAGTGACGGTCAGACACCGGCAGAAATACGTCGTTGGAGCGCGGAGGGGAGGTCTACTGGTTACCTTTCGGCGAAGCTCGTTGCGGATTTCGGCGTCGCGGGGCACCATCCACCAGTCGCCGTGCTTGGTTGAGAAGTGCGCCTGCTGGTCCTCCTCGGACATGTCGGAGCTCAGGAAAACCACGTCCAGCTGCTGCTTGGAGGCGTTCGCTTGCGCGTAGAAGTCATTGAGCTTTGGCTGGAACGCGCGGCAGTCCGGGCACCAGTTTGCCTGTTCAGAGCGAGCAGCGAGGTGTCAGAGTTAGCTCTAGAGGGGAGAGGAAGAGATACAGCAACGCACCGCAAAGTACAGAGCAAGCAGGCCCGACTGACCGACGTCAGCGCCGTCGATCGTCTCGCCCTTGGCGTTCACAAGCTTCGTGCCGTGCAGCAACGCGCTCGCCATGTTTCCAGTCGGCAGCTCACGAGAGATGACAACAAGCGGAGTGAGCGGGCCGTGTCTCTGGCAGGATAACCACAGACGATTGGCTGGACTTGAGACCTTCGTCTACAGCTCGACCATTCTCCAAAGGCGAGCAGGCTGCTCAGCAGCAGTGTTGGGTGACGTCTAGCAGATGATCTGCAGTGGTGCGCTCAAGCGCAAGCCCCTCTACCAGCGCCTCGTGGCCTCACACCATAGCCCGTGTACAGACTCAATGCACCATGCTGAATTCTTTACTGCTATAGAGTCCTCTCTCTCGCCTTATACTTTTTACTGCCACTTGGCGAGGGCCTTGATGCCGTCGCGCTCGATCTTGTCGGCGGCGTCAAAGTCCACAACCTCTCCGTCGGGCCGGATGACCACGAGCGTGGGGATGCCGCCCTTGCGCGTGATGGGGCTCAGCACACGCACCTCGGCGCCGGCGCAGACGCCGAACTTGCGCTTGAGCTGCGTGCGCGTCTCGCCCTCGAAGGGCACCATCCACCAGGGGCCCTGCTTGTCCTCGAAGTGCGCGCGCTGATCCTTGGCCGAGGCGTCCGAGCCCACGAAGACCACGTCGATCTGGTCGCGCGCGGCCTTGTAGAAGCTGTTGAGCGCCGGCTGGAACGCGCGGCAGTCCGGGCACCAGTCGGCCGCGAAGTACAGCGCCAGCACCTTGCCGTCCTGGCCCAGCGTCTCGCCCTGCACGGTCTCGCCCTGCGCGTTCGTCAGCGTGATGCCCTGCAGCAGCGCCTTGCTCATTGTCGTCGCGGAGAAGGAGGAGGAGAAGCAGCGGCGGCGTAGGTTGGTCAATGCCATCATCGGTGATCGAAGAGCTCCATGCGCGTCGATTTGAAGGCGCGCTGTGATTGGCCGAGGCACGGAAAATCGGAGTGGCACACACGAATACCGAAACATGGGGTAAATGGTGTGGCCCACACAGAGTTCGTCAGGCCAGCCAATCGCAGCGCTGACAGCCAACTTCAACGTCGCCAGCTGGGAACGCGCCGAGAACGCTGGGCGCAGACGCGCGCCATACTCAGGTCAAGTCAGCGGCCCAACCTACACTTGCGGCACCTTGGCCGGCATAAAGCAGCTCGCGTCTGCATTAGGACGCCCAAGTGAAACTGGCTGCGAACGCGTGAGCGGCCGCCGGAGCCGAGCTGAGTGCTCATACATGCATACATACACGCGCGTTACTGCTCTCAGATCTCCACTACGGGTCCTGCCGAGCTCAGTCCGCGACGACGTCATTCTGTATTGTCCGTTATCCCAAAAATAGAGCGTAACGCGCCGCCATTGGTGCAAAAGCTGCTTAACCTGCGCGCATTGGATGAAATAGCGGGGGCACGCCATCTGAGTCGGTTGCTCGTCCCAGTTCAGTCACCAACAGCATCTCGCTGGGGACACGGCCGACGCAGCACCAAAGGACGCCGCGCGCTCGAGCGCGCCGCCCCGGTCCACGCCCCAAGCCCGGCGGCAGCTCGTCCAGTCGATCCGCGCGCGCATCGGCGCCCTCCCGCTCGAAATCCGCGCGCTGGAGGCCGCGCGACGCATGTAAGTGTGCGTGTCGTCGGTCCTTTCCCTGCCTGGCAGCTGGCGATTGTCCTGCGTGGCGCGTTCCTCGCTCTCTGCGCCAGCGGCCAATGGCGCCGCTCGGCCCGCGTCTGATTCCGCTGCTGTTTGCGTTGTGGTGCGGCTGCAGTGCAGTGCATCAGTGCCATTAGAGTTCAAGCCGCCGACCATGATGAACGAGAGGCGCCGCAAGCTGCAGACCGTCCCGGTGGACCACTACGACGGCCAGGCCATCTACAGCGACAACGAGCTCATCTACGAGCTCGGAGGGTACCTCGGCGGCGGCGCGGCCGGCGTGTGAGTACCAGTATACCTAGAGATGTATTGAAGAGCATTATAGACTGATAGAGGGGCTTGTGTATGTATTGAGCAGAGTCTACGAGGCCTTCTCTACGCGCACCAAGCAGCACGTGGCCATTAAGATACTAAACCCTGTCGGCTACAAGCTGTTTCCCAGCACGTTGCTGGCGCGGTGTATTGTCGCCGTTAAGGGCAAGCCGCTGGTGGTGCTACCCTCCGACGATGCAGAGCTAGGAGATGGTGGAGGAATGGGGACGGACCGACGAGCGTTCGCCGGAGGGAACCACCGCATGCGCTCCAACTTCGGAGCGCCCAGAGTCACGACCGAGCGCATCCGCGTGGAGAACGTTTGGTGGCTGATCCACCCGACGTCCAAGCAGGCCATTGCGGCCTTTGAAGACCCGTACACGGGACATGTCCGGGAGCTTACGTTGCCGCAGTGCATCCAAGTCTGGGGCGAGCAGATGAATCAGAGTGACCGACAACAGACCGACCCTGCCGAGTCGTACCAGGAAGTGCAAGTGAAGAACCAGACGATCAAAGTCCCTCGCATTCCCAAGAAGTTCATCAAGTTTGCGCACACGCGGCGCTCGATCCACCGCGAGATCTCGAACATGTCTGGGCTGGAGTATCACGAGAACGTGCTGCGTCTGGATGAGGCACTGGAGCTCGTTCAGGACAGCAAGTGTACGACGTTCCTGGTACTGGAGCTGGCTGGAGGTGGAGAACTCTTTGATCGTATCAAGCTGGACTGCGGCACCGACGAAGAGACAGCACGTCTGTACTTCCGTCAGCTAATTTCTGGCGTTGCATTCTGCCACAACTCCGGGGTGTGCCACCGCGATCTCAAGCCGGAAAACCTGCTACTCGCGGACAACGAGGAGCACTCGACGCTCAAGATTGCCGACTTTGGACTGTCCGCGATCTTCGCCTTCACGGAGAATGATGCGAGTGGTGGAGCCAATGGAAATGGTATTGACCAGCCAGCTATTCGGCGGTTGCGGTCGGTGGTAGGGTCGCCGCACTACGTAGCCCCGGAAGTTCTGATGGATGCTGGTCAAGGATACGATGGAGCAAAGGCCGATGCGTGGTCCATTGGAATAATCCTGTACGCTATGATCGCGGGCAACTTGCCGTTTGGGAAGGACCTCCTCAAGTGCGTTCGCTACGATCGGTTCCGCAAGTGGTCGTACAATACCAAGTACAGTGACGACGACCCAACCGTCGAGGTCGAGTTCCCAACGTGGTTTTTCCCCGCACATTTCTCGTTGGAGCTGAAGTCGCTGATCGCACAGTTGCTGTACCCTGATGCGTGCATGCGTCTATCGGTTGATGAAGCTCAGCACCACGTGTGGGTTCGTGGTGAAAAGCTCAAGAAACCGAATCCGTCTTCAATCCTGGAAGACGACCAACTCCCCAGTAATGCCGCGCCCCTCAATCCAACCGGTTTACCTCCGCCGTCACCCCACCCGTCTTATAAGAATCGTATGAACGTCGCGGTTAACACCCTACAGGACAGCATCGAGTTGGGACAGCACATGCACCCAAGCCAACTGGGATCTGTTTCGCCGCAGGCGATCACCAGACTTCTCGCCAAGTCGCCCAGCCCCCACGGACACGCATTCCGCTGCCCGCCGTCACCACAACAAGGTCTTCGTGTGAACAAACACCTCGCAGGTGTTGTCGGCTACATGCCCTCGGTGGATGAGACCTCGTCCATGTCGGGCCAAACTCCGCTGAATTCTCCTCGCGATGCGAAGAACAACAGCAGTTTCGACCAGGATCTTGATAACGATGCTTCTGACGCATCGTCGACCACCAAAGAGCTGGACGCTTGTAATATTTCTGAGGCTGGTGCGCTCTTGAAGCAGGAAGCGCTCGTGCGTGAAGCGACCGTGACCACATCAATGTCTCTAGCGGAAACTGTGACTGCTGGAGGGGTTGGTGATATCGAGAGCGAAGCTGTGATCGCCCCCACCCAATTGGTATCACAGGATCCTCAAAGGCACCAGCACCGTTTCGTGTCTCCACCGCTCGTCACCGGATCTCGGGACGCGATGCCCATTCGATTCCGCCGGAACTCACCCCCGGAACTATTTCTTCGTGGCTTTGCGCGTGGACACTTTCGCGAACTCACGAACGGTGATATCGGCAATACCGGTGCATTCGACGGCATCAACATCTTGGGCCGCTCTCCGCCCTTACTCCCGCAATCAATTGCCGTCCCTAACGAACTGCAAAGCCTACCGATCAACCGCACACTGACTGAGCCGCTGATGTTCTCGGTTAAAACGGAGACGGGCGCTAAGTGCACACCGGCTCAAGTGGGCGAGGAAGATCAGCAGACAAAGAGTCAGGTCTCACCTCCATCGTACAGTGACGTCGTGGCTCGCTCCACTCGATTTCTGACGGCACTCCCGGCAGGATTGGTGCTCTCCAACATCGAGACTGCTCTGGAAGCCAACCCCTGCCCCCTTCCGTACGAGTACTCCAAAGTTCCTCAAGCCGTGACCATCGATTGGGACAACTACCAGCTTGAAGTACGGTACGCTGGTCTTTTGACCTGCACCGTGCAGGTGTTCCTCTTCCAGCGCGGTGTCTATCTCGTCGAGTTCCGACGCGGCCATGTGAGTTCACTTCTATTGCTTTTTAACCGTGTTGGTGTGCGTATGATGCTAACGAAGTGCTGTTTTTGGGTGGAACAGGTCGATATTTTCCAGTTCAAGCGCTTCTACGAAAAGATCCGTGCGCAGATCTCGGAAGGAATGGATGGAGGCTCCGAACAACCGTCGCCATCATACCGCAAGCGCAACAACTCGATCTCCGATGTTTTTTTAAGGTGAAAGCATGACGCTCAACTCTTATCAAGATATATTCACTCCAACGTTTCCGTTTTCACCCACAGCCGACGAACGCTGTACGTCCGTTTGCTTCAAAGTGAAGTATCAATTAGGAATATATAATGCTCTATCGCCGCAATATAAAGAGCGTGGTGATCTTCTATCAAGCGACTACATTTTTTCGCTTATTGATAAGCACACAGGATCACTCAAGACGTGAGTTAGGCTATAGTGTATGGTTCATTATCATTACGTTAGTGGTGGTATGAGCTTTGCTTCTTGCTTGCTCGGGGTGGCTTTTTGTGACGATTTTTGAGCGACTTGAGGTAAGGCTCTGCCACTGCCGTCGTCGAAGGCGATTTCCCCAACGAAAGCACGGCTGCCAGACTTCCAGTCGGTTCGACGTAAAGCGGCACAGTGTTCTTCTTCTTCAGCCGAATGTACGGGAGTGAGGCGTTATTCAAGTGCAGACCCCAATGCTTGTGATAGGACACAGGAGATGCTGCTGCCACTTGCTGGTGATTGTCGCGATGCCTGTTCGCCTTACTGGGGTAAAGGTGTTCTCGGAGCTCTTCAAGAAATCCTCCTCGGCCACTTGCAGTCTTGGTAGCTTTAATATCTGGTAGATGGACACGAATACTGTCGCGATCAGAACTTTGCGGCTGTGGACTTCCTGACATTAGAGCTGGTAGGTCCAGGTGGAGATCGTTCGGTAGCGACTCCGAGAGAAGCCTCACGTCCAGTGGGTCCATGACCAGATCATCATTGTTACCGTGCTGACCATCCAAGCGAGGGCTGGCGCCAATCTGCAGGTCTCGCAACGTTTGCAGCTGCATTTTGTCGATTTCTAGGTGCCCAATCCGGTATTCCATCAGCAAAACTTCGCGGATCAACTCGTTGCGCTCCATCAGGGGGATCTGCTCAATCCCTCGACGGAACTCGTCCATGGTCCGCTCATTTCTGGCTAGCTGTTGTATCAGTACTTCTCGCTCTCGAGTGAACGAGGCCAAAAGTTGGTCGTCCACGTTTTTTTTCATCACGTCCGAGATTGTATTTGGATTCCTCCGTGGACTGGTAACCAGTGTGGAGCTTGTCGTGGTCGTTTGGGAATTCTCGCCTTCTTTACCCGATGACTCGGTGGTAGATGAAGCGGTTGTTACAACTGGAGATGCTGGACTTGGTTCATCTTTTGATCCCGTATCTAGCGTTGTTTCGTTGTGTTTAGCCTGCAGTTCCTTCACGTGAAGTCGAACCTGCGGCACAAGCACAACAGTGAGTTTCGATGACACCAGCTTTTGAATAGTAATATTTGGTTTGTACCTGGTGCTCCAGTTTCAACAGTGCGTGATGCAGTCGACCACGCTCTTGGAAAGACTCGGTGATGTACTGTCGAGCTTCACGCAGTTTGGCAGATTTCCAGCCTTCCTCCTCTGAATTGTTGTTGCCAGTGTTGCCATTAACAGCAGAATTTTTACTTTCGACCCAGCGTTGCTCGCTCTCTCCGGGAGACTGCTGACTTTGTTGGTGCTGTTGCAACGCCTTCTTCAATGCCGCGATTTCTTTCTGAAGCTTGGCCACGAGAGTGTTCTGGTTCAGCGTGGCTTGATCGGCCTCAACGATATTTTTCCTTAACGTCGTTTTGATGTTCTTGGCTCGATTTGCATATTTCAAAGTGTTCAATGTTTCCTCCACACTCGATGCAGCCAAGCTCACGTTGGCAATCATCACCGTCCGACAGTTGCCACCGAGCGAATCCTTTAGCAGCCTCGTGAGTTTGCTATCTCGGTACGGCACGAACGATCCTGCCGCAGCTCCTTTCTCACCAAGAGCATTGATGCAGTTGCCCAGTGCCAACAGCGACCGATTAATGTTGGCCCCTTCAAGCAATCTCTGGCCACGGTTTTGCGTCACTGCAGCTCTCTCGCTTCCAGCCAGATCCACCAAAGACAGCTTGCCGAACTTTACTTCTGTGGTCTCGGATCCCTTCTCGTCGGTATCTTCCGGGTCTGCAGTACCATCACCATGACCAATTTTCTCTTGCTGCTCGATATGCACTTGCAACACTGCATGAGATCGCGAGGAGACCGAGTTTGCCGCTGTACTCTCCTGTGATCGGTATTTGTTGCCTCTGCGCAGCAATTTCATCACATCCCGAGCATTATTCGCTTCGACTTCCGAAAGTCCGGCCACAACAGAGCCTCGAACCGGGTCTTCCCGCAAGTCCAGGAACTCGGATGTTGGCATAGACGTCGAAGAAGAGCAAGAAGAACTGGCGGACAGCAGGTCGCGAATGTTCTCGTTGTACACTTCGAGAAAAGACACCGAAACTCGGTACTGCACTTTTCCTGCCGGATCTGCGTGCACGCGCCCAATATTCTTGAACAAGTCTTCGAGCGTTCTCGCCATGATGCCAGGCTCCTCCGGGGTACCGAGCATCGTGTACGTCTTCCCGGCACCTGTGCAACCGTAGGCAAATACTGTCGCGTTGAAGCCATTGAGTACTCCGTGGATCAAAAACTTGGTCGTGTGTTGGTAAACCTTTTGCTGGTCGTCCTGTGGCGAGAAGACGTAGTCATACGCATAGCGCTTTTCCCGACTGCGTGTGCCAGTCTGCCCACTACTGACCGACGGAGATGCAGACGCGTGCCGCGGCTTACGCAGCGGGTCCATTGAATACCGTCGAACGGGGGAGTTGGCACTGAGAATGGACTCCACCAGCCCTCCAGGGCTGCGCGTCAGTACGGCCACCTCTTTATTGCCCAAGACTTTGACGATCTCCTCACGGTCTCGGTCGTGGCTCAGAATTGGTCGGAGCCGCACTGTCACGAGAATATTGGCCTGCCCCGCCCACATCTTCTGTCTGTACGTGTCGCTGTCTGTGTCTTCATCGGTCTGCGCATTGCCGTCGGTCTTTGGGGTCAGGTGCGGCAGGAAGTTCTTGCGCGGGATCGGCCTCGCGTCCGCGACCTCGCGCTCGCCCTTGGAGTACAGCGCGCCGCCCTCGATCCGCGCGTGGCTCGTCATGGGCCGCAGCGCCACGGGCGAGAGCAGAAACAGCGGCGCGCTGTCACTCGTTGACTGTGAGAGGAGGCCCGAGTCTCGCGCCAGCGACATCTGCTGCTCCACTCGCTCGACCTTGTCGAAAGTCAGAGCCCCGCAGCTCGCTGAGCGTCCTGCAGTGTCAATGATGAGCCAGCCATTAGAGAACTGCACCACAGTTTTCTCGACTTCACCCCCGCTTTATATAGCCCCATAGATAAAGATAGATACATGTAGATAACTTCAGCGACCATCACTCTGTGATAGTTGAAGTTGCCTTTTTGGTGGATACGGTCTCAAGTGTATCCGTCGTTGGCACGTGCAATGGTAGGAAGGTGCCGAGGTCTTGGGGCTGCACAAGTGGCGAAATGACAGGCACTAATACTGGTTCGGTGTCCATCGTACGCTGATTTTCTGAGCGGAGAATGAGTCGTAGCGCTCTGGAGACCATGAGCGCGCGAATGGCCATTCCGGGTCTGTATGGATAGTTGCGCGCGGCGTCTGCGCTTCTCGAGTGGTGGCGGCGGCTTTTGTCCACAGGGCCGTCTGCAAATCAGCGGATATGCGAGTGCCGTCCAATGGGTCCGGAGTTGGCATGAGTTTGTTGTTGCTTCACGCTGCCGATGGCGATCCGGTGGCGACTCCACCTGATTGATGAACGACGCGCGAAACCCCGCGATGAAGGCGCCAGCGCGCTGTCCAGTGAGCCCTAGCGTCTGGCGGGCGAAGTACTTAGTACAAGTAGGTGACAAGCTGACCTCGTGGCTGAGAGCGGTTTGCACCAAACTGGCGCCTGCGGCTGCAGCGTCCACCACGGCGCTGGCGACGGCGACGGGTGGCGCGACTAACACGGCAAGTCCCCGACAACTTTCAACTTCGGTCCAGCGGCGATCGTCACGGGATCAAGTTCGGCCAGCCAAACGACAATGGCCTGCTGGGTGATGCTGCACCCCGCTCCAGACTTACGACCGGAGGACGCTGCGCTGGTCGAATATGCAATATGCAATCTACCTACGCATGAAGAAGAGGCAGGCTCGCCTCAGCTTCACTGTTGAACCAAGGAGTTGATGGTGGACTTCAGGCCGTCGTCCGGCCGCCCTCGCTGTACTGTATGTAGCTGGAAATCGGGCCACTGGCGTGGCACGGGACGACAGGCGAGCCCCACAGCCCCGATGATGACAACACGGCTCGGTACACATGCAACCGAGAGATACACGTCGTGAAACGGGGGGCTGCTGGTGCTTAGCGTGCACAATGCGCCGAGCCTCGAGCGTCTGCACGCTGAGAAACGGCATGGCGAACGTTGAAGCGAGCTCGCAGAGGTGGGGCCGCGCCGCCATCATGGCGATGGTCTCCCTCGTGGACAAGGCGTGATGTTTGACAATTTTTGCGGTGCATACTCGGCTCAAGTCAAGTCGGCTCTTCCAAAGCTACACTTCCACATCCCGCGCGCGCGAAAGGCCTTGACCTCGCACGAGTCACCTCGTGATCCGAGCCTTTCCCTATGGCCCCGCGGTCTCTGCACTGGGCAAGGCGGCGACGGCGGGGCCGTCTCCTTTTCGGCCCGATCTCGCAGATGTGTCCGAGGCCCACAATGAAACGACGAGCCTCGGGCAGCGGAGCCCGGCGCTCACGACGTCGCCCCAGCAAGAAACGAGGCGAGCGGCGTGCAGCCATTCGAGCCATGGTTGCAGGTGGGGCTCGAGTCGACTCGACTCGACTCGACTCGACTCGACTGTCGAGCCCTGAGCGGCGCGACTGGCGCAGCCCCCCCCCAGCAGTAACGCTGCAGTCGTGGACGCGGCCGCAAGCAGATGGATGCTATATTTTTCAGCGCGATGGTGGTGGGGCGCGGCGATCACTTGCATTTTTTGCATCAACGTCACTGCTTGGCCCACTTGGCAGGCCCAAATGGATAGGCCATTCATTACCTACGCGCTTGAGTCAACTCGCGTGACCGAGGCATACAAAACGCAGGTCGTCGGGCGCCAACAGCTGTTCCAAACCTGTCACTGGAGTGGGCCGCGCCGTGGCTCTGCGCTGATGGAAATTGTGGTTCTGCGCGCTCGGCCCCCCCACGGCCGGAGATTGTGCGCCGTGCCACCGACGCCTTGCCTTCGTGTCCGGCATGAAAATCCACCGAGGCTCTTGATTGATCCCATGGCAGCAGCAACCTTGGCAGGCGGTGGCTGCAGCCATGGCGGCAACTGCAGGCTCCGGTGGCAATCAAGAACGTCCTGGGCGACGCCCCCCCCCGCTGCGTTTAAGGCGACCAACTGGCACCGAACCAGCAGGCGAGACTGTAGCCGGTTTTGTGGGGGGCGCCGAGGCTCGCTGCTTCCGAGCGCCCAGCTGGACCATGGTTGCCTCGCCGCCAGCGCAACGCGGCCGCAGCCGGCAGCCCAGTCAGCCAAGACTGCAACAGCGGGCGCCGCGAGCAGTCACCGACCGGGCCGGGATCGCAGCGATCCGACCAGATCCCGGCTGCGACTGCGAGCTCCGGCACGCGCCGCAACAGCTTACCGGTATCGAAATCAGCCCGCCCCAGCAGCAACAGCAACAGCAGACTCCGTCCGTCAAACGCGGCTCGGCCGGAAGCCGCCCTGAAGCTGCTCGCCGCCGGGAAGCCGATCTCGTCGCAGAGCGAGTGATTTTTCGCTCTCTCCGCTTGACGCCGAAGAGCCGGCGGCAGGTCCCCCCATGTGGTCAGCGCCGTCGGCGGCTAGGGGTCGGAAACGGCCCCGTCTCTCACGCGGCTCTCTCTGTCGCCTGCCTGCCTGGGGTCGGTCAGTCCAGTCGGCGATTTGCCAGCGCAGGGACAAGTAGGTTGTGCAGGAGCGAGCGCGACGAGAATACACAGACCCAGGAGACACATAGCCACCCACCCGATGAACATGCGCGGCCTGGCAGCGACCGTGACGTCCTGCATCGGCGGCAAGGACGAGAAGTTCGCGGTGCAGGTGCGCCCCGCCGCGCCCGCGAGCGTCTACTTCGTGTACAAGACCATGGGCGAGTTCGACGCGCTCTGGGGGTCGCTGGAAGCCCTCGCGCGCGACGTCAAGCGCCCCGTTAGCAGCAGCAGCCAGGACGAGGAGAAGAAGCCCAGCCTGCTGGCAAAGTGGCTCGCGGGCGTCGTGGACCACTACGCCTTCCGCCAGATCATTCGCGACCTGCGCGCGCAGGAGAAGGAGACCATGAGCACGCTCAACGTGCTGCTGCAGTTCCTCGTGGCGCGCGTGTCCGCGCTCTTCGTGGAGCGCCGCCTGCTGCACTGCGGCTCGTGCCAGATCGGCCGCCAGCTCGTCAAGCTCGTGCGCGACTTCCTGCAGCAGCCCGTGGCGGCCGCCAAGGCCGAGCCGGTCGTCGTCCTCTCGAGCAAGCCCGCCAAGGACGGCCGCAAGCGCTCGTTCGAGGAGATGCGGCCCGAAGACGGCGAGCAGCAGCGCAGGAGCCTGTTCCCCACGCGCAGCGGCGGCGAGCGCGCCGTCAAGACGCAGAAGCTCTGCGGCATGCGCGAGTGGGTTATGCCCCCCGTGGGCAAGCTGGGCATGGTGGCACCCGTGGCGTCCCGTCGGCGCGTGTTCGCCGAGGTGGAGTTTTGAAGAGGTCGAAGAGGAAGCTATTTATCAAGAGGAATATCGGCATAGATCGTAAAGTAGGCCGGCGCAGGCCGCGTATTTAATATAAGCCACGAGAAGCTTTTTCCCAGGACATGTACATGCAAGACGTTGCGTTTTAGGTGGGGATGGTGAGCGCATCAGGCACGGCCATCGGCTGGCCGATAGGATAGCTGGCACACGCTGAGTTGACCAGTTCAGGTCAGCCAGCTGAGAGGAGCAGCCGTGAGCAACGGGCGCGAGCTGTCAGCGGGTGACCGAGCGAGCGGCTCGCAAGCTTGAGGCTCAAGCAGCCGATCCCCGGATGGAATTTCTTTGTTGGACCGGCGGCCGTCGTCGTCATCCTCTCTACGGCATCGGCCAGGATGGGGCCATGTCCGGCTTTGGAAGAGCCGAATGGGATCCTAGGTCTCATATCCGCCGCCGCAGTCACTGTCGTCGATTGACGGCGCGGCGTCGCGCGCCCGAGCGTCGCAGATCTTCTGCGCTGGCAGGCTCCGAGTGGCATTTGCTCGGGTCCCGCCGCGCTCCAACTCTCCGCACTCTGTGCGGCCGAGCTCGCCTGCCCGAGGATACGCTGCGGGCCTGGTCGGCGAGCGCTGCGGCCGCCTCGAGCACCGCTGTCCGAACACCCGCGAGGATACACATGTAGAAATGCCTGCGCTCAGCAAGCTATCAGTCAGTCAGTCATCGGTCTCCGCAGTTCGCTCAGGCTGTCTTGGTCACCCGAGGCCGGTCCACCAACAGGCCAGCCGGCCGCGGCACCGCGGAGTTGAAGTCGAGCAGACGCCGCCCGATCAGATCGGCCGCAATTGAGATTGCCGCGGCAGGAACACGCCCGGCCTGCAGCTGCAGGCTACGCTGTCACAGGGAGGGCGCTCAAGTTCAGCTTTATGACAACTTATACCAGCTCGCTCCACGTCATCGTGCTACAATACCCTACGATCTCAGTTGTTGCCGCCCAGCAGCATGGCACTGATTTTCCCTCTGCTGATTGATTGCCTTGCACTTGCATCGCATGGGTCAACCAACACCTCTGTCATTGCCACCCTGGTTGCACTGCCGCTGTTGGATACCTTCACCCTTGACGTGCCCTCTGCAAACACTCCGACACCACTTGTGTTTGTTGTTGACTCCTCCACTGTCGCACGCTTCGCGCACACACCTCTGCTCGTTGCACTATTGGCGCGCGTAAGACACCAACAGCCCAAGCACAGCTCCCAATATTTTTCGCTGCATCCACAACCCACACACAGGTAGGTGGGTTAATGGCAATCAACACGTTGATTGTTGCACGCTTCCTGCTTCATCCGCCCTTCAGCACAACCGGCTGAAGCTTCTTTCACTCCTGGCCGCCAACCCCCACCCCACTCGATTCGACCCTCGCCGTCACGCTTCTCTCTCGACTGTCCACCTTCACGTTCACACTCATTTGCCTTCGTTTTCACCTTGATCTTCCATGTCTTCTTCTCCTGCGTACGCATACTCCACGCCACCTGAGAACCACCGACTTACTTGCAGTACAGGTTGCGGTCAATGACCGGCGGGATTGGCCGGATTTCCGTGCCGAGCTCCTGCTCGATCCGGTACAGGTTGAAGCGGTCCTCGTACGTGATCATATTGATGGCCAGACCGAGGTGGCCGTACCGGCCGGAGCGACCGATGCGGTGCAGGTACGTCTCTGAGTTCTTGGGGAAGTCGAAATTGATCACGACGTTGACCGTCTGGATGTCGATACCGCGCGTGAACAGGTCCGAGCACACGAGGTGGCGCGTGGCGCCGTTGCGGAACTCGTGGAACACGCGGTTGCGGTGCGCCTGGTTCATCTTGGCGTGGATGTAGAAGCACGAGTAGCCGAGCTCCGTCACCTTCTTGGCCAGCAGCTCGACGCGGTTCACCGAGTTACAGAAGATGATGGACTGGTTGATGTCGAGCTTGGAGAACAGCGTGTTGAGGCAGTGCACCTTCTGTCGCTCCTCCACGAAGGCGTAGAACTGGGAAACACCCTTGAGCGTGAGCTCGTCCATGAGGTTGATCTCGTACGGGTTCTCGACGAAGCGGTCCTTGAAGGCCTTGACCGTGACGGGGAAGGTGGCCGAGAAGAGGCAGATCTGGCGCTGCTTGGCCGTGTGGTTCAGGAGCTGCTCCAGCAGCGGCTGGAACTCGGGGGACAGCAGCTTGTCGGCCTCGTCCATGATGACCGTGGAGCACTGGCTGAGGTCGGCCACGCCCTTGTTGGCCAGGTCCATGACGCGGCCCGGGGTGCCCACTAGAATATGCACCGTCTGGTAGAGACGCATGATGTCGTCCTTGAGACTCGTGCCGCCCGTGGACACCATGCACTCGACGCCCATGTGCTTGCCGATCTCCTTGACGATGGCCGACGTCTGCAGCGCCAGCTCGCGCGTGGGGACGAGGATCAGCACCTGGATGTGCTTCTTGCTCGTGTCCGTCTTCTCGAGACACGGGATGATGAAGGCGGCCGTCTTACCGGTGCCGTTCTTGGCGCGGGCCATGACGTTGCGGCCCGCGAGGATGATGGGGACGGCCTCCTCCTGGATGGGGGACGGCCGCTCGAAGCCCTTCTCGAAGATGCCCATGAGCAGCTCGCGCTTGAGGAAGTAGTCCTCGAACTCGTTGCCCTTGACGTTGGTCACGTCCTCGGTCTGCACGCGCGTGTCCTTCTCCGGCCGCTTGAGGGAGGCCTTCCAGTTCTCCTCGTCGGCGGGTTGCTGCTGCTGTTGCTGGGCCATTGTTGCTGCTTGGGGTGGGCTCTCTCTTAGGGATACAAAGGTACTAAAGTGGCTAAAAAGATAAAAAGATGCAGAGAGCCTGGGGCTTGCTTTGCTGCCGGTAGTGCTTGGGGGTTCGCTCGCTTCTTGCTTCAGGCAGCACGGGACGGCTGCTGCTTACTTGTTGCTTCGGGATCTTCCGGGCGTTTTTCGGTTTTGGAGGCTCCCCCTCCAAAAACACTGAGGTTGCTGCTTGAGGGGAGAGTTGCTGCTTGAGGGGAGAGCGAGGTTGCCGACCTGCCGGTACAAACCGGGTTCTCACACTCAAATACATTTTCGTTGGTGTTTGTTTCCTGGTGCTTGCCCTACCTTGTTGTCTTTCTTCTTGCTATCAACTGTGCATTTCGTGTGCTCTTTTTGATTTTTGGTCTCGCGTCGAGTCGCTTCTTCGTTTCTGCTAGCGCCTAATTCTTCAAGTGTTTCTCGTCTTTCGTCAATTTCCAGCATATCACGCTCACCAGCGTGGTGTGTCGACATGAGAGGACGGACTTGCGTGGCCCTCTCTCGCTTCAATGTTCAGTGTCAGTGCCGTCCCTCATCTTCTACCAGGCACCGCCCGACGAGCGCGATCTCCGACGCTCCATCACCGGAAACTTGAGTTCCGGTGCCATCTCCGGTGGCTCACCACTACGACGGAAGCCAAAGCCCCGCGTGCCGTCCGGGCCAATCGCCTGGCGGTATAGCTGGTTGCTGCCGTTGAGTCCCATGCCAGGGGGTGGCGCCAACACGTTGCCCCCGAGGTTGTTGGTGTTGTGTACAGGTGACTGCGCCATCCGCGGCGACGACAGGTTCAGCTTCGGGCGCGTGCCCGACGATGACGAGCGAGCACGGAAAGCTCCCGGCTGCGGAGGAGCGCCCACCGTTGCTGCGCGGCTGCGCGACTCCCATCGACTCGGCGACGGTGCGAAGTAGTCCTTCTGCCCATTTCCACTTGATGAGCCTCCGCTGAGCCCGGCCAGGCCGCCCATGCCACCACCATTGTTGGCATCGCCCGTCAGATTGGCGGGCGGGCGGAACTCCAGCTTGACCTTGCTTGCGTACTTGCGGCCACTCTTCTTGTTCTTACCCACAGTGAACGACACATAGTCACCCTGTCTGATGTCCACGTTGCCGTCCTCATCCGGAATGAGGCGGAACGAAATACAGGCCGAATCCTGTCGCGTCGGCGTAATGAGCCCGCCTGCGCCACGGATCGAGTAGACCGTACCAGTGTTCACCTTGCCTTCACGGAGGTCGTCCAGGCCTTCACCCACCGATTCCACGTGCACGGGGCGCGTAAGTGCCGAGGCCGACTTGGCGCGCCGACGGTCACCACCAAGCTCCACGGGGAACATTTTCTGCTTCAACTTGTCGCAGTTCGTGCCGTCAAAGAGCACAACCTGCATGCCCGTGCGCCAGTTGTACTGGTCCGACAGCGTCAGCACGGCGTGCTTGGTCATCTCGTCGTCCACGAACTCGATGATAGCGTACGTCTCGCCTGCCGCGATAGGGGGCTTCAGCACCGCGTTGCGTCCCGTGGTCGTGTTCTTCTTCAGCAGACGCAGATACGAGATCTCGCCACATCCCTGGAAAGTTTCACGCAGCGACGCGACCGACGCGTCCTCTGGCAAATTGTACGCAATGGCCGTACGGGCCAACTTGCCGTGGTACGTCTGGTTGGGGGCCAGCGGCTCCTTCCGACACACCATCGTCTCGTCCTCATTCAGCAGCAGCTTGGTCGACAGTTCCAGCGCCTTCTTGATCTGCTCCATGTCAGTCGTGAGCTTCTTCACGCGACCAAACGAAGCCAGCAGGTCCAGCTTAACGTATCCATCCATATTCATGTTCTTCAGCAGGAACAGGTCGCCCAGCAAGTTCTCGTCGCAGAAGTAGTACTCCAACTGGTCACAGATCGTGCGGAGGAAGGTGGCCGGCAGCGGCGCGCCCGTGAGCTCGCCCGACGCATCTCCAATGTGGCCAGCCTCAGTGTTCTCCTCGCTCGAGAGCTGCAGCGACTGGACAGCCTGGCCAATGGCTCCCACGGCCACGTCGTCGCTGGGCGGCGGGGGCACCATAATGTTGAGTGCCGGCGGTGGCGGGCCCTGCGGCAGCGGAGGCTGATGGGGCCGCAAGCTTTGGCCCTGCATCTGCATCTGGTGGTGGCGATGCGTGGCGGCCGCCGCGGCCGACACCGAGGTGTCGTCTGCGAACGAGTTCCAGGCCGATCCTAGCGCCGACGGCTGGATCGGCGCCGAGAACGAGCGGTTGCGGCTAGACGCGTAGTACTGCGAGGCGAGCTGGGCCATGACGTCCATTTCGTCCGAGCGGTCGCCGCTGCGGCGGCCCGGCGAGCGGCCAGCGTTGCGGCTGTAAGGGGGCGATCCGGCCGACGAGAGGAAGCCGTCGGCCGCGAAGGACGGCAGCGGCGGAGGTGGCGGCGGCGGGTTCGCGCCGTGGCCCGAGTCCGGGTTGGTCGACATGTTTTTAAACTTGAACTGGAATAGACACTTGCGGCCTCGGGGGGAATTGGCAGACTGAGCTGAGAGAACGACACAATAGATAAAGATATCAGTGCTCGTGCGCTCCTGTCTTATCACTGTACTTGACTCTGGAGCCACAGATAGAGCCACAGAGTGGAGAGGAATACAGTGGCGTCCGTACCTGTCTCTTTGCTGGGTTTGCCTAGATAAGACAGGAGAAAATAGACACACACAAGAGTGGTGGTTTTACAAAGTGTAGGTTAGTTCTCCACTGAAAGAAAAGATACTCACTCACATCAATCGATCCAAGGCTGTCACGGATTATGACAGTGGCAAAGCGACCGACAGAGGCGCGTCGTACCTTTCTGCTGCTAACACAGCGGCGGCAACAGCGGGCGATTAGGCAAAAGGGCTCCTTCTTTCGGGTCGAAGGGTTTTACTGGGGTCTTGTTCCCTCGCCCCCTCGCTGTCACTTCGAGGAGGGGAAGGGAAGGGAAGGGCGCGCTCTGTCGATGAGGGTAACTGCGGAGTTGGCGGCGGACGGTTGGGGCCCAACGCGTGGCGAGTCTCTCGGCGGAGGCGAAGAGGGGGCGGCGCTGGGGCTGAAGTGGAGCGGTGGTCCGACACTGGGCGCGGCGTTCCTGTGTGTGGGCCGATCTGTCTCCCCCTTCCGCGATCTCCGGCCGCTCCGGTAAAGTGCGAGAGCAACTGCCGAGCAACCTTGGGCGGTCCTGTCGCAGATTGGCGCCTGCTCGGCGACACAAGCACGCTTACGTTGCGGCAGTGTTGCCACAGCGAGAAAGTTTCGTGCAACTCAGCCAGCTTCGTCGTTGGACAGCACAAGCTTCAACACGTGTTTTCTCCGCTGCAGCGCTGTCTCCGGCTAAAATGCAGTCGCCACGCAGCCTCCGCGCTCTATCCGTATAAGCTCCATCGCTCGACCATCCACGCGCCAGTACCCTCTTCACTTGACTTGCGACTGCCGCATTGCCGTAAGGAGCTTCAGCACTTGAATATAAATCTAGGAAACGTGCGGCCGAAATGTCTTTTTTCGACACTTGTTGCCTGCGTCAAGATGGCATTTACAGTACACGTGTTTTTTCGACACTTGTTGCCTGCATCAAGATGGCATTTACAGTACACGTGTAAGGCTGCATGAACTCTGCGTGTAAGTTAGGGAACTCGAGCTTATCGTTGGTGTCGGCCATGGTGCCCGATCACGATGTGATGATGGTCCGCCCTGGGTGGTCAGCCGCATTGTGAAGCCATGTCACCGGTTTCTTTTCTGAAGCAGGGCCGCGGAGTATCATACGCAACGCACTGTGAACAAGGTTTTTTCAAGACGTGATCGATGTTTTGCTAAGTGATCGGCGGCAGCTTTGGCGTATTGCCGGTGGAAGCCGGCTTGCCCGTCCGAGTGCTGCCAGCTTGGCCTGAAGAACCTTCGCTCGTGCCCGGGTTGCTGCCGCCGCTCGGGTTCGAGGCGTTGTTGCTAGCACTATTGCTGTTCCCCGCCTTGGCGTTCTGGGTAGACGAACGAAATATTTACGCGATGCGTCGTCAGAGAGCAACAAGCTTACGAACACGACCATACCATCGTACAAGTACCTGGTCTTTGTAGTTGGAGACGATGTAGTCCAGGTCGACGATGCGCGAGGCGATGACCTTGAGCAGGCTTTGAATGTACTGTGCGACGTCCATGTCCTGCTCACGCAGCACCGGCAGCTTGTCGCCGAGGTTCAACCGACTGTACAGATTGGTAACAGTGAGCACGATCTGGCCGGACTCGCGGCTCCGGTCGTTCGCTACGCGATCGTTGCGCTGCCTGTCTAGGTCTAGACGTAAAGCTTCAGAGCGCAGCGTCTCAAGCTGCTGCTGCTGTCCGTGGATGCTGCTATTCTGCACCAACACGAGGTTCTGCATCTCGACTTTCAATGCCCGGATACGCTGTCGCAGTTGGTCCGTCTCGACCTCGGCGGCGCGCACTTGAGCCTTCAGATCGTTGTTTGTGTCGACGAGTGTTGCATGTCGATTGAGAATATCGCCGATCTCCTCGTACTCGCCGTCGGACGCTTCCACTGCCGCCTCGAGATACAGTCGATATTTCAGCAGTTGGTCCCGTTTGCGCTCCAGAGCCTCGCGTTCACGCCCGTCCTTCTCGAGCTGCATGACGAGTTGTCTCTTTCGAGCCTCGTTGATCTCTCCTAACCGGTGCTCGCTCTTGCACTTAAGCTCAGCTCGTGTCCGCTTCGAGTCGTTTTCCTTGATGAACTTCTCGAAGCGAGTGACCTGCTCTTTCATCTCAACCTGTTTGCGTTCCAGTTCACGCTGTCGGGCTTCACACGCTTCCATGCGCTGGGCGTACTCCTCCTTCATAAAGTCCAATGCATCGTCGATTTCGCGCATCTCTTTCCGCTTCTTGAGCAGCAGTGTGGACTGGGACATCTGTGAGATGCCCGACACCACGGGTTCCATGTCGTTGATCTCGCGCAGCGGGAACTTGCCACTGCGCAGCAGTCGCACAAACGATCAGTAAGTCGCAACGCAAACCAATACCAAAGTCTGCCTTGCATGCATCACACTCACTTGGCAATCCGCGCTTCCGTCAAGAAGACGCCCGATACATCGTCCAGCGTGCTGCCGGCGCCGGGATTTGTGTCCTCCATGCTTGTCTTCTGCCTGTCAAAACCGGGTTGGATTAATCTGAAGTGAAGGACCGCGATCGAAGCTACTTGGTCATGAACTGCTCAGCAGACAGCGAAGTTAGACGCCTTCACCTTTTGTTTTCGGCGACCTACTGACATAGTCGGCAGTTGGCTGTTAAAAATACCAAGAGAACCGACACGCTACCTGCTCGCTCAGATCTACGAGGTCATACTACCACACGACAACCGTAGCTCTACGCAGCTCTCAATATCCCAGCGGCTGCTGCAACAACTTCAACACCTTATTTGCGCGCGTCCATCATGGCTACATTTCCTCCATACTCGCATCTGATTCGCCAAAATGACATCCCCGTTCACTCTTATCATTGGTCAAAAAGTTCAATCGCTCACGCCCAACCAACAGGATGCTCGGCCATTGCCCACCGGAGCTCTTCCACTTAGCTACGTGAAGTGACCGCTATGCAGCTGGACCAGGCCATCTCGCTCTGGCGCGGCCGCGCCGCCGACGCCGCGCTGCTGGGCGCCTCGTCGTCGCTCGCCAAGGACAACACGCGCCTGGTGCTCGTGACCTCGGGCGCGGACGTGCGCGAGGTCTGCGCGCAGACGCGCAAGTGCGTCAACCACTGGACGTTCCGCGCTGGCAGCGCGCACGCGCTCAAGGTGCCCGCGGTGCGCCACCCGCACTCGCGCGCGTTCTTCAGCATCTGCGGGGCGCCCGGCGTGAGCGCCAGCAAGAAGGCGCGCCAGGCGCGTCGCCAGGAGGCCAACAAGACGGCGGCGCTGCCGGCCAACGAGGGACTCGCGGTCTGGCGCGACACGGACCTGGACGTGGCCAAGTGGCGCCGCGCGCCGCTGCAGTCAAGCGCCAAGGCCTTCGCGCTGCTGGCGCACCCACGTCTCAAGGAGGAGGTGCTCGTGGTGTTCCAGGACGGCTCCTTCGCCACGTTCGACGAGGACGCCCACCGCAGTCTGCACAGTGACGAAGCTAAGGACGTCGCCGCTGCGGAGGATGACGATGAGGAGGACGACGACGAGCAGGAGGAGACGGTGGTGTGGGCCTACCTCGAGTCGGACCACGTGAGTCCCATGAAGGGCGGCCTCTTCCTGTCGCTGCTCATGCAGAAGACCAACCAGAAGGGAGAGAAGCAGTACGAGCTGCTGGTGTATCAGGTGGACGTGCCGAACAAGCCAAGAAGCCAGGGAGGTGTGCTGGGAGCGGTGCTGCTCGTGCGGCGCCGTGTCAAGCTCCCGGACGATGTGGAGCTCTCGTCTTGCGCGTTCCACCCGATCACGTTCTCGTACTCGTTCGTGGGACGCTCTGGCACGTGGTACACGCTACGCTTTGCGCGCGACGCGCTCAGTAACGCGGTGACGCTGGTGGCGTCACAGCAGCTCCCGAGCCTGACGTCGGCGGACGCTGACGCGACCGTCCCGGTGCACAAGAAGCGGAAGCTTCAGGGCTCGTCTTCGGGCTACTTGGTGAGCGGCGTGGGAGGTTACGCCTACCTGGTGAGCGTGGCCAAGGACGCTCCGTCGAAGTACACGGGCTGGGACTCCAAGTTCGCCGTGCCGGTGTCGAACGTTGAGGTTAACTTGGCGGCGGAGAAGGACGCGGACAGTGAAGTGGTGGTGGGCCGCAGCACCAAGGACGGCGTCGGCAAGATCGTGCAGCTGTTGAGCGTAGGAACGGGTGATGCTGTGCTTGCCGTCTTCGAGCGTGGCGTCTTCATGATGCACATTCACAACAAGAACTCCACGCTGGCGAGCGTGCTGGGAGCCACGGCGTCAAGTGCCTTGGCCCCCTCCGAAATTGCAGCGACCCCGGCGCTGCCCAACAGCTCCGTGGAATGGGGCAATGTGACAGCTACGAGCAGCGTGAACAACGACACGCTTGATGCGGAGACCTGGAAGACGAACATTTGCAGCGACGACGACCGCGAACGTCAGCTCATTGCGGACCTTTCAGACCCCAAGGTCACTCCTACCGCTGCGGAATTCTCGAGCCGTCTGAACGAGGCGCTAAAGAAGCAAAAGAAGCGCAAGGCCGACAATGCACAGGTCGAGGTGGTCTCGTTCCGGTTGCTGCAGACTGTGACCCGACGCTGCTTGGAGTCGACGGACCTGAAGCTGTGGGGTCCTCTGGAGATCATGCTGCGCACGAACCGGTTGTCAGCTCGCGCCGAGCCGACGCTGCTCCCCACTCTGATGCAGCACAACCAGTTCGCTCTGCTGGAGTGCGCTATCGTGCACCTTATCGATATCGACGAGCGCTCCATCGTGCGTCTGTTGAAGTATTTTATTCGCAAGAGCAGCAACTCAGCTTTCGTCAGATACTCCACCAAGCATATCAAGGCCAAGAACAAAAATGCTGATAAGGTTGACGGCAGCGCAGCCTGCGAGCGGTTCGCTGTCGCGCTGTTGGGGCTTCCGACGAACAGCGTGTTCCTACACCGCGCCATCCGCGAGCTGGAGCTCGAGGAAGTGCTGCTTGTGCTGGCAATCTGCAAAAAGCTGCTGCTGGTGCACACCACAGGCAACGACGCTGGCGACAATGAGGAGACCAAGTCGAAGAAGAGCAAGGCCAAGAAGGACACCAGTCTGGCGGTGATGAAGGAGGAGCGCCGCTTCACTCCGTTGCCTTCAGCCTCGCGTTGCTGCGCGTGGATCTGCGCGCTGCTGGACGCGCACCTGTCGGCGCTGGTCCAGCGCGCGTCACAGAATGCCGAGGTCTCGCGTACCCTGCACCAGCTGGAGGACCTCGTACAGCTGCAGCTCCGTGCGAGCGCGCAGTACGAATTGGTATACGGCGTGCTGACCAACTTCCTGTCCGGCGTGCAGCTGCCGAAAGCTCCCGGAATCCCCGACTACAGCATCGAGGAGCTGCGCCTGTAATCCATCTCACATTGGGAAGCCCTCGATATACAGAATAGACTCGTTCATTGCCTTCTTCGTTGGTTGATTAGCTTTCGACTTTGATACACTCGACGTGGGGTATCACTTAAGGAGCCCAACCAATCGGAACCTCGTTTCCTGTAGTGCCAATACTCACACAGAGGATAAGGTGCTATACTACCTGGGGCCGTACCTGCGAAAGCCCGCTCAATCTGCGAGCTCAAGACCAAGATGGACGTTCGCCAAGTGCCTGTCATCGACATTGGAGCCCTCGTGGTGTACCCCTCCGACGCTGAAGTTGACGCCACTCTGCAGGACACCAACAGTCCTGCACTGCGTGGTATCATCACCAGCGTCCGAGCTGCTGCAAGCGAGTGGGGGTTCTTCTACATCGCCAACGACGGACTACCGCACGAAGAGGTGGAGAAGTTTAAAGACGCGATGAGGTTGTTCTTCCGTCTGCTAGCGGAGACCAAGCGCGCCATCCTACGTCATGCCACCAACCGCGGCTACGTCCAGAGTGAGCTCACCAAGAACAAAACGGACTGAAAGGAGTGCTTCGGCTACGCTGGTGCTGCGGAGGGCGGCCCTCCTACAGACAAGTTCGAGGAGATGAGAACTTGCCGACGGGTTAATGTTAACCAGAATATTTTAATATTTTTGGGTATAATATAACATATTATATTAAGATTTTGCAGTATCAACTGATAAAAACGATATTGCTTGATATTTTCGGTATTAACGAGCTCATCTGGCGATATCAGATACCCTGATAATATTTTGACTGGTAATACTCTAGAAGAAGAAGACCGGTGAAGGCAACTCGACGTGCCACGCAGCAGCGGAGTTCAGATAAGGAACGGTTAGACTTACAGTGTCTTAACTCCAAATTGTTATAGTTCTACTGCACTGAAATTAGTAGGATTCACGTGTGAGGGCTCTTCAGCGGCAGATACTGTATGTGAGCCCAGGTAGCAAGGTATATCATGTTTAGTAGAAACTTCGCAGGCGAAGTTGTGTGCATTAGGCGTAACTGCAGCAACAAGTACAAACAGAACGTATTTATTCATACTTCTTCTCATTTTTCATTTTCACGTGTAATATTGCTGGATTGCCTAAGACTAAGGTCCACTTGGGCTCTGTGTTTGAACGTAATCAGAATTCAAAACAGCTTTTTGATTGGCCAACGTGGTGCGTAATCATTTGATAATATCGAAATTTATTAATATTAAGTGAATGTAAAAATAATAATATATATATCATTTGAGATAACGAAGTATCACCACATATTTACAATATTAATCCTCAGACCGGGGTAATATTCTCAATATAAATACCACCGATTTCGGGGTTAACATTAACCCCTGCTTGCTGAGTGATGTGCCACATTAGATGGCGCCGCAGAAAATACTGTTCATCTCTTCGTAGCCAGTTGTGTCTAAATTTGACCATTGTTGGGCGTAAGCATGGGCCATGATTCGTCCCGAATATATATACTTACCGGTATATTTTTTAATTATGGCGGTGTGCGTGAAAGCAGTGCGTGACGAGTTCAAGCAGAAGTGCTTCTGACATGCCTCGCATTTCCAGTGGTTCTGTACCCAGGGACTGGGACTTTGTTCGGGTTGTGCTCGCTGGTGCACCAGTAGCAAAATTTTCGGGAGCTGGGTTCCCACACGGGTAGATGCTCAGATCCCATCGAGACAACCATACCTTCGTTCCTAGGTCTCTTTCGACATGTAGGCGCCTCGCTCAACAGCCCCCACACAACCTCGAGGCGGAAATCTCGGTGGCTTAGTTTGTCGTCTGGATAGAGGGCCCGGTAAATTAAATACGCATTCACTAGAGTCGTGTCGAACAGCCAGAAGAAGAGCGGCATCCAGGATCGCAGACTGATCAACTGTACGCTGTAGTAGCTTCGCAGTTGATCTGCAATGTCGACGCTGATCCAAACATCCAGCTCTGAAGCACAAACATCCTTCCACTACTTCACACGCGCCGGGCATCGCTTCTTCGCTCCCTGTGAGCTGGCATATTTGTTTGTGTTGCTTGCGATGGTGGTCTGGATCTCAGCCGTCCATAGCAATCAAAAACTCTGAACAGGGAAAAGCTTTTGCCCGGTGAATGGCAGCAGCAGCAGCAGCATGCGGACGAAATGCGGTCTTTAGAGGGCTGTATTTTGTCTCGTCACCAATCACCGGTGCTGCAACACTAGGCGCAGTCGCTACGTAGCTCTCATCTTTCCTGTCCTCTCTCTTTGCTGGTTGCAGAATGTCATCACGAAGCGATCGCCGCGCGACAAACTCTAAGCCGACATCCTCGTCACTCCAGACACCGACATCCTTGTCAAGCTCGACGTTCGCCTCGACCTCAGCGCTCGTCATCACCTCGGCAACCCGATCGTATTGCGTGACGCAATTTGCGTCCCGCTCATTGTTCTGAGTCGCTCTTCGAGCTTCCCACAATGATTTTTTAATACGTTCACACCCGGCTGCGAAGAGATGAGCACTTTACCATATTATTCCTGATCTGAGTAATATAGCAGCCCTTTAGTAACGATTTTACTGCTGTAGTATTCACATGCAGTCAATATCAACTTTATATGCAAAATAGTAATGGTAGTAGCATTTATAGTACTAAGTTGTTGCACTACCAATTACGAATAGTAAATGCGGACTAGTTTTAAAGAAGTACTATAGTACTAAGTACTAAGAGTTGCGGACCTAAGATAAAGAATAGTACGAATTCAACGTACTAAACAGGACTTGATGTTGAAAACAATTCGATGTCGTCACAATTCGTAAGCACGTAGCTGACGCACTTCGAGCTGAGGCCCGTTCTCAACCGGAATTCCTCGCCGCATGCGGCCGCATGAGCCGAAATAAGGACTTGTGATTGGTTAGTGGGGTAGGTGGTCGCATGCGGCCGCATGCAAAAATAGGCGCTCATGCGGCGAAGTCGCCGCACGAGAGTGAGTAGGGGTTGCACGCCGCAGCACCAATCAGAGTGCTCTTATTGACTCACCTGCTGGTACAGTACCCTATCAGACAACAGCCGACAAGGCGTCAATTTGACTCCTTGACTGCCAAAGAAGTCAACCTTGTATTTTAGCTTCTACCCGAGGTGTTCGGGCCGCTGGTGCTAGCGGACGCCAACACAAAGGGTGCCCGCTACTCTATCCGGCCTACATGTACACGATTTCGTGTTATTATTGAGTGCATCGTACAGAACGTGTAATGTTACATCTATTTCGAAGTAGATACATGTTCCAGGTAGTGGAAACTACCTTTAGATGTAGAACACCCACCGCCGGGAAGCGTGAACTACGTCTACCTGCTCTTTAGCAGGCGTAGATCAACATGCACTAGCGTATCGCCCTACGAGTGGAAGTTATGTATCAGCCAATATACATGTAGTCATAACATGGATCGGTTGACGGAGTCGTGTGCGTGAGAGTTAAATGTTATCGTGTACCGTGAGATAAAAACTAATAGCTGCGACTGCTGCCGACAGTTACCAGCACGTGCATACCATATAGGGGCCAAACAATTCGGCTGCAGTGCCTATGGAGATGATTGTTGTTATGCATTCAAGACCTTGCTAACTTTACTTGATTTATGATGATAAACGGCCCATATCCACAGCCAACCATGATGTTTGGGCTTTCAAGCGAGCTAACGTATACCTCCTTGCCCGCACGATATCGGCGAAGGCGTGCTGAGTCGAAAGGCACGGTTAGATGGCATCAGTAGAGCTTTTTATTTGAGTCAACAGAGGTTTAGCACTAAAATAAAATGTGAGTATGTCGAAAAACTTGTTGTGTTTCTGCATATTGCAAACATCTTCAGCAAAAACCTGGCGCAGACAACAATAAGGAAAGCGATACAAAAAGATCTACTACGCTGGTCAACCAGCAGTGTGAAGAAAAACCGCCACCTACAGCGATATGGTGGAGCTACTCAATGAGTGGATCGTCAACTTATGCTACAGAAGCTACTTGTAAGGTAACCCCACCAGTATAATGAAGAAATATAAGTGCGTAATCTTTTGCTGCACAAAGCAAAATAGATTCCTTTAGCGTAGAGCGCGTGTAGCTTTAAAATCGATGGCCGATTTAGAAATTTTTAACGAGTTTCTGTTTTCATTACAGTTTTTGTGAGTTGCCTTGCATTCTTGCTGTTTGGTTTTAATCTACTGGTACGTCGGATACCTATTTAGCATTAATTCACTACAGGCGTACAAGTACTTGTTCATATATTGTTTTCAGTTGGTGTATGAGCTAGCATCGAGAAATACGAGTCTTCGGCAAAACTCATCATACTTCGCGTTGCTGCTTTTGGTATGTTTTGAGTTCGAATTGGCCGATGTCATCTGGAAGCTCATGCGGGTAGGGCGCACAATGCGGCCGCATTGTACAAAACTGTGCGATGCGGTGCGGCCGCATGCGGCCGGTTGAGAACGGGCCTGAGCGGCCAATCGCCATCTCCATGGCGCCAGCGTCAATAGCAAGACCAGGCATTGCATGCAAGGTCTCCATACAGCTCAGAGCTCGCAGCTTTCGGTGGGTCACTTCCCAAATTTGTGAGCTCAAGACCAAGATGGACGTGCGTCAAGTGCCAGTTATCGACATCGGAGCCCTAATGACCCCCGCCACTGATGCTGAAGTGGACTCCGCTCTGCGTGACCTCACGAGCGACGACCTGCGCCAGGTTGTCGACAAGGTGCGCGCCGCCGCGAGTGAGTGGGGGTTCTTCTCCATCGCCAACCACGGACTACCGCAGCAAGAGGTGGACGAGTTCCAGGAGGCCATACGCTCCTTCTTCCGTCTGCCAGTTGAGACCAAGCGCACGATCCTTCGAACGGCCAACAACAACCGTGGCTACGTCGTGGACGAGCTCACCAAGAACAAGACGGACTGGAAGGAGTGCTTCGACTTTGCTGGCGCCCACGAAGACGAACCCCCTACCGACAAGATCGAGCGGCTGGGCGATGATCGCAACCAGTGGCTCGAGGAGGATATTCTACCTGGGTTCCGAGACGAGATGCAGACGTACTACAAGAAGATGGAGTACATCTCGCGTCGCCTGTTGAAGGTATTCGCCGTCGCGTTGAGTGAGGAGCCGGCCTTCTTCGACCAGTTCTACCAGGGGAACCACTCGAGTCTGCTGAGACTGAACCACTACCCGGTGGCCCTCGAACCGGAGAAGACCATGGGCGTCTACCACCACACCGACTTCGGTGCACTCACCGTCCTGCTGCAGGACGACAATGTGGCGTCGCTGCAGGTACTCCACCGCGAGTCGCAGACGTGGGTCAACGTTCCTCCACGCAAGGGCACGTACACGATCAACATCGGCGACATGGTGCAGGTCTGGTCGAACGACAAGTTCATGGCCCCGCTGCACCGCGTGGTGGCTAGCGACAAGGCTGGGCGCTTCTCGGCTCCGTTCTTCTACAACCCGTCCAACCACGTGACGATCGAGCCCATCGTGGTGAAGGAGGGCGAGGTGGCCAACTACCGGCCGTTCAACTGGCGTCAGTTCCAGTTGGCCCGGTACCAGGGCAACTACGCCGACGTAGGCAAGGAGAACCAGATCGGAGACTTCAAGATCCACGGAGCTATTGACGTCGCCAACGCGTAGGTCAGTCAGCAGGTAGATGATCAACCTGAACAATCTTCGTTAATACCTCACCATGCCTTCGCTGTCTATGGGTTTCAACGCCTGTATCTATCCATGTCCAGAGTCTGATAACGTAAAACGATGTGCCCTACGACAGCTCGCTGGTTTCGTGCACCCAATCACCACGCTCACTTCAACAACGTCAATACCCTGGCAAGGGTCTCACTTGATCCAGGGTCCCAGGTTTTACATGTACTCCATGACCTCAATTCATTCCGCAATTTGCACCCTCCACACCAAGATGACCGTGCCTGAAGTCCCCGTAGTCGACATCGGAGCCCTCGTGGGGTTCTCCTCCGACGCCGATGCGAGCATCGCGTTGCGTGACTCCAAGGACGACGCTCTTCGCCTCATCATCGACCAAGTGCGCGCTGCTGCCAGTGAGTGGGGCTTCTTCTACGTGGCCAACCACGGGTTATCTCAAGGCGAGGTGGACCAGTTCCAGGAGACCATGCGCTCCTTCTTCCGTCTTCCAGATGAAGTCAAACGCACGATCCCACGCACTGCTACCAACGCCCGGGGGTTCGTCGAGGGGGAGCTCACCAAGAACAAGACGGACTGGAAGCAGTGCTTCGACTTCTCAGTCCCAAACGAAGACGGCCCGGTGAGTGACAACCATGATCGGATGGGCGACGACCACAACCTGTGGCTCGAGGAGGATGTTCTACCTGGTTTCCGAACCGAAATGAGGGCGTACTACAGCCGAATGGAGTTCATCTCCCGTCGGTTGCTGAAGGTATTCGCAGTTGCACTGGGTGAAGAGCCCGCGTTCTTCGACCAGTTCTTCCTGGACGACCACTCGAGCTTGATGCGCCTCAACTACTACCCGGTGGCTCCCGATCCGGAGAAAACCATGGGCGTTTACCACCACACAGACCCTGGCGCACTTGCAGTGCTGCTGCAGGACGATGAAGTGGCTACACTGCAGGTTTTCCACCGGAAGACCCAGTCGTGGGTGAATGTGCCGCCGCGTAAGGGCACGTACACCATCAACATCGGAGACTTGGTGCAGATCTGGTCGAACGACAAGTTCAAGGCCCCAATTCACCGTGTTCTGGCAACCGACAAGGCTGACCGGTTCTCGGCTCCGTTCTTCTACCTCCCGGCGTACAATGTACAGGTGAAGCCGATTGTGGTGAAGGAAGGGGAAGTGCCCAACTACCGTCCATTTAGCTGGCGCGAGTTCCTCCTGAAGCGGGTCTCGGGCAACTACGCGGACAGCGGGAAAGAGAACCAGATCGGAGACTTCAAGATCCACGACGCTATCGATGTTGCTAATTCGTGAGCGGCGTTAATTAAGGCATATTTGGCGCCTTTGTGCACTATCAGCCAGAAAGAATACCAAACTGCAAACAGACCTTGTCCTCATTCGATCGTAATCTCCACTCGATTTCGCAATTTATGTAAAGTGACAAGTTTAATTAAACTTTTCCCCACTTAAGCTGGTGCGGGCCAAAGCTCGCTGCTTTGATGATCAACGCATATGTAATAATTGTTTCATAAGGGAAAGTCGAGAAGTGTGATCAAGATAAGAGATTAAAGTGAATGGATTGCGATGGGAAACTGAATCTTGTTGGTGTTGGTTGCTGTATGCCAACAAAAAGGCGTTACCGACAATGTTTAGTTACATACTAGACTCTAGTATGACACAGTGATAAACAAAACGATCACTAGCGGTAGACGTTCTATTACTCGGTTACACGTAACGAAACTTAGCGTGCGCGATCTCTCTTTAATCGGCGCGTTTTCACATGTTACTTGTTGGGGACATCGACATTTTTGCAGAATTCTGCTACTTGAAGGAGCTGTAGTAAGACTTATCCATGTTTCATTCTCGCATCCTCTCGTGCAGCTTTCTCTTTTTCTTTTAAGTTCAGCTTAATAAGCTTGTTCATCTCCTCCATGTAGGCTCCGTATTTAGCATGAGTTTGGAGGTACATTGGGCGACTCTGGGCTTGCGCCCAGACAATTCTCTTGCTCACCGCAAACTGTCTCAACTTCTCTAATTGCTCCGGAGTGGGGGTCGTTTCTTCGGAGTCATCTTCATCGTCAACAATCTTGTTGTGGGTCCTCAGAAGTCGCTGGCTTGTAGTTAGTTGTGAGATCCGGTAAAAGATAACACGTCCTAATAGACGTCCTAAGATGTCCTATTGTCCTAAAAAATGCGGTATATTACTTGCAGTTTGCTCATAAACGGTACCAAAAATTAGGACAACACAGCTCGTTTTAGGACGAACGGGCTGGTTAGGAGCTGTCCTAATAGGACAGCCACGATTCACTTACCGAAATCGGTCCTAATAGGACAACAACAATTCACCTAAATGAGGATCTGTCCTATTAGGACACTTAGTCGAGTAATAACCGAGGGCTGTCCTACTAGGACACTTAACTGCCTAGAACTGGCAGTTGTCCTATTAGGACACTTTGTTGACTATAACTGGGAGCTGTCCTATTAGGACAAATGAAATTTTTTGGCAACTCGTTAGCAAGGGCTCTCGTTGAAGCAGGACTGCATTATCAGCGTCTGAACACCGTACTATCCTACTCAAAGTCCGCATAGCCAGCTGGGATGCCTGGCACTACTGGCGGAGCATGCTGCGGAGCCGTCTGGAGTCCCTTCTTGATGTCGTCAATGCGCTGGAGATAGCGGGCTGCTTCTTGCTTGGTGCCTTCAATGAAGGTAAGCAGGCTAGGGTGTGTACCCACTCGCGACGCGAAGTCACGATTGTACTTTTCCAGCGGATTGTTGGTGCGGTTAACGATGTCAACACCGCACCGCACCATTTCATGAACGTTCCAGGTCGTCACATCAAATCGCTGCGTCCAGGTCTTGAGGAAATACTTCCAAAAAGTATTCCATTTTGTTTTCGCGCCGGTCTCGTCGACAATACTCCTCACGTACCTCACACCCTACAATGCAGCCATTTATCAGAATAGGTCAGACACAAAAAATTGGTCACCCCAAAAAATAGTCCGCACCTTTTCAGCGATTTGGTCCTCCGGGATAACCGTGAGAGTGTCGAGCTTTCCTGGGCTGAGAGCGTCCTTGATTTGGTCTTCGGGTAGCCGCAGCTCAAGCATTTTCCGACGGAGGGCCTGTTTCCAGTGGAACAGGCACCCAACGAGGTTCGCAGTCGGAAATTGCTCCAGCACAGCGTTGATAAGGGCGGACTCAAAGTCACACGTGACATGTTCGGGCTCCAGCTGGCGGTTGCTCAGGATCACGAGCTCGTTGAGAACCCGCCAGTACGTATCTTGGGACTTGCCTTGCATCAGTACATAGCAAACAGGCACGTAGAGGTCGACAGAAGGCTCGAAAGCCATCACAATCAGACACTGACTGAACGGCTTAGGAACCACCGCAAATGTTCCGTCAATGAACAGCGTGATCTTCGGGTACCGTAGAATTCGAGCCAAGTCGGGATGGGCCAGTCCGATCAGACGTTGCATTCCGGTGCCCGCGGCGGTGGGGTGGACCACGCTGAACTGAAGAAAGGCCCTCGCATCCATGTCACTCACGCACCGAACAGCTTGGGTCAGAATGGCTTCAAAGACATCACCGCCAGAGCAATCCTTGCGCGTGTGCTTGATGATAGAGACGGCCGGCTTCGCAGGGATGATCTTGAGCGCAATACCTTCTCCGCCGTAGCGAAGCTTGAGATCGTCGTACACCTCTTGCCACAGGACCGCCGGTGGGGTTGACATCTTGGTGATGCTAGAGCGCTGGAGCTCCACTCTCATCTCCTTGTGCACGTCCACCACTTCTGGCTTGGGCTCATCCTTACAGCTGTGCACACTCTTATCGGCGACGACGGCTCCTCCTCGGACAATCAGTCTTGCCTTGCATCCCTCACGAAACTTCTTGCAGCTGTAGTAGATCGTGTTTGTTTCCGGGCATGTGCGCTTAACGCAGAATGAATACCCGCCGTGGTCCATGACAAGAAGGTTGGGCTCTCACACTTAGGCTGCAAAAAGTGAAATTGCTGGCAGCACTGCACTGTGGGGTCTGACATTCGACGAGTGGCTAGGGTGAGCCCGTAATTACGCGTACCAAACATTGTGGTCACCAATAAAACGCGTAATATTCATAAAACTAGGTTTTAGGACAGCTCGTAGAACGTAATTTATTATATTCTGTTACGAAGGATTATACGAGTTTTAGGACATCTCACGGTAATTTTAGAGAGTTTTTTAGGACAATTAGGACACTTTAGGAATCGTTTTAGGACGTGTTATCCGACACCGTGAGATCCTGACCAGGTTGGAGTCCGTGAGGCGATCAAGAAGGTCGCCGCAACCAAAAACCAGCAGTTGAGAGAGCCGCATGAGCACGGCCGTGGGGTGAGGCTTGTGCGCTCGAACGTAAATTGCGAAGTGAGTGGATTAATGCAAGCGTTCATTCCGTCGCACATGTCTTATCTTGGAACTATGTAGAACGGTTGTGTTGATTCGACGAAGCTACCTGTAAATGCAACCTCCTACTTCGAAGTAGTTTTTTATCACTACACGACGGGTTCCTATTCGCATCGAGTTAATGTTCCAAGAAGCCAGCAACAAAATGCGGTGTACGGTTCGTTTGTCCTTCGATTCGAGGTACAATCTAGAAACGACTGCGTAGTTAACATTTATTAAATAAATTTTACCAACTATTTAGAGTTTCACGAACTACAGAATAATCCTGAGCTTCTCCGTGTATACACGGCGTTAGTCATTTTTAACGCCTCTACGTAGTATTCGCCATGGAAGAGTTACATATGAGAATCCCATTATGTGTGTGAGGCGAGCCTGGCAGTAACCTCTTGATTGGTGCCTAGATCGCGCAGCAAATATTGCAGTGCCACGGAGTTCAAGGACCAAGACAATCGACGATGCTGGATACTATGAAGACCAACATAGTTACTCCAAGCTGACCGGCTGCTGGCCTGAATCCTAGTTTGATAAGTTTTGCCTCGAACAAAGATAAACAAAAATGGAATGTGTACATGTACTAAGTGTACACACACGCACACAGGGCGATTCTTTGGTAGATATTCTATTGTTCGCTTACATGTGGCTTTAACGAACCTAGACTTCAGACGATTCGACCCGACATGTTGCTTGTTTTTGACTCAGTACAATCGCAACGACCGCGGGCTTATCCAGGCATCTCACGCATTCTTAATTCTTCCTGGCTTCTTGCTGTTCCTCTTTCTCGCCAGAAAGTTGAAGTACTTCTGGTACCTTTTTTGTTTTTTTGTTTTTGAATTGAGGATCATTATTGTCACTTAGCTAATACGATCGCTAACGACTACTAAAGACCGGGGGCCTCACCTGTGCAAAGCGTCACTAGGGAGGGGGCTCTCTGGACCAGAGTCTGGTGGGAGAGTACTTCTGGTACCTTTGGTACCTGTGAGTCCTCATGAGATCGTGTAGAGCCTTTGCATTGACCTCGGCCCTCGCGATAGCGTCGGTAATTCCCAATTTGGCAGCGTAGCCGTCAGAGGTCATTCCCGCTTTGTACATTTTTTTCAACCTTGGCAGCATCCAGCTTCCTTTCCTCGGACTCGTCGTCTTCGATGTGGTGCGTCCGCAGAAGTCGGTGGCGGATTGTTTCCATGCCAAAAAAAGCGGTTTTCCATGCCAACAATAAAAAGAGGTTTTCCATACCACCGGATTAATTGCATGCCATACAAAAAGCAAATGAAAGTATTTAATTCTTGCCATACAAAATACAAGTGAAAGTGTCCTAGACGGGTTGATGTGTAGCAGGTCCCTAGTTCGCAGCGCCCGAACCCTCACTACGTCTAGCCTCATTACATGCAACCTCGTCCTAAGCAATGAAGAAATCTCAGAAGTTAAGCGACTTCCTGCTTGTTTTTAATTCCCGGGCGGAACAATGTGATGCCCCATCCGATGTGCGTAGTTTATCGCATTGGCGAGCTCCTCGGCTACCATGGTCACCGTTTCACTGCGTTTCTCGTAGTAAACGTCCCAATAGCGAGCCCCACCTTTCATAAAGGGAGGGTCCACTACCCCCACAAAGTCTCGATCTTCGATTTCGCCATCCCGGTTTTTAGTTGGCCATGTGCTGAGCACGCTCCAATTGATAACGCTCGCAGGAGTTTTAATGAGCCGGGAAATGAGAGCATCGACACTGTGCTGGCCAGGTGATGGCTTTTCACGCTCAAGACACTGTTTTTTCTTTCTTGGTCGACCGGATGGGCGTCTCATCAGCAAGCCTCGTAGCATCAGCGAAAAGTCCAAGCCATCAACGAGTTTTAAGCACGCCATAACGTACCCACACAGCCATCCCGTTTGGTAAAACTCTTTACAGTGTTACCTCTTCAATTGACCACATGGAAGAAGCCCAGTCGTGTTCAATAGGAGTTCGCGATAGAATATCCACAGCGTGTAGGGACTGGTACGATAGTTGGATGCTGTTCACGACCTCATCTTTTTTTTGAACTCCCTCCAGGGACTTGGCGTAACGTGATGTCCTTGTGTGTGTGACCTTTTGCCCGTACAGATTTTCATCGTGAATGAGGTAATAATCTGCATTGAAGTAGTAGCGGTTGATGTTGGCGATTTCACGGTTAGACATCCGCTCGTGGCATGGGTAGTGATTGCCAGGTTCACAGAGCCGTTTGGCAGCTTGATACACTTTTTCATCGACGGGACCTAATGCAAATGGCCACAAGAACTCGGTATTTGTATCGCGACCGCAGTGAATCACAATCTTTGGCAAAGTGACGGCCAAGACATGCGATATCGCTGCTCGCAAATGGCCTGCTGCTACCTTTTTGATAGCGCTGTGGTGTGTTTCAATTGGATTCTGGTTTGGTACTATTCCAGCGACGTTGCTGGCGGTGATGAACCACAGGTCCCACGGGTCCGTGAGGTACTGCTCATCAAACCACTTGGCATACCTCCTTTGGCGTTGGTCCCTCCAGTTTTGAGTGACTAATTCAGACAGAGCAAATAACTGCTCACGAGAACGAGCGTTTTCGAGTTGGTCCAGCTGCGGTTTGATAATATCGTGGTAGACTTGTGTGTCTGACAGTAGCCCTTTTTTCTCTCTGGACTTGCGATCCAAGTGAGGCCAACAATTTAACAGCTCGATGTCAGACCATAGTGCGCGAAAGGCACCAGCAATTGCGGCCGAGTGGTCCATCGACCCATACTTATCAGTCAGGTCTCCACCAAAGAAATCCTTCGTGCGGTTCTGGATAACAGAGAATAGCTTTGTATAAGCTAGTGTTGTTTCCGCACGCACGAACAGGAAGGCTATCGGGTAAAACTTGTTTTGGTACTCCTTCTTCTTCTTCGTGTAACGCATGCCACAGGTACCGAATGATATCAGCGTCCAGTTGTTGAAGTCGATCTTGTAGGTACCATCAGTCACCGCCAAGACTCCTTCACGTTGTCCCAAAACCGCAAGAGCAGCGTTGCGAAAAAGCCTCCTCGACGTGAAGATAATACCAAATGAAACATTTTTTTTTCCAACTTGTTCGGTGAAGATGTCAAGAACCAGTAATTCGTTGCGGTAGTTGAAGGGTTTCTTGGCGAATGTTTTGAGGTGCATACCAACCCTGTAAACCATTCCTTTGAAAAAGTCCTCCTTTGTCTTACACATTTTTGGAGATGCCCACTTCAAGATGTCCGCCATCAAAGTGATGTCGAAGTCGCCTCGAGAATGCAGGAGCTGCGATCGATTCTTGAGTTGTCCAACATCCGGTAGAAGGCGCAGCATTTCTTCGTCATTTCGATACTTCATTTCAAGGGTGGTCAAACACCTTGCAGGTCCTTGCCCCCCAAGTAAAAGGTTGTTCACTTCGTCGTCAAGGGGTTTGTGGATGCCAGTCCGTTGCGCATCGAGGGGGGCAACGACGTCACTGTGGATTTCATTCAATGTGGCGGTGTACGTTTTGCTTGAAGCGAAAAATTTGATCTTGGCCGTCGCAGAGCAATTCATGTGAGAAGAGCACTTGTACCACACCGTGTCTCTGTTGTTGTTGAGGCGTTTGTACCGAATGTTCGCCAGTCCATCAATTGCGACACGGGCTTTTTCGCGAGTCTTGAACGGGCCGAGAAAACAGAATCCATCCTCGTCTACGTGGTGAACGCCAGCTGAAGCAGTGTGGGTGTCGTCTGCTACATCGCTATCGTCACTATACCCCACAGATGCAGATTCAACACTGGCGTGGCTGTTATCACATTCACCACTGCTAGAGTTGGATATGCGAAATTCCTGCTGTGCTGCCGTGTCTGAATCGACATCATTCGTATCCTTATCCTCATCATCCTTGTCGTCGAAGTCAGCATCGTCAGGATAGAACTCGGATTCACTACCATCAAAATCGTTGCTGTCATTTGGAGAGTCGGATCCGGATTTACGGGACCTTAAGCGGCTCCTATCGGGGTCCGACAAGTCACCATGGTCTGGTGAACTCGGCAGAAGATGCCGTGTGTGATACCCACTCGTGCTCAGGGTGAAGATGTCCCCATCACGCTTAGTTACTCTGGCCTGGGCTTTGCAATCAACATGCGATGCACAGACCGACACCGTAGTGCGACGAAACAGAGACATCTCTCGAAATGCCGTATTCTCGCGCGACTGCAAGTGGCGGAGTGCTTCTGCTATTGACTTGAAGGTTTTGCTGTGCATGATGATACGCGCACCTTCTTTTGTCGTGCTGATTCGAGGAGCAACGGTGTTGTGTCGGTCGACCACCACCACATCGGCAGGAGTAGGGGCTCTTCGGTACGAATGCGAGTTTCGGGCGGATCTCGTTTGAACAATATCTCCGCTGAAGTCGTGACTCTCGCTGGAGGAGACCTCGTCAGCGCTCCGGTTCATAACTCCCCTCTCTTCCCACCTGATGTTTATCGGATGGCCAGCCAAGACCCCGTCAAGCCACTAGTTAGCGCGATGTGAGATGGAAGCGTGACCACGCTATCGCTGTTAGAGAAAGCGCAAGAAGCTTGACGCGAACCAGCCGCCGCTGTAGATAGAGGGGAAGACGGTTTCATGTCGATGCAGCAATCATGAATTTCATATGTTAGTTACATAACCACTCTGGAACACATGCAGAAATTACGGTTTTTATTACCGGTTTAGTTAGTTACTTGCGAGTGTAACGTTTAAATCAAACGGAAAAAATAAAAACAATTCTTGAAACGAAATTGTAACCCCTACGCTCTAGGTACGATTTAGTCGTCAAAGTGGGTCAAATCAAAAGGAAAGTCGCTCGAACCGTCCTCGAAGAAATCCTCAGCAGGATCATAGGCGTCGTCATCCTCGACACGGTGTGCAAGCCAAGTGTGCCAGTCAGGCATCTCGTAATCTTGATCACCTGTTTCCGATTCGGACGCATAGCCGGTACTGTCGTCATCGCTCCACATGAAATCACTGTCGTCACCACGGTCGGTGTCGCTGTTGGCCTCTTCTTCATCGCCGCCATCTTCCGCTTCTTCAACGTCCGACTCGTCTCCTTCAGCATGGTCCGTGGCAGAACTATCCTCCATTTGCGGCACGTCCGATTCCTCGCTGCTCTCGCTGCTCGTGTCCCCGAAGAGGTCCCCGATGGTCGAGCCGTAGGGTTGGGGCTGGCGAGGTTCATCTTGGTCGTCTTGGCCATCCTGGTCATCTTGATTATCTTGTACATCTTGGTCATCTTGTGCAGATCGAGCTTGCCGTAATTCTCGAATTTCTGTTTCTTGAGCTGAAATTTCACGGTGGAGGTCGTTCATCACCTCGACTGCGTTTTCGTAGGACGTCTGCATGCGCTTGTAGGCAACGTAGAACTCGTCGCGCTCTCGGCGTAGTAGTTGGGATTTCATTGCAAATTGCAGAATGACAAAGTGTATTATGGTGCACACATGCTAGAAGTTTGTCCCAAAATCATGGGCTTTTGGTCGCCAGATATAAATGAGTCTAGCTGTTTCATGCGCAGGTAGAGACTTTCTTGCCAAAACCCATTCAAAACTAGTGGATACAGTGAAGATATTATATTAGTCTTTCCTAAGCACGTGTGCCGTTTCCTGACCAAACCCATTCAACACTAGTGGATACACTGAAGATGTCATACTAGTCTTTCTTAAGCACGTGTACGGTTTCCTGACAGTATATACGCCTGTCAGGAAACACCACAATTTTTGTTGTAGTTGTTGGCTGGCAACGACAGCCTCAGTAACGTTTAGGATAATTCAAAACTTAGAAGAGCTCAAAAATTTTGTAGGAGTACTTGTGGTATGCAATTCACCCGGGTGGAATGCGATTCATCCATGTGGAATGCAATTCCTCCGGCTGGAATGTAATTAATCCTATTGGTATGGAAAACCTCTGAAAATGGCATGGAAAAAATTTTCCGGCAGAAGTCGCTGCTACCTTTGGCCACTGGGCAAGGTCACTTTGGCGAGTTTGGCATGGTTGGAGTCCGTGGTCGCCGATACATCCTCGCTGGCAGCCAAGAAGGTTGCTGCAATCAACGCCAGCACTTAAGAGAGACGCATGGGGTATGAAGTTAGAGCAATCGACAGAAAATTGCGAAGAGAGTGGATCAATGCAAGCCGTGATTCCATCGTGCATGCATTGTTACTATGAATATTACGTGCGCAATTACGTAGTTGTATGTATCCGTTGGAGATACAGTACAGTGTAGCTGGATGGTGTTGATGTGCAAGTCGTTGTCTGATCGCCGTGGTGTGTTGCATCCATCCACGCGGGGGTCACAATTTATAATCACGTCGACTGTGGCCGAAAACGGCGAAAAAAACCTGGGTATAGTAACACATGGGCTATTAATAGAAGGTAGGATCTGTCGGTTTCATTATGAAGTGAACTGTTGTCACTAATTGATAAAGCCATAAAACCCGGGTGTCTAAGTAATGAAACAGTGATTGCGACGGTTAGTATGGAGGATGTCAGAAATAGCTTAAAATGCGAAGTTTTAACTCAACTTGGACATCCTTAGGACCCCTTGTTAAGGCTATTTTACCTGTGAAACCTTATGTCATCGTAAAAAGGGTGGTCTGTAAAAAGTCGGGAGCGCTCTGGACGCACGGTCACAGTGAGATCACGAGCCACGGAGGAAATCGGCAACCGCGGCCCCATCCTGGAGCTGCCGGCGCTGTCGGAGCAGGACAAGCGCGACATGAACTGGGGCGTGGAGCACGTAATCGACTTCATCGCGGCGTCCCTTATCCGCAAGGCCAGCGACGTGCACGACGTTCGTTCGTGGACGAGTGCATCAAGAAGCACTGGCTGCACGAGCCCGATGACATCGCACCCAAGATTACCGCTTAGGTGGAGAACCCGGAGGGCGTACGGAACTTCGAGAAGACCCTCGGTGCGCGCGCGCGGCCACCTGGGCATGGAGATGCCCGCCTGGCGTACTACAACATGACGGTGGACCACTGCAATGCCGTTGGCAAGCCTGTGGACGTGGGCAAGCAGAAGCTCGAGTCCACGGAAAACAACCCGCGCCCGATGCGCGCCGACTGCGTCGAGTCGGCGCAGGGCAAGTACCCGATCGAGTCGGTGACCACCATGAACATAGTCGTCAGGGACGACAAGCTGCTGCTACAGCTTTAAGTGACATTCGGCACCTGCTGCACATGCTTTGCTACGGTTTCTTTGTGAGCTACCAGAACACGAACCGCGGGTAAACTACTACATCGATGGTGTCAACGAGAATATGTTTTACGGCATCTTGCAGACGGAGATGCGTGGGCTGCGCAATGCATTCAAGCTGATTTTGGACGACTGCAACTCGCCATTCACGTTCGCTAGTGTCAACCAAATTGAATATGACTACTGCGCTGAACGAAATGTAGCGTGCATTAATCGGTATCGTGTACTATCATGCCTTCTAAGTAAACGATAACTTACGACAACTACTACTTGGCGTTGCATGTCTGGCTAAAGATTTTATTAAGAAATATGTAAAGCCGTGGGTTAAGATGCAGCGTGACTCTAGAAAGGCTAGTAGTGGAATGAGCATCGCGGAGCCACGAGGTAGTAGTTACCACTATCCAATTAATGATGATGGGAATAACACGCATACTGAAATAATGGATGAATCACAGTGGATCCCATTTGCGTTTGCTATGGCTCAATCGCGCGCTCGATTGCTTGCAACGTGCGAGAACACTGCCTGTGAACCTATGCAAATGATTATTCATGGTGAAGGAGGAAGTGGCAAAAGTTGGCTCATTAGACACATTGTCAAGGACGTACATAATGTGTTCTGTGAGCACTCATCCTCCAGGCGAACGTCGAAACGAGTTCTTCTATTGGCACACCAAGGCACTGCGGATTTTAATATTAAGGGGCAGACGATATGTTCTGCACTGGAGCTTAGTTCCTTCTCACGAAATGCCTTTTCCAGTCCTTATTCTTCGCTTACTATTCAAAAAGGGGGAGCATCAAAACTTAAACGGCTACAAGAGCAATACGCGGACGTACATCTGGTTATTATTGATGAATTTAGCGTTATCTCTGCGATATGGATAGATCAAAGAATGCGCGAGATATGGCCACGAGGTAGTCACCAGCCATTTGGCGGGAGAGATATTATATTCACCAGCGATTTAGCTCAGCGTGATCCGGTAATTCCCTACGCGTTGTCTACGCCGATCTCAAAAATCCTCAACCCTACACAATTATTAGGACGCGAAATCTGGGTAAATATCCCGATTGTATGTGCTCTAACGAGTCAGAACCGAGGTAAAGCAGATCCCTTGTGGTTCGACGCCCTACGACGCCTACGACGCCTACGACGCAAGTGTCCCACTCAGAGTGATGTTGATTTATTCAATTGTAGATATTACAGGGGAAATCAGATGCCTCCTTGGGTCTCTCAAGCTAAGCACATTGCGTATTTGAATGCAGATGTCTTGGAAGCAAACAATCGCAGTTTGGCAAGTGAGCCTAACCCAACAGTTCAAATTCGATCGAAGCATAGTGTAAAGCTAAAGAGGCTAGCACAGCAGCGGAGTATTTCTCCCGAGTCGATCAATGCACTACTTCAACATGCAGAATTAGCCATCTCGGACCGAGATCGAGTTGTAGGGAGACATCTCAACATTGCTGTTGGCGCTCCAGTTTCCCTGACATTTAACATGGAGCAGTCAGCAGGCCTTTGTAACGGAACCACTGGGGTGATCTACGACATAATCTTTGCTAGTGACATGGATCTGCCTATTCTACTTGTCCAAATTTCTGATCTGTATAATGGCCCTTCGTTCTTGCACGATGTCCCAAATATAATACCAGTAGTTCCAAGAAAAGGGAGCTGGGGAAAGAAAGCTAGCGATCTTACAGTATTTCGAGAGGGGATTCCACTGCGTCTTGCATACGCGCTCACCGTCCACAAAGTACAGGGCTTGACATGTAACAAAATTGTTTTCCATTCGACTTCAATTCCTAGCGCGTCTTTCGCGTACGTTGCACTATCCCGAGTTCGAGATCGCGAAGACATCTACTCACGGCTCCGCTTATTACAGCAGCTGAAGACTTCAGCAGAAAAGCAAGCGTGTTTCTCTAACGAAGAAAAGCGAATTCAACAAGCAGCGGATGCGACCAAGCATAAAGCTCAGCTTGTAATCTTATCCATGCAACAAGCAGCTTTAGACCACAATCGATCATTAGAACCACGATGAACTCTTTCGTTATTGCTCCTCCGACATTACTTATCTGCCGTAGCACACCTCTCCGTAACACCCTATCGAAGCATCCATCTCTGCACGCTTTCGTTCTCCCACGTTGTACCATCTCACCTGCTTGTTCTGCCGCACAGCCTCGGAGCGGGACGTGAACAAGCTCTGGGAGTGCTTCAACGACGTGGCCGAGGGCTTTGGCCTCAAACAGGACGAGCTGGTGGAGATCTGCCGCTCCATGCAGCAGACGCTCGAGATCCACGCGCGCAGCGAGATGGACCAACTCAGCGCCGCGCTCTTCACGGCCCGGGTAACATCTCACTTTTCAACTTCCTGTGCTCAAGATACAAGCCATGTCTGATGAGCGACACCCCCAACACGGTCCTGTGTTCTCGTCTCCAAGTCCCAAGCAGCTCCAACGAAGCGAACGCCAACCCGGTGTTAGTCCTGTACCTTCCAAAAAAACGTCGCTGTCAGGCGTCCGTTCTCGCGTCTCTGTCAACCGGCCAGCAGAGTCGTAGCTCTTGTCCGCCCGGTTCAAGAGTAGCCTCAACACTAACGCGATCGAGTCCTCATGTGAAGTCGGCGGCGCCTACACACCTGGAAACCTCGCAACAACCACCGAAGCGACTGCGATCTGACGTTGCTAAGGTGCAGGTGACGCAGCAGAAAGGTGACGATTTAGTGGGCAAGCGGGAGTTCGTTGCCCAGCGGAAGCGTGCGATGCAGGAATTGCGCAGCGAGAGAGCACGGAGGATGAATGCTGCTCTCGAAAAGGAGCTGCTGCGAGCGCGGCGATTTGACGAAGTCCCGGACAAGTTTTATGCTGACAAACTCCTGCGCAGTAGGCGCGACGTCTCCTTCCAACTGATGTGTGAAGGGATAGCCCGTGACTTGGCAGCAGGGAGAACTCCGGAACACATCCCAAGAAGCGATTTTGAGTAGTATAGCGCCTCATTCATAACGCAAACGTATATGAATTACCCATCTGCCCTTAAGACTTTTGGGGCTTGAACTTGCGTGCGTGTGCTGCCTGGCGCACACGAAGAGCGTGCACCTCGCGCCCTGCATATCTGTATCAGTTCAATTAAAGAATTAAATTGTTTTACACGATGCCTTACACATTACGTACGGTGAAGTAGTTTTGCTGCTTTTATCGCGCCAGCATGCGCTCCACGAGCATGCACCTCTCCTGCATTCACGCTAGAATCCCTTTTTTCATCTCCATGATGCTCGCGCGCTGTAGTGATCGACGTAGTCCACATCTGCGCAGAGGCTGCTCATCAGGTTGAGCGCCGCTGCTAAACTCGGAAGCAGGCATGCCGAAAACGAATATATCTATTGTTTGCCGGACACCATAATAAATATTGCATTGCATCCGAGTAGCAGACTGAATAAATAACGCAAGACATAGTGTTGACACAGTAAATTACTGCAATCATGTTACGACTGTACCTACTTACAGGCACTGCTCCACGGTCGCAACATCCCAGTACGAGTTGTTGATCTTGAGGAACAAGATCATCTCTAGCATCATGGGGGAGAGGCGGTGGCGCTCATGGCGCAGCATAGCGCGCGCAATGCTGAAGAGCCTCTCAACCATGTTTGAGGTAGGAGGAATTGCATTAAGCAGCTCGTACGTGCGCTGTGATCATGGAGCTTTCACCCAAGTCGACAAGTTGGGCGAGGATCGAAGGTCTCAGCGGAGCAACGTGGAGTCCGAGCCCGGCCTCGAAGGCGATGTTTGGAGTCTTTGCTCAAGTCGAGAAGCCGAGCGGAGCACCGTGGATCTGAGCGGAGTGGCATGAGCCAGAGCGGAGTTGTCGGAGTCCAGTTGAAGTGCCGGGTGAAGCGTCGCTGGACTTAAGTCCAGACAGTGCTACTGACGGCGAAGTGGGTGGTACCGGCGAGTACACTCATCCGGTGAATCAGCCATGAACCAGCCTACATTGGGTGCGACCGCCCAAGATCGCGGACACTTCAAGCGGATCTCAACGGCCTCCAGCGGCTCCAAGACGACGCCCGCCGACGTGGAGCCGCCGCATTGACCAATACCAAGGATATCGGGCGGATCTTCAAGGGAGCCCGGTAAGCATACTGTCGACGCTCTTCGCGCAGCCAGTCAGTGTGTACCCAGGGGGATATCGCGCCCCCACTTAGTGAGTCCTAGTTTGTGCATGTGTAAACATTTAAACAGAGTTCGTTTTGCCCCGAAGGACGCAAGTGGTGGAGGTCTTTGGCCAGAAGGTGTCTTGGCGATCATCCACACAAATTCAAGCTAACATATCAACGTTGTCAGAGTGCTTCGGTGCGACGGCAGTACAGTTATTTCATATTACTCTTATATCTTAGGGTGTATACCATATTTTCAGATCCATTCTGAGGTTTAGGCAGGGTAATTGTATTGTGTGCTTGGGGACATTGGCGTGCCCCGATGCATTGTGTGATTATTAGTATCGGTTCATTGTGGACATGGTGCGCGGGTAATCCCAGGGTGTGTGTGAGTGCCTTGGATTCGGACTAGGCTCAAACCGAGTCACTAACTTCAGACCGGGTCGTTGCTTGACTCGAAGAGAAGAAAGGAGAAGCTGGTACGAGCCTCGCCCAGGCTCAGAGAAATAAAGGCGAACTCGGCCCAGACCCAGGCCGACCGGGAAAGAAGGGGTGTTGTGGTTCTGAGCCGGAACCAAAGAGAGGAAGTGGAGGTTATATTGTGTGTGGTGTTGTGTTCATTAAGGAAAACCCGGGGCATTTCGGGCTGTGGACACGTGCGGACTGGGACTCGCCAAGTGGGGAGCGAGTTTCGTCTGGGAACACCTCCGGAGACCTTCAACATCGACAGCAGCTGGTGTGGCCGACGCGAGTCTGAGCCCACAGCGTAGCCGTGATCAAAAGAACCGCCAAGGGGATCGCAGAGTGACGAGCACACGCCTCGCCCGACCTGAGCCAAGCGTTCAGCGGCTAAGCCTAGCGAAGCGGAGTGGGAGTGTTCGCTCAGTGGAAGGAGCTGAGCGGAGCTCCTGCAGCGCTAAGCAGGGGCTGAGCCAAGTGGTGCAAGGGCTGAGCGAAGACCAAGGTCGATCGGTCTAGCTACCTGAGCCTTCAAAAAGCACGGGCGCTTCGTCACAGTTGCATCTACGTTGCAGGCCGACGTGAGTGCATGTAGCTCGCGCATGTACTTCGTGCCTACAGCGCTGTGTTGAAGCTCGTTCGGCTCACGCCGATTTTCGCACTCATCGACGAGAAGGCGCATCGCAGTGAGCCCGCGCCAGAGTTCGCGCCTAATGACGAGATGATGGGCCCTTTAAAGATCTCGCGCGTGCAAACTACATTTTGCGCGCGCAGATTTCGCGCGCAGCTCTGGCCTAGCACTACAACGTGCAAGTCTAACATGAATTAGTGGCGAGGACGCCTTCGCGCCAAGCAAGCTTCCAGCGCCGCAATGACGCTCACTTTTCGTTTTGCCGAACACCAAGCAAGCCCCCCCCCACCCCACCTGCGAACCCGACGCCCCACCTCCAAGCCCGGTACACGAGTCCAGCACTGCTGACTGCCCCGCTACGTAACGTGACGGACTCTGAGCTGTCTGCTGTGTTTGTAGATGCCGAAGCACTCTGGTACCGCTAACTACACGATGTCCGACGTCGATCGACTCCTCGCGCTCGTCGAGAAGATGCTGCCGCTGGGCAAGGACGAATGGGAGCGGTTGGCGATGGCGTACAACGCAAACCGCCAACGCGGTGCGCCCGAGAGAGACTACGAGAGCCTTCGGCGTAAGTTCAAGGTGCTTTACAGCACGAGGAAGCCGACCGGCGTACAGGAGATGCCCCCTCACATCAAGAAGGCGAAGGAGATCAAGCCAGCCATCGACGCCAAGGCCAACGTCGTCGAGATGGACGACGAGGCCGACGACGACCAGCCCGACTTCTGTTTCGAGGTGGACCCGGACGACAGCTTGTACGAGGACGGCGATGGCGACGGCATGCAAGCACTGGTGACGCCGCTGTGGCCGGATCCGCCGGCGGCGAGTCGCTGGGCTCCGACGAGTCGCTCGACGACGAGTCGACGGTGTCTAGCCGCTCAACGAGCCGGGGCGAGTTCCAGGACTTGCTCACGTCGCCACTGGGCATGGAAGGGCTTGATGACCTTGCCCACACACCAGTCCTGCACCCGGCCGAGCGGGGCCAAGTGCACGTCGTTCGGGCTCTGGAGGGCCACCGCCATCACGCATGGCGGCCGTCAATGATACCAGCGGCGGAGCTTCGCTGCCGACGCAGCAATCTGCGACGCAAGCTGCTGCTGCTGTCAGCCGCGACGATCTCGAGGCGGCCAGATCCAGACGTCGTCGAACCGCCTTGGTGGCACTGATCTGTCAAGCTTCCGCGACACCGTTGGCGCCAAGCGCGCGAGAGAAGATGAGAAGGACACGGCCGAGGCAAGCTACGCCAAGGCTAAGAGGATCCGCGCCATGAAGGCGACCGCCGTCCTCAAGTCGAAGTTGGACGGCATCGAGAGCAACACCAGCAGCATGCGCGGCAGCATCTTCGAAACGCTGCTGGTGCTGCGCGAGGAGAGCGAAAGGAAGGCTGAGGCCCGACTTCTGGAGGCGAAGGCCGATGCGGAGGTGCGTCGTCGCGAGGATAAGCTGGAAAGAGAAGATCGTGCGCGTCGCGACCGCGAGGAAGCGCGCGCTCGAACTCAGGACCTGCTACTACTGATCGGCGCGCTGACCAAGAAGGCCTGAAGACAGAGTCAACGAGCGTGCAGGCTCACTTGAACGAGGCTAGCCATTCACATTGAATTTGTAGTTGTTCGTCACTTACTGCTAAGCCTTCAAATCGACTGTGTTGTTCATTATCATGTAGCAAGCTCATTGCAGTGTTCGCTTCTCAGTCATCACATTCTAGTCAATTGTAGCAATCACGATCAGTAAATGCAGTTCATGCAGAAGGCGGTTGATGACAACGCAGACAGCGAAAGCGCTCGACTCACCTTCGGAGAGAAACATATCGATCGCGCCTTACAGAGTCAACATCAGCTAAGGCCCAATACGACGACAACGAGAAATGTATTGTTCACATCTTACAAACACAGACATCATTAGCTAGGCTCCTACTCGCTTGACGGCGGCAGCTCCATTTCGCCCGAGAACGTCGTTCGAATCTGCGAGATGCCGACCGTACGCACACGGTAGTTAGCCATTCTGAACACGTTGCTGATTCTGTGCCCGCGGATGTTGGGGTCGTACGGCAGGGGGAGGTTGAGGCGGCTGTACACCTTCTGCATGCTGCCCATGCCCCACTCAGCCGCCTGCCGTACAGAAGTGATTGCATTGTGGAGCGTTCGCGCGGAGCTCCTGAGCGACGGCCATATTCTCTCCAAATCGCCGTCTTTGAGAGGCGTCAGGATGCGGCCCACCATGGTAGTCGAGCATGGAAAAGCGGAGTCCGACACCACGTTCATACGCGTAACTGGGCAGTACGCGGGGTCGAGCAACTTGGCGCGGAAGCCAAGCGAGGTGTCCGAGTCGTTCTACGACCCGAGACAATTGTGCTTACTCCAAATGATACAGCCGTCGGCGGCGAAGCCGATCGTGCCAGTCACGAACACGGTGTGAAGCCACCCGTTGTACATGGCATTTTGCAGATCCGCATTCGACGGCTGCTGGACCTACTGTGCAGTAGTTGTTAGCGTGTAGCATTCTTAGCAAAGCAAATAATGATTTCAAATGAAACTTACCGGAAGTTCTTCCCATCAATAAATCCAAAGGTGTGTTTGAGAAGTGGTTCGCGAGCCTCCACCAGCTTCGCCAACTCGGCTTGGCGAGCTGGGGACGGCCACGAGATCCGTGCGGGGGCGTATCCGCTTAGCGCCTGCGCCAGTGCTTCCTCGGCGCGCGCAAGCGTCCTCGACAGCGTGCTTGGCGGGACCCCAAACAGCATGCAAAGGGAGCTTTGCTCCATCGAGCCGACATAGAAGCAGAGCACGAGGCCGAGCACCTGGTGGTGGTGCTTCAGCTTGGTTGGACGCCCGCGTTTCGTGTGGCGCGGAATGTAGTAGAAGTGGCTAAACCGCTGCAGGAGCTGGTTGAAAGCCGACCTACAGCATTGTGTGTCAGATAGAGAATAGCAGCATGGTAAACATTTAATATAGATCGCACCTGGTCAAACTTGTCATGATCAGGAAGTTCATGTCGCTGCCGTACTTGTACACCATCATCCAGGCGGAGTCGCTCGGCGTATCCAGGCACTGGGTGGCTGCTGCGCATAGCGATCTTCCAAGACTCCCCCACCAGGGCGCGGTACACCTCTCTGCGAGCGTCATGCAGCTCCTCGTCTTGCTCGAGGAAGGTGCTGGCGAGCACCAGCAGCGCATCGGCGTCCTCGGCGTGCATCCTCGTGTCCGACGCGCGCCAAATTCAAAAGTGGCGAAATCTAGAAGCTTCCTGACGTAAGTGATGTCCGTGGCAAAGTGACGGGTACATTCTAATTGCCTGCTGTTATTGCCTGATTCAGGGCACTTCCACACGGACACAGATGCTCGATGTAAGGCATTTGTGGTAGATGCTTTTAGCGATATGCCAGCATATATCTTTTTAAGGCCTGACATTCCTGCTGCAACTATGACAGCCCGTTAATGTATATATGGTAGGCGTCCACTGGGCATTATGAGGGTATATATCAAAAATTAAACTTCAGAAGTACTGAACTGTATGTACGAGCTGTTCGTATACAGTACGACGGAATAAACGCTTGCCTTAACCCACTCACTTCACAATTTACTTTCAAGCGCCAACTTCATCCCTCGTCAGTACTCATGCGTCTCTCTCAAGTGTTGATGGCGATTGCGGCGACCTTCTTAGTTGCTGGCGAAGCTCTTTCCACGGCGACGGACTCCAACCAGGCCAAACTCGCCCAAGTGGCTTTGGCCACTGGCCAAAGCCAGCAGCGACATCTGAGGGCCCACCCCACCGAATCAGAGCAAAGAGCGCTGGATCCTGCCACCCTCCAGAGGATGTTCAAAGACGGCGTGAAAGTTGACGACTTCGCTGCCACATTGGGAATTACCGACGATATTGCGAATGCCATGCGCAGTGCAACGGCTCTAAACAATCTCTTGAGGACCCCCAAGTACGAGAAGTACAGATCGTACCTCAACTACGTGACGAAGAAGAGGAACAGCGGAAGGGCAGGAAGAATCATCTACGAGTGAGATGCCTGGATAAGCCCGCGGTCTTTGCAACCGTACTGAGTCAAGAACAGGCAACATGTCGAATCAAATCGTGCGAATTCTAGGTTCGTTAAAGGTACGTGTAAGCGAACAATAGAATGTCTACCAAAAATTCGTCTTGTGTGTCGCTATTGCAAGAGTTGCACGTGTGCGTACACTTAGTTTGTTCAAGGCACGACTTATCAAACTCGAATTCAGGGGTCACTTGGAAGTAATTATGTTCGTCTTCATAGTGTTCACCATTCTCGATTGTCTTGGTCCTTGCGCTCCATGGCTCTGCAATCTTTGCTGCGCTGGCGCCAAGATGTCTAGGTGTCTAGAGTGTGGCGCTAGTATTGCGAGGCTCGCTCTCAACGGAAGCTATGTCTGCCTCACATGTATAATGCAAGCCTAACATGTAACCATGGCGAATACTACGTGTGTCAAAATGGGATCTACACCCACAAAGTAAACCCGACACAGTCCCCTCTTTCCAACGATTACCATTCACATAGTCCGTGCCTACGGTACGCTTCGGAAGTCTACAACCCAGCGACTTTTGAGACCCATGACAAAACTGTCGAAGATGAAGACTACTCCGAAGAAAGCGGCATTACTTCGGAGCAAATGGAGAAACTGAAAAAGTGTGCGACGGGGAAGGTAATAATTGACTGGGCGAAAGCTCGGAGTAACTCGATTTGCCTGCAAACTCGTGCAGAGTTCCCGGTCTACATGGACTAAGAGGAACACGTAAATTGCGTGGAACAAGGAGGCCAAGGCCAAGACTGCACAACTCGCTGCAAGAAATGCACACGCATAAGATGCTCCTGCTTTCCCCTCAAGCCAGCCGGCTTTAGCAAAAACGTCCGAACAAGCAACATGTGAAAAGCGTGCCAATTGGAGATAGCACGCACTCTAGGTTTCATTACGACTAATCAAACAATGGTTACCATTGTCGGTAACACTTTCGGGTTGGCATACAGCAACCAACACCAACACGATTTTGTTCCCCATTGCAATCCATTCACTGTAAACACTTAACTTGCTCACACCTCTCAAATTTTAATTATAGGTATGCGTTGGTCATCATATCATCGCGCTCGAACTCACATCAGCTCAAGCCAAGAAAAATATATAGTTGTCACATATAAAATAAAATATATACCTTTTGCTTATAATATAAACCTTTTGGAGGGCCCAGCGCGACACTGGGGTTATATCGGTGTGATGGGTATCCTGCCGGTTCAGTCTGCCCACGCATATACGCAGGGTACGGATGGACGAAGTGAAGTGAAGAGAACGCTTGGACTGTGCAATAGCACTAGAGGTACTAAGTAAGCATTTGCATTTTCTAAAGCTGCAAAACAGATCTCAACCAAGGCTCGCAGTTTTTTAATTTTGTGAAGCATTGCCGGTTGATATCTTGCATCTACAGCTTTACTTCAGTAAGAAAAAAATCCGCGCAGATGCTGCGGATGCGAAGCAGGCGCAGGAGATGGTCATAGCTAGTACTTCGAAGTAAGAGCAGAAATTAATAAAAACTAAAAAAGAAGGATGTATTCCAAAATTCTCCTATCCCAGCCGTCGAGGAGCCCTAGTTTTACGGATATTGGAATTTACCGAGTCCTGCAATTGTGGTGAAGGAAAAGGAAGCATCCAACTACCGCCCGTTTAGCTGCCTCCTGAAACTAGTTTCGGGAAGTTACGCCGACAACAAGAAGGAGAACCAGATTGGAGACTTCAAAACCAACGACGCTATCGATGTTGCTAATTCGTGAGCGATGTTAAGGCACGTCAGCGGGCAATGTACATTGCCACCCAGAAAGAAAGCCAAACTGCAAACAAACCCACTCCTCATTGGATCGCAATATCCTACTAAAGTACCTGGTACTTTCTAGGTCGTCGATTTCGTAATTCACGCAAAGTGACAATTATATATTTTTCTTGGCTTGAGCTGATGTGAGTTCGAGCTATGATGACCAACGCATACCTATAATTAAAATTTGAGAGGTGTGAGCAAGTTAAGTGTTTACAGTGAATGGATTGCAATGGGGAACAAAATCGTGTTGGTGTTGGTTGCTGTATGCCAACCCGAAAGTGTTACCGACAATGGTAACCATTGTTTGATTAGTCGTAATGAAACCTAGAGTGCGTGCTATCTCCAATTGGCACGCTTTTCACATGTTGCTTGTTCGGACGTTTTTGCTAAAGCCGGCTGGCTTGAGGGGAAAGCAGGAGCATCTTATGCGTGTGCATTTCTTGCAGCGAGTTGTGCAGTCTTGGCCTTGGCCTCCTTGTTCCACGCAATTTACGTGTTCCTCTTAGTCCATGTAGACCGGGAACTCTGCACGAGTTTGCAGGCAAATCGAGTTACTCCGAGCTTTCGCCCAGTCAATTATTACCTTCCCCGTCGCACACTTTTTCAGTTTCTCCATTTGCTCCGAAGTAATGCCGCTTTCTTCGGAGTAGTCTTCATCTTCGACAGTTTTGTCATGGGTCTCAAAAGTCGCTGGGTTGTAGACTTCCGAAGCGTACCGTAGGCACGGACTATGTGAATGGTAATCGTTGGAAAGAGGGGACTGTGTCGGGTTTACTTTGTGGGTGTAGATCCCATTTTGACACACGTAGTATTCGCCATGGTTACATGTTAGGCTTGCATTATACATGTGAGGCAGACATAGCTTCCGTTGAGAGCGAGCCTCGCAATACTAGCGCCACACTCTAGACACCTAGACATCTTGGCGCCAGCGCAGCAAAGATTGCAGAGCCATGGAGCGCAAGGACCAAGACAATCGAGAATGGTGAACACTATGAAGACGAACATAATTACTTCCAAGTGACCCCTGAATTCGAGTTTGATAAGTCGTGCCTTGAACAAACTAAGTGTACGCACACGTGCAACTCTTGCAATAGCGACACACAAGACGAATTTTTGGTAGACATTCTATTGTTCGCTTACACGTACCTTTAACGAAACTAGAATTCGCACGATTTGATTCGACATGTTGCCTGTTCTTGACTCAGTACGGTTGCAAAGACCGCGGGCTTATCCAGGCATCTCACTCGTAGATGATTCTTCCTGCCCTTCCGCTGTTCCTCTTCTTCGTCACGTAGTTGAGGTACGATCTGTACTTCTCGTAGTTGGGGGTCCCCAAGAGATTGTTTAGAGCCGTTGCACTGCGCATGGCATTCGCAATATCGTCGGTAATTCCCAATGTGGCAGCGAAGTCGTCAACTTTCACGCCGTCTTTGAACATCCTCTGGAGGGTGGCAGGATCCAGCGCTCTTTGCTCTGATTCGGTGGGGTGGGCCCTCAGATGTCGCTGCTGGCTTTGGCCAGTGGCCAAAGCCACTTGGGCGAGTTTGGCCTGGTTGGAGTCCGTCGCCGTGGAAAGAGCTTCGCCAGCAACTAAGAAGGTCGCCGCAATCGCCATCAACACTTGAGAGAGACGCATGACTACTGACGAGGGATGAAGTTGGCGCTTGAAAGTAAATTGTGAAGTGAGTGGGTTAACCCCTTGGTCGCGGAGGGTTGGAAAATCACCTGATGCTGTTCAGAACAGCATAAGAATCACTTGGTTTCATTATGTATCGAAATCCGCAAAATATGTTCTCGTCCTTTCCCAGAAATCGAAAGAAACTGATTGGTCCACGTGTTCAAAAGGAGACAAACGATTATTTAGTAAAACATATGCCCTGAACTACCGCGTGCAAGGGTGGGCAAAATGTTTTCGGATAAATCATATTTAGGTTCCCCTTTCGAGCTCGGACGCCAGCCGCTGCAGAAGAAGAAGATGATGATGCGGCTTCCGACGAAGGGTCGACGACGGGCGGCCCCTACCAACAAAAGCGAGCGCGCACGGCTAGCATCGCGGAGTAAGCAATATGTATTGAAAAGAGACAGAATCAAGGACACACCCTTTGCTTACTCCGCGATGCTAGCCGTGCGCGCTCGCTTTGAAAAGAGACAGCATCGCGGAGTAAGCAATATGTATTGAAAAGAGACATCCCCATCAGATATCTGCAAACAACGATGACGAACCAAGCCGAGCATATCCCCGCAAGCGGGTCTCGTTGAACATGCACATCCACTCACATATGCTGCATATGCTATGCATCGCAGGACGCGCTCGATTTACAAATCGATCGAGCTAAATCAGGGTGCTAATCGATAGATTTACGAGCAAAATAGGTAAATGAAGCGGTTTTCACGATACATAAGACGACTTAGAGAGTCAGAGCATATGAGTCGGATTTACATTTGCTAATCGGCCGATTAAGCCAATTTGCTTGCTATTCAGACGGAATGTCCGATGTGCAACCGGCATTCGCTCCTTGTAGGCTAAATCAGCAGTTGCTCTTGGCTAGGTAGTCAAGGCTACAGTACTAATATCAGAACTAAGCAGGAAAAGCCGCACGCTATAATACATGTAACTGAGATATGCAAGCAACGCGTTTAAGCGCGGTGTTGTCGCTGCACTTGGCGAGTCTCGGGCCGAGGGTACTAATTACGAGACCGATGAGCAGCCCTCCTTAAAAATGGGAGTTCCCAGTTTTCCCGTAAAGTCGCTTATCAAGGGAAAATTCTGGATTTGAAATGGGAGTTATGGGACCCATACTTTACTCAAGTCAAATGATTCACCCACTTATTTCCGATGTTGATACTGGTGCTTCAGAGCCATCAGATGTCATCATAAGAACCCCAAGTTGTAACATTAAGGTGCATCACAGTCAGTGCTGTCGTGATGTTCGTTGTCTATGCGGAACAACCTCAATATTGAAAAGCGTCCGCGTTTAATTACCGTTGACAGTTCCGCTGATTGAATATGTTTTCCTTACATCTACTAAAAAAGAGACCTGATACGCAAAGATTGACGTGATCTAACAACAATAACCCGTAGCAAAGGTTTCCTGATCCAAGCAACAATGGGCCGTAGCAAGCATTCTATTAATGAATTTGCAACCTCAAAAGTCCACCCCCACCCTTGATTTCCCCACCCTGTCCTGGCAGCTCAAGCTTACAAAGATACCTGACACAAAATAAGGTAAATGAACCCAGAAGACGGTTCCTATCGTCCCACAGCTGTGTTGGACCATTATTCGAGCGCTTTCAGCATTTGGAAAGCGTTCTCTTCGTTGCGCTGCGACGCCAAAAGCTAATCATATACAATTCCGTAGCATAAAATCTTCTGTTTTTCACGGGAGTATTTGAGATTTAAAAATGGGAAATCTGGGAAAATCCGTGAAGATCCCATGTTTAAAAACATGGGATCTTCACGGATTTTCCTTAAAAGGAGGCCTGCCGATGAGCGATTTATACTCCGATTATAATTGAGACATCCCCGATTTATTAGTCTTCAAATCCTCTATGAGCGATGTTTATCCGGCTAATTCAGCCGGACAAACTAATCGGTTTTCACAATAATACCTGTACTTGTATTAGAGAACTTTCGCAAACCGATTTTAGTTGAGTTTCAGATTTGTTTTCAGTTTGGAGGAGTACCGTGATTGGGGTCTCTCAAATCTGATACTCAAATGCATTTCCGTTTTAGCAAAGTGGTGGTTTTGCTCAACTCGGTTTTCAGCTTCACTATCTCAGTAGTAATAGAACGTAAGGAAGTGTCCTAACTTTCCTAATTAGGACTGATAGGACAGCTATCTTAAATTACCGTTACCGTCATTTATGGGAGTATCATTTAGGACTGTTATAGTACAGATAATCCGACACCCTATTACTGCAAGCGCTTACACGAAAATAGCCTCAAATTTTGACTTGCATCCTAACGCTCGAGTTTATGAGTTAGCCACGTCGATCGGGCCGTTGATCTTGAAGTCTCCAATTTGGTTCTCCTTCCCCAGATCGGCGTAGTTGCCCCGAGCCCTCGCCAGAATGTACTCCGCCCAGCTGAACGGACGGTAGTTGGGCACGTCCCCTTCCTTCACGATGATAGGCTCCACTTGGGCATTGTACGCTGGGAAGTAAAAGAACGGGGCCGAGAAGCGACTGGCCTTGTCCGTCGCCAGAACGCGGTGAATTGGGGCCACGAACTTGTCGTTCGACCACACCTGCGTCATGTCGCCAAGGTTGATGGTGTACGTCCCCTTCCTCGGCGGCACATTCACCCACGTCTGCGACTTCCGGTGAAACACCTGGAGTGAAGCCACTTCGTCATCTTGCAGGAGAATGGTAAGAGCGCCAGGATCCGTGTGGTTGTAGACCCCCATGGTCTTCTCCGGGTCGGGGGCCACAGGGTAGTGGTTCAGTCTCATGACACTGGGGCTGTTGCCCAGGAAGAACTGGTCGAAGAACGCGGGCTGTTCCCCCAACGACACCGCCAGTATCTTCAACAGTCGGCGGGAGATGTACTCCATCTTGTCGTAGTAAGTCTGCATTTCATGGCGGAACCCCGGTAGAATATCCTCCTGTAGCCACTGGTTCTGCGACGTGCCCAGTCGTCCGTCCCCCTCTGGAGGTGGGGGGCCATCCTCGTAGGCCCCAGTGAAGTCGAAGCACTCCTTCCAGTCCGTCTTGTTCTTGGTGAGTTCCCCCTCGACATACCCGCGCGCGTTCGTAGCGACGCGGGGGATGGAGCGCTTCGTCTCTGGCGGGAGACGGAAGAACGCGCGCATGAACTCCTGGAACCTCTTGACGTCTTGCGCTGGTAGGCCGTGGTTCGCAACGTAGAAGAACCCCCACTCGCTCGCAGCAGCGGAGACCTCGTCGATGATCTGGCGGATGGACGAGTTGTTGGTGTCTCGAAGCGCCGCGTCCACCTCTGCGTCCGTCGCGAGAGCCGTGAAGGCCCCAATGTCGATCACAGGGACCTGGTGCACCTCCATCTTTGGCTTGAGGAGGAGAATTCCGGAATGAAGAACTGTGATTGGTTTCGATCCTGAAAGGACGTGGTGTGCGTTACGTACATGACTCGGATCGGGCAGTTTTGTTCTCTATTCGTTCTCCGGTAGAACACGATTCAACACTACTGTAAGCTTAGTTTTATTTCCTTCATTACACGTGGGTGTCCGTGGTTCTACGAGTTGGCGACGTCGATGGGTCCGTGGATCTTGAAGTCTCCGATCTGAATCTCCTTGCCGCTGTCGGCGTAGTCGCCCTTGAAGCGCGCGAGGCGGAACTCGCGCCAGCTCAGCGGGCGGTAGTTGGCCTCCTCGCCCTCCTTCACCACGATGGGCTCGATCTGCGCCTTGTACGACGGGTTGTAGAAGAAGGGGGCGGAGAAGCGGTCGGCGCCGCCGCTGGCCAGCACGCGGTGCAGCGGCGCCACGAACTTGTCGTTAGACCAGACCTGCACCATGTCGCCGATGTTGATGGTGAACGTGCCCTTGCGAGGCGGCACGAGCGTCCACGTCTGCGAGTCGCGGTGGAACGCCTGCAGCGAGGCCACCTCGTCGTCCTGCAGCAGCAACGTCAGCGCGCCGGCGTCCGTGTGGTGGTAGACTCCCATGGTCTTCTCCGGCTCGGGGGCCACGGGGAAGTGGTTGAGCCTCAGGAAGCTCGAGTTGTCGCCGTGGAAGAACTGGTCGAAGAAGGCCGGCTCCTCGCCCAACGCAACCGCGAACACCTTCAGCAGCCGACGCGAAATGTATTCCATCTTTCCGTAGTATTCTACCATCTCCTGGCGGAAGCCAGGTAGAACATCCTCCTCGAGCCATTGGTTCCGGTCGTCGCCGAGACGCTCGTGCTTGTCATTGGCCGGGCCGTCCTCGTCCACGCCGGCGAAGTCGAGGCACTCCTTCCAGTCCGTCTTGTTCTTGGTCAGCTCGTCGTCGAAGTAGCCGCGCGAGTTGCTGGCGCTGCGACGGATCGAGCGCTTGGCCTCTGCCGGGAGGTTGAAGAAGGAGCGCATGGCGGCCTGGAAGCTGTCCACCTCCTGCTCGGGCAGGCCGTGGCTGGCGATGTAGAAGAAGCCCCACTCGCTCGCGGCCGCGCGGACCTCCTCGATCGTCTTGCAGAGCGCCGCGTCGCTAGCGTCACGCAGCGCGGCGTCCACTTCGACGTCCGAGCGGAACGCCATGAGGGCGGCGATGTCGACGACTGGGACTTGGCGGACGTCCATTGTGATGTCAGGCTTGCAACTTGCGGAATGGCTCATGGTCAAGTGGAGGAGAGGTGGGGACCAGTTCAACGTGTGCGGCCAGCGGAGACCTTTGTGCAAGGCTGACGTAGCGGGAATGGGGCCGCGGGATTGGCTACCTCGACCCAATCTGCCGGGATCTGCGCTATAAAAATGGAGCTGCCGGTGATCTGGGTACGGATGGCTGTTGTTGACGATGGACTTCATGTAGTAAATGTAGTGACGACCGCGCGGACTTCCAATATTCATGTATGGAAGCGCAGCTACGGTAGGAAAGCGGCGGCTTGACCGTGTGCCGCCGATCACAGGGTATGCTGATCACCAAGATGTCGGGTATGGCAGCTCAATGGGGTCAAGAATCTTGACTCAAGATGTTGAAGTTCCCTGGGCGAAGACGCCAACCACAGCCTAAGAGACCGCAACTGTCAGTAGAAGTAGTCGCTGCCACTCGGACGTCCTGCAAGAAGCCCCGAGAGGGGCGGCAAGCAGCGGTGTCTGCTAGATCGGATGGTGAACCTGATGAGGAAGTGGCGTTTGTGAACAAGTTTTAACAACAGCAACATGAATTCAAAAAGAGACCGCCAAGCGTAGCTTCAAAATCGTTGTATAGATACCAAGTTACTACGCGGTTTTTAGGAAGAGAGACACACAGTCGACTCCATCTATCAGCCGCAGGGTTTACGACTCAGGGGCCAAACCATGCCACGACACTGCAACACACAGCCCACCTACGACTGGTAGCTGCTTAGCTCAGCAGATTCTCGACCGAAGCCGAGATCCACGACGTCACCTGGTCGGCCGACACGGCGTCCACGTCAAAGTCGAAGTCGTCGCCGCCCAGCTCGATGATCTTGATGGTGCCTGTGCTCGAGTTATCGATGATGGTCACGTACGTCACGGCCGAGTCGGTGGGACGCACGGCGTAGTTGTCACCGCCCGGGGACACGCTGCCGTCGTAGAAGTAGTAGTGAGTCGACACCTTGTCCTTGTCCGTGTTGGTCTCGATCACCTCGGCAATGTCGAGCTCACCGCAGCCGCCCTCGGAGCCCTCGCCACGGCAGTTGCAGCCGTACTGGTTAGCACGAACCACCTGAGCGTTCAGCATCCAGATAGCAGGGCGGTTGACGATCGAGCCCGTAGGCATCTGCACCTTAGTCACGAACATCTTCATGCCGCCGTCCCAGCCGTGGAAGCCCATGTCGTCGTAGTAGCCAATGCAGCCGTCCTCGTCGGCGCAGTTGGTCTCCGTCATGACGTTGACCTCGCATCCGGTGGAGACGCACGGGCCGCCGCCGGTCACCGAAGCGTCCGAGGCATCAGCAAGGGAGCCGCCGAACGTCGTGCTCTCAGTGGCGGTGCCGGAGCCGTCGGCCGTCGAGTAACCCTGAGGGCTCGAGTCAGCGCCGGTGTAGTCGATGTTGAGGTTGTTCATGAAGACCATGTTCTCCTGGGTGCCGTTCTGGCTGTAGGACGACACCTTGGTCCAGTCGCTGCCCGAGGTGGCGTTGAACACGGCGATGTTGTAGATGTTGAGCGGGCCGCGGAAGACCATGGACACCTCCTCGCTGAACGGACCCACGGGGTCGCTCACCGACACGTCCTCGGTGGTGCAGGATGACATGGCCGTCACCTTGCCGTACGTGCCGGCGGCCGAACCGGCATCCGTGCCGTTGTACACGAAGCTGGAGCTGATCGTGGCGCTCGAGAAAGACGCGGCGCTGCCGGTCGTCGTCGTTGAAGTAGTCGAAGTTGAAGTGGACGTCTGCGTCTGCGACTGCGTCGAGGTGCTGGACGTCGAGACGGTACCGTACTCGTAGTCGCTGGCCACCTCCGGGGCGGCAGTGGTAGCGGCCGGGGCCGACGTGGTCGACTGCGTCTGCGACTGCTGCTGGCTGGCCGACTGCTGGCTGGTCGATTGCTGCTGCGTGGACGACGAGGACGTGGTGGTGGTCGTGGTCGTCGTGCTGGAGCTGGATCCGCCGGGGCAGAAGGTGACCGTGAAGGGCAGCGTGTCCGGGCAGCTGTGGGTCTTGGTGTCGTCCGACGGGTACAGGTAGGCGTCCGAGCACTCCTCGCTCTCGCACGTGAGCGTGGCGCACGAGCTGGAGACCGACTTGGCCGAGCTCGTGTCGGGCGCGATGCTCATGGCCACGTTGTAGCCCGACTTGCCCGTGAGCTCCTTGCACGCATCGTACGAGGTGCAGCTGCCGCTTCCGGGCGGGATCACGCTGATGTCGTACCAGGTGTAGCCGCCCGTGACGGAGAACTCGGCCAGCGTGGCCTCGTCGCTGGTGCCGTCACGGAACATACCGCTGTAGCCGCTGGCCAGGTCGCGGCTCGTGGAGCTGCCGGCCGCGATGGTCTCGGTCTTGCTGTTGTCGTACAGGCTGACGGCGTACGAGCACGAGTTGACGAAGCTCACGGACACGGAGGCGGCCACGGGCGCGGCCATCACCAGCGCGGCGCTCAGGGCGAGGAAGACCTTAACCATTGTGAAGGACGGAGCTGCTGGTCGACTTGTGTGTGTGAGCTCAAGCCGGCAAATTGCGGAATGGACTGGTAGCCGCCTGCCATTGCGTTAGCGCTGGCTGGCTCACCCACGCGCGCGCGCGTGCTACGGTACCGGGCACGCCTGGATGCATTTGATCAGCACTTTGGAGACGCTCGGACGACAGACGGATGCCATGCACATCGTGGCGATGGCGCGGTGGCCAGCCCCGCGATCATCTCAGGGCGCTAGTCGCCATCTGGAGAGCACGACGACGTCAGCGGCGGACCAGGCCTTTCGTCTGCACTTGGACCCACCGGGCGGAGTGTAGCCAGGCCGCGAACTGGTATCCGATCATTTAAGTTTTGTATGCCGGCTCCGACTATTAACGGAAGTAAGTACAGTTACACGAGTGTTAAGTCGGCGGAGCTCGGCAGTCTACGCGGCAGTTTGAGCTGATTTCGAGTGCTCGCGGATCGTCTGGTGGCGCCTAGATGCAGAATGTTGGATCTCGGTGCGGCGCCTGCGTCCTTGGCGGGTTCTGCGCCGAGAAGAGGAGTCTCAGGTAGCGCAATCTACTGATTTGTGTGCATGTTGCTGCTCGTCGCGTCGCGTGCCTGGCCGATCGTCACTCGATGGTCGACAGTCTCGACTCAGGACTGCCAGGCACTTTACGCCTGAGTCACACGGCAAGTTGCTTCACCAAAACGCCATGTGACCCGGGCTTGGCTAGATAGATTATGGCGTCTAACGCTGTGGCGTCTGCGAGTGTCGCGCGCTTTCTAACTCGTGCGCGGGCAGACATCGCTCGGCTCTGCGAGGTGGCTTCGTTGACTGATGGTGCACTGTAGCAGTCTTTGCTGGCGTGGGAGACGCAGATCCGTTTGGAGTGATGGGCTTGCTTGTCATGCTGCCGTTGTGTGGCTGCCAAGCGGCCTCGCTGTACGAAGGAGATCCCACCGGAGTCATGCGGGACTGATTTGCCCCTGTGCACTGCACGACCGGCACACCATGTCATGCTTCAGCAACGCTGTTGTTGTTCGTACGACGTTGGCCTTCGTGTCCCCAGTGGCGACAGGGTCTTCATCGTATTGATGACTACTCGCTGCGGCGAGCTTTCTACAAACCGGAACGAGTACCGCTCCTGACTCGGCCAGGCCATCGCTTGGCCAGTGCTCGTTGCTAGGGCGAGCCCGAAGGTCTGGTGGGCGATGCGGCGCCATGGAGCTTCTTGCTTCACCATCGTTTCGGGGTGCAGTAGCTGTGTATTTCGCGTTATGGGGCATTGTCCACCCTCGTCGTGGCGTTGCCGACCGCTTCAACATGGGATTTCGCGGCTTTGCTCGCGCTTTGCACTTCTTCCTGCTCCTGCTCCTCGTTTGTGGCACCATGGATGGACTTCAGCGATGCATCGTACTGGTATCACACCGAGCTGACGCTACGACTACGATGGCTAAAAACTCAACGAGGGCAGTACCTGTACATGTAGCAACCGCTTCTACTGATCAAGTGCCCGTCATGTGGCGTGAATTGCAGCGGCTTCTCCACCGATATGGTGGCTTGCACCTTTATTAATTGGCGCGATATGCACGCTCTGCGCGCTCATGTCGTTGCTGTACGCGCGAGGAATTTGTAGCCTGCAAAGTCCTTTCGAGAACGTCAGGGTGTAGTACGAGTTCGTAAAAAGACTGGTACCAGTATTGACCTGGGTAGATGTTACCCGCCATCGGGTAGTTGCAATAGCAACGGAGCAGTTACGAGGCGAAGCAGTTAGGAAACTCCAAGAGCAGAAACGGACACCGCTCCAGCTAGGCGTCCTGCAGGCTAGATCTCCTTTTCAATGCTCACTTCAGATTTCTACTACTAGAGCTCAAGTCAAACAGGGAACAGCAGAAACCCCCCAGAAACTGCGCCAACACTTTCTTTCATGAAGTACACTGCTGTCGTGTTTAAAGAAACTCCAGCGGAGCGACAATACCTACTCGACCGTAAGAGTTACAATCTCTACAGCGGTATAATTTGCTGGCCCTACTACTCGATTCCACGTCCAAAGCAAGGAAGAGATCCAAAGACAAACCGCTTAGCTGATGAGGTTCTCCACCGAGGCGGAGAGCCACGTCGACACAGTGTCGGCCGAGACCGAGTCCACGGAAAAGTCGAAGTCGTCGCCGCCGATCTCAATGATCTTCACGACGCCCTCACCCGAGTTGTCGTAGATGGTCACGTACGTCACGGCCGAGTCGGAGGGACGCGCGGCGTAGTTGTCGCCACCGGGGGAGACACAACCGTCGTAGAAGTAGTAGTGGGTCGACACCTTGTCCTGGGCCGTGTTGGTTTCAATGACCTCGGCGACATCAAGCTCACCACATCCACCGACGGAGCCCGAGCCACGGCAGTTGCAGCCGTACTGACTGGCGCGCACAACCTGGGCGTTCAGCATCCAGATCGCCGGCAGGTTCGCCGTCGAGCCCGTAGGCATCAGCACCTTAGTCACAAACATTTTCATACCACCGTCCCAGCCGTGGAAGCCCATGTCATCGTAGTAACCAAGGCAACCGTCCTCGTCGGCGCAGTTAGTCGACGTCATGATGTTGACTTCGCAACCCGTGGACACGCACGGGCCGCCGCCGGTCACCGACGTGTCGGAAGCATCCGCCAGAGTGCCACCGAAAATGGTCGATTCTGTGGCGGTGCCACTGCCATCAGCCGTCGAGTAGCCCTGCGGGCTCGAGTTAGCGCCGGTGTAGTCGATGTTGAGGTTGTTCATGAAGACCATGTTGTCCTGGGTGCCGGCACTTGCGTCGTACGACGACATCTTGCTCCAGTTGTTGCCGGACGAGCCGGTGAACACGGCGATGTTGTAGATGTTCATGGGGCCGCGGAAGACCATGCTCACTTCCTCACTCATGGGGCCGACGGGGTCCGTCACGGAAACATCCTCCGTCGTGCAGGACGACATGGCCGTCACCTTGCCGTACGTGCCGGTGGCCGAGCCGGCGTTGGTGCCGGTGTACGCGAAGCTGGAGCTAATGGTGGCGCTCGAGAAGTCTCCCGTAGAGCCGCTCGAAGTGGTCTGCGTGGTGCTAGAGGAAGTCGTCGTTGCACTTGACGTGGTCGAACTGGTACTCGCCGTGCCGGTCGTCGAGGAGGTCGAGTCCGTTCCGACAACACCGGCAGAGTAGTCGGCGTCCGAGGCAACTGGGGCTTCCGTCGTCGCCTCGGGGGCCGCAGTGGTTGCAGCAGGGGCGTCGGTTGAGGCGACAACAGCCACAGTAGTGGCAACGGGGGCGTCAGTAGTTGCAACAGGGGCAGCAGTAGTGGCCACGGGGGCCTCGGTGGAGGCCGTACTGGTAGTTGATGTTGTAGTCGACGTCGTGATCGTGGTCGAATTGGAGGATCCATCCGGGCAGAAGGCCACTTCGATGGGCAGACTGTCGGGGCAGTTGCGCAGCTTGGAGACGTCCGTCGGGTACAGGTAGGCGCCATCGCAGTCGGCGCTCTCGCAGGTCACGGCGGCGCACTCGGCGTTCACGCTGGTGCTGCCAACGTTGGGGGTGATTGACAGGGGCACGTTGAAGCCGGTCTTGCCCCCCGACGTCGCGGCGCACTCCGCGTAGCTCGTGCAGTTGCCGGCTCCAGGCGGCACGGTGCTGATGGCGTACCAGGCCTTGCCGCCGCTGATGGCGAACTGGGCCAGTGTGGCCTCGTTGCTGGTGCCGTTGCGGAACATGCCGCTGAAGCCGTCGGCCAGCTCGCGCGACGTGGAGCCGCCCACAGCGAGGGTCTCGGTCGCATTGTTGTCGTAGAGACTGATGTCGTAGGTGCAGTCGTTCACGAAGGAGATGCTGGTGGCCATGGTGACGGCCACCTGCGCCGCCACGGCCAGCGAGCCGCCGAGAGCTAGGAACACGCGCACCATCGTGGAATTCGCAGTGGAAGTTGGTAGGTTAGTTTGGTTGAGCGGGCCTCTGTGTCGGTCGACTGTATTCACTGCTGGGCGTGAATGAGCAAGTTGGGAAGTGATACTAGTGCCATGCCAGACGCACCCCGCCCGCTATTGATAGGCTTGATCTCTTGGCCCACATCCTTTCAGATCCTGGGCGTGCTGACTGTATCAAAAATACCCGCCGCAGAGACGAGCCGTTGAAATGTATCGGAGCCAAAGTTGGCTGAGCACTTTTATCTCAGGGCCAGATGGAGAGCGAGCTCACGTTGCGACTGCATCGGAGACTCCATCGATATCAACGCTCGACTCGTTGTAGCGGCACTCCATGCCGGTTGTCTGCTCATATACTTGTCTGCTTACATACTTGAATTCTAAGATTTAGGAGCTCTAAATCAAGACTAGATGTATGGAATAGAACGGAGTAATCCTGATTATGAGCTGGTCTAAATTTGAAATGTCGACACCATGGGGCACCTTGTCCAGCGCAGTCGGGCAAAGTCAAACGTATTGTTGTGGCATTGCACTACAATTTGTGGCGGTCGGCAGCGACAGACGTGTCTCCGTCGCGTTCTGCGTTGCATGCACTGCGCATCGGCGCAAGAATGATCAAGTGACGTGATCTCTGACTGCACTCGGATGGGGAGGCACTCCTGAAAAACGAGACTTCGCTTCATCCATGCCGATCGCTATACCGGTGCGTATGTGTTATCGGACAACATGTATTTCTGGATGATGGCCGCTGTTGTACAAGATTTCCGCTGTTTACCAGGCTTTTTCATAAGTCACTGCAGTTGGGCTCACTTACTCAACCGTTTACTCCCAAATGTGAGTAAATGAATAGGAGTAAGTGGCTGGGTGATTCCTTTGAGCTCAGGGCTTTCAGCTCGCCACACGATACGTAGCGATAAAGGCTGCGACGTAAGCAGTTTTGATCCGTGGCAAACTAATGCGCAACGCAATCTCGTGACTGCAACATCACTTCAACATGAGCAGCCAATCACGGCATCGTAACGAAGGTTTCTCGTCGTTGGACCCATAGCGAAGATCTTCATCAAACGGCGAGTTATGTACTCCATCTTGTCGTAGTAGGCCTTCATCTCACCGCGAAAGCTGGTAGCGTTGACTCGTCATACCAATGGTTTTGGTCGTCACCCAGCCTCTTGAATTTCGAGGTGTCCTCTGCTGTGCCAGCGAAGTCGAAGCGCTCCTTTTAGTCGGTCTTGAACCGGACAAGACTGACTCCATCATGGGCGTCTATCATCACACGGACTCTGGTCCGCTAACCATCCGCCGGCCGATTCTCCGCTCCGTTCTTCTACCTCCCGGCGTATGATGTCGAGGTGAAGCCTACCGTGGTGAAGGACGGCGGTGCGCCCAACTACTGTCCGATTGGCGCCAATTCCTCCTGGCTCGTTATCAAGGCAAGTACCCCGATCAAGGCAAATTAAACCAGATCGGCGACTTCAAGATCCGCGGGCCCATCGACGTTGCGAATGCATAGGAAACGGCTCGCACGGGAGCTACAGTATGAGGAGATCCGTACGTTTTCGCTTTCGTTTGGCACAAAATCTCGACTTTGTGCCAAACGAAAGCAAACACGTATCGATATTGTTGTGAAAGCGGCAAAATGCATTTCCGTTGACGTATTTGTTGGGTTTTAACGACACCTTCCCACTTATCGTTCACTAGACTCCCTGGGCTCGATAGTAAGCACTCGTGACCTACGAATTCGCAACATCGATGGGTCCGCGGATCTTGAAATCTCCGATCTGGATCTCCTTGCCCTTGTCGGCAACGTTGCCCTGGTAGCGCCTCAAACGGAACTCACCCCAGCTCAGCGGTCGGTAGTTGGCCTCGTCTCCCTCCTTCACCACAATAGGCTCCACTTGGGCCTTGTACGACGGGTTGTAGAAGAAGGGGGCGGAGAAGCGGTCGGCCCCGCCATTAGCGAGAACGCGGTGCAGCGGCGCCACGAACTGGTCGTTGGACCACACCTGCACCATGTCGCCGATGTTGATCGTGTACGTGCCCTTGCGCGGCGGCACGTTGTTCCACGTCTGCGACTCACGGTGGAAAGCCTGCAGCGACGCAACATCGTCGTCTTGAAGCAGAATAGTGAGCGCGCCAGCGTCCGTGTGGTGGTACACGCCCATGGTCTTCTCTGGGTCCTCAGTCGCTGGGTAGTGGTTCAGTCGCATGTGGCTCGAGTTGTCGCCATGGAAGAACTGGTCGAAGAACGCAGGCTCCTCGCCCAAGGCCACAGCGAACACCTTCAGCAGCCGACGCGCAATGTACTCCATCTTGCCGAAGTACGTGGCCATTTCGCTGCGGAAGCCAGGCAGTGTCTCCTCATCGACCCACTGGTTCTCATCATCCCCGAGTCGCTGGTGCTTGTCGTTCGCCAGGCCGTCCTCGTTGAGTCCGGCAAAGTCGAAGCACTCTTTGCAGTCCGTCTTGTTCTTGGTGAGCTCATGCTCCACGTACCCGCGCGAGTTGGTGGGCGTGCGTCGGACGGTTCGCTTCAGCTCCTTGGGCAGACGGAAGAAGGAGCGCATGGCCTTCTGGAACTTCTGCATTTCTTGGTCTGGCAGTCCGTGGTTGGCGATGTAGAAGAACCCCCACTCGCTCGCAGCCGCTCGGATCTCCTCGATCGTCTTGTGCAGCGCGCCGTCCTTGGCGTCACGCAGCGCAGCGTCCACTTCAACGTCACTGGAGAGCGCCATGAGCGCCGCGATGTCGACGACTGGAACTTGACGCACGTCCATCTCAATCTCAGTTTTGTCGGGGGGGGGAGGGGCTTGGTCTCGAGGTTGCCAAATGCGGAATGAACCATGACCAGCCCAGCACCACGCCTCGAGGCATTATGGATGCATCCCGGTGCCGTGGACCACGATCCTTGGTGCAGTTGGGTCGGCGCCGTCGACATTGCCGCAGTGTCGAGTGCGATTGGAGCAATAGAGGTCAACTCATCCACTTCGTCCAATCTTGCCGCGGTGAAGGGCCATCGATTCGTCTCGCCCGCCAAATACGAATCCGTCCTCGAGCGTCCACATGATAGTGTGTGCGCCACACACATCAACCAAGAGTGATGGTCAAATTGGTGTACAGCACACCAATTCAGATGCTGCCGAAGTTGCCGTCGGAGTCAGCAGCGTCGGTCCCATCCCGCCCAGAATCCCATCGGACGCGTGCCTCCGCCATGGCAGGCGGACGACTCTGGCGCAGCGTGCGCGTGCTGCTGTGGAAGAACTGGCGCGTCAAGCAGCGCGAGAGCCGCCTGAACCGCGGCCGCAGCGGCCGGCGCTGGCTGTACCCGGCGCTGCTCACGGACATCGTCGTGCCGCTGGCGCTGCTGCTCGTGCTCATCCAGAAGCTCTGCGAGTACAACGCGCAGCTGGTGGCGCCCGCGGGCGTGGACGCGCTCGACGCCTTCCTGGAGCGGCACAAGGACGCCATCATGATGGAGCCGCAGACCGAGACGGAGGCGGAGCCCAAGCGCGCGCTCTGGCCGCAGCAGCAGAGCGACGACATCGTGACGCAGGCGGAGGAGCAGCAGCTGCAGCACGTGACGGTCGAGTCCGGCACGCTGCTGCTGGCGGCGCTGCCGCTCATGCTGGCCAAGACCAACCAGAGCCTCGCCATACTCGAGCGCAGAGAGACGGAGAAGTTCCTACAGTACCTCGACCAGTGCGTTCCATTGCAGAATATTGTTGCTGTTGGAGTATGTGTGTTTTACAGCTAATTATTGATTGTTGTATTGTTTTTTACTAGGCATTACCCGCCGGCGGAGGAGTTGGGGATTTCTAGCTACTCGCAGAGGACGAAGAAGGTTCCGATTGGCGACTTGGCGTCGAATGACGAAGCGGACCAAGTTTTGCTCGAGTTCCCCAAGAAGAGCGGGTGGAATATCTACGCGGGGCTGGATGTGAGGAGAACGACGACTGGAGAGGGGGAAGAGGAGGACGTTTCCCACCCGCTGGAGCTGCTGGCGCTGTTCTACCAGGATCACATGAAGGACCCGTCGGAGATCGCCGGAGAGACCCAAGTCCAGCAGTTTTTCGCGCAAGACCTGACGTTTAATACTTCCGGCGGACCGATTCATTTCCCGACGGTGCTGCCGTTTCAGATGGCGCTCAACATGTTCATGCGAGAGAATGCGACCAGCTTTACGAACACGCACTTGATGGACCTTAGTGACCTGCCGCCGGAAATTATCTGCCAGTTGGTGGACAACATGCTGGAGCGCGGTGGACTTCGGTGGTCCGACTTCCCGAAGACGTCGCCGTTGGGAAGGAGTGAGATGGCGTGCGTGGTTGCGATGAAGAAGGGAGGACTGTCGACGGAGCTGCAACGATTCTTGTCGAATCTGGTAAACAAGGCGGCTTCCAGTGACCAACTGGACAATTTGAGCGTTGCCACGCTGCCGAGTCGTCCTGCGAGCACGGTGTCCGGTCCTCTTGAGGGCAACATTGTGTTTTACATGGCGTACTTGTTCTTGTGGCCATACGTCCGTTTGGTCCGTGATGTCGTCGCTGAAAAGGAGAAGCAGCTGAAGGAGTATTTGATGATCATGGGGCTGCCGGCAATGTCGCTTTTGATCAGTTGGTTTTTGCTGTACTTCTTGGCGTCGGCTGTGGTATCTCTGCTCGGTATGTGGCTGCTCAACGGTAGTATGTTCGCCGCTACGACAATGGGCGGCTGGTACTTCTTCCTGCTGCTGATGGTGTTCATCACGAGCATGCTCTTCTTCGGTCTCGCTGTCACGCCCATTTTCAATCGGACGAAGACGGCGGCTGCGTGTGCTCCACTGATGTACATCATCCTGAGTGCAGGAACATTGATTCGATCACTGGCTGGTGACGATGCGGTGGCGTCGTCCGAATCTTTGACGTTGCTGCTGACAGTGCTTGATGCCATCAGCTCACCTGTTGCATTTATGGCCTGCGTGCACGATATTTTGTCGTTCGATGCCGTGACAGCGGCTCAGAGGCCGATCACTTGGAGAACGGTGGAGGCACCTTGCAGCCTGATGGCTATGCAAAGCGCTGGGTACTTGCTGCTTGGATGGTACTTGGAGAACGTGTTCCCGCGGACGTATGGAGTTCAACAGAAGTGGTATTTCATATTGCAATCGTCGTATTGGTTCCCCAAGAAGATGGACCTCGATAACTCCAATGACGAGTCCGTTCGACTCACCGAGATGGACCCCAACAACTTTGACGAGCGCATGGATGACACCCTCCGTGAGCAGACAATCCCTGACTACCTGCATCACTTCAACCCAACTCTTTTTGTGCAGTCGCTGTCGAAGACGTATCCGAACGGCAAGAAGGCGGTGAAGAATGTGACGTTCGGCGTGAGGAAGGGCGAGATTTTTGGTCTTTTGGGCCCGAATGGAGCTGGCAAGAGCACAACTTTGTCGATTCTGTCCGGTATGTTGTCACCGTCGAGTGGAGATGCTTACGTCGGCGGGTCCATAAGTGTGGCCAATAATCCCCAGGCGGTGAGGCAGAGCCTCAGTGTATGCTTCCAGCAGAACGTCCTGTACGATGATTTGACCGTTTGGGAGCATTTGTCATTGGTGTGTGCGCTCAAAGCGAGTATGGGGATCAAAACGATCTCTGAACATGGTTGGAATACTAAGCTGCAGCAGTTTGGGCTTGAAGAGAAGCGCGACGCATTGTCGAAGACACTGTCGGGTGGCCAAAAGCGCAAGCTGTCGCTCGTTTTGGCTCTGTTGGATTCGTCGCGTGTCGTGTTACTCGATGAGCCGACCGCTGGAATGGACATGAAGGCTCGACTGGACACATGGGACGCGTTGAAGCGTGCGGTAAGCCACCGCGCTGTCATCTTGACAACTCACTCGATGCAGGAAGCGCAGGCTTTGTGCGAGAACATAGGCATTGTTGCTGAAGGCAAACTCAAGTGTTGCGGCTCGAGCTTGTTTCTTCGGAATCAGTTCGGCGTGGGATACAAACTCACGATTGTGCATCATGCAGACGATGACCTGGATGTGACCAATAACCTCAGCGCAGGACGACAAGAGTGGACGGAACTTCTGATGACTACACTGAGAAAGTATGTGCCTAATGCCCGTATTGTAAGCGACAACAAATGGGAAACGCGTGTTCAACTGAACGATGGAGATGAGCGGCGGTTTGCTGAGCTCTTCCGAGAGCTGGAGACGATGAAGCAGATTCGGGTTATTAAGCGCTACGCCGTTGCAGCCACTGATCTGGAGGATGTGTTTGTAAAGGTGACTGAGGGTGAAGACGTTTACTACCACGTTAAAGATGATATGGAGAACCCGGAATCTTCAGAAAAGACTGACCCAGTACTGTCCAAGATTGACGCGGAAACGAGAGCCAGGGACAAGATGCACAGGCAGACTACCGGTCTTGACACGAAACTCCCTGGGTGGAAAAATTCGATGTCCCAGGTCCGCGCGCTACTCATCAAGCGTATGAAGATGACGTCTCGCGACAAGAAATCTCTCTTTGCGCAGTACGTGTGGCCAATCGGCTTCTTCGCGATCATCCTGGCTGTGCTTCAGAACTTGATTTCTGCTGGTGGATCCATTGAGACCGTGACGACCTTGCCGCCCACTGCAAAGGATGCGTCTCTGTTCGTGTCATCCGCTCCGGAAATCACAAGTTCGGTCGCAGACATTGTTGCTCATATTGAGCGAAGCACCCACCCGGTTGTATTTGACAGGAGTGCAACGACTGAACAGGCCATGCTGGATGCAATTGCGCGCGAGAACGACACGACTTACTTCGCTGGTATCTATGTGTCGGCTGTCAACTGGACGTCCGACAACACTGTTGCCTCTCCGGTGATGGCATACTCGCTGTACTATAACGAAACAGTGCGTCGTTCGTTGCCGGTGACGCTGCAGTGGATGGCTCAAGCTTATTGCAAAACGCGTTCAAAGCAGGAAAATTCTCCTGACATCGACATGTGCGACTTGGTGGCGAAGAAGGGCATTTTCCCGATTGATGTCAAGATTGGTGATGGTGTTACGGCCGATGACGACGGCGGCTTGTTGCTGGATCCTGATGAAACGATCAATATCGTTCGACGAATCATGGTGGCGTTCTACATGCTGATGACGATGAGTTCTGTCGTGTCATTTTACATTTCGTCGGTCGTGAGGGAGAAAGAAAAGGGCTTGAAACGCCTGCAGTTCCAGCATCTCGAGTCGGCGAACGCTTCGTTCTTGTACTGGTTGTCCAACTTCCTGTTCGACTACACGGTGTATTTCATGGCGATCCTCTGCATGCTTATCAGTCTTGCAGTGTTCTCGGCGTCGCTGACCGAGACGATGCTTGCTGGGATCATGATCTCCATGGTTTTATTCGGCTTGGCGGTGATCCCATTCATGTATCTGTGCTCACTGATCTTCACGTCCCAATCGTCGGCGCAGTCGGTCATGTCGTACGTCTCGATGTTTCAGATTATGGCGGCGTCCATCGTGTTCGCACTTTCAAATATCCCGGGCTTGTGCGTCCAGGTGAACACGATCTCATACTTCTTGCAGGTGTTTCCACTCTACACGTTCGGTATCACGGTGTTGAATATTGTGACGTTGGCGTGGGCTCCCATGCGCGAGAGGTGCCTCAACTTTGGCGGGACTATCGACGCAATGAACGCCTTCGCTTTACTGGACCCAGATGGGAAGGCTTCGATGTGGGATTGGGAGGTTACCGGAAGTAACTGGTTCGCTCTCGTGGCGTCTGCTGCCATGTACACGCTGCTGCTTCTCGCGCTGGATCAGTATCAAATGTACCCTACGGTGGTGGAGTACAAGATGCGGCGCACATGGCGCCGGATGCGACGCTTTTTGCTGCCGTGTTGCCGCAGCAATGGTCAAGGGTATGAGGAGGCTGGTCAGACTGCTGTCACATTTGAGGAAGACTCGGACATGGTGCGTGCAATTCGAGTCTCTAAAGTATTCAACCCTCGAAAAAAGGTCTCGTCAGGCGGCGCAGGAAACGGTGGTGCTGATGGTGAAGAAGCTGCTGCTGTGGTGAACGAAAGCAGCCAAGTGGTGGCTCTGAATAACGTTAGCTTCTCGGTGGAAAAGAGGGATTGTGTGGCGTTGTTGGGCGTCAATGGGTCCGGTAAATCGACAATGTTTGAAATCCTGACGGCAGGAACTTGTCCTACTAGTGGCAAGGCGCTGATCGACTCGTGCGACGTGACCTCAGAGCCACAGGCTGCCAGCACGAGGTATGGTTACTGTCCCCAAAGCAACATTTTCTTTACTGATTTGACCGCGCGTGAACATCTCGAGCTGTTCTATCGCCTGCGATGCTGTCGACGCAACGGGCTGCTGTCTGAAGGTGCTGTTATTGACGGTCTGATGAACCAGCTGGACTTGTTCCCAGTGGAGCATACTGCAGCGGAGCACTTAAGTGGCGGAAACAAGCGTCGGCTTATGCTAGCGCTAGCCCTCTTGAGCGACCACACTTCGCTCTTGCTTCTGGACGAACCTTCGGCTGGTGTGGATGTAGTTGCCAGGCGTTTGATGTGGCGTATGCTGCACGAAAAGCGACTGAGTGAGAACAGGACGAGCTGCTTGTTCACAACGCACAGCATGGAGGAAGCCGAGGCGGTGTGTGCGAATGCAGTTGTGCTGTTCAAGGGGAAGCTCGTGTGGTGCGGCAGCATCCCGGACTTGAAGCAGCGCGTCTCGCGAGGGATCTCCATCAGCGTGCGTCTCGACAGCAGCGCCATCTGGGACCCGGAGGATCTGCACTTCTACACGGAGCAAGTCCGAAGCTCGCTTAAACTCAAGGCGACGACAGCTACGCGCCGGGAAGGGTTGGAGCATGGCGACATCCCTCTACCAGAACTGGAAGAAGCCTGGGAGCTTTGTCACGGTCTTTTGCACAAGGAAGGCGACGCTGTCACTGTGGCGGCCTCGCGACAACATGGCAACGCTTGGCTGCAAGGTCTGCTGTCCCGCTTAGAGTCTGCGGATAGCGAACCGGCAACTCTGTCGACAAAACGCGCGGAGCCAGCGATCCCGATCCTCGAGTTCGTGCAGGAGTGGCTCGTACAAGAAGCGTTTGTTCGGCTGGAGACGCAACTGTTCAAGGATGAAATCACCGGCCGATCTGGCGAGTCCGTGGTCTCGGTTGACCTGGATACTGATCGTGGCAGCGGTAGCAACACCAGCCGAGTCTACGAAACCTCATGCACGGACACTTTCGGACTGGCAGACGTCTTCGCGATCATGGAGGAGAATAAGTCGCGGTTCAAGATCTCGCATTACAGCATTAGTGAATTGTCACTCGAGCGCGTATTCGAGCAGTTCACGTGAGCTAGGCATGGTCATTCTGATAGATAAATACAACGTTTTTCTTTTTCGGACGTATCATAGTGAAGAACGATCCGTTCGAGGGATATGTTCCCCATCCTTCTTCAAGCAGCGCGCCGGGAAATATGTGCATGGAATCTCCGAAGGCGCGGAGTAAACCTGAAGTTAATGCAAATGACGCAGTATCGCGTCCCGTAGGGGACTTCAACTGCCATCATGCTCCATATCCTACGAGATCAAGGTGAGCTTAGGTAAAATGTACTGATCATGCGCAGTTTGCAATACAGTTGACCATTCTGAGAAGAGTTTGTGCATGTGATAAGAGCACAGCGTTTGAGATGATTTCACGCTATCACTGCGTATTTGTCAGGCACATCTCATGATTTCACGCGATCGCTGTACAGTATTCTCCATCGCAGTGATCACAACGCAATCACAGCGCACACACCGCATGCATGTTGCGCTGCTCATACTGTATGTCTTCGAAAATGTGACATACATACATGTACATGCACATACGGCTACAGCACGATAAGCCCAGCCAGTGCTAGCCACAACATCTACTAAAGACGCCGCTGGACGCACATGTACACGATATTCTTGTTTAATCAAGTTTTAAAAGTAATTAGGAGTCATTTCATGTACTGCTTTGATTTACAGAACCTTTGCTTTCATTCGAAGATCGATCACCGCGGCAAGACCTTGACCTCCAAGTGCGCGGTTTGTCGATGAAGCAGCACCATTGTGTAGCAGAACAAGCTTGAGATAAGATAGCTGTGGCTAGACAGACAGAACATTGGACAAATAGTTTATGAAAACCAGTACTAGTAGTGTACTCCGAAAACTTTGCGAACGCGTTTGTATGTTTGCGCTCTATCACTCACGTTTAAGTCAGTGGTTCTCAAGAGAACGGGTACCGGTTGTCGAATTCATAGTCCGCGTATACGCATCACGATGTTGCCAGAGTAATTCGTAGTTAGGATATGTAGAGAAGAAGTTTCACGAACTCCGAGTAGTACATAAATTTTACTTGTGACTCAGGAAAAATGGCACGTTCGGCATCGCCACCTTGGACGAGATCAGAGGAAGGCACAATACGAATATATCTGGGGAAGTAACGCATCGAACGACTTATGCGGACGTGAGCAGGTTAATAGAGAATTCAAGTATCATCTAGCAAGAAAACAAAATCAAAGTTGTCCTATAGGGCTCACAGCACGTAATTTGCGCTCGTGAATGGCATCTCAACAAGTAACATCTTTTAGAGTGGAATCAGTAGTTGCAAGTTGACGCAGCGCACGAGTTCAAATGAAGTACAACGACGGATAAATCCGGCACCACTGAATGGCATCCTCCAGAGTAAATGTGCCAGAATTCTCTGTCAGGAACGATAGAGATTGTACAAGGCAATGACATAAAATACACGTAACGGAGCATAACGTACACACAAATTTAGAGAAAGTCCTTAAAACCATATGAAATACAAATGTCAAGTGTAAACCTCGAAGCTGATTGGCTATCTGAATTACTTATTGTAAAAAGTACAACATATGTGTGCCGGGTTTTGCGTTGCCGTATTTATCCGTCGTTGTCTGTATATGTAGTACATTACGCATTAGTCAATATTCTGCGAAATGTACTCAAAAGTAGGGACAGCTAAACGAGTTTTGAGATGAATAACTAAATTCCATCTAGCATGTTAGCCAGATTCACGATACACTTACAAACAGTTTGCAAACACCAGTGTTAGCAATACAGTTAGTGTTTGTGCGAACACTAAGCACGACGTTCGTTCATTTGTTAAAATGCGAACCGATGACCGCTTTATTCACAGTGATGAAGTTCCTCTTACGCCTAAAGTAAGCTTCTTGGTCTCAAAGCTAGCACCTGGCGGCAATGAACACATTTCTAGTGTTTTTTTGTGACCTACCAGTGGTAAATCTGCTCGCGTGACGGGGGCTCGTTCACGCTTGTACCAACCAAACTGGCGACAAGGAGTATCTCTTCCTGGGCCACTTCGCAAACAGCGCGCTCGTTCTACCAGGAACCAGGTCAGTGCTCCTTTGCTCGCTTAGTAACTCTTACTTATGTCAATGTCGAGGTTGTCGTTTAGTTCATCCGTAAAACTATGGTCGCGCAGGAAGCACGTTCCTTTGCTCTGAGCAGTATTAACATGAACGGGTTGGGTGAATTGAGGTTTATTCATTCAACTCCCTTGGGCTTCCTAACACTTTACTACGGAATATATTTTACAAGTTAGCGATGCAGAAAGCGCTGTAAGGCCCCTTGGCACCTATTTAAAAAAATAAAGCTATGGGAACTGGACTTGAATTGAATGGACGGTTGACTGGTTGACTGGTTCGTGCAGCAGTGCATCAACGTAGGTAAATTCCGTACAGTTGCTTACTTCAGTATGCAGAAACGCTGGAAGTTCCGTCAACATGACCGTATTTATCAAGAGGTGCCATCCATTGTATTTAAAAAATAGCATAATACATATGGTGTTGACTCGCTATGTTCTGTTTTTGATATATGTTGTAATCAATGACAGTCTCTTCTCATGCCACACAATCGGTACGCGTTTGTTCTGCTCGTACCTACCAGTACCAGTAGTTGAGAGAGTTCTTGGTGATAGCCTTTCATGGAGAGACAGAAGTGCAAACAGAAAGCTGAGTCTCGGGTTCCATTAGGAACTTCCAGCCAGATCATGTAGATGCTGCGAAGAGTAGCGTAATATAATGCTAGACCACCGATATGCATTAGTTGCTGAGCTGTGTTGTTTTACCAGTACCGTATACACCTACCGCAAAGTTCCTCAATTTCTCCGTTCTCTCCGAAGTAAGACCTTTTACCTTGGATGAATCGTCTTATCCTGGCCGGAATGACTTGAGGTTCATAATCTGCTTGGAGTTCGAGGTTATTGGGAGAACCCCGATGAAAATCAAGAAGGACCTCCAGTAGCACCAGTTGAGAGAGTCGCATCGGTTCGGTCAGCAGGAGTGGAGACTAGAGAGATGGAGAGTAACTTTCCAATGTGATAACCGTTTGAAACTAAAGACACTCTTTTACAGCCTGATTCGTAAATGTGTTGTCATCAGTTCTCATCCACAATTGTGTATTGGTCTCTCAGGCTAGCTGGTTCGTTGATCTGGGTGATTGACTCGTTGATTTATTTCGCGTACTCCACATCCATCAATAAGAACTGATCTCTAGTGTCTAGGGTGTTGTGGAATCGGTGAACCCTTGGACAGATTTAACTGATAGACCATTCGACAAAATAACGAATCGTTTTTACTAGTAGTAAAATAACAGAGCTAAAATTTGCTTCCACAAACACAAGACAATTGAAAGAGAGCTAGCCTCGAGAACACAAAGAAAAACGAGTACTGGGCAACGACGTGCTACGGATGCAAATGCCACATGCAGCTGGAATCTATCGGCTGTGTGTGCGTGGTGAAAGTACCAGGGGAGAGATGATGATATGGTATATTGGATCACTGTACTTAAGCGACGAATCCTAAACACCTTTAGCCGCAGTCTAACCTGCGACCATTTCACTGGTGGCCCGCGCCACCTCGCAGACCTCTACCTGCTTAGTCTTCCTCAAGTACCGCCAGGGGAGCTGCGTATGCGAACAGGATACTCCACCTTACAGCAACAGCATTACAGACCATTAAGTGCGGTTTTCACACGTAACCCACGAACAATTCTCATTGGGGTGTTGGCGAAAGGAGAACAGGCAACAGATCACGCAAGGCGGGATATTCCACTTTGGGGTCAGGTTCTGGAACAAAGCGTCAAGGGTGAGTGGCTATTGCCGGAGTGGACGGATATCGAGGCAGAGAACTCAACGCTTATACACCCCCTGTTTGATTGGCACGATCTGAATACGGGTGAAACCAGAGTGGGCATGGGTTCAACATCAGCTAGACCCGGAGTCTATGACGCTCCTAAAGGGTGGAGACGCTACCCAACTATGACAAAACGAAGCGAAAAATGGGCTAATGCAGTGTCGTACACAAGCGCAAAAGGCATCAGCTTGCATGATCGTGTATTCCGCGGCACATGGAAAACACTTCAAGAGTATTGGAACTATATCTGTTCGCAGTTTGAGGAGGAATCAGCACAGCGAAAGCGACGCACGCTACGTCAACACAGGAATTAAAACTCGACGGATTAACTGGGCTCAACGCACTCAAGGCATCCTGTCACTTCGACTTCTCCATCGACAAAACCAGATACGAGAACGGGGTCAACGATGGCATGAGCTTCGACAACAAAGTCTTCCAAGAGTGATCCCGACATCACGCGGTAGTGTGTCGATGCTAGCACTTTATGTTTTTGCATGCTCTATAGGACTCGACCGATTAGTTCATTGTGTAAGGGCTTCTATCGTTGGTGCGTGCCGCACGGGTACGCCATCTATAGGCGGGGTAGCCGAGCGCGATCCCAGGAGTAGATAGCCATCTAAACCGCAACAAATTCAAATTCAAATACAAAGAGAAACGAGTGAACCTTTTTGAGGTTTTAACGCAACAGCGGAGCATCGCGCGATGCAGCTTGGGTGGAGGACAGCCACCATGACAAGTAGTGTAACAGATCCAAATCCCTTGATGCAAATGTGTGGCGGCGTGGTTATCCAGATTGAACTTTTCTAAGGTATCCTGTGGAGCCAGTGAACTTGAATAGATAAGGGTAAGGGCCATAGGGCCGAAACCCACTACACCAGTCTTCCATCCTAAGGCGTGAAGAACTCCACAGAGAGAAGATCATGGTCGCGTACAAGTGCAGAAACACCTAAGCCAGTCTCTGCGTCACCAATGGGCCCATGATAACAAGCGAAAACCGCGGCAAACAACCGCAGTGGAAAAGTAATCGTACGCGTTGTGTACGTTCATAGCTTTAGCATGCGCTAATAACAACTACGCATCCGGGAATCAATTACACTGTATTTTGCGGCGCCTACTCCAACTTAAGCATCTACACTACGTTTTGGGTTCGTCCCTAGGTTGCTTCAATCAAAGCGGGTCGTCCATGAGCCGGGCTTGCGTATTTCTCATCCTCCTACCTCATCTCACGCTGCGTTTAATAATGAGCTCATGTGTTTAGTGCACATGGTGCGCTTTTTCGCTTGTTGTTTGCGCTGGCAGCAAAACAAACAGAATCTCGTGGTCTTACATGGAAACATGCTGTGTTGTGTGTATCCCCCAGTTCACAGTTCTGACGATGCCACGGACAATAATAAGGGCGCTCCCATCCAAACCATGAAATGACGCAATTGCTCACAGCTGATGTGAGCACATCTCAACTGGACAACACTGGCTTGGGTTGTAGCCGTTCTTCTTCTATGATTGCAGAGTGCTGCTACTGTACCTACCATGAGCTTACCACCCGAAACGACTTCATCATCACTTTGACACTCCATAACCCAACTTACCGTGTCGAAGTCCAAGGAAGATGAACACCAGCTCGCTGTACCCGCCCAACTTCCAGTACTTGACTGAAGATGTCGTTGCAGACGTCGTTCAGCGCGTAAAGCGACCGACGTTCGCGACGGAAACAGGAGCCGTCTTCAGCGATTCTCCTCTTCGTACAACGCCACTGCTTCATGCTCGCCAGTCCCCCGCAACTTCGAAGCCTCCCACTGTCGCCCATCGAGCCTCCGCACAACCGACGCAGCACACTCAGGCACTCCAACGGAACTCGGATGCAAGTGACCATGAAGTGAATGCCAAGGCTGCAGGGGAGTTGCGACGCCGCAGAGAGCGCGGGTCAACCAGGCGCGGTACAAGATGAGGCAGAATCTACGCGCGACGAAACTCGCGACAAGCACCCAGCAGCTCCACAAGGAGATCGCAGAGCTTCGAATGCACCGCCACATCGTGACCTCGATGATCCCGGCGACCAACACAATCTGGAGCATCGCGGTGGAGTATCTTCGCCTCTTCCGTTTTGGCGTCCAGGCTCCAGATGGTCCGGGCTCGCCCAATACTGCTGCAGGAGCGCTGCGTGTGCATGACGCTCGGGTGCAGCAGAGTTTTCTGAATGCGACCACGACGCCAGACCTGACAGACGGAACATTCTACGGCATCGAAGCGTTCATGCAGAGCTGGATGCAGATGTCCGTCTGCATCCCCAACTTGGACATCCAGCTCGTTCAACTGGAAAATGGTCCTCGAGGCTCGTTGATCGCCACCGTTGAGCAGAACGTGACCGTCACCCGAGACATGCTGTACTTCGCCTTCCCGAACCTGTTCGCAGACCAAGGCTTCCATCTCCCGAGCAAGCTTGTAGGCCAGCAGTTTGTGCTGCGTGCTTTGGTCGTGTTCGACTGGGATGACGCGAGCAATCGTGTGTGTGGCATCCAGTTCAAGACCGACCTGCTGACGCCAATGCTGCGCATCTTGGGCAGTTTGGAGGACGTGTCGAAGATGTTCGAAAACACCCGGCTTACTCCCGAGTGCGGACTCTCAATGGATTAACCAACGTGGCTGTAGAGGACCAGCAACCAATATTTGTTGTTGCATTTTACAAGTTTGGAGACTTACTTCCACGAAGGTGAATGCACTTCTTTTCTCCTACTTCAAGCAGTAGAGAACTACCCCTCCACCTCCTAATTGGGACTCGATTAATTTCTGCCCAGCGTAATGCTTTCGGGTTGGAATCCATTGTTGAGACTTAATTTTAGAAAAGTGTTCGAGGACGAGATACGTGTTGCAGTGGAGCACCCTCGGTGCTTCTAGTCTTGTCGACAACCAGAAAATGCAGCAATGATGCATGACCTCATGCTGGCGATGCATTTCTAAACTTCCGGTCTTCGCAACTTCCACGATGCAGCTCTACGGATTGGTCGCAATGCTCTCGGGTGTCGTGACCGTGGCAAGTGGGATCCCCGTGAACTTCCACAACCACTGCAGCACCACCATCGGCCTCTACGACAACACCAACACGGAGAACATCAACCCTAGCAGCAGCACGACCCGGCACCTCGGAGACGGCTTCAGCGGCATGTTCCGCAATGGGTGGAACCCTCAAGCTACACGTACGTACTGAGTAAGCTGCTGGACGAGAATGACTAAGCTGTCGCTCACGCCGTTTGTGTATTGCTGCAGTGGCTGAGTTCACAGTCTCGCAGGGATTTCTGTGGTACGACATCAGCATTATCCCGACAGGAGTTCAGGCCGGGGTAAGCAAGACATTATCGATAGCTGTCAGCAGCAGCAGCAACAACAACAACAGGGTACTAACATGACCACTTCATTATCCTGCAGCCTGCCAAATGCTCGTCTTTGGAGAACTGCAAGGCGGTCACCGGTGGCGTTGGCTTCAACACTCCAATCCGGGTCGCGCCGTCTGGATGCACAGCTGTCACCTGCCTGAACGATGGCTGCGGGGACGCCTACCAGTACCCGACAGACAACTCCAAGACACACGCGTGCCCCGACACCACGCCGAGTGTTGACGTGACGTTCTGCCCCGGTGCATCCTTGCGCAGGAGCTAGATGCATCAGCTCGACCTGACAACATATAGATAGATAGATAAATGTAAATACTTATAAGCGAGAAATGCAGGCCATCTTTGCATTGGCAAGCCTCTAGGTACTTGTCGAGCACTTCAACACCTTGACTACCAGACATGCTGATCCGCCTTATTTACGGTACTAATTCTCGATGTGATCCATAAACACGATAAGCCAATCACATTTCACTGCAAATCGGGACCGCACGGACGGTTCACCGTAACCGGTCCAGCACCAATCCAGCCATCCATTCCGACGCCAAGTCGCACTCGCCCCGCCAGCTTCGGACGTCACACATTCGGACTTTTCTCGCCTCGACCTCAGCAGCGTTGTCACCCACGTGCTGCACCAACAGCCACTGTGTGTGTATGTGTGTGTCTTCTACCCCAGGAATGTGATGATTCGAAAACTATGAATGTCGCCGCCCCAGGCTGAAAACTACGTGTCGAGCACTTCAACGCACATTGATTAACAGCTTTGTGCATGAACATTCCGCCCAAGTGTATATCTGCATGTGTATATGTATCTATCTGTGCATGTCTTGAGTGTAATGATGACAAGAAATTAACCCAGCTCGCTTCGACTCATTATGGATGAAGAGAACTGATTCCGAGGGGTCACTCCCTCTTGACTGATCACTCGATACAACAGCTTATCATTGTGTGTGATGACCTTAAAGCAGCGGAACTGCGGAGTGTGGCGCCTGGATAATTCAGTGAAAGGTTGCAGCTTCGCATGTTGCCGCTCGAGCGCGCGTGAGAGTATGGTGATGACTCAAACTTATCCCTGTCCGACGGTTGGAACGCATTCCTCCGAACGTGACGAGAACCAAGCGTAACTTTTCAATTTTTAGCTGAATACTACCGCGCATCGCAGCTCAGTTTTGCATGATAGTCGGCATGTTTGCTGCGGGATTGGAATGAGGAAAATTACAGGTGAGAGCGCGGTCTCCGTTTTGGAAAGCTGCGCTCACAATTAAAGGATCCAGTTGACTTCATAGTTATCTGACCAATCCCACAATACATCAAGTTCATTTAGCATAGCACTGTGTGGTGGTTTAAACAAGAAGAATGTTGCCTAGAAGGCAATTGTCTACTAGAAGTAGCTGCATGAAGCTCGTACCTCATTTGCACAATGCCACCCTGAAATGCAACTCGCGCTGTGATACGTCTAAAGTCTTGCAAGTACCCCTTTTGATTGGATGAAATGCGAAGTTAAATGCGGCTAACCGCAACCCCGCAGCCCTCATTTCGTCAGTGCGGATCCTGCGAGCGTGGAGTGGCAAAATGGCGGCGCGGGTCGGAGCGAGTTCTCGCCACGGGGCCAAGAAGTGGCTGGCGTCGCTCTTTGGGGAGGCGGAGCACGCGTCTGCGTCCTCCTCCAAGTCGGTGGCCAAGGAGCGGCTGCAGATCATCCTGGCGCACCAGCGCGGCAGCCAGGTGCTGGCGGGCGTGGACCTGGCGGCGCTGCAGCAGGAGCTACTCGAGTGCGTGCAGCGCCACATCAAGGTGGCCAACGGAGCCAACATCAACATTGCAGGTTAGTCCACACCTAACTATTTTGCCGGTTAGGCTAGTGTAAAAACGTTTAGGCTAGTGTTAACCGTCTTTTTTACTTCTCACAGTGAAGAACGAGGGCCACTTGGACATCTTCGAGATGCAAGTGCCAGTGGATGGAGAGAAGGCGTCCGATGGGAGGAAATCCACTCGGTAAAGGAGATATCGAAGGTCTCTGTCCTGAACCTAGCATCTAGTTCTCTAACAAGAAACAAACACACAAGTCGCGTTTCAACTGCATCAAAACGTGTCAAGGTTCTTTTTTCATAGATATACGATACGGTAGCAAAAATGACTTGCCAGAGAGAGAAGTGTTAACCTGAACCTGCACCTCAGTACGGGTAGTAATCATCAAACGGCAGGACTTCGAGGTGACTCACGCTGTCGAAGATCCACGTTATGCGCACAATGGGGATCTGGAACTGCTGCCACTTGGCCTTGGCGTCCCAGGGCGACGTGGTCTTGGACACTACACCGACGGGAGTGCGACGCGTTCGCTGTTTCATGGTCAGCTTGGCAAAGTTCTCTCCGTGAACGACTGTACCCCCAAAGTTGTTCACGAGAGCTTTCACCGACGCGAACTGGAAGTCGAACTCCTTCTCGGACACGAGCAGCACGAAGCAGAACATGCTGAAAATGCTGTTGCGTCTTCCCGTCTGCACGCGGCGGATGCGACCTTCGTGCGGTTTGCCAATGGCGTCGCTGTAGATGTCGCCAATCATCTCGAACGGCTCCTCGGTCAGCCACCTGCCGGCTGACAGGCTGCCAGTGATCCACGAGAAATCCATGATGAAGCTCCCTTCGGCCAACGCGCGCATGTACTTGGCTGTGCGCTTGCACCGCAACTCAACCGGCTCGGCGCCACTGGGGGCACCGATGGGCGGAACGGCCTTGGTGATCAGATGCGTCACGGACGTGCAAAAGTGACCGGAAACAGGGTCGCGCTTCAGGTCGAAATCGTGCCCGAACTTGCCACCAAGACGCTGAGTTGCTTCCAGTACGCGCTTCACCTCCTCTCGCGTCAGATCGGAGCTCACAAACACGAAACCAGAACCGCTGTCGCTACTTCCTGAGGCCATGGCGCTGCCGTTTGATGAGTGAACCGGAGGTTTTGTCGCGCTTCCAGCTGAGCACGGTCTGGTAACGTCTCTGGTTTTGCTCGCAGCAGCGGCAACAGCTTCAGTCTTGACGTTGGATGAAGAGCGAACCAATTGCTTTGCTGCTTGAGACTTGGGACTCTCGCTGACGCGCTTGTCTTCTGACTGGAACGCCGTGATGGCGCTGCGGAAGTCGTCACTGGAGCGGTCTTTCTTCCGAGAAAACAAACTGCTTAGCCGCTCACATTGTTGGCTGGGTGGCGGATTCTTGGGCTCGGGTGTCGGTGGCAATGGTGCTGCAGGCTTCATCTCGTACTCTTCTTCTTCGTCACTCTCGTCTGATTCCTTTAGCTCTTCATCTTCATCTGGTAGCATGGTTGCAGGCTGGCTGTCCGGTACCTCGGATTCTTCATCGTCTGAATCAGTCCGCGAGAGATCGATAGCCGACGAGTTGTTGTGTCCATCGGTTGTAATTTTACTCTGGAGGCTTGGCATGCGAAGTCTCTTCCGGGATGGCGACGATAACCGCCGCTGGGGATGCAGCGGCAGTGGTGACAGTAACATTTGTCGCTTAGCCTTCACACCTGGTCTGCGATCATCGTGATGGTCACTGTGCCGCCGTCGGAAGGTCGCGAGGAGATCAGGTGACTCCAATGGACTCGTAGCCGGTGGCATCTGCGTCATCTGTGTCATTTGCGTCAACATATCTCCGTCGTCATCCTGGTGTTGCGAGTCTCTCCTTCTCTCCTTCAGCAACGCATCAAACCCTGCGCTGCTGTGCAACGAGCGTTCCAGTTCCAACAGCGACCTGCCGTCTCCATTTCCCTGGTGGTCTCTTTCCCACTGACTCAAAGCCTCCCGCTGCTTGGTAATTCGGTCCAAATAGCTCTCCACCTCCTGCGTCGCCATCAAACTGTTCGGTCTTGGGGACATGAACCCACTCTCCTCGTCCTCCACCTTCTCCTCTTCCTTCTCCTCTATCTCCATCACCGACGCCTCATCCAGCGACGCAGCCGCCGGCTTCTTGTCACTTTTCCTCCTCCCTCGACTACTACCCCCTTCAGCACTACTGGCACTCGCGCTGCCTCCGTAATCATCGGGCAAGTCGCTGCTGCTGGTTTTCTTCCAATGCGCCGTGCTGCCCGCTTGTCCCCCATAACTCTGCGGCAAATAGGGTTGTTCCAGCTTAAGTTCCTGGCGGATTTCCTGCGTGTCGATGTTCCACTTGTGGTTGGCCACTCTCCCTCTGGTGTTTTGCCTTTCCTCCTGTTGCTGCGTGTCCTCACTGGCCTGAATTGCAGTTGCAGTTGCGCCCGCCCCATTGGCCGCTCGGTGGAAGGCTCTGTCCGCGTCTTGCACTGTGATGTTCGTTGCATGGAGCGACTTGTCTCCGTTTAGAGACTCGAGCTCTTGCTCCACGCCCTTCCAGGCCGCCAGGATGCTCTCCAAGAACTGATTGCGCGTCACCTCACTAGGTCTCGTAGGCAGCCGGCAACTCGGACAGTGCGAGTTGTTCTGCTTGAGGTGCAGCAAGATGCACGAGTGGCAGAAGTTGTGCTTGCAGTCGAGGCACTGCGGGTCCTGGAAAATGTTGCCACTATGTTGATATTGATACAGTTGGAGAGCAATTAGACGCTTTAGGTGGAGAAAGAGAGCGGGAAAAGGAGAAGAAGACGCACCACAGAGTACAGCGCAGCTGCTCGCGGATGAGGCGGATGGCCTCGGCCCGCGAGGAAGACAGCAGCGACATGGGTGCAAGAAGCCGCCAGCGCTGCGATAGGATGGACGTGACAGTTGACTGGTTAAAATTTAACGAAAATGACAGGGGTGTACCGTTAGTGCACGGGTGGAGAGCATATTTAGCAGTTGAAGAGCAGAATGGGAATAATGACATGGCTACATTTGGAGGACGCTTTGGATCTCTTAGCTATGGAGTGCGGTTCACCATTCGTCCCGGATAATGGGTAGCGAGACGGAGAGGGAGTGGGTCTTGTGGGCCCATTTGGCTTGGCCTTCGAGGTGGCGGACGGGGAACGGCAGATGCAGCACCAGCTTCCTGAAGACAGACAGCAAGTTGAAGTGAGTGCATCGACGTGAGGTTTTGTGCAATGCTTTGAACGGGGTTTAGCAAGTGCCACGTACAGGGTGGAGCTCAGTAGCAGCAGCTTCTGCCGCTTCACGTCGAGTTCAATGTCTTCGAGTCGGTGGCCGGGGCATTCCACACGCACCACCATGGCCTCGCAGTGGGCCGACGACGGGTCCTTGTCGCTGAGTCCGAGGAAAACGTCCTCCGTCATCACGCTCTGCTTGTACAGGACCTCGAACCTAAAGCATTACTGATAAGTACCATGTTGACGTTCCACAAGTAGAGAGGTTGAAGGCGCTCGTACTTGGGTCGAGATCGAGTCTCGAAGGCGTCGTCGTCTTCGTCGTCGCTTGGGACTTCATGCATCGACCAGATCGCCTTGGGGTCTTCTTGGCGGATCTGGCCGATAGGGCGCGTCACTAAGTTCCAGCAAAAACGTTTTCACGAAATGATCATGCATTTGAGTAAAGCACTCAAGTCGGTGCGTTCGAACGAAAAATGACGGTACATACCTTCGGGCAATTTGGCGGAGGCAGCTCCGTTGAGCGTGAACGGCGTGATCTGGTGCGCTTGACTCTGGTTCTACCACCATCGACGCCCAAGTTTCAGCTCGTTTAAACACTCATAAACCACCATCGCACGCAACAGGAAGTGATCCTACCTCTTCATAGTCGTTTTCAGCGTCCTGACTCCCCGTAAGGAGATCGTTTAGCGCAAGCAGTTCATTCCCGACGACTTCCATCTTCCTCCTAATTCACTGCAGCACGACGCCGGCTGAACTGCTCAAGTGGATCTCTGGAGCGGCGCCACGTGCGACTTTTCATTCTTCGGTCTCTACTTTTGAATTGAAGGGGCATCCTCGCCCTCTAGTGTTTTCTAGCGAGTGACCCGAATGACATGATCGTGAATTTGGAGCGATCAAGGCAGCCTCAGGTTTGTGCATCTCCGTTCTGAGGACAATTCGTCTAGCTGCATGGTAGGTTTCATGTCTTTGGCTTCAGCCAAATCCGGACGAACGCTATTTTCTGCGCTAAGGTGGCTCGCTGGCATCGGTGTTGGCGGCGACCACACTCACCTACCTCACTCTTGGCCTTATCCCCTCCATGACCGGCGACCTGGAGACGGGGTCACGGAGCGGCCTGGGACAGTAGAAATCGCTGCAAATGGAGAGTCAAGTGCTGCAAACTCCGTGCGTCGACCCCAAGACCGTTCACGACAATGAAGAGATCAGCAGCACAAGCAGCAGCGGCAAATCCACGGCTTTGACAGGGATGGAGGAGCTCCGAGAGCTCTGCACATCCGACCCGAACACTGAACGAGTGAGTCTTCGAGGCCGTCACCTCTCTCAAGAGGACGCCGAGAGCGTCTTCACCTTCCTCCAGCAACATTTCCCCAGACTGCGGCATCTGGACCTACGCGACAACGATCTGCTCGAACTACCCCAAGACTTCGGCGCTCGGCTGCCCAAACTCGTGGCGTTGAACCTCTCGAACAACAGCTTCCGCTTTAGAATGGGGGCGCTGCGTACACTTGGAGAGACTTTGCAGCACTGTCCTTGCCTCAAGAGCTTGAGCTTGTCGCTGTCAAGTCCCGCAGAGGAGCAGGTGCTGCTGGCCATGCTCCCGGGACTGCGGATTCTGAACGGGACCCCGCTGCCGTCAACACGAAATGGCAGTGAAGGGAACCCAGCGAGCCCGACGATCCAAGAATTGCAACAGTTCTGCGCTTCACCCTCAGTCAAACTGCCCGTTAGCGCTTCAAAAGCTCCAACAGATGACAGCAAACGTAACACCGAGATCGCTGCTGTGACTACACTTGCACCGAAAGCGAGTGCTACGGGGCCTCGACGGAACGTGAAGAACAGCATCCGCCCCACGGAGCTGCCTACCAGTATCTCCGACGATCGTACAGATTGGTGCAAACTGCTTAAGGTCAACCGATCTCAAGTTTCGAAAGGAAGCTCCGCCTCAACGTCAGCAGTGCGTTCAGACTCGACGTCAAACTCCGTCGTATCCACCGAGACGTTCCTCCAGCAGTTGAAAGCTGTGGTTAAAGCCTTCCACGAGTGCGATTCGCTGGGCAAGGCTAACGGTGGATCTAAGGCCAAGCTGTTCGCTCAATTGGATCGACATGTGGAGTTGTTGGCCCAACAGTTGAAGCGCCAGGAGCCAGAAGACGGCAAGACGGAGCTATCCGAAGCAATGTTACAGACACGATGGAGTTTATTGGAGGTTTGTGCCATGTTCGGGTCGCAGAAAGTGGCACAGGCGGACGCGGGGCTTGGAAACGGCTTCGGTATGCTGCTTGCGATGCAGAAGCAGCTCCTGGCGGCCATGCAGGCGCAGCAACGCAATGCTCAAGCTCAAATCCAGGCTCAAGCGGCTACTACCGAGGGTTCAGCTCCGGCTCAAAACCAACAACAACTCAAGCTTTTACTCGATGTCGCGGAAGGTCTAGAGAGCGATTTAGAGGCTGTTCAACAGCAGCTTCAACAAGAAACAGCTCGTCGGGAACAGGTGGAGCAGGAAAACCTGGAGTTGAAGCGCGTACGCAGCGGTGGGAAGGGCATTTTAAAGACTGCGAAGTCTAGACCCACAGTCGCTCGAAGCGCCAGCACTACGGACAACATCGGCACCGCAAAAACGCAGCCAACTCGGAGGATTCGAAGATGCAACAGCGAGCACAACGGGATAGTGAGCTCAAGTTCGGACGTGGTTGAAGACCTTCGAGCGCCAGAGGTGCCAGCGCAAACTGTCGCGCCTCCTGCGCCTCAGATCACAGTCACAGTGCGGAATCTATCGCTGAAGCAGCTCGTGGACCTCATCAACTGCGTGTACGCGTCCAAAGCCAAGTACGACGCGCGTACCACCACTGCTGGAGCACCACGTGAGACCATGGAGCAACACTTGTACACTTACCTGAACACTCGCTTCGGCCTACCCAAGCTTATCGTGGACTACGCCAGCGCAGTATGGAAGGCAGCGGAGCATTTCGCTCGTCGCGAGAATGACGCTGCAGTGTTTGTAGCACTGCTGAGGAATCGACTAGACGAAGGGTTTTTGGAGATTAAGCGGAAGCTCCAGTCCGCTCTGGTGGAGTTACTACGAGCCTTCTTTTCAGCGAGGTACCCCAAGAAACAAGGCAAAGCCATCGCTGCGCTGGTACAAAGCCGCCTGGATGGCCATCTCCACGAGGACGAATGGCGAAACTTGCTCACATATCTCTACGAGCCTCAAGATGTACGTTGTTACCGTGAAATGATACACTTTTTGTTCCTGCATGTATATTCATCTGGTTGTGTGTGCACTGTAGAGCGCGGCGCTGAAGCGTCTGGTCCAGCAGAAGGCAGAGAAGTACCAGGCAGCTCAAACGCAGCGGAAAAAGGCCGTAGCAAATGAGAAGCCGAACCTCTCATTGCCTTTTACCGACTTTGAGCAAGTGCTTTACGGCTATCAGCTGCAAGGGCGTCTGGAGTTGCTGGACGGATTCCGCAGAGCGTTTGAAGAGCTTGACACCGAGCGCGTCGGTGTCATCAACAGAGTACGTTAAAGTTCGATGATGAAGTGTGGTAATCTGAAGACGCTAACGAAGAATTCTTCGTTTACAGCCTCGTTTTGTCACGCTTGCTCGGCGATTAGCGCCGACAAAGGTACATTTTGCTGTAAGCTGCTGGACCCGCGACTGATAGGCAAAGTATCTTACGATTTATGCTTCTTGTTTGTATAGCCTGAGAGCGCCGTGACGACGCTTGTGGAGACATTAGACCACTTCAACCACGACGTGATAACATTCTCAGACGCTGCCAACGCGTTATTACCGGACATCCGACGCATCAGTGCAAAAGCCACTCCAACCTCCACGTCGCAACCCAAGACGAAGAAAAATACTACGTGACGTAGGTCCGCCACGGAAAATATAACTAGAAATGTGACACGATATTACTTAGCTTCATCTACTCTCTAGTAACCGGCTTCAAAGAGCTGCCAGAACGCATCGCTTTCCTGGTTCTGACGCTCAATGGCTAGTGAAGTCGTTGGTGATAAAGTTGGCGGGTTTTGGAGATTCCGAAGCTGCTTCTGAGCGGCATTGGCAACAGATTCTGGGGTAAAGCTGCAACTGGCGCCAAGCCACAAGTAACCTTGAGCAACTCCGTGTGGCTGGATAGAGCAAAGCAGGAAAGCACTGTCTGGTGTAAGGTCCTCCGAGTCGTAATTCGTTAACAGCTCCCACTCATCTTGGCCCTCTTCTTCGTCGACAGCTTCCAATATAAACAACTGCGGTGCAACTGGCACGTCTTCGTCTGTACTTGTGGGATTTCTAGAGTCCCCATTCGTCGGCAGGAACATTGCTGGCAGTTTAGGTATCGAATCCCGACCCCACTGGAGCTCAGCGGCATAACCGAAATGATCACAGGCGGTTCCTTTGTGGCCCTCAGCGTCTTCTTCTACCTCGTTGATTTCCATTTGCGTCAACTGAGGCTGCACCAGCATTTGCATTCGAATCATTTGACTGACAAGTTTCTTTGCCATCGCCTTGGCGTCCTGGATCTCGCATTTTGATCCATGCCAAATAGTCAACTGACTAGAACTCGAAGGGTTTTGAAAGACAAAAGTGCCGCGAGACCAGAGCAGACGCTGCCCGTCTTCAGGTGTTCGAACAGTGGCGATATTTTGTCGCTGCCGAGCCGAGCCAGCGCTTGGATCATAGCAACGCTTGAGCACGAAAGACTCAGAGTCGTAACTGGAATGTGGCGTCAAGCGGTAGAGTCCATTCAGTACGAACGCAGTCGAACAGTTGCCTTGTGATTTCATCACCTGCAGGTCCTTCTCCCACTCCAGAAGCTGGCAGATAAATGCTGCGTTAGGACTCGAGATCGCTCGTTGGCGCTTCACCAGGGCTGCAGCTTCGTGGTACGACAGTCTCTGCTCCAGCATCACGTAGGCAATTGCAAAGGCACAAGAGCGAGAAACTCCCTGATGACAGTGCACCAACACCTTCTGTCCTTTAGCACTATCCTCCCCATGGGATGACTCTCTCTGTCTGCAGGCGGCGATGAACTCCATTACTTGGGGAAGAAACGGCGTCAGGTCTTCGTTTGCATCATCTCGCAGCAACAGCTTCAAAAGGTGAACCTCCGAGTCACTGGGGGAACTTGCAGGCTGATCAACTCCATCTTCGTAATGCTTCAGCTCTCCGCAGCAATTGATCACGTGGGTGATGCCCAACGCGCGTAGTTTGTTTGTATCCCGTGCCACCTGAAGGTTGCTCACGTATAGGAATCCCGGTAAAATCTCCGAGCACACGTCAGCATATGCATCCAACGTCCGGGACTTCCGCACACTCTCAGGTATCACAAATCGGTCTTCTTCAATCCGTTGGGGCACGTTGAAAGCTCGGACAACTTCTTGCGCTTCGAGACTCAGACGAGAAGTTGTGTTCTCTTCCAGTTGCAACGCGTGACCAGGAGGGACGATTTTCCCGACAAGCGGTGGAGCTTTAGCAACATGTTCTGCACCATCTTCTCCTGCAGTTGAGGAACGCGATCCAGCAGTCCACGCCTCGGAAATCGATGGTGCGTCAGACTTCGTCGTCCCAGAGACTTTCGCCGCCGACCCGGAGGGCAACACATCCGCAAACCCGTCGCGAGATTGGCCGTTCCCCATAATTCACCGCCTTCCTCGGACGTGAAACGACGCAGACAAACCAAGCCGCTGGATCTCGCAGCGCCCGCCCATTTATAAACTTGTCGGTCAACATTAATTAACTTACAGCTTTCTCTAACCTGAACAGCTCTAACCACGCCAATTGCCATCTAAATGATTGCCGAGTCGGACACTCGCACGAATCCCATTTCATCCGAGCTCCTCAGCTCCTCCGGTTTGTAGTTCCGAGTCTCCCACCAGAAGGCGATGGCGTGTCTCCGTTTAAACACAAAAGCGGCCGCCACGACTGCCACGACACCTGCAGCGACCCCCGCGGACACATAAATTGCCGTCGAAGAGCTCGACGAGTCCTCTGATCCCGTATTGGCCGTGGTCTTGTCGTTGTTGCTTGAAGGGGCTGGAGTCGACTCCGACTGGGGCTCGACCTGATCTGTGTCATCAGTTGACTGGTCCAATACATTGGTGCTGCCCCCAGAAGAGCTGCTGGAAGTGCTCCCGGACGCATCAGAGCTGCTCACGTCGACCCAATAGTCTGCAGCAGAATCGGACGTCACCTGCGAGCTGTTGCTGGGGCAGAAAACCACTTGGAACTCGACGTCGGCGCTGCAACTGTGAGTCCGCGCGTCCTGGTCGGGAAACTGGTACGCGTCGTCGCAGCCGTCCGCCATACAGCTCAAAACTCTGCAAGACTCAGAGGAGCTGATACCTCCTCCGGTACTGGGGATAATCTGCATGGCGACGTTGAATCCGGTGCCTCCAGTCACAGCCTTGCAGTCTGCCAGGCTGGAGCATGATCCTGGCTGGATAGAATACAAAGTGGAAGTTGTTAATAGTTGCCTTGTATCCATGGATTTTTTGTTTATGTGTTTTTGTTTACTTACACCGGTGTTTCCTGCCGGGATGATGGAAATGTCGTACCAAGTGCTCGCGTCGACGTTGGCAAGTTCGGCCTCTGTGATGCAAAAGCAAAGAAAAAAGTTAGGATAGTGTTAACCGCAGGTTAGGCTAGTGCTAACCGGAATCGTACGTGTGGCCTGATACGCAGCACCGTATCTGTAGGCAACGTTGGTGCCGTCTGCGAGCTCTAGGCTGAGACCGGCGCCCTGCTGGATGGGGGTCCCGGCGCCGTGACTGCCGGCGTAGAGCTCCATGCTGCCCTCGCAGAGGTTGACCACCTGGATCTTGGTGCCGGAGACTGTTGCCGCCAGCAGCAACAGTGGCAACGGCAACGCGAGTCTTGCCATGCTTTCGCTTAAACTCGAGCAATGGCGGTGCCAATAAAGCGCGGCGCCCCCGCCGCCCAGCCTTTTGCGTTGTGCTGACAAAGCCCGTGGTGTGTTGCCTTGCACTTGTGCGCTCCCCCGGCGTTGCATCGCTTGACGCAAAGCGTGTAATGGGGAGTAGGGTTGCAGCCGCCAAAAACATGCTTCAACAACCCAGCGAACATTACTTTTTAAAATAAACTAGTTTCCATAGATTCGGTATCTGCTGTTTATTATAAAACGGAAAACTTGGGAATGCATTCTCATAGAACATTATCTCTGAAAATGCCCTTATCGGATTGCATATGCCCGTACAAGTGCACACACAGCGCTGCCTTCAAGACAATGCAAGTCGCTGGTGGTGCCAAGCATTACACTTAGATATCACTTGAAGCGCTGCGGTGCGACAGGAATTGGACAGGTCACCACAGAGGCCACATCTTGTGGTTGCCGATGTATCTGAGCTCTTCGGATGAAAAAGGTTTGCTCTCCCAGTCCAGTCCCCTTGTTGCGAAACTGCAACGTGTAGTGCCAACGTGCAACCGCGTTGACAACCATACGCTCGGAACTGCAACGGCCTTTGCTGCACTAATTCCCTGCGTTTCAAGCACGAGCTCGAGCGCGGGAAGTGTTCTGCTATTACTGTACCGAGGCGTCCTCTACGAGAGCCTGCAACGGATCACCGAAATGATGGGAGCTTCAACAAAGACTTTAGCCAACAGGGCCGGATTGATGCAGCCACGACTGATGGCTGTACCTGTACTGTATCTTTACTTCAGACTACCGTCACTGCAGCTTCAACGGAGACCTCCGTCCGACGACTGATGGCTGTGCGGGCCGTGTAAATACCGCGCCACGGCCGCTGCATCGTAGGGTTCCTGGTAGACACCCGCTAATAACGACGATACACGAGTCGCAGCACGACGAGACTTTGGCGCCTCGTCCACTGGACGACGTCCAGCGAGCACATGTGTGTTGCTCAGTGCAACGTCGGGCACGCTGGACCATTCTTGTGATGCCATGATACTATGAGTGTCTACCTTTGGTGGACGTCCTCCACAACTGGACGATCGATGACTTCGAATTCGAACCATCAAACGAGCCAACTGGCGTGGCGGGTGTATCTTTCGCGTCGCGAGGCTGCTTGGTTCTGCTTATCGCTGGTCTCCTTTACTGCAGAGCACGCGTGCATGTAGACTCAACATCCACGCGCTCAGGGGTACCGGTATAGCTGAATATCAGCGCTGGAGGAGTTGAGGCTTGCCACATGCAGAGTGGATCTGTATTCTCTAGCTTATAAGTTATCTATCCACACGAATTTGCACCAGCTTCATGCGCATCTAGCTTGTGCGCAAGGACGCTGTGCATCGGCGCGGGCAGTTCGCCTGCGTGGGTGCCGGCGTCGGTGCCGCCACAGCATCCAACCCACCTGGGCAGAAGGTCACGTCGACACTCGGCGTGGTGTCGGGGCAGGCGTGCGTCTTGAAGTCGTCCGTCGGGTACTGGTAGGCGTCTTCGCAGCCGTCAGCCAGACACGTGACTGCCGTGCACCCAGACGGCGCGATCTGCATCGGGGTGTTGAAGCCAACGCCGCCAGTGACCGCCTTGCAGTCCTCCAAAGACGAACAATTGCCAGGCTGCAAAGATAGTGATGTTAGCATCTAGTTGGGAGTCATTGAGCGCGACTTGCTTCGCTTACCCCTGTCTGAACTCCCGTCGGGATGATGCTGATATCGTACCAAAGAAAGCCCCACGACACCGAGAACTCGGCCACTGCAGCAGCATGCAAAACATTATGAGTACCCGCTCCACTGAGCATTATCTACAAGAAGGCAACGTACGTGTGGCTTGAGGGTGCCAGCCGTTGCGGAACATGCCGCTGAAGCCTTCTTCAAGGTACCGCGTCGTACTGCAGCCAGGGTCGATGTTCTCCGTGTGGGTGTTGTTGTACAGCTCGATGGTGGAGCTGCAGTGATTGTAGAAGCTCACGGGGATCGCATTCGTCACAGCCACCGCACTCGAGAACGTCGCCAAAAAGCCGTAGAGCTGCATCGTGAAAGTTGCGAAGACCGGAAGTTTAGAAATGCATCACCACCTGAAAGCCATGCATCGCCAGCATCTCGTTGCTGCATATTGCGGTGCTGTTGACAAGACTAGAAGCACCGAGCGCTGGTACCCTGCAACAATATCTCGTCCTCGAAAGCTCTCCTAAAAATATGGCCACCTTTGGATTCCGTGCACTTCAAGCACGGTGTCAAATTCTGACCCCGAAAGAACGAAGCTGTTGGGAACGTTCGCCAAGTTGCCGTACCCGATATACTCGCACGACATTCCCGCATGAACCACACGCACTTTAGATACTTCAAACATTGGCAAGTGCTCAAAATGTATTGACGCGTAAGTTATAAAGACTTGGAATGCCAGCTTTAGACCTTACATCGTGGGGATTCGGTGTACGGGAGTCGCCATGCCCGAGAAGTTGTCGAGCCATTCGAGGTCGTCCTTGGGCGAAGCAGCCTCCATCTGCTGCTTCTTGCGGCGCGCCACGACAATCGCGCCGACGACTGCTAGCGCACCCACAGTCGCAGCCACGATAGTCCCCACGGGAGTGCTGGAGGATGAAGCCGACGTGGTAGTCGCAGCTTGATCGTTCGAGCCGGCCGAGGTTGGGCTGCTCGGTGTGGACTTTGTGGAAGTTGTGGTGGCCGCTGCGGCTTGCTCGGTCGTGTTGTCCTCCGAAGGGAACGTGATGGTGTTGCCGCTCAGAGAGCCACGGAATGATGAGGAAGACGAAGACGACCCACTGCTCTCCCATGATGACGAAGGTGTTTCAGTAGGGGTTGACATCGGGGTTACTAGGGGCTCCTCCGTGATCAGAGCTTCGGTGGGAATGGTGAGCTTGAACACTTGATCGGCCGTCGGAACGGGTGTGGCGGTCGCCTCCGGCGTTGGGGCAGATGTTGGTGCGTCGGTTGTTGCCACCGGCGCAGAAGTCGTTTGTGAGGTGGGAGCCTCGGTGACGGGAGACACCGTTGCAGGCGCTTCAGTCTTTGGTTTTGCAGTCACTGGCGCGGTGGTCGGGGCATCGGTAACTGGTGCTTCCGTCGCTGGAGATGTGGTGGCGGGCTCACTGGTTGAAGCTGATGTCGGAGCAGAGGTAGGAGGTTGCGTGGCTGGTGCTTTCGTGGGGGGTTCAGTGGGAGGCTGGGTGGTGGGGGCCTCGGTCGGTGCCGGTGTCGGTGTCGGCGTTGGTGCCGGCGTAGGGGCCGTCGTCGGGGCTGAAGTTGGCGCCGCTGTGGTCGGAGCTGCAGTGGTTGGGGCTGCAGTCGTCGTCGTCGTCGACGAAGTGGAAGTGGAAGTGCTGCTTCCACCAGGGCAGAAGGTCAGGGTGATACTGGCCGTGTCAACACACGAGTGGGTCTTGCCGTCGTCACTTGGATACTGGTAGGCGTCAGCACACCCGTCTGCAAGACAAGTGACGGTGGTGCATCCGGACGGCGCGATCTGCATGGGGGTGTTGAAACCCGTGCCGCCGGTCACCGCCTTGCACTCGTCCAGCGACGCACAATTACCTGGCTGCACCAAAGAAAACAATGATACAGGTGAGTGAGTACACAGCTGAGCCTTGCTCTTGCAGTCAAACAAACTTCACTTACCCCAGTCGATCCAGTAGGGATAATGCTGATGTCGTACCAAGTGTAGCCGCCTGTAATGGAAAACTCAGCCACTGCAGTGAAAATACACCGAAATGTTGTTCACACTTGTTAGTTGATCAGACCATAACTAGAGAGTTCCTTGAAACTTGGTCCCAGTCTACTCACGTGTTGCTTGGGCGCTGGCGCCGTTGCGGAACATGCCGCTGAAACCCGATGACAGCGTTCGGGTTGTGCTGCCTCCGGAGGCGATGGTCTCAGTTGCCGAGTTGTCGTACAGCGCAATGCTTTCACCGGACTGGTTCTGGATGGTCAGCGGGGCGGCATGCGCCGTTGTCGCCAACGCAGCAACAAGACCCGAGATCAAAAACTTCAGCTGCATGGTACTATGCGTGGCAAATATGCGAGTTGTGATCCGTGGGAAATGTGTGGCGAGAGGCGAATTGGAAAGTGAGAAACACTGGCCAAGCTTCAGCAAAGTCGCTGCGGCTGAGCTCGGCCAACTCGCTTGCGTGCGCTCCATTGTACACCTGGTCTGTCTGTCAAATCAGTCACTCTTCGCGCGTCATGCACGACATGTTCGAATGCTCGGGAGTAAGGTCTCCGATGTCGCTTAGAACGCCCCGCCACACAGAGTCCCGATGGACGACGGAGGGATCCGGAAGGTGCACCCCCGCCACGTCAGTCCGCTCAAATCATCGCGTCCGTCACAGCGTGGGACCTATTGTGCCTTGCAAAAATGTCGATGCTCAGAAGTAGGATATATCGGGTCGGATATAATTTGCAGCTCAGAGATAAACCCGAGGACTCCAGGTGGAAATACGATTTAGCTTGTTAAACCTCGGTCGAGCTGATCAAGAACGTCGGAATTGCCGTTTTAAATCGGCCAAAACGACCGCCCTCCCGATATATCGGATGCTGCCCTCGTGCCGTCGCGCTATATCGGATGCCTCACTCGTTGCGGACTCTGGTGCTACCACACACACACCAGGACACTATTATTGTAAGGCGCATTTGCCGGGCCGGTGCCGCTAGCTTCAGCTCTGGTTTCGGCCGCGTCTGTCAGACGTTGGTACCCGCGAGATCGCGCCGTTTACGACGAGCTAGAGATCAAGTCCAAACAACGCCACATGCTCACGCGGACAGTAGAGACGTATGCAGAAGAAAGTCAGATAAATGGACAAATACCACACAATCTTGTTCAAAGAACTCCCTACTGTGCATTAAATTAAAATTGCGTCGCTTTCTATTGTACTTGCTTAGCAGATACAGCTACAAGTACCTTGGCCTGGTCGCGTCGGGGCCAGGTCCACCGGCCGCTGCGTGTCGACTGCCACCCCATCAAGCCCGCAAAGCCCACGTCACTCTTGTCCGACACCTTGTTCGCTCTGTACACCATTCCGGGTGTGTTTGTGCTCGTAGACCGATACCTCCTGCACTAGCGCTCCTGGACACAAGCTTGTTCGCCGTCTTGGCGTTACCCAGCAGCTCCTCCTAGCGGCGCAGGCCTCGTCGTGGCGCCGCAGCTCGAACAGCAGCTTTACGGAGGCAGCCGCGCGCTCCGGGGGTTCGCTCTCCAGCCACTGCTCGGCCGAGTAGTTGGCGTTCTCGATGCGCACGTGCAGGTCCGCGGGCTCGGCATCCTCCATGACCTCGTCCTTGTCGCTTAGTCGAAGCCATACTTACCAGACATACTTACCGCGTAGCCCTCAAAAACTGCTTTGCCGGTGACAGGAACGTGCCTACGTAAAGCTCACCGCGTCGTCGCATTTAAAGCATCCTGTCCCTGTAGCAATCTGTAGCAAAAACACAAGGAGCATCAGTGCTTGTCGGTAGCATCTAGCAGTAAGCAGGCAGGTTCAGGGAGCTTACAAAGCTGGGTGCAGTGAGCGCAGCGCAAATGGATGCTCGTGTGCTCGCAGCCAACGAAGTGGTCGGAATTAGATAAACTTGGGGGAGGCAAAACAGCGACTTTGCCTCATAGTTATTCAACCCTACCCCTACAGAGCTCGGATTTATCTTTTCCGACCACTACGATATCCGAGGTCAAAACGAAGGGCAAATTAAATGCAAGGCACAATAGATCCGTGATGGGTGGACGCCACGTTCCCGTTTCGACGCGCGATTTAACCCAGTCAAAAGCTACACTTTCTATTCATCCTGCTCTATCCTTACTGCAATACGTTGATCTCCCCATGCGGCGTGAGAATGCCCACGTACGAAGAGAAGGACTCCTTGGGCTCCATGGCGTCCAGCTGCTGCTTTTTCCTCCTTGCGATGACCACGGCGGCGATCGCTGCCACGAATATGAAGGCACCACCGACAGACATCACGTAGGTACTGGTCGATGGACCCGAGCCGGCGTTCTGTGTTGATACAGTCTGTGTGTTGTCGGTTCCCCAACTGCCTCGCGTCGACGGTGTCGCGGTAGTCCGTGCCTCGGGAGGCACCGTTACAACGGCAGCTTGAGCCTCAGCGACGAAGTTGTCGTGAGAAGAGGAGCTGGTGGAGTTCTGGGCCATGGAGTTCGAACCAGACCACGAGGAGGTCGATACGGGCACCGGCGTCTCCGTTGCCGGCTTCGGGGTCGACGTGGTAGGCTGTGGCGTTGAAGTGGTTGGCTCCGGCGTCGGAGCGGCAGTGGTCGACACTGGGGTGGCGGTTATCGGCTCCGGCGTAGAAGGAGCGGTGGTGGGAGCTATTGTCCTGGGGGCTGCCGTTGTCGGCACCGGTGTCGGAGCGGCAGTCGGCGCAGCGGTTGGTGCGGTGGTCGGTGCTGCTGTCGGTGCGGCTGTGGTTGGAGCTGGCGGCATGGAGGTAGTCGAGGCGATGGTGCTGGATCCACCGGGGCAGAAGATCAGGTCAATGCTGGCTGTGTCGGCGCACGAGTGCGTCTTGCCGTCGTCGCTAGGATACTGGTAGGCGTCAGTGCAGCCGTCCGCCATACAAGTGACGGTGGCACACCCCGATGGAGCGATCTGCATTGCTGTGTTGAAACCGGTGCCTCCCGTGACGGCCTTGCAGGCTTCCAATGACCCGCAGATACCAGGCTGCAAGTAGAGCAGAAGCTAGTGAGTGGATTAGTGCATACTTGCCATGAAAGCTCAACGTACCCCAGTCGACCCCGTCGGGATAATGCTGATGTCGTACCAGATAAATCCACCCGTGATGGAAAACTCGGCCACTGCAGTTGTTACCAATCACCAGTTTGTCAGACAAAGCAGTAGTCATCAGAGCTCGAGCAAATGTTAACTCACGCGTAGCTTGAGAGCCGACCCCGTCGCGGAACATGCCATTGAAGCCCGAAGAGAGCGTGCGAGTCGTTTTACCACCCGATGCGATGGTCTGGGTCGCCGAGTTGTCGTAGAGCTCGATGCTCTCCCCACATTGGTTGTAGATGTTGAGCGGTGCGGCCTGCACCAGCACCAGGCTCGAAGCTAGCGAACTCGCAGCAGTCAGGAGCTGCATCGTGAAACTGTCGAGGGTATGCGTGGCCTCGGGCGAAAGTGGAAAAGTGATCGGGGTCCGCGCCTCCCGGTAGTCGGCAACTCGCCACCACGCACGACAGTCATGCACGCTCCAGCCATGGCCACACAGCACAGCTTGCACTGGTCCTGCGCATAGTGTCGCACCCGAGCGTGGCATACACTGCACGATCTTTGAACGGAAACGCCGTGCGTGCGGAAGGCGGGCGGAATGTTCACTCTCGCAGGCGTTTCCTAGAGCCACCGGTTTCCAGTTCAAGCAATGCAGGCTTGCGATCGCGTGGCGAAGTGCAAGGTGCAACCTGCTCGGTCAGGCAGGATCCACGGTGAGTGTCGCTGCTGCCGCATTTTGGAATGTACTGTACGGGCCGACCATTGCTGGACGCTCGACCATACACTGACGCTCGCGAAAGAAAGATCGCGATTAAAACTGAGACAGGTAGGACTAATAGAGCCGGACTATGTGGACCACATACTTCAGTTTTGGGGCTCTCGTCCGTTTTGCCTCGTGATCGACGACGATTGCGCTCTATGCTTTCGAAGGCTCTGAACCAAAGCATTGCCCTCGACCGAAGCCAGGTCTGCAGTGTGTACGGCTGGACGGAGTGAGGCGAGAATTCTACAGCGCCGTGCGCGTCGAGTCGTCGCCACCGGCTACCAAGATGGCACGACAGCGCTTAACAGGCAAAGACGCGACGGCAAGCGAAAATTCGGCGCCCCAAGCTCCAGTACCCAGGCCTTCCAGCCGGCGCCCGCACCCCAACCGCTCACCCGCTGTGTTCTTCGACTCGCATCCGCTGTCCGAGTGCTTGGCAGTCATGCGCCTGAAGAAGCGCAGCTCGGTGCAGACTGTCTTCAAGCTGCGAACTTAGCCGATTCGAACTTAGCAGAGAGTCCACCTGTCAGTTGTGGACAATATCAGAGGCCGCTCATTGGTGGGTGGACCCTTTCGCCGGTTTCAACTCGTGTACTGGCTCTATTCCACGATCAGACGAACATCAAAGCCTGGTCATTTTCGAGTGACAAAGGTTGGTACTATTGGTTTTCGGCGCCGCTCGCTGATTCAGCGGTGACCTGCAAGCAAGTCGGACCAGATGAATGAATTCACCTCGTGGGATCTTCTGTTGAGTCAACTGTGTCGACCAGACCCGCACTGATGCTCAACAACATTGGGTGGCTGCATCTTGGTGCTGGGTTGCATCTTGACCATGTTACAGTAATTGCCAGATTCCGGACCTGAATCCGGAAACCTGTCAAATCTGCAATAGAGCCACACTGGCGACACATAAAAAACCTCGTGCCAATCAACTTCGACATATTCATTCCGGACGGGAGTGTAAAGAGCTAAATTTCGTACTTATATGAAATGTGTAAATCCCCTCCACTTGATCTCTCTCTCATTCGGTGTTCTCGGAGACAGCGCGGACTCAGCGAGCGCGGCAGCACGGCAGACAGTGGACGGCAGGCAGCAGCGTGGCGGACAGCGCGCGCGGGCGGCAGCTCGGCAGGCAATGAACCGCAGGCAGCGGCAGATCGGCAGGCAGCTCGGCGACGGACAGAGCTCGCGCGTGCGCAAGCCCGACGAGAACTGGCGCTGCAGACGACACTGGACTCCCCGAGGTAGGTCTCCCCCCGTATCCACGCCCCCGTAGCTCAGCGGAAGAGCGGGAGACTACGTCTCCAGGCCGCTGGTTCGACCCCAGCCGGGGGCAATCTTGCTGTGTGCTGTGTGCTTTGTGCTGTGTGTCGCTGTGCTGTGCTGCTGTATGTTGTATGCTATGTCCTGCTGTGCTGTGTGCTGTGCTGCTGTGTGCTGCTGCATGCTGGTGTGTGCTTGTGTTGTACTAGGTGTATGCTAAGCCAAGTCTGATTCCCCCCACTGGTGTGACGCTGGCGTACAAGCATCGGTCACTGCACCACTGTTTTTCAAGGCAAGGAACTGAGCGCCGAGCGTGCGGTACGCGTCGGGATGTGACGTTCGCAGCTGCCGCCAGCGCTTTCGTAGCGACGATGCTTTGCGCGTTGGCTTCTTCTGGTCAAAGGTATGCAATCGCTGATTCGCTGTGTTGTCCATCTTGAGAGCGAGCTCCCACACTAGGTGCTTCCAGGCTTGGTACGCGGTGGAGTCGTTTCGTGACGGCTCAGCAGGTACTTCAAAGGATGCCTGGTAGAGAACCATCATGATGTTTACTGCTGCCTTTGCCTCAGCTCGCTTATTCTGCTCTCGTTTTCCTTTGACTGTTTGCCAGATATGTTCGACATACCAAGTCAAGAGGCAGCCCGCCAGCGTTGTCGCAGTTGCTTGGGCTGGCGCAGCGGCGAACAGCGGCGCTTCGACTGACGCGCCAGCTAGGGCTTCGACTTGCACTGGGTTTGCCGGTTCCAAGGATGGCGTGCGCGCAAGCAGCGCTGCGTGTGCGTCTTCTAGCCGACCAAGTCTATCGCTGATCGCAGTAAGCTGACCCAGCATGCACCCGAGGACGGATGCAAGCTGCGTATCGTTGCTTGATGCTGCTCTGCTAACATGTGCATGGTTCGCTGTACGCCAGCGAGACTTCAAGTGCTCGCCCCACTCGCAGCACTTCACGACGGACACAGCGGATCCCAGACGAGCGTTTGTCGATGTGAGACCACGCTCCAACTCGTACAGGTATCTTGCAACGTGTGCCTGCGACTTAACACTGTTCTGTGTAGCTTCCAGGACTTTGCCCAGGTGCATTAGCAGCGCAGCAAACGTGGCGTCAACGACGGCTCCGGCTACGTTGAAGCGCGGGTCAGGGAGGCCGATGACATGTCGGAACAGCTCGTCTCGCAGCGTGACAAGCTGCCCATACTCAGCTCTGGGCAGTCTATCCTGCAGATCGCGAATTGACGGGGTCACTACTGGTACGTCAACCTGCTAACACCTTGCCCACACTCTGATCTTCTTTTGTTGTCGTGCCTATATAGGCAAATGCTTCGGTCAGCGATTCCAAGAGCCACGCACCACGCGTGGAGATCCACTGTATTGCAAGCTTCGGCGATGCATTGGCATACGCCGCTGCGCCACGCCGCAGGGAGTGGCTTGTCATGTTGGGCGTGATTGCTTGCAAGGTGGTAGGCTGCATTTGCTTTAAAGCATCTCGAATAACCTCTGTGATATAGCTTGCGACGTTGGGTCTCTTTCGTTCACGTTTTAGCGGTGGTTGGGTTGTAGTTTCTGTCGTATGTTCCCGGCTTTCCCAATACAAGACCGCTTCTTCTTGCGTGTAGGTCTGTCCTCCAGGGAGATCGGACTCAGCATACCGCGGCACCAACAGGAATAGGTACTCCGAGGGTTCATCACAGCAAACGAAGAGCAAGCCAAATGCGTGGAGCATGCATTGCTGCCAGCGCTCAGGGGACTTGAAGATCGACACGCCTTGCACAACGGACGTCTTGATGCGCGCTATGTGAAGAAAGAGTTCCCCAGAGGCAGATAGTTAGAGCTGCTGTTTACGAGCAAAGCAGGTGTCGATCGCTCGGCCGAAAGTGTGCCACATCATGTTTAGGAGAGCAGCATCGTGAATAGACTTGAGCCCGGTAGCCACCTCTGCATTCACGACTAAGTGCTCAACTAATACACACAAATCGTTGACAGTACATCCTGGTGCATCGTTGGTCTGGACATTGGTTCGTAAGTTGCGCTCTTCAATGTTGCTTGCCATCTTGTCTCTGATCTTAGCAATGCGCTGCGAATCCGACAGGGAACTTGGGTACCGTTCTCGTAGCATATTGAGAGTCTGAGAAAAGTAGCCTAGCGCCGTAGACTTAGCCAACAATCCATCTCCCGAACGTGCTCTGTTGCTCTTTTTAGTTTAGAGGAAAATGGCGAACGCTGTTAGCAAGGAATAAAAATTCTGGGTAGGCAGGCTAGGTCCCTTGGTAAGAGAGCAGTCCATCGCATCTAGCGTTGTCGGAGTTAGCCCAGCCGACTCGAGAAACTCTGCAAAGTATTTCTCAGCTGCTTGTTCTTGACCAATTGTCCCTGCAGGCGTGTCTAGCCCTCGCGCAGCGCGCCGCATGATGGCGGTTGCTCTTCCAGATGCGTTAACTGTGAGAATGAGAGTGACGGCAGCTAGACACCGCAGTTGTAGCTATTCATAGCGTAGTGCCAGGCTGAACTAAAGAGCACTTATTCGATAACCAAACTTTGTACTTGGTTTCAGTATGGTTTATTTCACTGTAAGAAATTCAAATTCCCGGAAATAAGCTGGCGCGCCTCTAACCTACCCCTAAATGTGTGTGATTCGCTATAATAGGAGGGATTGCGATCGTGATTGGCCTATTTGACGACTTATCTCGTACGGGGCAAGGCTTTCCGTCCAAGCAGGACTTATCCTACAGTAAGAGCTCTGTTGCTCGAACACTACAATTTGGCGGCGGTTGAACGTCGCGAAGCGAACGGCCTCATGACATGGCGTACGGACGCGAATTAAACTTGTCCGATCGAAACGCTCGACGAGTAAGTTGTGTGTACGCAACCAAGGGCGGAAGTTCAAGGCTTCAAGGCTGGCTGCTTCGGCTGACCTGCTCGGTCGCAGAATTTATTTGGTGTTTCTGGTCGCGCCACCCCGTATCGGACCATCGGCGTGAAATATGCCGCTTGCCATCGCAAAGTGTAGGCGACACATTGCACCAGCCACAGCTGCAATCGGCTGGAAGCTTTTACTTTGGTCTCGCTGGCGGCTCATGATCAAGAGTTATCTGCCGCTGGTCCGGTGCGTTGGTCGACCACGTCAACAGCGATCTTCGGCCACAACATACCCCTGTTTCGTCGCTGAAAGTACCAACCTGCTGGCGACCCGTGTCTGACGTGGGGCATCTGCTTCCTGCACATACAAAGCTCAAGTGTTCATCCGAATCACAAGGTGCCACCTGTTGCACACTTTGCATGGCGTGGAGTCGCAGAGCTCGGTCTGAATGGATTTGTGCGGCCAGGTGCCGGCCTCCGACACGGGAGCAGGTCCGCCCACATCGACAAACGCTAGCTGCCAGCTCGGACCGACCAGCTTTGTACATAACTCACCTCCCCAAGCCTCTCACGATGCAGATCCAGGCTTCCGTCGCGGCGCTCACGCTCGCTCTGGCCGCGTTCACCGTCGAGGCCTCCGTGCCCGTGACCGTCGTCAACCAGTGCAGCGAGAGCATCGACCTGTATGACAACTCGGCCACCGAGACCGTCGCGGCCGGCGGCTCCACCTACCGCACGCTGTCTGAGGGCTTCAGCGGCATGTTCCGTAACGGCGCCAGTCCCCAGGCCACTCGTACGTTGCTGCAACTATGGGTGACTTGCAACGCAATGCAGGACGAGTAGTTATGCTAACGTTGTGTTCGCGTCTGTTTGTTGCAGTGGCCGAGTTCGCCGTGACCGGCGGCTTCTTGTGGTACGACATCAGTATCATTCCCACGGGCGCAGTTGGCGTAAGTGCATGGATTGATTGATGATACCTTCGCGGGTGGTGGTGAAGTCGGACGCTAACGTTTGATGTGCATGGCGTTGTTGGCGATGTTGTGCAGCCTGGCTACTGCGGGTCGCTGGACGAGTGCAAGGCGGTGACGGGCGGCACGGGCTACAACACCCCGATGCAGATCGCCCCGTCGGGCTGCCAGACCGTCACGTGCCTCAACGACGGCTGCGCCGACGCCTACCAGTACCCTAAGGATGACACCAAGACCCACGCGTGCTCGGACACCACCAGCGTCGTGCTGACCTTCTGCCCCGGCGGCTCGGGCGCCTCGACCTCGACGTCGCAGAACAGCTACGTGCAGCAGAGCGCCCCCGCTCCCACGACGGCTGCCCCCACGGCTGCTCCTACGCCGGCCCCCACGGCTGCTCCTACGCCGGCCCCTACTCCTGCCCCTACGCCGGCCCCCACTCCTGCCCCTACGCCGGCCCCCACTCCTGCCCCTACGCCGGCCCCCACTCCTGCTCCAACGCCGGCTCCGACCCCGGCACCGACTCCGGCACCCACGCCGGCACCGACCGAGGCCCCTACGACCCAGCCTCCCACGGAAGCCCCCACCACCCAGCCGCCTACGGAAGCCCCTACTACTCAGCCGCCGATTGAGGCTCCGACTTACGCGCCGTCCAACTCGACGACGTCTAACGAGACCGAGCAGCAGGCGGCCACGGTGGCGCCCGAGAAGGAGACCAAGACCGGCACCAAGACCGGCACGACTACCACTTCGTCTGCCACGAAGGACTCGTCGTCTCCGGCCGCGCAGGTGGCTACGCCCGAGGCCACGACGGCCACCAAGTCGACGGGTGCCGAGTCTACTACTCAGAACGAGTCTTCCACCGACAACACCCAGAGCGCCAACACGCAGAGCGAGGAGTCGTCGGGTACCAGTGCCGGCACGTACGTGGCAACGGGACTGGGCGGCTGTGCCGTCGTGGCTGCTGTGGCCATGGTGGCTGTTATTCGCAAGAAGAAGCAGGAGCTGGACGCCGTGGACGACAAGGAGTACACCCAGGACGGCCTCATGACGCCCGTGACGCAGATCAACGTGCTGTAAGTCGTGCGTTTACCCGACTGAGGGTCGTGTACATACATGCATACATGCAGTACCCCCAGCCGTAGTACTACCGTGGTGAGTCATCATCTCTCGGGTGCTCGCTCGGCTAGACAGTTTTGACAACGGTATCAAGTGCGTGTGGTTGATACGAGCGGCGTCCGGGGGTGTGGTGGAATTGTGTATTTGATGAATCCGAACGAGATCCGCTTATTTTTTTGATTAGATACATTGTTGCCTTCAAGGTCAATCGAGGCGCGCTGAAGGAAAGCGCGCTGGCAAAAACTTCAAGGCAGAAAGTGATCACTTCTTTTTTGATTCAGAATAAAATAAAATAAACACCTAGCACCAAGTGGAGTCCATGCCCACTTGCAGTAAGCTTTACGCTTTGTCGTCGATGAGGTTGGCCATGGCCATCTCCTTGATTTTCTTCGAGTTCGGACGCGACTTGGTCTCTTTTTCTCTGACGCTCGCAGCGTTGGGGTCGACTTCCCAGTCCAGGTCCAAGTCTTCGGGCGCTGGACCGCCCAGCAGGATCTGCGTGCAACGAGCTTGGAAGCGACGGCAGTACGGCGCCGGCGCGACGGCGGAAATCCCTCGAGCAGACTTGCCCAGCAGCACCTTGCCAGCTTTCTCCAGTTGTTTCTCCCAGTCCCATTGCTGCAGGATGTCGATGATGCCGACGAAGTAGACTTCATCGTCTCCGAGCGGTGAAAGATTCACGCCGCTGTTGGGGTCCTCGAGGTTGACTTCGCGATCGAAGGCTTCGTCAAAGTCGGACGCTGTACCGAACCCGCCAGGACGAGGAGCGCGCAGGTGGCACTTGTGGATGCCGATGAGCAGCGAGTAGTCCATGATGCCCACGTCCCGGAGAAACTCGCAGTCCGAGACCAGCTGCTTGTTGAGATGAGCAGCCACGTCTCGAGGCAAATGGAGCGAGCGAGCCAGGTCCAAGTCCTTGAACACGATGTCGGGTCGGTGCACGTGGAACGGGAACTGCGGCACAGTACCGTCCAAAGCTGAGGTGCGGCCATCGCCGGTATCAACAGCAGCGTCCGACATGACGTCTTCGTTGGTTCCACCGAAGATGTAGGTCGCATCACACTCGGCGCAGGTAACTCGGTCACCGCGTTGCGGTCGACGCGCGCGACGGTCCACCCATGAGCCTTTCACGTCGTACTTCTCCGTAATTGTGGCAGTGTGCTGCTCGCTGTGTAGCACGTTCGACATAACCGCGAAGTAGAAGTTGCGACCGTAGAGCCGAACGCGATGGCACCCGAAGAACCGAATGAGTCGCGAGTGTGGGTTTGCTGTCAGGTAGCGCGCGTACTGCGGGGCCATATCCACTAGAGCTCGGCATTCCTTCTCCTTCAGACTCTTGACCAGCAGCGAGTTGTCTCCCGAGAAGAACATGAAGGCGCCACTTGACCCCGAACTCACGCGTTCCTTCGCCGTCGTGCGGAAGCTCGCCAGATACTTCTCGTCCGACAAGCCGAATGCAAGCCGAATCGCACGGAACTCGCGGGGAGCGTAGTCGACAAACACCTTGGGCTTTGGGTCGTCGGGCAAGAACTCGCGGCCAATGGCACTACCAGTGCTAGGCGTGCCAGCTCCAGTAGCTTCTGTGCTGCCACTTCGATTTCGGAAGACCCCACGCCCTTGGCTAAACGCTGACGAGGCTGTTCGACGAAGGCCAGCGAAAACCGCCGAGCGCGTCGACTTGCCCTCCACCGGCTGCTCCGTGTCGACGGAGGATCTCGTACTTTGAAGCTCAATTTCCTGCTCGAAAAGCTCGAAAGGGACCTGGGACACTGGGTACAGCGAAAATCGTCCTGGAGTTTGGTGGAACGAGCGGAACAGGATGTTGCTCGCTGTCAAGCTGGTTCTGGAGCTGCGAGGGCTTTGGCTGCCTTGACTACGGCTGTGTTGGAGCTCGAGTGGCTGGCGCCAGTTTCCGGACAAGTCTAGACTTGAAGCACCTGTAAAGGAAGTCGGTCGCGGATGTTGCTGTACGCGGTCCCCGCCACGAAGTTCCGCATCGTCGACTCCAACCAGTGAACGGTGAAGAGCTACAACGGGAAGTTGCGTTCGCGGCTCGCAATATGCCCGGGGAGACGAGAGGATCGTGACGCTCTGCACGTGGGAGATAAATGTGCTGTTAACCAGCGTCGAGTCTCGCTCCGCCCCCACGAACAGAGTCGTCTCTACTAATCCGCCATCGCGGTTCCGAACGGCTGAGTTGGCCACGCCGTCTTCTCCGAGGACAGTGTTGGCGTTGTCGGTAGTGATACTTGATGCTCTAGCACGCTCTGCTGCCCGAATAATGGCCTTGGTGATTCCACATACCGTGTAATAAATAATCTCTCGTTGGAGAGTTTCGTTGTTCTGCGAGGCTTCGTACGACTCCACAGTGGAAGCATCGTACGAAGAGGATGACGAACGGCTCGATCTTGCCGTGGATGGAGGGCCCATGACGGATGACAGGGGCGCCAGTGACTGCCGCTCCTGCGGTCTCACCGCTGCACTCTCGCGCACGCTCTCGTGCGCTTCAAAGGCCAACACGGTCGACGTCGGCGACATCATGGGCATGTCTTGTGGTGCCAGTATCCCCGCCTCCATAGACATTACCGTAGCTGAGAGAAGTGCCACGTTGTTTGCCCTTGGAACCCCGGCATCTCCGTTTGACGAGCCTGACAATGACGCCGACTGAGACGACGCTGATGCCGAGACCGACGCTCCGAGCGATGGGCCATCGTCGTCGTTCTCTTTGCACTGATGAATGCCACAAAACACCAGTCCGAGAACGCAACACGGCTTGTTCACACTGAGCCAGACCACGCCTGCCACGAACCCCTTGGCGGTCAGTACGAAGTGGAAAAACGCGTCAAGGAAGTTCATCCCTTTACTCGTTTGTTGCTCAACGCCTTCCACTTGAACGTAAGCAAGTGCACTGGCGTTCGACCGGTAGATGAAAAACACCACCAGCAACACCAGCCATGTTGCATTCAGCGCATGGACGTAAATTGTCATGCGCTTCATAAGACGTCGTCGGGCCTTGAACGCAATAATTGTCCCGCTGTTGGACCGCCACCAGCCCACTACGAGACACAATTGCGCCGATACCACGACGAACACCACGATCGCGACCAAAACGCCCCAAAACTCCAAGTTGAGCTCCTGCCACTGCGCCAATCTCTCCGTTCTCAGCGTAATCGTCTGGTTAGCGTCGGTAGGCAACATCGGCAAAATTAACGCCACGGCGCGACACACTTCGGCTTGTGTAAGTTGAAATTCGTCTTGGACATGTTGCGAAAAAACTGCAAATGGTGTTGCAACACTTGCAACAAGTGAAAACCCCCACACGACCAAGTGGTAGAGCACGAGTTGCCGCTTGTAACTTGCGAATGGGTTCGAGACCGACACGAACAAGTGCAAAATGGCGGCACCGAACCAGCCCACCCCTGCCAGCAGCAGAAACATCTCTAAACCCGCCGCCACGCTGCAAGTTGCCATCCCCATGGGGCGACAGGTCCCGTCCTCCGTACTGCACATTGTCAAAGTGTGCGTTAGCGTCAACATCGCGAGGCCGAACTCGCTTAACGCCACATACGCCAACAGTTCGTTCGGTCGTCGACGTAATCTTCTCCTCCGCAGGAATGACACGAGCACCAGTAGAGTGGTCAAGAGACTCAGCCCCGCACCTAACACGGTTGGTGCTAACCGCTGAGTTTGTTGCGGCGCGGCAAAAGTCACGGCGAAGCAGCTGAAAAACACGCTAACGGACCCGAGCCAGAAGAGAATCCGTCTCCAGCGCCGCCTCTTTTTCCTCCACCTCGCTAGTCGTACCGGCAACTCGGTCTTTGACTCGGCCAGCTCCGGGGCCGGCAACTGCAACTGCGAGTTGGAACCTGCGGCAACTTGAAGTTGCTGCTGACTCGAGGGCCTCCAATCTACAGAGTTGGCAACGGAAGCTGAAGCTGAGACGCGCCCATTGGCTCCGAGGATGGCGGAAAGCGCGTGTGAGTGGCTGCGCGTGCGGGCCACGCCCGCGTCCTCGTGGCTGCTCCTGGTGGGCGTGGACACGGCCTGGTACTGCGGCGGCTCGTCGTCGAGGTGCATGGTCGCGCACGAGCTGTCGGGACTTGGAGGAGGCAGCGCTCGTCGCGGCGCTGGCATCCTATAGACGCCAAGTAAAGAGAGGGGCAGTTTCTAGGACACAAGTTTAAGTTAGTGCTAACCCGGGAAACTGAAGTTTAAGTGAAGCGGCTGTGTCTATCTACCGGGGCAAGTGTCGCGGCCCGCAGCAGCTGACTGCCGGCCCCCAGACGCTCTCTGCCCGATTGCAGCGCGGCAGCGGCGGATGGTTCTGTATAAATACTGGAGCAACCCCCCCAGTCCAGCGCACGCGACGGTGTCTTGGGAGTCCAGAGCGCGAGTGACTGGGGCCGCGCCCCGCACGTACACGGGGCGGAAAGTTCCAACGGCTTTCCGCTCTCTATGTGAAGAGTTCGGACTTTTAGCTCAAGATGTTGCCGCTCGCGCGGATTGGCCGACGCGAATGGCTACATTTACATTTTCAACCAATCCGAGGTGCATAAAGTGTGAGTAATGTGGCTCGCACTTTTGTGGCCACGAGTTTACCTCTGGAGGCACACTTCGAGTGCAAGAAGGCAACGAGCGCAACCAGCAGCTGGGGGGGGGGACTATTCATGAGCCTCTAGTGCCTGCCTAGGAGCCGTTATGGCCGATAGTCACGTCAGCCACTCTCTATGGTTTAAATCCATCGCCGCCCGTTGTTACAGTGCGTACGCATGCAAGGACCGTGGGCTGGTAAGCTAGCCGTTTAATGGACACAACCGATGGGTGCGCGCTGTGCGGGCCGCTGCGACCGGTCTATCGCGTGCATGCTCGTGCATGATTCGAGTCGGAGACGCTGGACATGCGCCTTGGTGTCACAGCTAGCACGGGTGACCCTTCAATTGCACCACCGGTAAAGTGCGGCGCAAGCAACACCCAGGCTGCTTGGTGTTGCCGTGTTGGTCAGTCACTCACGGAAATGGCACTTTCGGAAAGTGCCAAAAGGATGCTAATCCATGCTGGATGTAGGAGATGACATACGCGCGAGGAATTAAGTTTCAAGTAGATTGAAGCCTTTTTGTAAAAGTCTAAGTAGGTGAATGCATCAATTTGCAAGTAGATTGCCACAGTCAAAAATAACGTTTTATCATATCCGAATTGAACGTTAATTTTATGGGCAAAAATAACTGTTTTCCAGGGCCAAGTAATATCGTACGAAATTACCTTTTTAGAGTAAGAGTGTCGTAATGCTAATGTGTAAGTTTACATCATCGCTTCGTAGAATTGTATGCACGCAGACCAAACTAACGCACTTGGTTCTGTATTAAAACTTCGTCGGCCGCGCGTCTGATAAGTACAGTTGGGTTTGTTGAAAAGTCTGAAAGCAACAACCTACGACTCGTAAGTTTTAAAACGGACGGGCATTCTGAGCAGGCCACGCCTCTGTTAAGTACTCTTACGTTTATTGTAACGTACGACAGCAATAATTTACGACTCGTAAGTTTTAAAACGGACGGGCATTCTGAGCAGGCCACGCCTCTGTTAAGTACTCTTACGTTTATTGTAACGTACGACACCAATAACTTACGACTCGTAAGTTTTAAAACGGACGGATATTCCGAGCATCTCACTTCGCGGTATTCTGAGCTTCTTGTCGTACATTTTGAAACGGACGTTCATACTTTTTTTCAGTATCTTGGGCCGGAGCTTAGCAACACATCTCTGTAGGAGTTTCATAACCACCTCGTTTAGCCCGTGTTCTCTTAGCTCGCGAGTTTTCACTGCAGGGCTCATTCGTCTTTTTGTCGGATACCCACCCAACTACACGCCTCAACACCTCTACCACCTCTCCTGTTTCGGTCACCCGGACAAAGTCTTCGCCCATGATCACCTCATCCGCTGTCGAAGAAGCGGACATCGCCGAACTCATCGAGATGCGCATGCTACGACCTGAGCTAGATGTCGGCTTGGATCCCCTCGACCCCTCTTCTTACGGCGTAGTTTCTGACCATGGGAACAACGTTGCGTCTGTGACGCTTGAGTCGAAATAGGCTCTGCTGCAACGCTGTCGCGAGTTTGCTCGAGCCCGTGGCTTTTCCATTCGCGTGGCCAACAACAGCTATCACTCTCGTCGTCAAGAAGGAAACGCCAAGTACACTTGCAAGGCGGTGAAAGGACAGCAGCAGCTCATTCCAGGCAGCACTGCCAACTGCCCATTTTTCATTACGGTGTACGGGATCCGCAACAACTGGAAGATAACAAGGATGTGTCTGGCCCATGACCACTTCAGACACGGCGGTTTTCAGGGCGATACCTTTGTTGAAGGCGGTCTCGCAGGAGATACCTCTCGTCAGCGACTTCGCGATGTGCCCTACCGAGTGATGAGGGGCGTCGTTGAGCGTGAGTTGCTCCCCTCTTACAGCGGAACGTGGGCCTCGGGCACAGGGCGGGCTATCATCGACTTTTTGATGACTAAGGGGATGATAACGAACCGAACTGCGGCATCCAAGATCAAGCGGGATCTTCTCGAATTGCTGCGCGACGACGTCGTCGGGAGTTACCAGAAGCTGGAGGGATATCTAGCCATGGTGAGTGATGCGAACTCCAAGACAAGCTACGGGTTTGGCAGGCGCGAGAATAACATGTTCAGAAGGGCTTGCGTTTTTCCAGGGGCATGCCTTCAAGTACACTGCCGACACGTCATCGGTCTGGACGGAACACATCTCAAGGGTGATATGAACAAGCGCGGAGTGTTTCTGTTGGCGACCACGAAGGACCTAGAAGGCCATGTGGAGAAGCGCGAGAACAAGATTTGTTCTCTGAGAAAGGCGGCATAAACGATCGACCAAAAATCAAGGGGATCAATGATCGAGAGAAGGGCGACCTGAACAAGACTGGGATTGCGGAGATCGAGGAGATTCTACGAGCGATCGAGGTACCGGGATGATACTCGCACGTAGGCGGGGTGTGGAACCAGGTAGATCAAAGCTGATCGACACATGGAGAGTGGTGATGCCTCGTCCCACACCGATCGAAGAGGCGCGGTGCGAAGGGCGCATGTCGAAAGCGAAGGACGTCATGCACGAGGGCAAGATCAACGAGCGACATCGTAGAGTGGGACGGCTGAAGACCGAAGTGGACTGATCGCGATCGAGAGCTGTGGATCGTCGATCGTCGATTGCCGATCAGCCAAGATGGGGAGCACATGGGGGCGAAGCCAGGACAAGAATCCAGTAGTTGTTTAGTTGTAGGATGGTAGGTGAGATGGTAGTGGTAGAGAGACACCAGCTAAACATAAATCAGAGCAGAATTTGCACCGAAGAGCACAAGTCCCCTCAAGTCGTCAAGTCCCAGGAACTACATTGGCCTCGGCAAGCATCGACACTTTGGACAGTGAGCTAGTGGTACGGTTAAGACTGGATTAATACATTGGCCAGCTTGACCTACTCTAGCGATCTATTTCTTGTGTGCGAACCCTCGATCGACCGGATACTGCTTGGCCGGCGATCGTTTCTCCTCTCGATCAACCTCGATCCCGCTATAGGAAGCGGCAAGCAACTCACGAAAGGAAGGAACACACCCGGAAAGGCAACTACAGGCCGTGGATCGACTCCAGGCCGACCGATCGGAGCGAACAACCCTCGATCGGAGCGTATACTCGGACGCAGAGCGAAGATTCCCGCGCTGCTCCACAACCTATCCCCGCGTCACGCCAATACATTCGATCTTCACCAGATTTTGGCCGATCCCGCTACACCACATCCACATCCTAGTTTTCGGACTCGCTATTGTCGATCAAGAGGATTACTCATTGGAGCTGGTTCCTGCAGAACATGAAAGACGCGCTTCAAGACGTCTCGGCGTGGAAACCTGTGTTCGTATCGGACAAACAGAAGGGTCTCCTGGCGTCTGTGACGGAGTTGTATCCGGATTCCGGACATCGATTTTGCGTTGGGCACATTATCACCAACATCGAGAAGAAGGGCTCCGCGCTGACGCCGGCAGAACAGTCACTTGTGTTTCAGATGGCACGTAGCGAATGCGAGAACGACTACAAGTTTTACAGCTCAAAACTCTCGGAGACTCGCCCTTTGGCTGTGGAGTATCTCGCTGGAATTGACAAGTCGCACTGGGTGACATACGCGTTCAACGAGAAGTACAACCAACCCTCTTATGACGAGGTCACTTCCAACCTGTCCGAGGCAGCGAACAGTTGGTTGGGCAATGCATTGCGGTCGTCCTACCCCTTGGAAGCTTTCGAGCAATACTTCGTCAAGGTGTTTGAGCTGTTCGCCGAAAGGCGCCGCACCTCCTCGCGACAGAAGGGTCCAGGTAGCAACGCAGGACACGCAAGCACCTCCCAAGGTGAGCCGTACGACGATTGCGAAATTGACGTGATGAGGACCACCCCTGCAGCCTTCTCGGACTTTCTCCTTCCCACCTACAAGAAGAAGCTCGACGGGATCATGGCTCTTACGAAAACCCTGCAGATTTTGCCGTGCCTTGATGGCCAGTACATGGTGCGATTCACGGACATCAGCAGCAGACCGGACCACGCCCATCTGTGGCGAACCGTGAACTTGATCGAGAAGGAATGCAACGTGCCGACGCTGGCAAGACCTGATGTTCCCGTGTGTCCATGCAGTCAAAGCTGCAATTCATCACGGAATGCACGTGAGCGAGCTTTTCGCCTGGAAGGAACACACCGTGTCGGTCGCGCGGCGGACATATTACTACCAGTTTGTCCCGACCGTCCGCTCGGCGACCATCGCTCAGGATCTTCAACTGCTAGTACCTGAAGTCATCGTCACTGAAGCTGACTTAGGGAAGCGTGACATGAAGCCGGGTCCAAAGCCGAAGAACAAACGCAGGTCTGCACGACCAGGTTCTGTGGCGTCGCCTGCCATTGCTATGACTCAATAATACTAGAGCTGCAAGACGTATGCAGTAGAGTCGTAAGTCTTTGCAAAAGCATAACAAAGCAAAAATTACATTTCGAATTCTTAGTGTCAATACGCCGAGAACGGACCTTGGTTTTCTTAAAATTCTTCTCGTACGAAAATGATATCATAAAATTCTTATTTACCTTTAATAGAACTTGGATCGAAGGAAAGTATTATACACGTGATAGTTCAAGGATAGATAATATACTGCAAGGATAAACTTAAGTGAAGATATTATATCTGTAATATCGTACGAATGTGTTACCTTGATGCTTACTGTGACTTGACGAAAATTGGTATTCCATAGCAACAATTCGCACGATCGAACGACTTTACTTCCCAGTAATACAACTCGTTCTTGTGCGCTATTATTGATACTGACGCAATGTAAATGGAAGAAGTATATACAACAAATTTATTATCATTTGCTGCTTAGACCATTTCATCAAAATAAAGTGAAAAAAATATTTTTAATTACTCAAAAATGAAGAAAATAAAGCTGTATGGCTAGCCGGATGGCTACATCCGAATGGGAACTCTACACGTAGGGCAGTTAGCTACATCTTCGGCCTGAATGCTTCTCGCCACGTACATTGACATGCACTCGGCACACATGGCATGTCAGCATGAGCGCGGGGTGACCGGCGCCACTGGCGCGTACTAGCAAATGGCGCAAGTTGATAGGTCCTCGTCTTGGTCCTCCTCCCCCGTAATGTCGATCACCGTTGGGGGAGCTGGTGCCGAGAAAACACGACGTCGTCGAGCAGAGCGGGGAGGTGAGCTCTGAGCTGTTGTTGAACCCCCTAACTCAATGTCCCCAGACACAGACAGGACGAGCGACTCAACAACAGTCGTGGTCACGTCACCTGCGGCCGTAGTGATGATACGCAGGTCAAGCTCGTTAAGCGCGTCACGGCGAGCGCGGTGGTACAGCTTATCGTGCTCGCGCTTGTAGGCTCGGGCCTTTTCCAGTCGCTGAGCCTTTAGGATCGGGTACCGCTTTTCCAGGCACGCACGCTTGCCAACGAGCTGCCGCAGACTTGAGACAACCCAGTTGGTGTTGCACAGGGGGCAGTTGGCACCATGATGTTTTCAATAATGAGGCACCTACTTATTTTGTTATCGCTGATGTTCCGTTTGCTCGTCCTCCATCATCTTCATATCTTACCCTGTCCTTAATTCTTATCGCGTTTTCAAGTTCTGATAAAACGTTATTTTTGACTGTGGCAATCTACTTGCAAGTTGATGCATTCACCTACTTAGACTTTTACAAAAATGCTTCAATCTACTTGAATTACTTAATTCCTCCATATGCGCACTACTTATTAGGGCATCTCCACCGGTGCTGAGTAAAACTAAAAGCAAATTGCCCTAAGATCCGTGCCTACAACGGCACAACCGTGCTAAAGACAGTGCGCAGCTCCACCGGCAATTGAGACTCGCAGCAAGCGCGTTAAAGCTCTTGGTTCGGCGCCAGCCATGGCGACGGCGCACAGCTGTATAGCCCTATAAAGGGCCCGGCAGCACGTTGAGGAAGACCCAGGGATGACGTAGCAAGGGCGACACTGCGGTCTGTGACGCTTGCGCTGCTTAGAACGCTTGACTTGGCCCTACTACTGGTCGGTCGACATTTACATGTACTCAACCTTTTACTCAAAGCCTCCTCCGTTGGCAAACTTGTGCAAAACTTTGATCTGCGTAAAAAATGGAGCAATTTGCTCAGCATTTACTCAAACCGGTGGAGCTGTACAAAACTAAAACTATGATTAAATATTGACAGAAAAGGGGTAAAATTTAGTTTTACTCACGACCGGTGGAGATGCTCCTAGTGCTGATTCATACTCTTTCGTAAGACGATACTTAGCCCCAGAATGCCTATCATAAGACAAAACGTCTTACGCTTTCCGATCAACGCGTTTTGACTACATCTTGGTTGTTGTATACCAGTGGCTACATTGCATATTGTCTGTCAAAACATAAGACAGTTTGTCGGACACTAGTTTGCGCCATACAATTGGCCAAAAATGTTCAGGTCTGCTCGCCACGACAGCGGCATCGTTGCCGCGGACGCGGTGGCAACGTTGAGCGCCGAAACGATGCAGTTGCATGATGCGGTAGGGTAAGTAGCCTCCTGTTCACACACGAAGCGATGTGCCTGTAGTTGGCCACTGGCAGCAAGCTTAAATATCGGCATAATGACTGCACGAACGCGTGCATGCAGTCCGTGGAGCTGTTCCACTCAGAGGTGCAGCCGTTGAAGGGCACGGAGTTACGATGAAGTTTGTAGACGTAGACTAAGAGGGACAAATAGCTCGTAACGGTACTACATGTACATTTTAATGTAGTAATTTTTATGCTTGAGCGTACATCATAGTAGTTGTGAAGGCGAGGCAGCCAGGGAACGGTGTTGCCAGTGGGCTTCCCGAGATCCTCTGACCCCCTCTTACCTAATCATTACAGTCCAGCAACAAAATGCAACCACGTACTCTGCAACGGCGATAACACCTAGATATTGTACCTACGACGCTGAGGTGCGGAGGAGCTCCACACTGCTGCGCGGGCGCTCGGCGCGCGCCATATCGCTGCTGGGCTCGACCTTCGGCATCGGCGAGTTACTCGGTATCTCCTGCAACTAAGCCACTGCCTGCAGCCATGCTTTTTGTCGATGCTACAGCGTAGACTGGTTTGCGTATGCGCCCTCTATCCGAATCTCCATCTTCTATGTAGTGTTAGTACTTTACTGTAGAAAGGAGAGTTGGCGTGGTGGGGTGAACGACAACAGTCGTTCACCCCAGTAAAGCGAAGAAACATTGCTCCACTACGGGAACAAACGGTCGCATGATAACTGTGCTATGATGTCCTTACATTCCATTCCTGGCAAGTATATTTAAATCTTCTAGCAGGAGGTTAGTGAATGGCGTCAGGATCAAAAGCCCGGACATTTTTCAAGTGCGCTGCCTCTAGTAAAGGGGGCAAAATGCGCACACAGATGAATCAGTCCAATTTACGAGCCGAGATTCAGCAACACTCAAAACTACATAATACAATATTAACCAATGAAATTGCTACATTTGATTTGTCGTCAAACTGTCTTACGAATGCTCGACACAAGTGATTGACCATCCACGACTTACAGCAATTCGTACTCGAGTACGATTTATAGTCGTGCTCGATAAGTCGTACGAGTTATTGTGCTTTGCAGTTATTTTGCCGACCATTTTAGACGCTAAATATGGCAAAGCCTGCTCCTAAATATGTGTGAAAGAAGATACACGGCCTGCTAAAATTATGCATAAATCCACCTCCTCATATATATATCGACTTGGGAGGGCCTGTCAGCAGCCATGCATTGGCCCAGTACACCACCGTCCATGATCCCCAGCACATCCACCCTCTTATGCATAATTGCCGTGTGTGTAGGTGCTTGTGGATAAAAACCGACAGAATTGCAGACAATTGCACTTTTGAAAGTGCAATTGTGGCGCTTTTAGCGTAATTCTAGGCCTCCACCCATTTATGCACCTCGATTTATCGTAAATCTAGCAGGTGGTCGTAATAATACAGCAAATCTCGCCTCATATTGCCAAAATCATTGCAAAGCACAAATACAGCCAAAAAGTACAATATGTGTTATTATAATAAACCTGGCGAGATGTGCGCCTAAATACTTTTGTCCAATAAAAACAGAAACTACATAGTGATTATGTCCAATTAAAGCGAATATGTGGTCTACATTAAAGAGAAGTCGCACTGCCGCTCTGCTGGACATGGCGAGCCAGTCGGATCTCCAGCCTGGAGTCGAGGAGATAGCCGCATTCGTGGACGACAGCGTCTTCACTCAGTTGAGCGCGAAACTGGGGGACGCGAAGGAAGGCAACGAGGGAGCACTGGAGAAGAAGCCTCTTCGCATCGATAAGTATTTGAAAAAATATCGCGACGCGGGACTCCGGGTCTCTCAGAATAAATTTAAGGGATGCTTGGAGGTGAAGATTGGGATCGTATACGAGCACCCAGACGTGACGGTCGATCTTGCGGAAACCATTACGGCCAAGACGGTGAAAGACCTCCTGGCAAAGTTTGTCCCTGAAGCCCGCTCCGGCACGCCCAAGTTGGATGAAAATGAAATGGAGCGAATCGCGGAGGCGTTCACCAAGGGCCGGTACCTCGGCGAAGCCCACCTCGACCTCGCACAGTATCTGCGGGACTGCTGGAAGGCCTACACCCCCACAAAGTACAAGGCGCCATGTGTGGCGGTCGTGCAGAGTTCTGGCTTCGGCAAGAGTCGGATGGTGCGTGAGCTCGCGATTGAGGCTCAAAAGAGCGCCTTGAACATGAAAGTCCTGTACATGTGTGCCCGTGTGCACGAGTCGACGGGGTTTCCCAAGGCTACGAGCGAGCTTCGTGGTTGGCTGTTTCAAGAAGGCTCCAAAGTGGAAGACATCGCCAGTCGATTGAAGACAATTTACGTCTACGCGAACAAGCATTGGGCGGACGTTCAGAAGGAATGGCTGAAGCTGTTTACCGAACAGGCAGCGGACACCTCTGTAAAGGCGAAACTTTCGGATGAAACAGACACGCTGGAGGGGGATACCTCCACCGAGAAGAATCCAAATGGCAGAATCGTGGTTCTGGTGATCGATGAAGCGAGAAGTCTGCTGGCTGAGAAGGGAGGCAAGAAGAATGACTTCCGAATGTTGCGAAATGCTCTCAGATCCGTGAACAAAGATATCGGCCATCGTGGATGCATTTTCGGCGTGCTGATTGATACGAACTCCAGGATCTCGGACCTGGCGCCTCCGCTGTTGTTGGACCCATCATCTCGGCTTTTCGATGGAGAGTTGGCATCGTTTGCGCCAGTTGTGTTAGCTGAGACAATGGACGCACACTGGGATCAATACTGTGAAGAAAAACAAGCCGGCGAAGATGAAGAAATGAAAGAGGACATCCAAGATGTAGATGAAGAAATGAAAGAGGAAATACTAGATGCGGGAGCAGAAGATGAAGAAATGGAAGAGGAAACTCAGGTTGCGGTGGGAGCTGAAAAAGACGAAGAGAAGAAGAAACAGCAAGAACGTGCTAAGATAGCTATGTACAAGAGAATCGTTACCGGGGATGCGAGTCAAGCTTGGCACGCGTTGTGCCGCATGGGGCGTCCGATGTGGTACAGCACTTGCCCCAATCCTGCGGATAGAGAAGATGTGATCAATCTTGCGGCGAACAAGCTGCTACTGGGGATTCCCCCTTCGCAAAATGCGTACAACAAGGATACCATGTTTGGTGTCGCCTCCATGCTTTGCCGTCTGGGCGTGCGCCCGCATTCAACGTCGGCTCTGGCATCTCGGTCGACTGCCGACTTCATGGCGATTCTCGCGTATGTGAATTTCAAACGAGAGGGTTACGTCACCAGCTACGCTTCGGACCCAGTGCTCGCCTTAGGAGCGATGAAAGTGTGGTATGAACTGAAATATGGTCTGGCAAAGTATATCCTGCCGCAACTCAAGAACCTCCTTTTGGATGAAGCATTAGACACCGGTGGAGTTGGCGAAATTGGCGAGATGGTTGCTCGGATTTTGCTGCTTCTGGCGATGGACACGTGTGTGATGGGGGACAAAAGCTTTTCCCAGTGCTACCACACGATCGGGCAATTTGTACCGGTGCAGCAATTCTTGAAGGTGCTACAAGGCAAGAAAAAGCTGCCGATATATCTCGAGAGGATGATCAGCATGGAGAATTTGAGACCAGAATTCAACAAGTGGTGCTCGAAGTGGGATGGTTGGTACATGGGGTTCACCCACTTTGTGCAGTTGCAGCTTGAGCCGAATGAAGACACGCTTTGGTTTTTGCTGGGGCGTCAAGCTGCAGGTATTTTCCCCCGTAACCAGTATGGAGCCGATTTGTTGATCCCGATGTTTAAGAAGAGATCCAACAGCAGGCCAGTCGGTGGGGAGACAACGAGGGGTGAACAAGAGGAGCAGGAAGTGTTGATGATGTTGATTCAAGTGAAGAATCGTTCCCCAGTCGATGGTGGGTTTTCCAGGGCAGCGACGGAGAAACTATGCCCCTGGTTTGTGTTCGGAAAGAACAGTGATGGGAACTCGTCAGCGGGGAAATCTACTGATGAAATTGGTAGGGATCCGAAACCGCTGGGTTCCACGGATGTCCGTGATACCATTCGCATCTACATGAATGTGCGCGGTCGGAAGAGTGACGGCAAGTTCATCTATGCCACGACAATGAAAGACAATCTTCCGAAGTCCCCCAAGAAGAAAGACAACGCCTCTGAGGTGAAGGTGGAGAGTCGGACGATCAGGAGTCAGGCGAAGAAGCGGGCGAAGATCGAGAGCAATCCTGGCGTCTCAAGTGTGTCGAGTGTCTCGGAGGAGGAGCCTGTTTTCACGATCTGCCTCCGTTTGCTCAACAGGGTCACCTACCCGTTCCTGAGCGACGGCGTGGCTTCCATTCTATCAAACATGGTGGAGTCTCAGTATGACCCGCTGGGGCTTGTGGAGGGCGACCTGGACTATCGCGATGAAGATGAAAAACGGAACGAAGACGCTAGTTCGTATGCAAAGTTGTCGCTTACCGCGAAGCGCGACAAGTTGTTGCAGAACGCCCGTAAAGCACTAGCGTACGCGCCGGGTGACAAGGAAGAAGAGTGACGCTGAGAGTGACGTTGGTGGCAGTGGTGAGGGCCACTAGGCGATCAAGGTGGCGAGACGGAAACATCCAAGAAACGAGCACGTGAAAACCAAGAGGGTGAAGAAGCCGTCCCACTAAACGCGCCAAGTGATCCAACAAGACGCCCAAGCCCACACCGAGGCAGTAACAGTACGTGCCTGGTGCCTGCAGCAACTACCGGTAGTTTTAACTACCAACAATTTGTTTTACTTGAGAGTACGCAGCCACCTCCAGTACGCTTCACCTTGCAGTCTTACGGAAGTAGCACGTCTTTTGCTGTCTACGTCGTCTTTACTGCTCTACCTACTCGTCCTGCAGGAACGGGTATTATAGTCCGTGTACCCGCGCGCGTCGCCGAGGTAGAACGTGTCCGTGTCGTAGTCGTTCACGGGCTTGTTGAGTTGGAAGCGCCGCACCAGGTCCGGGTTCGAGATGAAGTGGCGGCCGATGGCCACGGCGTCGGCCGCGCCCTCCTCCACGATCTGCACGGCCGACTGCCGGTCGAAGCCCGACGCGGCGAGGAGCACGCCCTTGTACGTCTCGCGGAACTGCCGCGCCGAGCCCTTCTCGGGTGCCAGCGGGTCACGCACGTGGTAGCCACGCGGCTCGATCAGGTGCGCGTAGGCCAGGTCGTAGTTGTTGAGCCTGTTCAGCACGTACGTGTAGGTGGCGACGGGGTCCGAGTCCTTGTCGCCGAAGCTGCCGCCGAACGGGGACAGTCGGATGCCCACCTTGGACGAGTCCAGACTCTCGAGGATGGCCTCCAGTGCCTCGAACAGGAAGCGCGCGCGGTTCTCGACGCTGCCGCCGTACTGGTCGGCGCGGTCGTTGATGCCGTCGTGCAGGAACTGCTCCAGCAAGTAGCCGTTGGCGGCGTGCAGCTCGACGCCGTCGAAGCCCGCTTTGAGGGCGTTCTCCGCGGCCGTGCGGTAGTCCGACAACTGCAGGACCATCTTGCCGTGCACGGCCTTGGTCACGTGGCGCCAAGCCTCGATCTGCTGGGGCGCGAAGATGTCAGGGGAGCCCCAGGATCCGCGGCCCGTGGGCGTGATGTTGGTGGCCTCGGCGATGATGAGGCTGCCGGGCGTCGCGCTCTGCTTGTAGTACTCGACAACTGCAGGATTTCTCGACGTTTTCCTACTGCGTTTTTGACGCAATACGAACGATGTGAAAGTCGAGTATCGCAGCGATATATACGTTATGGACACCAGGGCCTCAGTTTTAGTTTTTCACACTATTAGAACGCCTAGGCGTTGTATTCGGATAGACCGCCTAGTAGGCGTTCTACTTTATTTCAATGCCTGGGCGTCTGGTACGGGGTAAGACGGTAGCAGGCATGCCCCCATTCTCGCCACCGCCGCCATGATACTACTGCCACTTTGCTGACTGTGTACTGCTGTGCTGCTTTGCAGGTGGACATATCCAGCGAGTTGGACTCCGACACTTTGGCTGCGTTCGTCGACGAGAGCGTATTCACTCAGTTGAGCGAGGAGCTTCGGAAGACGAAGAATGGCGACGATCAGCGAGAAATCTTCCTATGATGAATTATCTGAAACAATTTGTCGACCCCAGCAACCTCCGGGCTCCCAAAAAAACGATAGATAGCTTAACCCTATTGTTACCAGAATGATACATCAAGTATCTTTTTACTGGTGATGTAGTAGCAAGATAACTGAAACAGCAATTTTCTGAGCCACGGCAGTTTCCTCGCCGTTTATGACCAATCATACAGCTAAGAGGGATAGGTAAAACCCCACGCTATTGTGTCTTCTGTAGTATATCTATCAACACTATTGTGTCCCCAGGGGCACGGATGCGATCGTCGAGCACAACGCCAGCGGCAGCCGCACACAGGTCGCCGCCGGAAGTAGCGGCAGCAGTGCCGCCAGCGACATCGGCAGCAGGGTCTCGGACACGATGGAGGTGATCGTGGCCTTGGAGGACGCGGTCAGGGGCGTCTCCGCCGACATGGACACGGACACGGACGCGATGGCGGCGGGGGACTCGGGCAGCAAGCATAACGGCGGTCGCAGCGCCGTGTGTGCGCCGGCAACATCATGACCACGGACGCTTTGGGCGTGACCGTTGTCGTGCTGGAGGTGGTCGTGGGTGCCTCCACCGGCACGGAGGTTGGCAAGGATGTGACCGGTGACCAGACAGCGTGCGCAAATGCATCGACAGTGCGGAAGGAGACCGTTGTAGAGGTGCCAGCAGTACCGTCAGCGGCATCAACAGCATGACGTCCTTTGTAGAGATCGTGTCCGTACGGGAGGAGATCGGAGGCAACTTCGTCAGCATGGAGTCGGACGCAATGGTAGCGGGCGACTCGGGCAGCGAGGGCAGCGGCCGTGGCAGCGCCGTCAGCAGCATGACCTCAGATGTGGTGGTGGCGAACGTGGCCGTGCTGGATGTGGTCTGAGGCGTCTTCGCTGACATATACACAGTTGGGAGTTATTGTTCGGCTTGGAGGCGCGTGGAATTTCTAATTGCATCCTGTCGGATTATACGCAGCGGAGTGTGGTTAGCTTGCCGCTATGGTGCACCAGTGGTAAAGCAGTATGTTGTCAGCCACGAGCTAAATCTGCATTTACGGCATCAAGACTAGCGGGGGCAGATGGAATAGGTGTGACTTAGTGCAGTGAAGTATAAATGGTTAGTTGACTTTGACTATCTTGAAAAAATGATGTGAGGTTACGCCTTGGTGGCTGCGTTAGCCTTCTTTTGGTCTTGGCGGGCCTTCAGAAATGGACGGTTAGCTACATAAATTGGAGAGGTTCGTCGCAAGTTGCCGTCGACAGTGTACACTTGCTTCGGCAAGTAAAACAAATGGTATTTCTGCCAGCAAGTCCAAGTTTGCTGTTGGCACAGATGCTGCTTCGTAGGGTCAACAGGATATGTGCGCTTGCACAACGCAACTCGATGGGTCTCGCAGTAGTCGGTTTTCTCGGTAGGATCTCTGCCCTCGAACTTGCACACAGTGCATTTCCGCATTGAGCGACTCCTTCCCTGAAGCACCTCCGAGGACGCTCTTGCAACACACGTTTGTGCGTGATCGCCCGAAGCCTCGGATACATCTGTCGATGCCGCGGTTTGGGTCGTCATCGGCATTGTTGTCGTTGTCGGCTTCGCAGCATACATCATTCCATGTTCCCTATCCAGAGATTTCTTCCAGTCCCCATTGAACAGTTCTCGAACCAGTGATGCCACAAATGCGCGATGACTATCGCGGGCTCTTGACTCACCCCAATGCAAGTTGCCTTTTTTTTCAGATTCGGTCCAAAACTGAAGCAAGCGTCCGTTTCGACATCGTTTCGTCAGAGCGTGTGGGTGATGGCATGAGGTCACCATTGCCACACAAACGAACAGCACGACTAAGACTGCCGCTTCTGCGTCGTTAGCAAATGGATTGCATTGAGATCATACAGGAAACGTTTGTGTGGGCGCCGAGGGGCCGAGCCATACAGCTCTTGGCTTAGTAGTCGCCGCTCTGCAGCCAGTTCCGAACTCTTAGTTACAGCTCACTCGCTCGCCTGGTTCTGCGTGTCGTCGACTGGAATGCTCGACGGCGTTCGACGGAGTGGGAGCTCGAGCTGCTCGTCGCCCTCGAAGTCAAGCGGGGGGCTAATGATGAACGCGTCAAGAGTAGCATCGCTAATTGTTAGCAAAACGGTAGATCACTTCAACTTGATCGTATGTAACACGGATCAACGTACAGGAAGTCGGCGAACTCTTGGCCTGGCAGGTACTTGGCTGCGACGCGTCGACGCGCGTCCAGGTCGCTGCCGTGCATGACGAGCGCCTTCACTTTCTCCTTGGACGTCACCTGCTCGTCGTCCAGCCTCTGGAGTTGCAGCAGCCTTCGCAACACTCGTGCGCGGTAGAACACACGCGAGACTTGCGCCTCCACGAGCGGGCAACCATCGAGCGAAAGATGCCCGAGGAAGCGGAGACCAGCCAAGCAGTTGAGCTCGTTGATGTCCGTCACGCGGTTGTGCGCAAGCTCCAGCCGCTGTAGGCGGATGCAGTCCTGTTTGCAAAATATCAGCCACAGCACACAAGTGTTAGACTCCTGTTGGGTCATGCCACGATGCAACGCGTTCGAACCCCGAGACTCGACAGTGTCTGAAGCTGGTTGTGGGCCACATCCAGGTGTGTCAGTCGTGGGAGTAGAGCGACCCCCGAATCAATGTTTGTGAGCTGGTTGTGGCTCAACAACAGCGTCTCCAGCGCCTGGAGTCCTCTCGGTGCTTCTTCGCCAGCCACCAAGCCACGCATGGACGTCAAGCGGTTGTGAGAGAGGTCCAGCAGCCGCAAGAAGCGAAGCTGACTCACGCTCGATATCTCCTCAATTGCGTTGTGTGCCAAACGAAGCTCCAGCAGGAAGGGATGCGTTGTTGCCAGCTCATGTCGAGGCATGGACACGATGCGATTCTTGTCAAGTGTGGCTTTGCGCAGCAGCGATCCGATCCACCGAGCTCCATCCACCCAGGCGTTACCTGGACAGCACTTTGGCACCTCGAAGTCTAATACCTCCGTGAGATGGTTTTCAGCAGCGTCTAACGTCAAAAGCAACCGGATATTTTGCAGCGGCGCCAGCGACTGGAGCTCGTTTTGGTTGCACACCAAGTGCTTCGAACGGCAAAATGTGGAGAGGAGAAGAACGTCAATGGATCTATCAAGCTCCACAATAATTCATTATGGTCAAGACTGGGTTCTCGCACCTGAATATGGGGAAACTCACGAATCGCTTCGACGTCTGAAAGGTGTAAGCCAGTAAGCGTCGCGGTGGTGTATATGTGTGCTTGCGTGAACGGGTTGCGTCCCAAAACACTTAGGCGCTTGGTCACATGCTCTCGCTTGAGAGGGCCCGGTACACTGCTCTCGGCTGCGACGACCTCCTCGATCCCGTCATGCTTTACGTCTCCCTCGGCTTCATCTTGGGGCGAAAGCGTGGCATCCGTAGTCGACGTGTCTTCCTCCATTTTAGATCGAGAAGTTGAATGAAGCAACGGCGTTTCGCCTAGGTACAGTGCAGATCAAAACAGCAACTTCATGCAACCAAAGGAGCACACCGCGACCCACCAAACCAGCCAGCTCATTATTTAAAATGCTAACAACTGCGTGTGCTTCGACGTGGAGAAGCAAGCACACTACATACAAAATCGAAAGCTGTGGTGAGGACGAAACGAGTGAAATGATGGTCCACGTCGTGAAGGTAGCGAACCAAGCGCTTGGAAGGAGGAGGAGAGGAGGCGTAACAACGTCATGGCTCTTGTAGCTTGATTACAAACTGGCGCCGGGCGTGGACACGAGCACCGACACATCGCGACACGAGTGGTCTCCGTTATCAAACGGGCTCTTGGCCTCCATATCCAGCGCCTTCTTCTTCTGCTGCACCGCGTAGATGAATCCACCCGCAGCGATGCCGATCACGCACCCGCCAATCACGACAATGTACGTCAACGAGGAGGTGGTGTCATCAGAAGACTTGGTCGTCACCTGAACGGCACCACCCGAGCCACTCGAGTTGGTCGTCGTGGATGTGCCTGTCGTCTGCGTGGTAGTAGTGGAGTCTGTGACAACCTTCGTGGTCTTGGTGGCATCGCCAGCGCTCGCAACGCCGGCCTGACCAGCAGATCCTGCGCTGGCACTAGCGCTCGTGCCACTCAGCGTGAAGTTCTTGGAGTAATTCTCGCTCTGGACCTGGATTCCAGTGCTACCCCAAGCAGCTGAGGCCGAAGATGTAGCCGAACTCGACACCGACGCTTCCGTTGGCGTCGGCGTCGGAGTTGGCGTGGGGGTAGCCGTAGGTGCTGCTGTAGTGGGCGTCGGGGTCGCCGTAGTAGGCGTGGGCGTGGCCGTAGTGGGGGTCGGCGTGCTCGTTGCACTGCTCGTGCTGGTACCGCTGCCGCCGGGGCAGAAGGTCACCTCGAAGCTCGTACCCTCCGGACACGTGTGGGTCTTGGTGTCGTCGCTCGGGTACTGGTACGCGTCCGCGCATCCGTCCGCCTCGCACGTGAGCACCTTGCACGTGCCTTCTCCGACGTTGTCCTGCGGGGTGATCTGCATGGCCGTGTTGAAGCCGGTCTTGCCGGTCTGCGCTTGGCAGGCACTGAGGCTCGTGCAGCTTCCCGGGTCAGGAGGGATGATGCTGATGTCGTACCAGGGCGTGCCATCCGAGTCCACCGAGATCTCGGCCACTGCAAGGACAAGAGAGTCAGCACCAATATCCGGCGCGGTTCCGAAGCTCATCCGGATGAGACTTCAACTATGGTAAGAGAGACTTACGAGTGGCCTCGTCCGACACGCCGTTGCGGAACATTCCGACGAAGCCATTGGCCAGCGTGCGCGTGGTGGAGCTGCCCGAGGCGAGCGTGGTGGTGGCGCTGTTGTCGTACAGCGCGACGGACTCGGAGCAGCTGTTGGAGATGGTCACCGAGACCGACGCCTGCACGGCGGCCAGGTAGGCTGACAGGCCCGCAGCAGCCAGCGCGAAGCGGAGCATTGTCGCGTACAGGAGCTCTGTTGCGCGAGTACAGTATCGGCGACCTACAGTAGTGGGCTGGGGCGCGCGGTGGAGCAGGCTGATTGTCTCGGCAGAGGCGAGAAATGTAAAGTGAGCGCGCGTGACTCGCATGCTGGCGTTGTTGATCGCGGACAGCGCCGCCCATTGGTCCGGGGCCGTCGAGTGTTGGCCGCAAGCGTGCAGGACGTGCACCAGGTGGCGGCCGCCGCTGCTAGAGTGTCAACTGCAAAAGGCGAGCCAAGTGATAGGTGGGGAGTTCGGTGGAGACTGCGGCGACTCATTGGCTGCCGAAAGGGCGCGAGCCAATCAGAGCGCATCATTTCTGACTTCCCCTTGCCCTGAAGACGGAGGTGAGCCGGTCGTTCAGTCGCTGATACCGACCGCGTCAAGTTACACATGGTCGACCACTGCAACTTGGCGTGCGGCCGGCAAAGCTGGACAAGGTCAGCAGCGCCTCTGCACTTGGTGCAGTGGAGGTGGCGGAGCTGTGACTTGCGCTGCTGCCGCTGACTACAGTACTGAAAGAGAAAGAGAGAGCCGTAGGCATATTATTAAGGCAAGGAAGTCGACTGCGCGACGATCGGCGTGGCATGCGCCGCCTGAGATAATGACAAGGTAAAGTTGTAGCGGGGATAGCCCCGACGGACGGCGTCCGTCTCAACTTAAATTGTGTGGGTCGCCGCAGTCGCATGCTACAGGTAATAACAACGCAACAGGCGGAGGGGCACGAGCCCACTGAGCATTCTGTCCGAAGAAGAAGGAGGATAAGCGCTTTAATCGTCGACGATGGCTGACGCGGCAAATATGCTCGAGAACGTTACGCACTCCGCACTGAAATCGCCGTCGCTAGCTTAGACTGCAGGTGTCAGGCATTGCTCACGAAGGAGAGTTGGTTGAGTCGACGAGGTTTCACACGCTCACACAAGCTCTGCGAGGTTGTAAGCTGGTACTGTACTTCAAGAACGCAATCAACGTCTAAACGCCACCACTCTCCTCTGCAACCATGGCGAGCAACCACCGTCGTCAGAATCACCACCGTGCATCTGTACCACATCAAATATCTAGAACTACAAAATTTGTAATTCCAGATCGTGGACTCCCACTAAGTACGACACCTTGACACACGCCGCCAGCCATTATTACCCCACGTATCATCATGGCCAGCTCCGCCCCCACGTCCACGGGCCTCGAGAGCCCCGAGGCGCTCGCGCGCCTGAACGCCACCATCATGGGCGAGCGCAACCCGCGCGGCATCCCGTCCGCCGTCTTCGTGGTGCGTCTAACTGTCCAGAACTAAGCGTCAAAAAGGGTGCTAACAGCTTGCATTTTCGACATTGCAGGACTCGGTGGAGGCCTTCATGGACGCGTGCGGCGTCAAAAACATCGAGCCGCTCGTGGGCGCGCTGCAGCAGATGTACAGCAAGTACAAGTTCATGGAGACGAGTCTGCAGAAGAACCGCGAGACGTTCAAGCGCAAGATCCCGGACACGCAGAAGGACCTGGACATGGTGCGGCACCTGATCGCCAAGCGCGACGAGGGCGAGACGCTGCAGACGCAGTTCAATCTGGCCGACAACGTGTACGCCAAGGCGGCGGTGGACTGCTCCGTGGGCAAGGTCTGCATCTGGCTGGGCGCGCAGGTCATGGTCGAGTACCCGTACGAAGACGCCCAGGATCTGCTGGAGAAGAACGTGGCTTCGGCCACAGAGAAGCTGGTGAGCTGAGCTATTGAATGAGGGCTGTGTGGGTGCTGGGAGTGGGGTTTTGACGAAGTTGTGCTGGGTTTCGTGTGTGTGTGTGTGTCAATCTTAGGGCCAAATTGAGGAGGATCTGTCGTTCCTGCGCGACCAGATCATCACCACCGAGGTCAACATCGCGCGCATATTTAACCACGACGTGCGTCGCCGCCGCCAGGAGAAGGACGACAAGCTGGTTGCGGAGCTCGAGGCCAAGTGAGGAGCAGCATAGGTGTTGCCATCTGTGACGTCGCGACGTCTCTAGCTGCAGCGAGTAGCTCGACCGGTAGCCGTTTGCAAAAGCACGTATGGTGTTCCCTTGATGCTCACTGTTCTTGTTGTTATTTAAAGGAGAATGTGTGGTTGGTGCTATAGGTGCTCTTGTCGCTTACTGCATTGTTGTGGAACTGCACTCGAGGGGCTGAACCTGCGCCGTCCGTGTCTTGTTCAGTCAGGGCTGTAATGACCCTGCAGACAATGCTAAACAGCCTTCGCCTCGGAGAGTTCCTAAGCCATCACGATGGCAGTGGGTGGCCTACAATTCAAGGGGTTGCTGCCCTGGGGAACATCAAGTCTTGAAGGAACTTTATTGTTCGTCAATGCGTGTCGGTGGCTTCCTACAGCCGCTTACGCGAAGAGCTGGCGCACGCATTCTGTCTCGCAAACTTTGAATCCTTCGTCCGAAGCCTCCAGGTAGGGGTGGGCCTCCTTGGCGCTGAGGCGAGCCATGATCTCATCGATTTCCGCCTTGGTCTGCACGAGGAGAAGCGTTTCGCCGTGCGGTGGGCTGCAAGCGGCGCCGTGCCATCAACGATTTCTTTCTGGCCGTTGTGCGGGTGGCTGGCCACCCCAGCGAGTTGATGCGCTTAACGAACGCGTTGAGCGCGCCGAAGTCCCAGCTGATGCCTCACCGCTCATCATGGCGTCAGGGGAGTCGTTGTCGGCTATATTCATGGTGGCGGGACGGGTGTGCTGCGCTCGACGGCGAAAATCGAAGACAGAGAGCGGCGGCAATCCAGCGACAATCACTCTTGCCAACTTCAACTTGCAATCATCGCAGCGCACGGCAAGTTGAAGTTGCCTTGGACAGCAATGCACATGGAGGAGATTTCTTCCCGGCGCTTAGTGCTCTGTTTCAGACCGCATATTTAGATCCTCACCAGACAGCAGCAAGCGTCTCTTGGCAATGAATGAAGAGCAGACGCCCGACCAAGCTACGGTGGAGACTGGATGGGAAGTGCGGCAGGACGACACCAGCGGCCAGGCGTACTACTGGAACTCCATCACAGGAGAGACGTCATGGGAACCCCCACCGCATCTCGTTGGTGCTGTCGAAGAGTTTGCCGGTGCGAGTGAGATCATCCCTCCGTGGACTCAGGCTTATGACGATAGCGGCCGAGTTTACTATCTCAACACGGGAACGATGGAGACTCGGTGGACGCCACCGCCAACTGCTGGCGAACAGCTCGGAGAAGGTGAAGCCGCAACAAACTCGGACGTGTTAGAGATGACTGGAGGTCGAGGAAGAAGACCATCGACCGCGGAGCAAATGGACGAGCTAAATCGATTGCTCAGTGGCGAAGGGGAGGATGGAGACGAAGAGGAGGAGCCCCCAGAAGGCGAAGACAATGCAGCTGATCTTGGTGTTGAGAGTGAAGTGCCCTCTCCAGCAGCGAGTGAAATTCCAGCAGACATGGAGAAGGATGGCGAGGCGTGTCCGTGGATGATGCTCGTCAATGAAGACGATGGGGTGCCCTACTACTACAATCACATCACTGGCGAATGTCTGTGGGACCCTCCAGAGGAATTCCTACGCTACCATCAAGAGCAGCAGCAAGAACTAGAACAAGCTGGAGAGAATGATGAAGCGGCTAAAAGTGTAATTGATAGCAATATAGAAGACGCTCAAGCACAACAAGTGAGCACTGAACCCAGAAGTAAAGCAGGATCGAGGGCGGATAGTGCTCGCCCGGGAAGTGGGGCGATGCAAGTTGAGATCACTCCTGAGTTCGAAGAAAAGGTCCGGCAAGCTATTGCGGCTGCCTCCAACACACCCGTGGGGTCCAGCAGACTCGTGCTTGTTCGCACGCCAACACAGCAGCAGCTCGGACCACGCTCAGGTCGCTCAGCACGTGACAGTGCATCAGCTCGAAGCATTCCGAATTCAAGACGTCCTCGAAGTGGGGCTTCTCGTCCGTCGTCTGCAAAAAGCCGACCTCGGACTCCGGGTGGAGGTGCAGCTTCGTCGAGGATCGATCCAATTCCAGCATTAGAAGAGCTACCCCTCACACCTCAAGAGGAAGCCCCGGCCGAAGACTGTTCTCAATATGACCTTGTGGTGGCCTCAGGGGAGGAAGCCCCTCTAGAAGATACGAGCAAGACCAATCTCGTGATGATGGTTCAGCAATGGAAAATGACAGGAGAGAGCGATTACGAGCTGCCGACTGCAGTGGGGGAAGCTGCTGAAGACACAGGGGAAGGTGACAGCGGAGCTCTAATGGCCGAGAGCGTATTCTACGAAGATGGGGCTAATGACCAAATTGAGGCAGTAGAGGCGGAAGTTGGATGGGACAACGAAGCCGAAAGTTACCTGGATGAATCATTAGCGGCGGTGGAAGGCCCCTTTGACAATGGGCCCAACAGCCCCCTTGAGCCAATGGATGCCGAAGCTCCCTCCTTGGACGATGAGGTCGACGGCCGCTTTGAAGTAGCGGAGGTTTCCGCGGCTGAACTCCAAGTTTTGAGTGACACAACGGAGGAGGTCAACGTAGCCGCTGACATGATACCCGCAGAACTTATCGATGAGGATCCTCAGAAGATGGACGCCCCACTCGGTATTGAGCTTGCTGCACTGACGCTTCAATGCATGGCACGGTGCTTCATCGCGCGACAGAGAGTTAAACGTAGACGCGAAGAGCAACACCACGTGCCCCTACCTGACACGCTTACACCAGTTCTTCTGGAGACAAGTATGGATGGTGTAGCTATCGGTCCATTGTCAAAGGAGGAAGATGAAAGAGCGGAAGTACCTACTCAAGCAAAAGAGATGGAAACTCCTCAGGAGGTTGATCCGAGTCCACCTGAATCAGGAGAAACGCTGTGCAACGTTGATAGTTCACCAACGCTGCCTCCTTTGGTCACTGATGTAGAGGAGCCTCCTCTTCCTACGCTTTCGAGCCACATTAGCGATCTCGAAGTGCCTGTTGAGCTTCAATCAAGTGCTCGCTCTGCTTTGAAGCCCGCGCAAAGCAGTAGAAACATCACAGCTAGTATTCCAACTCAAGAGCAGCGTCCACCCCGGGACATATCGACGCGATTGCCTTCCGTGCTGGATGTGTCGACGTACTTCCCGCCACGACGCGGCCAGCCACCTTCTCGAACTCCAGCAGGCAGTTCAACAGCTTTAATGGAGCCCGTGGCTATCACCCGGAAGAAGGTGGAGCTTGAATCACCACCTCGACCCCGCCGGTCCTCCAACCAAGAAGCGGAAAAAATACAAGCGGAGTTGGAGGCTCGATGGAGAGAAGAAGAATGCGTTAAACGTGCCCAAGTCGTCGAGTACCAGCGCATTTGGACAGAAAGCAGGGAGGCATTCGCAGCGGAAAAGCAACGCCTGCTAGCCGAAAAACTGGAGCGAGACAATCAACGCGACCACGAGATCGCGGAGGAGAAGCGTGCGAGGCTCCAGGCTCAAGGAGAACGAGACGCCAAACGTTCACGCTCACGCAACAGCATGCCAGACAATGAAGAGGATCGACTGGTGTGGCACCACCTGAAGGTCCAGGGCCGTCCAACCGAGCAGAGCGTGACGCAGTTCCGCGATTCACTAGCCCAATCACTCGATCCCGCGCTATTCCCTGACAAAATGTGCGCTGAACGAGCTCGAGAACTCCATGAGCGTATCGACCGTCTACGTCGCGCGAGTTGGGCGCTGGACTCGCAGCTGGAGTCCGTTGAGCTCCGCCTGCTCTCCGAGTCACGCCCGCTCACGAGTCTCCAACGCCCGTTGCAAGCGAAATACGCCGCCAAGCTCCGTCGCCGTCTCGAAGACATGATCAACATGGTGCAGTCCTGGCAGCGCGTGCTTGACGAGTGGGAAACCAGCAAGGAGAACGGTTCTACCAGCGCGTACTGGAATGCCATCAAGTCACGCTACGATCCGTCCTCAGCCACCTTCTCGGATGACGAAACCCGACGCCACTACGTGTTGAACGCTTGGCGTGGAGCTGCCGGTGGCGACTCATTACTGCACGTAGCAGCGTGGAACGGCTGGGAGGAGCACGTTCGTCTGCTCATTGACGAAGGTGCAGACGTCAATTTGATCGACTGCAGTGCGAGTCGCCGGACGCCACTGCACGAAGCCTGTCGAGCTGGTCACGGTCGAGTCGTGGAGCTGCTGCTTCGGTCCGGGGCTCGATTGAACGCGTTAGACGTCAGTGGAGAATCCCCACTGCACGTAGCGTGTCGAGGAGGCTGGACTCGCGTTGTGCGCATCTTGCTCATGGCTGCTAACGATCTTGGAGACGACGGAGAGCAGCCGTCGCTAACACTGGAGGACTTCTTCAACCTTCGCAACGGCAAAGGACGACGCGCGATGGAGATGGCGACGCTGTCATCGCTCGTGGAGGAGCTGGAGAGTGAGTGGCTTGCATGGTAGTGGATACTACCTAGTATTTGACTGACTGTTGTATGTGTGTCTTTAGGTTACGACTACCAACTGAATGGAGCTCAGCAGCATAACGGAGCGAAGCACAAACACCTCAGGGCTTGAAAGGGGCTTAGATGAAGAGCTGACGCAGGCCACAGGGCGGCGCACGGTTCGCCTCAAACATGACGTGGCTGCCGTCCACGAACTCGCGGAGGAAGAACTTGGCGATGGAGCCAGCGTCCGATGCGGCTGCCTGGAGGAACGGATGCACCCCCATGGCGCTGAGGTGCGACGTGATGTTGCTGCTCTGGGCCGTGTCCTGGGCGATCAATATGATCTTACCGAGCCGGTAAGTGGCCAAGAGGTCCAGGTGTGCGACGATGTCCACCATGAGGGAGTCGCCCGTTATGTTGGGCGGCGATGCCGTCAGTTAAGACGGCGCTGCGTCGGTGAGTGCGTTGGCTCACGCGACGAATGCGTCGAACTCGTCGAACTTCCCAGCGATGACCAGCGCGATGCTGCCTCTCGAAGTGTCGGCTGGAGTTTGATCGTCGTCGCTGTCGTTGGTTCAATACATTTTGAGCACTTGCCGATGTTTGAAGTATCTAAAGTGCGATCCATGCGGGAATGTCGAACGAGTATATCGGGCATGGCGACTTGGCGAACGTTATCAACAGCTTCGTTCTTTCGGGGCCAGAATGTGACACTGCGCACCGGTGGCCATATTTTTAGGAGAGCTATCGAGGACGAGATACTTGTTGCAGGGCACCAGCACTCGGTGCTACTAGTCATGTCAACAGCACCGCAATATGCAGCAACGAGATGCTGGCGATGCATGGCTTTCAGGTGGTGATGCATTTCTAAACTTCCGGTCTTCGCAACTTTCACGATGCAGCTCTACGGCTTTTTGGCGACGTTCTCGAGTGCGGTGGCTGTGACGAATGCGATCCCCGTGAACTTCTACAATCACTGCAGCTCCACCATCGAGCTGTACAACAACTCCTACACGGAGAACATCGACCCTGGCTGCAGTACGACCCGGTACCTCGAAGAAGGCTTCAGCGGCATGATCCGCAATGGCTGGCACCCTCAAGCCACACGTACGTTGCCTCCTTGTAGATAATGCTCAGCGGAGCGGGTACTCAAAATCAGACCTCCACCAATACGGGAATTTCAGAAACTTCCCCGTATTTCCCATTCACTGAATATGGGAGAAACTTGAGGGTTCTCATAGTAGAAACGTCGATTGGAGTGCTTTGTTGGAGCTATCCACCTGGGTTAATAGCCTGGTCACTTTGCTGTATATGCTGCTGTTGTGTACTGGAACTAGCTGTTTTTATATAGCAAGTTGTGGTGTTGCTTGCATCAATTTTCTCCTATTTATCGCATGATTCATTCTTGCGTATCTGCAAACAATCCGCTCAACGCACGTATCCACTATTTTGGCAATAAAGATCCATAAGCAAGCGCATTTTCGATGAAAGCGACTTGTGTTTCGCATATACAAGAGCAGAGGGTTCGTACGAAAAATACTAGCATGCAAGCCTAAAGGTCTTATTCACTGCATGAGGCAGGTATTTGTTATTTTTGCAACCCTCTCTCGCTTGCTCGGACAGTATCGAATAACACAAGTCGACCACACCATCAGCAAACGCTGAATGCATCAAAAACATTTAACCTTGCCAGCACGTTTTAGACGGGAACCTCCCTTCTCTAGCGAAATCTCGTACCTGATGATGTGTTTACCATATTAGTTCCCGCACGCCACGCTCCTGCCTGTTCAGCGACAATTTGAGATTAAGTTTGTTTTACGTGAAAACAAAACGATATAGATAGGAAATCATGAACAAATTGAAATGCCGATGACCTGTGCAAAATAGCCAGCTGATACCTATCACCAGCCTCTGTCACTGCCACTCCAGCCCCCAAGTGTTATTCAACTCAAGCACTGCACTACAGAGCCTTCGTGAAGCTTCTACGGTGTTAGCTTCATTAGCAACGTTCTGCGGGGTAGCCATAATTTTCGTAATTTTGACTAATACTGTAATTATTGGGTCCAATTTCTCACAATGAAAAACAGACAGCTTCAAAAACCTCAGCGAATGCTTCGTAAACGAATTTGGTGGTTCACTATGCTGTGCCGTAGCTATTTGATTTTTCTTTAATAGCAATAACTTATTAAATAGTGAATCCCATATTTCCCATATTTTGCTCTTTTGAAGAGCAAAAAGGTCATATTTTCTGAAAAAGTGGGAAAATTGACCTTTCCCGTATTAGTCGAGGTCTGCTCATAATGTTTGCATGCTGCTGCAGTGGCCGAGTTCTCGGTGTCGTGGGGCTTTCTTTGGTACGATATCAGCATCATCCCGACTGGAGTTCAGACAGGGGTAAGCAAAGCTAGTCGCTCTCAATAACTTCAGACAAGATGCTAAAATCACTATCTTTGCGACCTGGTCTTTGGAGGACTGCAAGGCGGTCACTGGCGGCGTTGGCTTCAACACTCCGATGCAGATCGCGCCGTCTGGGTGCACGGCAGTCACGTGTCTGGCTGACGGCTGCGAAGACGCCTACCAGTACCCGACGGACGACTTCAAGACGCACGCCTGCCCCGACACCACGCCGAGTGTCGACGTGACCTTCTGCCCCGGTGGGTTGGATGCTGTGGCGGCACCGACGCCGGCACCCACGCAGGCGAACTGCCCGCGCCGATGCACAGCGTCCTTGCGCACAAGCTAGATGCGCATGAAGCTGGTGCAAATTCGTGTGGATAGATAACTTATAAACGCTAGAACACAGATCCGCTTTGCGTTTGGCTCGTTTTAATTTACGAAGCAACTGTCTAAGAAAAACTTACAATTATGTGTACTTGAAGCTCACTTGCAGTATCTTTCTGCTTACACATAAGTGTAAGTTTTTTTCTGAAAGGGATGAGTACGTAAGGAAAAGTAAAACCTAGGTATCGTTGATCCGCCACCTTGATTTAGGGTAGAACTCGGTTTGTTTGCCAAGGATATGTGTTCACGAATTAAGACGCCGAACCGAAGTTAGAAATGACGAGGCGAACAATTGTCAAAACCCCAGGGTGCGAGGAGTTGTCGACGTTCAATGCTTCGTCGCTCGCATTAGTTACATTTGATTGATATCGAGTATGGATGGAGAAGTTGACCAGCAAAGCACTGAAAGGAAGAACAAAATGCAGCTCTCTATATGCCGAAAGTGACGAGTTCATGCTAGATGCTACGGCAGCGTGTTGCGGCAATGGTAGACTTGCTACGGCAAGTTCCTTAATGAGACTTCCTAGGCTTTGTTGTACAGCTTAGCGGTCGCACCTCGCTCCCCGGACATATTGCAGCTACTTGCTTGGCGGTTCTTTCTGGCAGGTTCTCAAAAATAGTCATGCACTACACTGTGAATTTGAGTGCGCGTTATGAGAATAACGCCGTGCAATGGTGTAGTAGTGGGCTTATGAAAGAAGTTGCGCTCGCACAGCCAAGTCGCTAGCCTATATTTGAAGTTTTACTGGAAAAGTACAAAGTACGTAGAGATAAATTTGTGGATATTTTCGAGTCACATGGAGTTCATCTTGATCCTAAAGAAGCAAACGCAGACTAGAAATGCAAGCAGGCTAACTACACCTCCTACGAAGACTGGTAACCTGTAGCCCATCGAAGTCTCCACCAATGCAGAACCCACAATAAAGTTGAGCAGCTGGCCGAAAGAGTTTGCAGAGTTCATAACGCCAACGTAAACGCCGATCTCGGCGGTGTGTCCGAACACGTGTACGATGATAGGCACAACTAGCGAGAAGAATGTGCTGATAGTGATCGATGTGAGAGCCACGATAATCACATCCAGGGCGACAACGTCACAGAATGCCATTACCATCAGCAGCACCTGGGGAATAGTCGAGAGTGTTGCTACGTTTTGCGCTCCGAATCGTCGAACCAGTGGAGGAAGAACCCACGAATAAATGTACCCGACAACGCAAAAGAGCATATCGGCGAGACCTCCAGCAAGTCGTACACCCCGATTATAATCGAGTTGTGCCTCCGAACACTCGTTGCCACATGTGGCAGAATTGCTAGCAACTCCTTCAAAAACCTCGAGACCGAAGAACATTCCCTTGTTGCCGTTGTACGCTGCGAAAGCGTACTGGTTGAGGAAAATGACGGTGCAATAAACCGCTAGCACCCCAGGAAGAGTCCGCACTGCCGAAAATATTGATCCAAACGCGTACGTCGCGTTCTGACAGCAATTTCTCTGTTCCAGCGTTCTTCGACCCAGCGGCGTCTCTTTGGCCACGTAGCAGGCTGCCCCAATGCAGACGGCCATAAAGACGGACAGCATCCCCAGGAACCAATGCATCGAGTTGTAAGCTGCGCCAAAAAACTCCGTGTACGCTGCTACGACGATCGCTCCAAGTGTCGACCATCCTTGCCCCATGGCAGCGCCGATAGTCTGTCGAGTGCCCGCAAAGTCCGAGATCAGCAGCAGCGCTGGGGTCTGCGCGACGTTGACGGTGATGTCCATCCAGAGATAGAAGAAAATCGTAAGCAGAGCTGTCCATTTCCGGTCTGTGACTTCTCCTTTCTTCCCAGACCCCACGTCACCCAAGGCATCTCCGAGCTCCCGAGTATACCCCATGAGTATCCAGCAGATAACACTCCCGACTGCAGCCACTACGAGGAACGGACGACGGCGCCCGAACCTTGAGGTGTGCTGGTCAGAGTACAAGCCGACAATTGGCGCCATCAATACACCGCAAAGCGGGCCGGAGAGTTGGGTCAACTGCACCGCATAACGAGGAAGCATCGTCTGCAGATACGGCCCTAAAGCTGCCCATTGTGCGGCCCACGCCATTCGGATGGCCATCCGAGGCATCGAGATGACCAGCAAAGTCCCGAACGAAGCACTCGGCGGGACTGTCTCCTCTTGTTCCTCTATCATCGGGGACTTGAATCCATCCTTAGGCGTCTCCGGTGTCGCGAGCGAGTCAAACTCGACGCGGGACGTCCTGATCTCGATGCCTTCGAGCAACCGGGTGCTCATGGCGGTCAGCTATGAGCTCGCAAGACTTGATGCGCCTCAAGGCCGAAAGCGGAGTGCCTGCGGCGCTATTCTCGTGAGGGCTATTTCTCGAGCGTTGGTCGCTGGCGGTGATAACAAGTCTCGAAAAATAGGGCGCGAAAAACACAAACACAAACCGGCAGATGTCTGCACATCCGGTCGTGGCTTGCACACCGGCTTCCTTGATTCATTAGCGGAAAGTGCGACTGAATCTCGGATTAATCGGGAAAGGCTGGGAAGAAAGCATCGTGATGATGCTTTCTCCGTACAGTACTGGGTGACTTCCATAAGCTTCCAGGAGTGCAAGTGAACTCGGGGAAAAACTATGGAGCTCGAGGTACCAAAAAATAGGCAATAGAGTAAGTGGACTCAAAAATTGACTCACACTAAATTTTGGTAACGTGGTTTACCAATTCATGACCTCTGACCAGTTCATGGACTAAAGCGACTATTATCCAATCCAATCTTCTTATTTGGACTAATATTGCTCTGATTGGCTCAATATTTTTTAACCAGATCTTGGCCCTCATTTTTCCTTACGCTGATCCCGTCAGATATCAGGTCGAGCGTAAGATGAAGGCGGCCTTCACAGACAAGCAGCTAGAAGAAGGTATCGACCGCGTCCTCGCAGGAGAGAAGCTCGCAGCCGTGGCCGACCCGTCACCAGTGTCGTTGTCAACACTAAAGCGCAAAGTCGCCGCGCGCATCGAAGGTCGATCTATTGAGCGCCAACGGCCCGGACCTGCCCCCCTGCTGCCTCCCGAGTGTGAAGCCGATCTAGTGACATGGATCGCTGCAATGCAGCGTCGTCTGGTCCGACAAGCAATGGTGCAGGAGCTGCACTCCAAGCGCGTGACAACAATGGCGCCGAAGTGCCTGCAGTGGAGCCGCTGTTCATCATCGAGAGCGCGACGGTTTGAGTGACTTTGTATGGGTTCGCGTCGGTCCAACATCTGGTCAGTGCGTCATAAAAAAATAAATTTCCGCTTTGTTTGCTTCGCTGTTGCTTGCTTATATTTGCTCATAAATTGGTGCGAGGACCCTCAAAATTAAGCGTACCGACTGCTTGTATAAATGCTAGCGTTGTAGCATCGCTGCTCTAATATTGGTGTCGTCATCGACGATTTCGCATGAGGTGCTGCTGGCGGGTCATGAATTGGTAAACCACGTTATGGATGGAATATCACGTAAAATAGTCAACAGAACTCTTTGTGAAAACCGAACACTATGTCCTATTTTTTTTGCAAATCGATCGATTTGGGTGCTTGTTAAGCGGCCGAGCCCTTGTTTTGTTATATATAAATAGGATGCTACTCCGATTTGGCGTTCCTCAGCCCTGTTCATATACCGCAGACTGCCGTCGATTTACAATCAAATCACTTCGAATGCCCATGTGACACTGGGCATTCTGAGGGTTGCTCGTTTATATGAACGGCCTCATTTTCCTTAATGAAAAGCTTCACCCAACTTAGCCTAGCAAAGTTTATCAAAAGCATGACCCTGTCGTGATCTTATAGGCACGAGCTGGCGGGAATGTCTTGCCGACGTTGCCCGCACGAGAGGACTCGAGTGAACAGAACTCTACATGTACATTTCGCACTGGGATTTTCACGCCAGCCACAAGGGAATGAATCCATGCTGCACCGCGTTTGCGTTTTAATCTCGCTTCCCGTCAACTTCAATCGGGACGAATCAGATGATACACGTGATCGTGCGTACGGGCTAACCACAGTAACCAGCACAGTGATAATAATGCGTTTTGGTCCTGGAATTTCGGGTTGGTAGAGGTTCCGCCTTGACAAGGCGTTGTGAGTGTTGTGAGCCCTACGTGTTGGGTTGACGCTCGTTATCCACAGCGCCGCCACACCGTTCACTGAACGGGGGCAGAGGATGAGGTGGTCAAATCGGCTGGGATTACATCCCGGCCGGACAGCGTGCAGGTTCATCATCATGGGGCTGCAAGTTCAACGCGAGCGCCCCGCCTCCACGCATTAGGTACAAGTGTACCTCGGTCGATTTGAGGCAGCCTCACGCCAAATGTGTTGACATGCTTTGAGGACGGAGGAAGGCTGCAACGTGCCCTCTTCGTCTACAGTACAAACCCCGAGTTCCGAGTTATACGCTCTGTAGCTACGAGAGACTGTAGAGAGGTTGGTCATCCACTCCACCCCATGCCGCCGTTCCACTTGGGTCAATTCCTTCCACCGGAACTTCCGGGTTGGCTGGCTTTCCATCTGCTCAGGCATTACATGTAGCACCAGCATGGGGCTTTGCACTTTGTGGGGTTGCAGCGCTGGCTGTTTTGCGGGCGCAGAATAAACAACAACCGGCACCACAGGCACCGCATCACTGCACCGCCACGTTCAGTTCAAGCCTGTCATTCTCCAATTTGCTCACTCAACTCCACGAGTCTCAAGGTTCTATCCATTCTCCCCAAAGATGGCCGACGTCGAGAAGGGCTACGACCTGCAGAACTCTCCCAAGCCCGGAGCCATGAAAGACGGAGGAGGCGACGCACAGACTCCGCTGTCGCATCCGCCGATCTGGCTGCTGCTTGCAGTCTCCATGCCCCGCATGGCCATCAACATGGCCTGGTCGGCCCAATGGGCCGCGCTGGGCCCGTACCTGTCCACGATGCTGCCCAACTTCGCAGTGCAGGTGACGCAGTTCATCGGGCCCATTGTCGGCGTGCTGGTCGGCCCCAGTGTCGGCGTGCTCAGCGACCGCAGCACCGCCAAAATGGGTCGTCGCCGGCCGTTCCTCATCGTCGCCGGCATCCTTAGCATCATCTGCTGGATCGCCATGAGCTACACCCGGGACATGGGCGAAGCTATGGGCGACCACGGAGACGGCACCGACGGCCAGGAGACCGACAGAACGTGGACGTCCATCTTCACCGTCTTCTTCTACCTCTGGATGGACATCACCGTCAACGTCGTGCAGACGCCGGCCATGCTGCTCGTGGCCGACTTTGCCGGTGACCGGCAGACCACGGGTGCCGCTCTGGGTCAGGCCTGGTCCACACTCGGCTCCATCCTGGTGGCCGGCTACATCGAGTTCTTCGGTGCCGCCCACAAGACGCTGCACGAGTTCATGTGGATGCTGTCCGGTACCATGTTCATCTGCATCACTGTGGCTGTGGTGTTCGCCAAGGAGACCCCGCTGGACCCCAGCAAGGTGGACGCTGTTTCAACTTGGAAGCGCATCAGCCACGCCTTCGCCTCCGTTTACCACGGCATCCGCACACTGCCCGGAGTGCTAGCCACCTACGGCGTGTGCTTCTTCTTCGTGCAGTATGGCTACACGGCTTACAACGGCAACAAGGGTCAGTTCTTCGGCCTTGAAGTGTACGACGGCTCGGCGGAGAACGCGGATACTTGTAACCCGTGCACCCCCGCTCAGGACGCGTACAATGACGGCGTCAGTATCGCCGGTGGACGCGCCGACCTGCTGTTTAACGTCGTGGGGTACATTTACTCGTGGACGCTGCCCTACCTGGTGCACCAGTTCGGGGTCAAGTGGGTCTTGACCCTCTCCACGATCCCGCAGATGTTCCTCATGGTCATGGCGTGGACCAGCAGCGTCACCTTCAACGTGTTCGTCGTGGCCATCACCAGCATCACGCAGTCGGTCTGGTTCGCGCTCATCGTGCCGGTTATTATCCACGTTTTCGGTGAGGATGAAGAGATCGGCATCTACGTGGGCGCGCTCAACTCGGCCAACTGCTTCGGCCAGCTACTGAACTTTGCTATTGGGTCGGGCTTGGTGGAGACCTCTCTGGGCTACAAGCTGCCGGTCTTCCTCGGCGGTGTCATGAGTGCTCTCGGCTTCATCACCGCCCTGCTCTTCTTCAAGATGAAGATGTACTCCATGTAAAACGCATCGCAGCGGTGCTTGCTGCTGATCTTTCATTATTAAATACTGTTGTATCACGTAGTATTCTTGTCATTGCCGCAGGTAAGATATGTGGACTAAGCTAGTTTTTGGATTGCTGGTGGCTGTTTAGCTCGAGAAACGGACGGGGACTGCTCGTGTTAATTCCTCACAAAGAGGATTCGCCGGGTTATCGTTAGTACACTTACGCGGTCCGATAGCTTTGCCGGTCCAGGACTCGAGCTCTCAGAGCCCCCGCCCATCCTGGCGAAGTGTGTTTGACGCCGCATCCCGAATGCTGTTGTCGATCCGACCAAGTATCGACACAGACGGCGGCATGGCCGACATCAGCTGCGATGTTCCGTCCAACCTCAGCGACGATGACGACGACGACGACGAGATCAGCATGAACGACATCGAGTTCTCAGTCCACGAGACGGAGGCTGTGGTCCACGAGGAGCAGCATCGCTCTGATAGCTTTCGGATCGACATTGACGGACCCGATCCAGCTAAGGCGGCAAGGAAGAGCAACGTTCTCGTGCGTCCGAGTCTCCCACCCATCGGCAAGGTGAGACTTGGGATATCTGGTGCGGAAAACACCGACGAACCGCAAGCACTTGTCGAGCTGCGTCAACGAGTCGGTCAGGCGCCACGCGATGTTTTGAGCTTGCTACCCAAGACAACAATGACCGCCGAATGCCAGGAAGCAATCGCTAGACACGCTGATACCGGCGAGGCGCTTGATGATCACGTACTGGAAGAGCTTCAACAATTGCCAAGTGTTCTCCAAGGAGATCCCGTGCCTCGACTCTCTCGTCAGTGCTACACTGGCGTCGATACAATGGCGACTTTGGGGCAATTACTGAACTTCAGCACTCTCAAGGAACTACACGAGTCGCGAGCTCTGGAGTTTTGCTCGAACCCTCCCACCAGTTATCACAAGTACGCGGCATCCAACGCGCAGCCATCGACGCTACGAGCTGCGGTAATGGAGTGTACTCTTGCCACCGCGGAGTTTGCAACGCTACCGGAAATGTTGGCTCTGTGGGAATTAGTCCACAATTCCATAAACTTTCAAGTTCCTGCACCCACAACCCAGCAACTATCTCCCCACGTTGAATCCTACCTCCCTTCACAGGCGAACGCAGCTCTGGCGGCTCCCCTGCTTGTGGTAAATGGAAAAGACAAGCAAAAAGAAGGTAGTGCTGGTGATGAAGACGACGACAGCGGAGATGACAATGCCATCTTTGACGCGTCTAATGCCAAGGCTTCAGTGCAAAAACTTGCTGATAAAGCGTTGGGAGCGGTGCAAAAGCGGATGAGAACGGATCGACGTAAAGTGGACGCTGCGTTGTAAGCACTGCGTGACCGCCGCAACATTCTCGCGGGTGGCTGTGCCACAGCCGTACTGGCCTACCTCCCACCTCTGTTGCGTATCGAGATCATGCGCGACTTCTTTCAGATCACGGGTTTGTTCTTCTCGGGAATGTACGGTCCAGTCTTCGAGTTTATCCACCGCTTTCGTCCGTCGAGTTGGATTCTAGCGACTCTGAAATGGCTGAGGAATATCTACAACATCGTGGCGCTGGACGCGTCGGAGCTTTTGCACTACCTCTGCGACATAGTGGAGATGGTAGGGCACGGGCTTCTTCCTGGGAGGGATATTGCTGGTGCACGGACTCTTCATCATGGTGGTGGTCAGATACTGGTGGACAATGCCCCGTACCGCAGACAAAGTTCGCCACGGCCACGAAGCCACCACTTGGTCGATGCTGGCGACGCAGAACCCTCGAGCAGCCAAGTTAGCGACGCTGTTCCTCACCTACTGCCTCACAATCTACCTCCCGCTCACTCAACTCGCCTACAAGGTGCTGGCTGTGACCAACAAGGGCAGCGATGGAGAAGGGGTCAAGCTGAACAAGTTCATGCAGCAATTCCGCGACGGTCCTTGGTGGTTCTTGTTCCCGTTCGAAGCTGTGCTGATCCTCCTAACCTTCTCGTTATCCCTGCCCCTCTTGTTGATCTGGTCGATCCGGAAGAACCGACCCACGGGGTCGATCGAGAACGAGGACGTCGCGTACAATTTGGACGGGGATCCCGTCAAATTCGACGATAAAATCTACACCAAGCTCATATCTAACGACCCGAACCAGCTCGATTGCCCATACCGATCGCTCTATGCAGGCTTTGAGCGCAACTGGAGCACGTACAAGGTGACGCAAATGGTGGCTAAAATCTTGATCGCTATGATCGTCGTGTCCGCTGGACAGTCTGTGGAGGTCGGTGGCACATTGATCAGTGGGTTTTACTTCGGGGTTGTGATACTTTCCCAGTACAGCCAGCCCTTCATCAGCGCGTTCGACGACAAGATGGAGCTGCTGTCCAAGTTCACAGCGCTGATGACTGCGATCGGGGCGACGGCGGTGGACTACGCGAAGAACAACAACTGGATCTGGAACCCCGACCGCGCGCTTCGCTTCATGGGCTTCGTCGTGGCTGTGCATGGTTGGTACGAACTTACTTGTCATGGTACTAGCGACGCTGATGGGGCTGCTGGGGGATGAGTCGTTCCGGGTTCGAGTTAAACAAGTGCTAGGTCGGCTTTCGTTCAGCGATACTTCCTGCGGAGTAGTGGACGCACGAGCGAAGGACGTGGTCATGCGGTGGAATGTGGAGAACGAGGCGAAGCACCGCGTGTGGCAGGCGTTTTGGCGTGCGCTTCTCCTTGAGATGGCTACACGACACGAGAACATTGCTGAGGATCAAGACCAGATTCAACTGTCGGACGAAGCCGGAGACGTCAGAAGCACCGAACGACTTGCACAGCTGGAAGACGCCGTCATTGCATCTGGATTGGAGCGTATAAAGACTCACTGTATTGGAGAAGAGGACAAGTACACAGCGCAGCTCCGTCGTCTGGCTCGTGTGGCGCTTGAGGGCGTCGACGTCTTCTGGAACAATCCTCTCGGAGCGCGAGACGGCCACATCGACTCGGTCTCGTGCTTCGGCAAGATGTACGTCGTGCCGTATCCCTTCCACTGCGTCGTAGTGTATGATGATGCAGATAATGAAGCTGTTGTAAGACATATATGCGATGAAAATTCTACTTCGGAGAGTCATACGAACCTCGCTAAACTTCTCTCCATCAACTTTACGCCTGAAATATTGGCTAAGCGGGAGCTACGGCAGAAATTGCGGGTACTGAGTGACACAGCAACGGAGGTGAACTTCCCGTTCTCGCGTACCGAGAAGGTGTTCGTTTGGTTCAAGTTCCGAGGGTGGAAGAAGGTGTGGAAATTTGTCTACAGACCTGTGTTCTCGATCCCGGGATACTACAATTCGAGTGCAAGTACACAAAAGGAGTCATTCGGGTGCACACAAGCAGCGATCAATCCGGGATATGGCTGCGCGTGGTAACCAGTCATCCCGTGGTAAGCACTAAGCAGTGGGTCGCGAACTTTTGCGCGCAGAAGTGGGTGGTCAAGACTAAACAACACGTTTTAGGGATCATCCAGAACAAAAACGTACAGCGCGTCAAGAATCAGGTACTAAAACTCGCAGAGATGGAGGAGCTGGGCGCTTCTGCTCAAACTACGAGTATTAAACGGGTCATGGCGGATGGTTTCAACGTGACGATGGAGTACGCTGACGGAGAAGGTGTGGTTTTACTCGCTGGATATGAAGAATACGAGGATATCGTGCATGAATTCCCGGTTAGTGGTCCTCGCAAGGCGGTAATGAGGTCTGATCACATCGGCCTCAAGCCGTCAATGGAAGAAAGCGCGAAGTTGCACGAGATCTTCGAGAGCACACGAACGCTGTGGGAACCTGGTCTGGCCAAGCTACGCCAGCAACACCAACACTACCGTCACAATCTTGCCGAAATTCATGTCAACCAAAGTGCGGCTCTAAGCGATGGGTTCTGGTTTTACGTGTACAACAACGCGCGCCTTCCCCGACGTGAGCTTGAGCGGTATCTACGCGAGCGCGAGTCCAACCCGTTGCTGAGAAGCTTACCAGAGACACACACTGAAGAACTGGAAGCGTTGTACCGCCAACAGAAGTGGGTATTCCGAGACCCGCGCACTACGTGTTGGTACGTGTTCTGGGACGACGTCTATGCGTGCAACTCGGACATGAAATACCTGGATCCTCAGGACTTCGATCCTACCGAGTCCACAGCTATCTGCAACCAAGAGCCTATGAGTCGACAGGATCTTGAAAATTGGTTGCGAAAGCGGAATTTGCTCAAGAAGTACCGCCTTTTCCACGCCGCCGTGCTTGACCTGCTCTACGCAAAACTTGACGAATGTACTCGGGAAAGCTCACAGCGACAATAAACAAGCGTCGAAAACCTATCACATTTACTGAGAATAGTGCATTACGGAGTACATGGATCGCAGCTACGCTAACCTACCACAACTCTGCTAATTACAGGGAATACATTTTGACCTTGAAGAAGAGAATGGTGACGATCATGCCGACGAAGCTCATGACTCCTCCCAGGAAGACGGGCAGCTTGTAGCCCATGGAGGTCCCGACAATGCCCGCGCCAATGGAAAAGTTGAGTAGCTGGCCGAGGCAATTCGCCGTGTTGAACACTCCCACGTACACGCCGATGTCCGCGTTGCTCCCAATGACGTGGACAATCACCGGCACATTTAGAGCCATGATCGTGGTGAGGCTGATGGCACTAGAGATGACAATGGCCACGTTGACCTCCACGTTCGTCGAGTAGGCCATGATCATGAGCAGCGACAGAGGCACGAGAGAGACCGAAAGCACCCACTTGGCGCCAAATCGCTTGACCAGCCACGGCAACGCCCACGAGTAGACGTAGCCCAGGATGCTGAAGATGAGGTCTGTGTATCCGCCAGCAACACGAACGCCGCGGTTGTACGCGTCCTGAGCCGCAGTGCAGTCGGGGGCACAAATGTTGGCACCTTTTGGGTTTCCATCATACACTTCGATGCCGAAGAACTGCCCTTTGTTGCCGTTGTACGCCGTGTAGCCGTACATGACGCAGAAGAAGACGACGCAGTACTTGAACAGCTCTCCAGGCAGCGTCTTGAAGCCCGTGTAGATGGACTCGAAGGCCTTCTTGACAAGAGCCCGCCAGGAATCATCCTGTTGCTGCTCAAGAAGTTTCTCGCGCGGCTTGTCCTCTTGACTGAAGAAGCACGAGACCGAGACGCTAACAACCATGACAGCCGACAGCATGAAGAGGAACCAGCGCAGCGTTAGATGCGCCGCTCCGAACGCGTAGATGTAGCTGGAGACCATCACAGCGCCCAAAGCGGACCATCCTTGGCCCAAAGCAGCTCCGAGCGTTTGTCGGTCGCCGGCAAAGTCCGAGATCAAGAGGTTCAACGGGGTCTGCACCACGTTGACCGTAATGTCCATCCACACGTAGAAGAAGATGGTAAAGAAGACCGTCCACGTCCTGTCGGTCAGCTCGCCCTTTTTGCCGGTGCCGTAGTCGCCCAGCGCGTCGCCAATCTGGCGGGTGTAGCCCATGGCCGTCCAGCAGATCGCACTCGTGATAGCGCCGTACAGCAGGAACGGCCGACGACGGCCCCACTTGTTGGTGCTCTGGTCACTGAACGCTCCGACTGTCGGTGCGACGAGGATGCCCGTTACGGGGCCAATGATCTGCGCGAGTTGAACCGCGTACTTGGGCATCATAGTGCCAAGGTACGGGCCGAGAGCGGACCACTGCGCTGTCCAGGCCATTCGGACCGCCATCCGAGGCATGGAGATCATGAGCAGGTGCGGGATCGAGGCGCCGGCAGTCGACTTGCGCTCGCCTTTGCAAGTCGGCGAGGCCTGGGTGTCATAGTTGCCAGCTTCGAGCTCCTTGGGGGTATTGTCCAGCATGAGGGCAACACGTCAAGGGTGAGGTCGAAGGAGGAGGAGGGTGCTTGGGGCGACGAGTCGAGTTGAGTAGTGAGCGAGAGAAAAACGAAGAAAGCCGACGGTCTGCCGAATGGGAAGCGGTATTGGATTGGGGCCAGTACCAGGTGTGTGCGGTGTCTTCCACCCCCTACGGTGTGGGGGAGTGAGGAACGGAAACGCATGGGAAAGAGAATCCGTCTGCGTTCTCAATAAACTATCGCCAAAGGCGACCATGAAACGGAGGCGCTTGACGATCGGCACACCAACGTTCCTTTTTGCTGTGGTCTGCCCCCCCCCCCCCCCCTTGCCCGTCGTTTCAACGGGATAGTGAGCGGCGACAGTCCCCCCGCCGTTTGACTGCAATCAGTTCAGCGCCCAGGCCCCATTAAGGGACAGGCGATATAGTTAGCGCTGAGCTTCTGGCCGGAACAGCCCTCAGCACTCGCGGTCGGAGATCCCCACAAGACGCACGAACACGAAACTGTGGAAATGACTTAGCCACCTCGTGCACAGAATGAGGTGGCCGCGTTCAGCTAGCAGCGGCACGTCTTCACTGAACGCTTGTAGCGAACCACTAAACCGCAACAAGTGGGGACTGTTAGATCCAAGAAGAGAAGAGGGTAGCTTCACATCTTTGGAATCCAGGGCGTGCGAGATGAAATCTTCTTGGCATCTTCCAACGCGTTCGTGGAAACTGAACCCAGTTGAGGAGCACGTCTTGAAGCTGGTGACTGGTCCAACACTGACCAAGCGTTTGCCCAGATATATTGCGTCTTTTAGTTAGGAGAACACGGCGACGATGGTAGCAACGGCACCGTACAACAAAAATCTCCGTCGGGAATGAAGGAAACGTTATTTTAAAGCTTCCTTTAGTCCTTGGGTATTCATTTTCAAATAGTTACTTGGAGGTTTATACCAAGCAGGAACGCCACCTGCGGTTTATGAGCCGCGTGCGTAGCGCGCGCGGGCGTAAACCCAGGCAAAACCTCATAAACCCAGGCAAAACCTAACGTAGACCGCTACCTGTGGTTTAGGATCCGTCTGCGTAGCACGCGGGCTTAAACCCAGGCAAACGCTGGAGTAGAATGTTCATAATTAATTTTTGAAAGCTAGCATTTTGCAGTAGTTACTTTTTGCGATTCGGTTAGTCACAAATAGCTAGTCGAGAATGAACCCAGTCGATAACTAATTTTATGCTTCGTTTGCATTTTGGACTAGTTGCTTTTTGCTTCTCGAGTAGTCACTACACTGCGCGACATAATCTTTCGGACACTCACATTTTTGTCCATATCTCAGCTTCTAGAAAGAGTTAGAGCTCGCTATTTAGATATGTTGTACCTATCAGATTAATCTATAGCTGGCATGTGACGCGGACCTAGATTTCTGAAGGCTGGTATACAACTGACACGATTCCGAACCGCGACAAAGTTTTCGGACAATTTTTATCTTGATTAAAGTATGTATAAGAATGATTGGTGCGGCCAAAGCAGCCACTAGACAACTTCTCTAGTCTATCTAACCTCTTCTAACGAAAAGTAGGCTCTATTTTGATACATGTTGGTGTAAACTAGACGCGAATGTGTGCATTAGCGCCGACATAGGACGCTGATTGGCTGATTTGATGTACCCATCACTGCAGGACATACTTTAATCAAGATAAAAATTGTCCGAAAACTTTGTCGCGGTCCGGAATCGTGTCAGTTGTACACTAGCCTATCTACGCGCTCAGACATCTAGGTCCGCGTCACATGCCAGCTATAGATTGATCTGATAGGTACAGCATATCTAAATAGCGAGCTCTAACTCTTTCTAGAAGCTGAGATATGGACAAAAATGTGAGTGTCCGAAAGATTATGTCGCGTAGTGTAGTAACTAGCCGAGAATGAAAATGTAACAACTCGAAATGTTATTGTCGAAAGTGACTAGTTTAAAATGAAAAAAGTGACTAGTTTAAAATGTGCACCCTTAGTCCTTCACAGAAATCAATGAAATTGACCTTCTGCGTTGTCATATGCTGCTATTGTTGGGCTAAAGTACAAATGCAAGAACGATGCATACCCACGGAATGTGTCGGCAGATTCTATCGACTGCGAAGCTGGTCCAGTCCGGTCGCAAGTATAGATGCCAATTACCGGGCGTACATGTAGTTGAAATCAAGGTATCCCGTTAAAGCGGATTTTTTTACAACTTAAAAGTTGTGACAAGACTCAAACTGAAGCGACTTTAATGCACATCTGAAACGTTTGGCTGTGACCCGGGCCACGCAAAAGACCCGGCATATCAAAAATGCTATCAAACAGCATAGTCATTAACCCCAACAGGGCCCAAGTTAAGGACAAAAAATAGGACCAAATCGTAAGTGCTCCGCTTGACCGCATCAAAGATCCAAAAATGAAATCCTTGTTACCAGGGAGAGAAAACACATCATTTAACCTGGAAAGAGAATGGAGAACCGATCTTCATTAGAAATTGAATCGTAAAGAGCAGCTAATCTCAAGAGTCCACGAGACCTACCTAGGTAGCTGTCGTCGTTTTCGTCCGCCCAGAGCGCCACATTTACGGAGCATTTACGCGCAATGCAGAGGGATAGCAGATCGGGTCCATGTGTGCTTGTGGAACCACCATTTGAGAGCCTTCAACAAGGCCGCTGACATGTTGGCAAATATCGCCATGGACGATCGCAAGAGTCGTCAGGTATTTTGCTCGGACCAACCAACCCGGGCCCCCCGCTGGGCAGAAGTCACTCGCTTGTTAGACGGTGACCTCAGGCAATGGCGGGATGCATATTTCACTGGAGGGGCTGAAGAGCCTGACGCGGACGCCGAGTAAGGAAGACGCGACAGAGGCGATACGCAAAGTAGGAGCCCCAACCTGCAGATGACGGGTTAGCATCTGCGGGACCGGTCGTTGTAGTCGTTAGGAAGAACTAAGTGACAACAATGTACCTCAATTCAAACACAGCTGTCGTCGTTTTGTCCTTAATCCAAGGACAAATTTTGATCCTATTTTTAAGGACAAATTTGACCAGCTCCGTTTGAGTTGCGCTCGCGCGTGCGTAAGGAGCGTCGACGCTCCTGGACCGGGCACCCGAGAATGCAATACTTAGATTAATACTTTTAAACTGCGGGCAAAAATTAATCATTGCATTATTGCCATTAATTGCTGCCAATTCGTGCACGAACCTGCTCCACCGTGTTGACGTCCCACAAGTCGCGGTTGTACTGCAGACACATCAACATCTCGAGCATGGTGGGGGAGAGACTCTTCCGCACGTCTGTGAGCACCGGCTTCGCCGCCGAAAAAAAGTGTTCGCATTCGTTGGACGTCGGCGGCACGTAGGCGACGTCCACGTATTGCGAGTGCCTCGGTGCCTTCCTTTTCTTGAACGCCGCCTTGACGATAGAACTGTTGCCGTCCTCCCGCGCTGGTGCCCTTTCAAGGGCCGTCGATCTAAACTCGGCACACGCCGACTGTTCCGCGGCCGTCAACGCCTCTTCGCGCTGAAGCTTGACGAGGCCGAGGTCTAAATGCGGGTTGTTGACGATCGGAGCCGTTGCGGCCAGTCGTGACTTGAGTGCAGGGTACTCCTTCACGACCTGGTCAAAAAGACGGCGCACAGCAGACAAAGCTAGCGTAGACCTCTGTAGCTCTTTCGTGACTCCCTCGAACTTCTCCAGGTCCTTCTACAACGCCTTGACTCGCTCGTGCTCGGCGCGCCGCAGCAAAAGCGGCTGTACTTCGAACTTGACCAGTAGGTCATGGCCCAGCTTGATTATGACAGGCTGGAGCTTCACATAGCTGCCATCATCTCGTACGTGCTCGACCACCTGGTGTCGTTCCTCAACAGAGGCGACAGATGGGAGATGCGGCGAAGCAGAGCGCGGCCCTTGATCGTCCGGAGCTTGGTCATCAGCGTGTGCACCTTCGCAATGAGCTCGTCCTCAGTCTTGAGGAAGTCCTTCACCGCCAAATTGAATCTGTGGCTAGCACATCCAATGAAGGGGATAACTCCTTTCTTCCGGCCGATACATTGGTTCACAGAGCAGTTGTCTCCCACCGTGAACTTCACCGCGCTCCAGGGCTTGTTATAGCGAGACAGCGTGCCAGCGATCAGGTTGTACTGACTCTGCGCACCCATGTCTTCCTCGACCTCTACTGGAGCGAATGTTAACAGCAGGAAGCGGCGCGATGAGCACTCGAGATCGTCATAGTACTCGGTGTCAGCGCCACCACCGGTAATACCGGTACTGTCGCTGCCGAATACCGCGAATATCACGATGTAGTGACGACCACCACTGGTCCACCCGTCCAGAACGGGGCCGAACGATGCAGGGAGCTCGCGAGCGACGCGCATCTCTAGCAGCTCGAAAATCAGCACGATGTACTTCGAGAGAGAGGGAGGCGTTGAAGCGCGTGAGCCGCTGCTCTACGAACGCAATCGGGAGGCGGTCGCAGACGACCCACTCCAGCCAGCGGTATAGCCCCCCTGGTCCGTGTGCTGACGAGGCGTAGGCGCAGCGGGTTCTGGCGGCGTGTCGCCTCCTGGGCCTCTTGCTCGTAGTTGTCGTGGTTGCGCCGCAGGTGGTTCAGCAGGTTCGTGTAGCCATTGTCCTTCTTGTACTGCTTGTCGCAGGATGTACACTTGTAGAAGACGTTGCCGACATCAGTGAAAAGCATGGAGCAGATTTGGCTGCTCGTGAGGGCCATGGTGGACACGTGGGGCGAGGGGCTTGGGCGGTGAGGGGTGAAGAAAGCAAATTTGATTCTGAAGGAGCCTCCGCTGCGAGTGGTGCGGTGAAGTGGTGCCAGATCGGCGAGTGGTTGGTGGTGGACTCTTCGGCGGACACTGGTGGCTGCAGCGAACTCCATCGGAGCAATTCAAAAATAATTGAGGGTCTAAAATTATCATTGAATTAAAGTATTTGAATGTATTTTTATGAGTGTTATTGTTTCGGGTGCCCTGCTCCTGGAGTTGCAGACGAACACTGGATGAGCGCCGATTTGGCATTTCAAGCGACGACCGCGACCGTTTTCGTGATGGAAGTGGAGAACGATTGTCGTTTGTGCGTGTTTTACGCAACTGCTCATGTAGTAGATACGGGTCTGGTAGCTCCTTCAAATTGTGAAACTTGGTGAAACAAGACTCAGCCCCGTTCCATCGAGGTGCACGACTGAGTGCTACTGAGCATTTGTTGCACTTGAACTCGTTTTAAAGCCTTTTCGGCTTTGACCAGCATTTTCAACGTCATGGTTCAACGAGCAGCACAGCACACAACACTGTTGAGCGTCGTTCTCGATTTGAACCTACACACCAATTGAACTCCCACATTAGTAACAACAAGTACGCATTGACGTGTGAGTTTGCACGTATGGCACTTACAAGCTCGTGCTGAATTCGTTTGGGGAGTCGGCGATGTATGAGTTCTGATCTGAGTTGAAGTGGGCTCGCTTCTTGTACCGGATGCCGTACCCATTCATATTGGCGCTGCTAGCAATTTCTTGAGTATTTTCTTGAGTGCCGGTCGTGCTTGGAGCTGGCGCAGGTGGCGATCTTGCACTCAGACATTTAGCGGCATCACGGCAGAAGTATGCAAAAGCCGGCAGATTTTGCTTGAAATTCTGGTACGATGTGTATGAAGTGCAGCGCACATTGTCGTTCAAAAATGGGTGAGGCTGAGTACAGACCTAAACAATTAGTATGAGTACTAAATCCAGCCGTCAGATAATTCATTACCTGAAAGAGCTGGTGGGACTGGTGGGCATTGTAAATCAGTGTCATCAGAATACGCAGAAAAATTGCCCCCGTCGGAGCCAGGGCCGTGTGTCTCGATTTAACGTTTTTGAGGTACCGAGAGTAAACGTCAATTCCTCCCTTCACTCGATTCCAAAGTGCGATGAGTGAAGGAATGATGTGCTTTGCTGGTGGAAGTGGCCGTCCTCTACTCTCGATTATCCCCAAGCTCACCACATAGCAATATTCTGCGCAAGTGTATGAGATTCGACACAGTGGCCTAAGTCTGTCAGCGAAAAGTAAGGTGTCACGAGAGTGTCGTCGTAAACCCACTTCATGTACGCCTCGCAAATGAAATGTAGCGCTGCTCGGTACGTAACAGCGACAGGATCCCCGACATACACGTGAACGATCCGGATAATTCGTGTAGGTGTAGCGTACACAAGAAACCCGTCGCGAACACCACCGCAGACGACATTGTGAAGTATTCGGCACCAGTGGCTTCCTTCCGGAACTATATCCTTGAACGTGCGGTCAAACGCATTCGTAACCAGCTGAACCGATGCAAGTGCCCCATAAGTGTCAGCTAATGACTGTTCACACTGCTGAGTATCGTCCACCACCCTGGTTTTGTATTCCAAGACTGTGTAAAACTGTCCACGCACAGCAGAAAGCATGACGGCAATATGATCAGGTGAGAAGGCAGCAAACACCATACCAGTCTACAACATAATTACCTTATTAGTACCACAAATAATATCTCCGTATGATGCATGAAAATAAATACTTACGAGCAAAGGAGTCCGTACGATTTCATAGCTTCGACTTGAATCGATGCATGGGTCAGTAGGAACGATTTGACATGTGCTGCGATTTTCGTCTCATTGTGCGTTCCTATCTTCATAGCCGTCGACGAAGCTGGCTTCATGAACCACGCTGCCAAAATCTCACCACTTAACGAAATTCTCTCCGTCGAATTGCCCGTTCTGCCATAATTTTGAAGACGGTATTTCAAAATCGTTTTGGTACCCGAAACGGGAAGACCACGTTCGTTGCATAGAGCTTTTAGCTCCTACAGTGACTTGCTCTGCAATTCGGTGCTCGAAATACTTGCAGGGCGCTCCGAAGGTTGTTGCCTACTCGTACGAAGAGACAGCAACATTGCTGATGCTTCAACATCAGGGTCAGTGACAGGATCTCGAGCAATACTGGGATCCGGTGTAGCGTTAGCAATATGACGAAATGTCCGACAAACGACAGATCCCATTTATCCGGAACTTTCGGAGTACGTTGTCGCTCGGTTAGAAGGCATACTCCGTTTTCAAAATCTGAAAAGAGAGTATCCGTCGGGACAGCACTGACCGTATCCTTGCTAAGGCAAACATATGGCCACGTTCCAGTCCCAAACATGCGCTCCGTCGTGCAACATAGTACTACGCCCCCAGCCCAGATCGATATCCCAATGCATACGAATGCACCGACAAAGAACTTGAGCGACTACTTCCGGGCAATTTTTGCGTTGCCCAGTATGCTGACTTTTCACCACTTTCTTCAATGACTTTGTGCGCTCGGTTCCCAGATTTACCATACGTGAAAGGGAATTTAGCAGTGCGCTTGTGTGTACCGACGACTTTCCCACCAATACTGTGAATGTGATAATTTATCCAGCGCATGAAAAATCCCAGGAAGCCGGATCTGACTTTCGGTTGAGGCTCCGCACAACGATCGCTGAAGAATCTTTACAATGTCAATTGTTGATTCTCCACGAGTTGCAACATGTCCCCCAAGAAAAATCCCTGTTGTAAGTGAAACGATTCCGTGCTGAACGGGGCCATAGCTGTTTACAGTTTAAAAAACAATATTAGCGAAAGAAATGCAATTTAGTGCCATTGATCGTACCCTTTTTTAGGATTTCGTGTATGGGCGAGGCCAATATCATCCACCAGCGTCGAACCCGGGGCGAACCATGTCGTCATCTAGCGAAGTGATGGTTTAGTGCTCAACAAAACCAATATGCAGCTAGACGGCGAACGAGCTCCGCAATCCGAGCTATTATACTGGCGAGATGAAATGCACCACCAAACTTTGACGGAGCGTATCTCAGCATCAAATAATCAGATAGATGTGAGCTTCTTTTGTTGGAAAGCTCTGGACTTCCTCTTTTAAGTAAACTACGTTTGGACTTGTAGTCGCAGCGAATGAATGAGATATACCTAAATGAAAATTGACTGTCCGCCGGTTTCTCGAAAATATCGAGGCTATGTCTGAGCCATATGGTACCATATGATTGCTCTTTTACAAACTTTAGTACTACATTATTGCAAATTTTCTGTAACACGTTTTATGCACATTATTGCTTGACGACGCCACCACAACCGGCGAGATCAACAGCGCCTGTAACACTTCCTACGCGGTTGGCGCTCATGAAACTACGTTTGTTTGATGAACCAGAAGCCGAGCTTCACCCTGACGTTTAGCTTTCTCGATTTATCATCTTCGTTTAGGAAATATGGCAAAAAATGTCGTGTGCAGATCAGACAAGCACGTCTTTCCCGCAGCAGAAATCGCCGGATGATGCCGATAAAATTAAGAAGTAGGATACTAACACGTGTGCACCTACATTCTGCATGTTATGCTGTTTTCATTGCTGATCTTCTTGCCTTTATACGTTAAGTACTTTTGAAATTATGGACAAATGAAAATTTTGGTGGTGCATTTCATCTCGCCAGTAATATATTGCTCGATCATGGCTCAAACGAGTGTGACAGGTCACTGTCACACAGACCCCACCGCGTGTGCGCGGTGGCCAATCAGAGCCCACTATAGGTTTAATGGCTGGGACGGTCTCGAGTGCCGAGACTGTCACGGCACTTAATACCAGAGTTCAGTTTGCTACTACTTCCTCTGCTTGAGTAAGCACGTAACGGGCTGCAGTTAGCTCGCTACACCTGGTAGCACTTCGCTAATCCGTCCAACGCCCAAGATCGTGATGAACATGAACGACACGTCGATGCCTGACGCGTCCCGGACGACTGCCACTTCACTGGAGCACGCCAGCTTTCCTCACCTGTCAGCGATCGAGTGGGAGGCGCTACACCGCCTCGCAGCAGTGTCTGTTGACGCTGTGATCAAGACACTGCTGACGGCGGGAACCGAGGAGCAACAACGCCTGGCCGCCCAGGAGTTCATGGCGCGTGAACTCGCTGACCTCCGTAAGCGAGTACGCAGACCAAGAACAACTCCGACATCGTGAAGCTCGATGTATCCACGTACAGCGGTGAAGGCGAGGACCGCCTTCACCTGAACCGCTGGTTCTGCGAGGTGGACATCGCGATCGAAGCTCGGCAGCTGTCTACCGAGCTCGCGCGCACGAGCTTTCTCCTGTCCAAACTGGCGGGGAAGGCGAAGGAGTGGGCGCTCGGCAAGCTCGTGGCTGACGCTTCCTGCTTCCCGACCATGGCATCGATGAAGGCGGAATTGCGGCTCGCGTTCGAGCCGCCCCAAGATGAAAGCGTTCAACGCTCCGCCTTCCTGGCGTTAAAGCAAGGACGCATGTCCATGCTCGAGTACATCCAGCGCGCACGACACCTTGTGTCGTGCATCACGACGCATCCCGTAGACATGGCGACCCAAATCCACGTCTACATCTCCGACATGAGCGCGTGTGACGGCGTCGCAGGAATTCGATGTCTCTCGGGCTCCGGTGCCCGAGCCGGAGCCAATGGAGGTGGATGCGATTTAACAGTTCGGTGGACGGCAGGTGGCATCAGCAAGGCCGCCAACGGCCTCGTCAACGCACAGTCCCCACCCGATGCGCTGCTACCGCTGTGGGAAACATGGGCATCGCGCGGCTATTTGCCGCGCTCCGGCGCCGATGCAGGCGAACGCCACGGTCGTGAACGACGTCGTCGGTCTAAAAAACGGCGACAACCAATAGGGGCAGGGCGCCTTACTGGTCGTGGAAGGATCGATGGTTCTCTGGTGGCAGAACCACCTCCTAGCCCTCCCGTGCTTCATGCACAACTCGATGCCACCACCTCCGGCAGTGACACGAGGCTGATTGTGCTCAGCCTCCATGTTGACGGCGCGACGCACCCTCTTCGCGCGCTGCTGGACTTGGGCGCGACGAACAACTTCGTTCGCGCCGAGAGCTTGTCGGTGTTACCAGCGGACATGAACATTCTCGACGGGCCTGGCGACGTGATCGTGAAGTACGCTGATGGGAAGCCGCGGTGGACGCCGCGGCGCTCGGCGACCTTTGCGTACGAGTTCGACGGGCTCCGCAGTTCCGATGAGTTCTTGGTGATCGAGCTGAGCGGCTCGTTCGGCTGTGTCTTCGGCATTCCGTGGCTCGCTCGTCAACAGCCTGAGATCAACTGGCTGACTGGCACAGTCGGACCCCGAGCCATTGATGTGAATGCAGTATTGGCGTTCCTGTGCGGAACGCCTAACCATTGGTCGCATGTTGCCGTCATGGACCCCGACTCCATGACCCATGCTGCGCACAAGGCAAGCGATGGCCCTTCGTGTGCGGTGTGCGAACTCGCAACCTGCGCCGGTCCTGAGCAGGAGCCTCAGGACGTGTCTGACGTGGTCGAGCATGGGTTCCCACGTCTCGATGAGCAGCTGTTCTCGGAAGCAGACAATGACGTGGTCGAGCCACGTCAGGACGAGCAGCAGCTCGCCAACGTTGAAGAGCGAGAAGATGTGGCTGAGCGTGATCTCCCACGCGCGGTCGAGCATGGGTTCCCGCGTGTGGTCGAGCGGGATATCCCTGATGAAGTCGACCCGGTCGTGTCCAATGACCCGCGTCCAGGCGCCTACGTTGTGTCCCGGCGCCCCAGTTCAGCGGCCGTGGTCGAGCGTGGGCTCTCATCGGCAGCTTCGGACAACACTCCACGTCCGACCCGACGTCGCGGACGTCGCAACCCGCGCCGTCCTCGTACGCCATCGGCGGACTCTGTTGAGGCTGAGGCTGATGTGATCTCAGTCCTGGTGGGGGACGACGCGGAGGCGGCTCCGCGTGTACGCGACGTCGAAGTCACACGTCTGTCGTGCGATGCCGCCGAGATCACTCGGCTGCCTGGGCTCTCGTGGAAACCCTTCCTCCGTGACCTGAAGAAGGGCGAGATCGAGAAGGTGGGCATGATCGTCGCCGAAGACGCCGAGTCAATTTCGGCCGTCGCAACCAGTGCGTCGGCGTCGCAACCAGTGCGTCACCCAGCTTCCGACGCCAGGACGCGCCCAAAAGGAGCCGAGCCGAAGAACGCCCGCCAAGCCCGCTACGCAGCTCAGTCGTTGCCGGCGCTCGAAGCGGCCGGCGAACCAGTCGGTCCGCGCGTGCGCGAGTTCATGGAGATTTTCCCGGACAAGGTTCCAGTCGTTCTTCCACCCGACCGCGGTGTACGCCACGAGATTGACCTCGTGCCCGGTGCGAAGTACTGCGTGACGCGGCAGTGGCCGCATCCTCGCGACCAAGTCGGAGCCATTGACGCCTTCTTCGAGAGTCGCCGGCAAGCCGGCCACGTTCGCGAGGGTCTCTCGCCGCACTCGAGTCCGACGTTCTGCGTGAAGAAAGCAACCGGGGGCTGGAGAATCGTCCACACCTCCAACAAGCTCAACGAGGCCACCATACCGGCGCAAACGCCGATCCCGAGGAAGGACATGGCGCTGGACACCATGTCTGGCAGCACGAAGTACAGTGCCATTGATCTGATGGATGGCTTCTATCAGATCTTGATGCGCGAAGCCGATGTGCCGCTGACAGCGGTCAGCACGCCCAGCGGGGTGTTGTGGGAATGGCTCGTGATGCCGCAGGGGCTCAAGAACGCCCTCCGCCACCTTCAACCGGATGGTGTCCAATTTGCTTCGGCCGTACCGAGACTTCGCGCCCAGCTATATCGACGACATCTTCATTCACAGTCGTGC